CAGCGGTACGCCTGACCACCCTTGCCGTACTTCTGCGACTGACCACCGAAAGCACGCTGGTAGCTGTGGCAAAGTTAGTCGGTACCTTTTTTTTTTTTAACGCGCGAAGTTGCCTGAGCTTACATCTTGCCATCGTCAGTTCTCGAAAAAGGGCATCCGTAGTTCTCAAGCTCAATGACACTCTGAGGCGCCTCGCGGGTCATGTAGTGGATAGCGTCCTGGTCGCCGAGCCAATCCGAGCCCTTGACGGTATCGTACATGTGCCATCTCCAGTCGTCTTCGTGCATGTTTCCGAGCGCAGCATTGATTCCGCCCTGCGCGGCGACGGTGTGGGAACGGGTGGGGAACAGCTTGGTGATACAAGCAGTGTTGAAGCCAGCCTCGGCCAGACCGAAGGCGGCGCGGAGACCGGCGCCACCAGCACCGACAACGAGGGCATCGTACTCGTGGTCGATCACAGGGTACTTGTTGCTGAGGAAAGGCGATGCCTCCTTGGCGCGGAGCGGCTCGTTCGTGAAGATCTTAGAGACAGGCCTAGTGGAGGAGAAGGCGCGTGTCTGGGGACGAAGGGCTCGGGAGAACTGCAGCGGTGCATGTCAGCCACAGCAGCAATGAGAGGTCGGCACAATGAAGTATCGATTGACGTCGATGCAATTGAGGCGGGCGGCGGCACGCGGGTCAGACACACCCGCACAGCACTGGGAGTGCGGGAGCTCGCGGGGCTGCGGTGCTGCGTTCGGAGCTGGGGTAGGTGACGAGGGGGGGAGGCGGGGAAGGCGTACCTGTGCCGAGGCGGCCAGCTGCCGCAACCTAAGGGCGGACATTTTGGGGATGGGGGAGAGTGGAGTGGTGATGGTGTTGCAAGAGCGTATGCGAGCGGTCTTGGTACCGATGCGCTAGCCACTGCATCCGACTGTCCTCGCTTTCGTCAGGAAAAAAGGTAGGGCGCTGATTGGCTGTCGGCCAACCTCGGGATTGTGACCAAAAGCCTCGAGCCCGCGATCCGCGCGCACAGTCGTGAGATGGACCATCCGACCCGACAAATCTTCGCCGCCACCAGTGACAGTGGACGCAATTCTAAGCTCGCCCGCGCATCGACGCTGGACTTGTGCCTCAGTATCGCTGGACCACCTGTGCGCTGCGCCCCATCAGCAATGGCAGGCCATCGGCATGTGAATGCCGAACTGCTTGGCCGAGGGCGATCAGATGACCGCGCGCTCTGCCCCGCGAAATGCACCACCTTCTTCATATGATCCCGTTGCCAATATTCAACGTTGGCTTGACTACGAGCAGCATCTTACACTGAAACCAATTGATGTAGTCCAGAGCTCGGACTCGCAACTGGTGTCACGATCTCGTAGTCGCTCTTCCAGATGAAAGTCGGAGCTTGCCAGAATTGCCCCCGAATCATCTCCCGCGTCTGGCCGTACCCACCCCCGCGGGTATACGTTTACCCCATCGTGCTGAGCGACGAAAGACTGATCCCGCTCTCTAGCATATTCTGAGAGGCTTCGCAAACGTGTACAACTAGTCCATGAGTAGAACCGAGGTTGAATGAACCGCGTTATGAGTTTCTCCACGTCTGAGGACAGAATGGTCCTTTCAACGCCGTCCTGAAAGCCTGGATAATTCTGTAATCCGTGCTCAGCCTGTCAGCAATCGCACACATGTTGACCACTTGCAGCTAACGTCATTTGGCATTCCATTGAGTCCATGACCTTCTCATTGAGTATCTTTTTGGTGAGTGTGCGCGCGTCTTTTAGCTACGTCACACTGAAAATGGGGGAACATGAAAACGCCATGTAAGCTACCACCAGCCCATCATGAATTGAGATGCTAAACCAGACTAAAGAGAGAAAATAACCTAAGCAGAGGGAGCAAGGTCCTTCTTGAGGGTGCCAAGGTATTGCCTCTTCTCCGCCGGGGTCTGGTAAGCACCGTGACCGAACTTGGACGAGGTGTCGATCCACTTGAGCTCGACCTTCTCGAGAGCCTTGCGGCTGGTGTGAGTGAACATGGACTTGCGGAGAGTCACGACCCTCTTCTTGGTACCGGGGACGGAGCCCTTGAGGAGAACGAAGTCGTTCTTGACCTCGCCGTAGCGGACGAAGCCACCAAGACTGCCAACTTATCAGAATTTATTCCACTAGGCAGGGAGAAAGGAACTTACGGAGTGATGGTCTTCTTGGAGACGTCGAACTCGGTCGAGGCGTTGCCAGCATCCTCACCCTTACCAATGCGGTAGATCTTGTGGTTGACCGAGGTACGGTGGTGGTAACCCATCTGACCGGCACGGGCAACGGTCCACTGGACGTGGGACGGGTGCCAAGCTCCAATACAGGCGACCTTGCGCAGACCCTTGTGGGTCTTGCGAGGAAGCTTCTTGGTGCCCCACCTGGAGGTGACACCGTTGAAACCGTGACCCCTGGTGACGGCGATGACGTCGATCACCTCATCCTGCTCGAAGATGGAGCCGACCTCAATGGGCTTCTCGAAGAGGCCGTGGGCGAAGTCAACCTTCTCGGCAATGCTGCCGCCGTTGACCTGGACCTCCATGAGGTGGGCCTTCTTCTGCTTGAGAGGAGTCTTGGAGACTTGGGTGTGGGCGAGAACGCGGACGACGGTGCAGTACTTCTTGATGCGCTCGAGCTCGCGGGTGATGGACTTGCCGCTGTTCTCGGAGTACTGCTTGGCGTACTTGGTGAACGCCTTCTTCTTGCTCTTGTACCAGTTCTTGTAGAACCTCCTCTTGATCTCATCCGACAGGTGCTCGGCCCAGACGGTGGTGAGGGAGCGGAGACCACGGGGAGTCTCGATGTAACCAACAACACCGATGGCGATCAACTAAAATTCGAATCAGTAAACAAGGACTGATTGGAAATTTTCCATGGGTTGCATACCGGAGGAGTCTCGACGACGGTGCAGGCCTCGACAACCTCCTTCTTGTGGAGCTTGGCGCCAGGACGGTCAAGGTCACGGACGATGGTGGTCATACCGGCCTTGAAGCCCATGGTGGCGGTGAGGTGGACGGGCTTCTTGGCGTCATCCTTGGGGAAGCTGCGATAATTTGCACGTCAGTTATCGTGATCGCGCGACTGCGGGTGCAGTAGAAAACGTTGCGAAAATCGTGCCCCGAGGTCCAAATGGCACGCAATTGACTTCGGTGGGGGTTGTTGAAAGTGCGTCTTTCCCGAATTGTTCGTTCTCCTTGTGTGCAGTCTCTTCGCCCTCCGTCCTCCTCTTGCTATGCTGGTTGTCGAACTCGCAGAAACAGCGCTTGGGAGTAAACGTACCTCTTGACCTTTCCTCTGTGGCGGGAGGCCCTCTTGCGGGGCAGGAAGGCCAGCGAACCGTGGCGAGGAGCCTCGTACTTACGGTGGGACATCTTTGCGACGGTGTCGAGGGAGGGTTGTCGTCGTCCTGTGTCGTCTCACTGAGCAAGAAGAGAAGCCTGTGGGCTTTTTCGAGCTGGTGGGAGTTAGGCGAAAGGCGCTAGTGCGAGCCGAGGATAAGCCGCCCGGCGCGCCACACGCCCTCCAAGGCATCGAGGCACCGGGCAGCTAGCAACCATGCGCGATGGTGGGACAGCCTTTGTACCTAAATCCTTTGCAGTGTGCTTGCAAGTTGCCCCAAATCTGTACATCACAGCGGATCTCCGACCCCGCCCTTTTCTCCACGCCATGTACGGCCTCCCCTCGAAGCTCATATTTGCACATTTGCACCAAGCAAGGAGAATGGAGTATGATGGCAAAATGAATGCAGTGAGCGCCGCGTACGCTACAAAGGAGGGTCCGCAATTGGACCGGCCTTCAGTATGCAGGCGGATGTAAGACCCTCTGCAAGACACCGTCTGACCTCCCCATTGACCGCGCTGCGCGTGTGCGCATTCTTACGCACCCAACGCCGAGTTCGCCCTGCCCTTTGCTACCAATGAGGTCGTGTTGCTTGGAGGTAGGGGGTGAAGCAGCCGGCTATAGCATGCGAGTTCGCGTGAGCGTGTATAGGTCTGGTCAAGCCTCTGGCTAAAACAAGCGGCAACTATTAATTGGCCCGCGGCGCTGGCCACCAGGGTAGCTCCACAAGGGAAGCTCTCCTGCATGACGTGACCCCAGAAACAGCCCAGGCACCGTGGCTTATGTTCTGCAGCATCAGTCCATCGAGGTTGGTTGGTGTCAGGCCCCGGCGGCAATCGTGGCTGTCTGCGATTGTGGGCGTTCCTTTGACAGCCCGGCTGGGCAGCGCTGCTTTCATGCATGCGCCCAGCCCTTGCCTGGCTGCGGCCGCGGCAAGGCTTTGAGCGCGCCAGCCCAGCAGCAGAGGGGAAGAGATGGAGGATTTAAGGTACCAGCGCTGGCGGGAGTCATGCGGGCGACACCTACGTCATGCGCCGTGCAGCGCTGCCGCGCAACGCATGATCGGGCGGGCGACACAGCGGTCTGCATCGCCCTGTGCTGCTGTGCTGTCCGAATCATTCCTCAGTCGAATAAGCGGCGAGCGCTGTGAGGATTCATGCGCTGGCAAGCGGGCCTGTGTCAACCTACCCGCACGAGTTTGCTTGGCGTTCGGACTTTCCCAGGCTCCGGGGCTCGTCACCTCTGCCGCCCGCCTGGCTGTTCCAATGTGCGAGAACAGAGCCCCCGCTAACAACCAAACAATCACCACCCACCCCGACTATCTCCCGTATGTAATTGCCCACCGCCCGCCGTCGCCGCCTGCTCACCCCGCCACAGCTGGAGACTCGCTTCCCCACCGGCCGTGCCTCTTTGCCGCCCGCCCACTCCCCATTCAACGGTGACGCGCCCAGTCCTAGCCGGTTTCGTCCAGCCGTGCTCCGCGGTGACATCGTCTCAACGCCTGCAACACCACCGCTGATACCCTCCGAAGACCCCGCTGATCACACCCGCCCGCTCGCCCAGCCGTTGCGGATCCTCAACACGCCATCCTTTGCCCTGCTTTCGCTTGCTCTAGCCTGAGGCCTTGTTGGTGCAGCTTTGGAAAAGATGGTAGAAGCAGAGGGCAACCCGACCACTTGGAAGTTCACTCAGTAAGCGCCACCCCAGCCCAGCCCCATTGCCGCCCGCACACCCGCCTGGTTTGGCCCGACGCTTCGCACTGTCGCCTTGACCCGAGCCTATGGCACGGCCCTTCCACGAAGCTCCTCAGCCTCATACCATCCGCATGCCCGAAAACGGCGTTTCGAGCGACGGCTGACTGCGACGCCTCTAGGTGCTTCGGTGACAAGGGAGATGTAGAGGATATCACGGAAGGTGTGTTCGGCTGTTCTGCGTCCAAGCGCCCCACCCCCGCGCCCTCCATTGCGCGACGTACACCAACCAGAACTCGAGCTAACCATACGCTGGCTACAGCTGATATCATATCTACCGTCGAATTCGATGAGACGGGTGATTATCTCGCAACCGGTGACAAGGGCGGCAGAGTCGTCCTCTTCGAGCGGAATAGGACAGTGCGTTGATAGCTCTCGCCCCGCGCACACCGCATCTGCTGACCGGCGCAGAAAAAAACCTGCGAGTACAAGTTCCACACCGAGTTCCAATCGCACGAGCCCGAGTTCGACTACCTCAAGTCCTTAGAGATCGAAGAGAAGATCAACAAGATCAAGTGGTGCAAGCGCCAAAACCCCTCCCACTACCTGCTCTCCACGAACGATAAGACGATAAAGCTATGGAAGGTCTTTGAGAAGTCCCTCAAGGTGGTGGCGGAGAACAACCTCTCTCAGGAGTTGACCCCGGCGGGCGTCCCTAGCGCTGGCGGCCCAGTCCAGCGCCCCGCGTTCCGCTCTGCCGCCGATCTGAAGTTGCCGCGCCTGACGCTCCACGACACAGTTGTCGCCGCCGTGCCTCGCAAGACCTATGCTAATGCCCACGCATACCACATCAACAGCATATCCGTTAATAGCGATGGTGAGACCTTCATCAGCAGCGATGACTTGCGTATCAACCTATGGAACCTCAACATCCAGGACCAGAGCTTCAACATTGTCGATATCAAGCCGGCGAACATGGAAGAGCTCACAGAGGTCATCACGGCTGCGGAGTTCCACCCGGAGTCATGTAACCTGTTCATGTACGCCAGCTCCAAGGGCACGATCAAGCTGGCGGACATGAGAGAGAGTGCGCTTTGCGACCAACACTCGAAGCGTGAGTTTTGCGGGAGCCCCTAAGAGCGCAATGACTGAACTTTACCGCAGAATTCGAGCAGGAAGAAGACCCCCAGTCGCGCTCCTTCTTTTCCGAGATCATCTCATCTATCTCCGACGTGCGATTCTCGCGGGATGGCCGCTACATTCTTTCTCGTGATTACCTCACTGTGAAGATCTGGGACGTGAAGATGGAGAACAAGCCGATCAAGACCATCCCTATCCACGAGCATCTCAGGCCGAGGTTATGCGATACGTACGAGAACGACAGCATCTTCGACAAATTCGAGGTTGTCTTCTCAGGCGATGCGAAGAACGTGATGACGGGCAGCTACAACAACAACTTCATGATCTACCCCTCTGACCCTGACAAGGAAACGGAGGTCGTTCTGCAGGCAGACAAGTCGGCGTTCAAGGCGAAGAAGGTGGGTATTCCGACGCCGATGGGCGGCAATGCGGCGACGAGCCCGACGGGATCGAGTAAGAAGGGTAGCTCGAGGGCGGGAAGCCCGGCAGCTGGCGCCATCGGCCCCGGGCAGAGGATGAGGAAGGAGACGGATGCGGATCAGATCGACTTCAACAAGAAGATCCTGCACATGAGCTGGCACCCGAACGAGGACAGCATTGCCATCGCGGCAACCAACAACGTAAGTCTGGACCAGGGCAAACGCAAGGTAGCAGCGGCTGATGTGACTCGCAGCTTTTCGTCTTTTCGGCATTGTAAGAAGAGCAATGGGCTCATGGAGGAACATTTGGGAGGCGTTCGCCCGACCGCAATCTGCTCTTCCTCACTAATCCAGCGCCTAATTTCGTCGTACTCAACGGTGCAGCTAGATAGCATTCTCATGATGTCGATGAGCCAAGACTGTAGAGCCGGAAAGGTGGGCGCATCGACACAGACGTCGGAAATGAAATGTAAAAGGACTAGTCCACGAGACATGGGTGTTGTTTGGTGCTTTGCCGTGTTCAGCCGTGACTTTGGCGGCTTGTGACGACCAGAGATTGCACGAGTGCGTCGCACGTGTGCCGCCTTTCCTACGGAGCGGTCCCTGGCGCACGCGATCGCCCAGCAGTTCAGCTGCGACGGCGATCCTCAGCCCTACGGCCAGCCGAGAAGCCAAGCGGCACAGGGGTGTGCGTGAGTCGTTGACAAGTCCGTGACACGGTTGCCAGATCGACCTGCGACAAGCTTTCGCCGCCGCCAGGAGAAAGCCTTCGCCAGCCGACGATGATAGTCTAAGTGAACACCAGTTTTCCCGAAGTACTTGCGCCGCGCGTCTTCAGTACCCAAGTTGCTTGTTGTCCTTTCAACTCGGCTTGATCCACACAGCGGCCATCCCACTGACACAATAGACCACCGTGCGGCCACGCCTCCGTACGTCGGACCCCAGTCAACCGTTTGACAGCCGCCGTTGACTTCTGACATCGGGTCTTTGCAGGCCATTCCGCTACTACCTTTTCATCCTTCATCTTTGTTGCAGACCGCAACTGTCTTTTCTACGGCGATCATGATACCTCTCGCACCAGTGGGCATCACGGGCCTTATTTTCGGTGGCTGCTGCTCCAATGTAAGACTCCACTTGACATGGTTCAGCAACTACGACTGACTTTGCAGTAGGTGTATGCGCTTGAGGCTATCGTCAAGTAAGTGCTTTTGTACCCCATTGATCCAGCCAGAGCTCACACCAAGAAGACGGGAGCCGGACAGTGGCCTCCTGATCACACTTGGGCAATTCGTTCTTGTATGCCTTGCAGCGTTTCCGTCGCAATTCGACCCCAGCCGGCCCTTTTTTCTGAAGAGGAGCCCGGTGCCGTTCCGAAAATGGTTCATGAGCGCATTCATGTTCTTTGCTGTCAATATGCTGAACAATTGGGCGTTCGCCTTCCGCATTTCCGTGCCGGTGCACATTATCCTGCGCAGCTTTGGCAGCGTGACGACCATGGGTGCCGGATGGCTTCGTGGCAAGCGCTATTCTACCCTGCAAGTTTTCTCGGTGGCGATGCTCACAGTTGGCGTGATCATCTCCGCGTGGGCTGATGCTACCAGCAAGGTGCGGATGTAGAGTTGCGAGTCTTCTTTAGAGCCCCAGGCTGACCAATTGTTGAAGGGAAAACCCATGAGCACGTCCGGGATCAACTTCACGGACGCATCTTTTGAGGCAGGGCTCGTCATCCTTCTCGTGGCGCAGCTGCTGTCTGCGTACATGGGCGTTTATGTGCAGGAGATCTACGAAGAGCATGGCAAGCATTGGGATGAGAACCTTTTCTACTCCCACCTGCTCAGCATCCCCATGTTCCTCCCGCTCCAAGGCACTCTGATGTCGCAATACACCCGGCTTGCCTCGTCGCCGCCGCTCTACCTTCCTTCGTCGGTCTCGTCCTCGTTGCCGCTCCCGGCGGCAAAGATGCTGGCATCGGTTCCCGAATCCGTCTTCATGCTGCTGCTTAACTCAATGACGCAGCTTCTCTGTATCACCGGGGTGAACCTGCTCAGCGCAAAGTCCTCGGCAGTCACGGTCACCATTGTGCTCAACATCCGCAAGCTAGTCAGCTTCCTGGTCAGCATTTGGCTGTTTGGCAACAAGATGGGCGGCCAGATGATGTTTGGTGCTTTTGTCGTCTTCGGAGCAGGCGGTCTGTATGGCTGGGAGACGACGGTTGGTATCAAGAGGAGAAAGGAGGCGGAAAGGCTGAAGGAGCTGAAGGGCAAATGAAGGCCAACGGTTCAACATCACAAAAGACACAGGGGTGGAGAGCGGTGGAGAATAGACATGGCCGCCACAGGAACTTCGATAGGAACTCAAATGCAACGCTAGCCTACACGTATATCCAGAGAAATTCCACGCCAATTCTCTCCCTATTACATCAAATGATGTGGCGTTCGCCCCCTTACGTGCCATTGACATGCAGGCACGGACGGAGACATTCCCGGTAAACAATCGCTCTGCGCGTTCAAACAAAAGCATTGACACGATCCATTGAAGGCGCGGTTTGGTATGCAGCGCAGATGAAACTGGAGGCAGTTTGATTGCTGCAAACCGCGCGTCACGCATGCTCACAGCGGCGGTGCGGGGGAGCAGAGGTCCCGCAGGCAGCGCCCAGCTGCGCCCAGCAAGAACAGCGGCAGCGCTGCAACGAGCTTTTAGAGCGGTCGCGAGACACGGCAGCTGGCGATTGCACGCCTTCCAGCAGGCGGGAGCGCATGAGCAGAGAGCGGGCGCATGGGCGGAGGAGAGAAGAGGGGACGCGACGCGCACCCCCCTGCATCCCGTCAGCCACAGGGCTCCACCGGCCGTCTGAACACCTAGCTGGAAGACCAACTGTACCACCGGCATCCAAATTCTTTCGACACCACACTCCTTCGCCGCCCAGCTTAAGAATTGCCCTCGCCCTGAGCACCAGGTAAGCAGCCGTGCAGCCGCCCGCCATGCCGTCCGCGCAGCCCGCTAACGTCCGCTTCGCCCAGCTGTCCTCTGCGGCTCGCAGCCTGTGGCCCACCATGAGCTCGCAGCCACCACCCTCCACCCTGAAGCACCGCGGTCGCGACAAGAAGCGCCCGGCCACCCCGACCGCCGACAGCCCAACAGACAACAAGGTCAATGGCGCCTTCCAGCGCGCCCAATCCGAGGCCCAGGCCAAGATTGGTGCCGAGTGGGACTACAAGATCGCCTTTGCCGTCGTCACCCTGCTGGGCTTCTGGACGCGCTTCTGGGGCATCACCCACCCCGACCAGGTCGTCTTCGACGAGGTCCACTTTGGCAAGGTGAGTTTCCCCCCTCAATGCCGCCCTGCGAGCTTGCCTGACCCCCGACTCCGCAGTTTGCCTCGTACTACCTCCAGCGCACCTACTTCTTCGACGTCCATCCTCCCTTCGGAAAACTGCTCTTCGCCTTCGCCGGCTGGCTCGTCGGATACGATGGCTCGTTCCTCTTCGAGAACATTGGCGACTCGTACGTCACGAACAAGGTTCCCTACGTGGCCTACAGAGCTCTGCCCGCCACCCTGGGCGCCCTCACCGTTCCCACCGTCTTCCTGATCATGTGGGAATCTGGCTACAGCCTTCCGGCTTGCTTGACCGCCACCGCCCTTGTTCTCTTCGACAACGCCCACGTTGGCCAGACCAGGCTCATTCTCCTGGACGCGACCCTGATCTTTTTCATGGCTCTCAGCGTCCTTTGCTACATCAAGTTTTACAAGAACCGCCACGCTGCCTTCTCCCGCAAGTGGTGGAAGTGGTTGATTCTGACGGGCGTCTGCCTGAGCTGCGTTATTTCCACCAAATACGTCGGTCTTTTCACCTTCTTTTCCATTGGAGTTCCTGTTGCCTTTGATCTCTGGGATCTGCTGGACGTCAACCGGAGGCAGGGCTCTCTCTCTCTCCCCGACTTTGGCAAGCACTTCGCCGCTCGCCTGACCGCCCTCATTATCATCCCCTTCTTTTTGTACCTCTTCTGGTTCCAGGTCCACTTCTCTATCCTCAACCGCTCCGGCCCTGGCGATGATTTCATGAGCCCTGACTTCCAGGAGACGCTCAGCGACAACGTCATGACCATGCAGTCCCTCAGCATTGACTACTTTGATTCCATCACCATGCGCCACAAGGAGACCAAGGTCTACCTGCACAGTCACGTGGACCGCTACCCTCTCAGGTATGACGATGGTCGTATTTCCAGCCAGGGCCAGCAGGTTACCGGCTATCCCCACAACGACACGAACAACCATTGGCAGATTCTTCCCGCCACTGCTCCTGTCGACCAGCCGCGCCGCGTTAAGAATGGTGATCTGGTCAGGTTCCGCCACTTGGTGACCAACACCATGCTCCTGACGCACGATGTTGCCTCGCCGTACTACCCGACCAACCAGGAATTCACCGCTGTTGACATGGAGGCTGCCAATGGCGACCGCTTCAACGACACCGTCTTCGAAATCAAGATCGAGAACGGCAAGCCTGGCCAGGACTTCAAGAGCATGGGTTCGCACTTCAAGCTCATCCACTGGCCCACCAAGGTTGCTATGTGGACCCACACCACACCTCTGCCGGACTGGGCCTACAAGCAGGCTGAGATCAACGGTAACAAGAACATTCAGCAATCTAGCAACGTCTGGTATGTGGATGAGATTCCGTCTCTCCCTGTCGACAGCGAACGCCGCGTTCAGGAGCCACGGAAGGTGAAGCAACTGCCTTTCTTGAAGAAGTACTTCGAGTTACAGCGGGCTATGTTCTTCCACAACAACGCTTTGACCAGCAGCCACCCGTACTCCAGTTTCCCCATCTCCTGGCCTTTCTTGCTTCGTGGTGTCAGCTTCTGGACGGAGAACGACACGAGGCAGCAGATCTATTTCCTCGGCAACCCGCTTGGTTGGTGGCTGGCTAGCAGCCTGCTTGCCGTCTTCGCTGGCATCATCGGAGCCGACCAGCTAGCTCTCCGCAGAGGCGTCGACGCCCTTGATTTACGTATGTTTTTTATCCTCATGTTTCAGCCATCTTCAGCTAACTTTGAGTAGGCACGCGCTCCCGCCTCTACAACTCGACTGGTTTCTTCTTCTTGACGTGGGCGGCGCATTACGTGCCCTTCTTCATCATGGGTCGTCAGCTCTTCCTTCATCACTACTTGCCTGCACACCTGGCATCAGCGCTTGTGACGGGAGCTCTTGTTGAGTTCATCTTCAACATCGAGCCCCCGACGGCCGAGGAGCTGGAAGCAAAGAAGAAGAAGGGTACGGCGCGCAGCTCTCGCCCCGTCCGCGAGAGGCTGGCAGGCCAGAACATGTACGGCACGTGGGCAGCGACTGGCGTCATTGTGGCAGTTCTCCTCTGGAGCTTCTTCTTCTTCGCCCCGCTCACCTACGGCAAGCCTGGCCTTGACGTGCCTCAGGTCCTTGCCAGGAAGTGGCTCAACTATGACCTGCACTTTGCCAAATAAAGTTGCCGAGTTTCTGTCGGTAGTAGAGGTTTCGCGGGAGTTGAGGTTGATGGAGTCAGTTGGGGGTTGGATGGAAAGGTGTGCACAATCGTGATTCGGCTTTCGGCCACAGACTTATCTCCTTTAACTATGGCCTCTGATTGCCGGGCAGTTCTGGGCATGCTATGGATGCTATATTCGTTTGTGTACACAGTTATCAATAAAGAAGCTTGAAACGAATGCGCGTACGAGCATCTGGACGAGTAGGATAGATGCCTTTTCACGAGGCTCGTGCCGGTGCTTGGCAGGCATGTGGCATGTGGCTGGTGACGTGGTGGCTGGAGCTTTACTAACACCCCGCGTCATCCAAGCTTCCCTAAGCTGCCACCCGTCTCTGCCGTTGTCCCGCCTTCGTTCCCTGTAGCTTTCAACTGCCTCCTTCCCCCATCCAGTCAGAGTCGTCAGTGCTGCCTAGTCGATACTTGCCGGCGCCCGCGCCAGCCACGCACGCCGTCATCTATGCCCGGCTACGACATCCGGGCATACCTTTCCAACGCATCCGCGTCTGTCGCGAATCCCGCTTCGACGGCGACGGCGGCGACGACGACGGAGCAGCAGCAACAGCAACAGCAGCAACAACAACAAGGAACGACCACACCCCGCACGCCCCGCCGCTCGTCATCTAATTCCTCCACCCTCCCGCCGCGGAGGCACCTGCCTTGGCTGCACGGGACGAAAACGCCGTCGACCACCACCACCATATCACCGCGCACGCCTCGAACCGCTCGAACCGTTCGAATCAGCGAAGGCGGCGGCGGCGACGACGTTGATCTGACGCCGACGACGACGACGACGACGACAGCTACTACTGCTACTACCACCATCACCACGACCACGCCCCGGACCGCCGAGCGCGTCGACGACGAGAGCGCCAGCGCATACGCCATGTCGGCGAGCACGTCGCGATATCGCACGCCGCGGCGGGGTCGGGGCGGCGACGGGGGCGGCCGCTTTGCTTCCTCTTCCACGACCACGACCCCCGCCACCACCACCACCACTCCCCGTCGCGGGCGTTTCTCGAACAACACGTGGTATTGCGACTGCAACGCTGCTGCTGCTGCTGCCGGCGAGGGAGGTGGTGGGTCGTCGTCGTCGTCGTCGTCGTCGTTGCAGCAGCCGGCGAGCAGGTTCAGGGTGAAGAAGGAGGGGCCGAATAAGGGGAGGTGGTTTTATACGTGTCATCGGAAGCCGGGGGATGAGAGGCGGTGCGGGTTCTTTTTGTGGGAGGAGGAGGCGAGGGCGAGGGTGGCCGAGGGGGCGGGCAGTGGTGTTGCGGGTGCGGGTGCGGGTGGTGTTGGGAGAGGGAAGGCGGCGAGTGGTGGTGGTGGTGGAGATGGTGGTGGAGGAGGGGCGGCGGCGGCGAAGAGGAAGTGGCAGGAGGAGGTTGATGGGGAGGGGGATACGACGGAATATGAGGATGGAGATGAGGACGAGTATGGGTGGGGTAAGGATGTGGGCGTGGAGGATGCAATAGGGAGGGTGGTGGATGCAGTGAGCACGCCGTCGAGGAAGGTGTTGAAGAGCAACGCAGGTGCGACGCCGGGGGGTTCTAACGCGATGGTGATGACGCCCGTCTCGCAAAGGGGCATTGGCGGTGCCATAGCGACGCCTAAGTCTGTGAGGATCAGTGCTGCAACGCCATCCACGAGGGGCGGTGGTGACGACGACGATGCTGGCGTCGCCCTCGTGCCGGACGTGCTGCGGGTGCTGAACGAGAACGGCGTCGATTTGAACGACGAGGCTGGCGAGGCGCTGCAAACGGTGCTCAAGTCGCATACGCTACGCATGCAAGGCCTGATTAGGGGCAGGGACATCTCGCGCCTGGCAGTGCGCGAGAGGAATGCGAAGATTGGACAGCTTCAGGCGCGCGTGACGGCGCTCGAGGCGGAGCTCGAGACGCAGAAAGCCGTGATAGCGAACTTGAACTGGCAGAAGGAAACGGGCCACTTTGACTGAATGTTGGCTAATACAGATGAAGAGCTGGAATGTGTCTTGTCTGGACGTCTTTTTGTCGACATTCTTCTTCCCACGCATCGACATCCGTTTTCAATAGTTCGACTGCGTTTTCTGCAGACACGACATGCGTCCAGGCTATGGACCGGATTCGGAAAGACCACCTCGCGTGGCGATCGCCGAGGCATGCGAGTGTAATCGCCGGGACGCCAGTCTCCGAACCCGTCGGGCATTTCCCACACCTTCTTTTCCTCGTCTTGGGAAAGCTCCTTGTTAGACGATAGCACGATACCCGGTGGTTTTGCCGGTTTTGATGACAGGATCTTCGGAGGGTTGGCTTCTTGTTGCACGCGCTACATAGATCCAGGGTTTTGAAACGCTGGCTTGCTTTTTTCTGTCTGCTTCGCGCAGAGGCAATCACGGTCACACACACCGCTGTCCTTGCTGCCGTTGCTTTTTCTGCCAACGACGTCACTTCTGCACCGCGATCGAACAAAGGAGCACGAGAGAAGTGGGATAGAACACGTGCGGTATATGCAAATGCCCTATGCCACACCCCTTGCAGTCCTTTTCTTACCTCATGCCGAGTCATGATGGCTTGTCTTATGTAAATTGGCCATGGTCACCAAAGCCAGTCGGCAGATATCACAGGGGATGGCGAGCTGCGGTGCGAATGCATGGACGGCAGCGAGGTTTGCTGTGTAAGCATGCATGCGTTGCAGATCAGTGCCGGGCTTAGAAATTATTTACGGCTCAGCGGACGGTTGTGTCGCCATAAGCACTGTGCCGTCGAATGTCCTGACCATCTCTTTTGCTTTTTCTCACTGCTGTGCGACGCAGGGCGGAGTTGACGCATATGAGGCGGGCTTGCCACGGATGTGTAAGCATGCATGCGGTTGAGAGTCGGGTGGGCTGATGTTGCCGCAGCAGTATGGATCCGTGAGGTGTCGGGTTGGACCAGAATAATGATTATGAGCGAAGAAGCGGACAGATGGCCAGCAGGGGAGCCGAAGACGCGCGGCAGAACGTACAATGGCGGTTGTTTATTCCCGCCAACCACAGGGCATCACAAGACAAGGGCGGTCTGGGAGGTCGGGTGCTAAGCATTGCTAAGCTTTTAGAAGGCGACGGATCTGTGGGGCAAGGAAAGGGGGCACGTTTGGCGCGGGTGCGTGTTTGACGGCGGCGATTGGCTGGATGTGGGGAAGGTCCGCGTAAGACTTGGGTCCCCCCGTTGGTGACGAAGCTCCTGTTTCATGCCAACGACACGGTTTCATTTAGCGGTGCAGCAGACGGGCGACTGACTGAGGCGGCGAGGCGCAACGGGACATGCATGGTGTGTATGTGTGTAGGTGTGTATGTAAGTGTGTATGTATGCTTGGATGCTTGGATGCTTGGATGCTTGGATGATTGCCTCAAAAGAGCCGCACGACGAGCCGCCGATATGGCGGATGCGGGTGAGATGTGAGATGGAGACGGGGAGTGCCGATTGCCGGCACAGGGTGCGCGTGGGCGGGTTGGCGGGTTGGCGGGTTCACGTTGGCGGTTGGCGGGTGCCAGCGGAGGGTGTCAGTTTAAGCAGCGGCCGGGGAGTCGATTGGCTGTGGTCGGACGCAGCTGACGTCAGGGATTCCCTCGTCTTCGCTTCTTCGCTCGCTCGGGCGTCGGCGTGAGCGTTTTGTGCGGGCCGCCCGCCAAGTCCGCACAAATGGCGACTGCGCATGATGAGCCGCCTAGCCGCGTGGAATGCGCCAATGGCTGCGGTGCGCTTTTTGTGCGGAAGCCACTAGTGAGAAGAATGGCGGGATCCAGTGCGCCTGAAGAACAGCCCTTTCCGGCTTAAAATCACCCCAGCCCGTCCCGATCAACTGGCTGCCCGCGTTTCACACTACCGTCTGCTCCACCCGTGTGCGGTTTCACTTGCATTCCTCCTCCCCAGCCACGGCCGCCTCCTTCGTTGCCGCTTCCTGCTTGCACGTACAAAAATGGCCGCGCCCAGCCCTGGGCACGCCCACCACGGCCCTTGTCGTGTCAACACGACTGTATTCATATCCAACCTGCACTGCCCCTCTTGCGTGACCAGCATCCAAGAGGCCCTGCAGACCCTCGACCCCGCCCCGGATTCCATTTCTCACAGCATCGTGTCACACTCCGTCACCCTCTGCCACGACCCCGGCCTGCCGGTCCAGCACATCTCCGACTCTCTGGAACTCGCTGGCTTCGAGGTCCACAGCATCTTCCGAGACTCCCACCCGGTCCACGCCCCCGACTCCTCTCCCGACGAGCTTGACGACAACGATGCCGAGTGGGAGAAGAGCCTAGAGCAAGCCGTCCGCCGCTGGAGCCAGTGGAGAAATAGCAGCAAGGTCCCCGACATGACGAAGCGCCAGAGGCACATCCAACAGTGCGCGCAGTGCGCCGCTGAGTGCGACCCTTCCAAGAAACATGCCGCTGGTTCGGCTCACGAGCTTGATGCTCTGCGCCTCGTCGACTCGGAGAAGGGCTTCAGTGTCGAGAAGCACAGCATCGACTCGGGCCTCTCCGGGAGATTCAGCCTCGACTCGGTCGTGTCCACTGCCCCCGAGTCGGCCCAGCTCTACCACGCCTCGATCGCCATCACCGGCATGACCTGCTCTGCTTGCGTCGGTTCCATCACCCGCGTGGTCGAGGAGCTCCCGTACGTTCGTTCCATTGCCGTCTCCCTCTTGACCCACAGCGCCTCGGTTGAGCTTGAAGCCAAGGACAACGTCGACGGCGTCATTGGAGCAATCGAGGACGCCGGCTTCGACGCCGGCCTCGACAGCATTGAAGAAATCCCGGACCGCAGGAAGTCTGTCCGTCCACCGGCTATCGACAAGTGGAAGGCCGTCATTTCCATCGGAGGCATGACATGTAGTGCCTGCACTAATGCCGTTACCGCCGGTGTCCAGCAGCTCCCCTGGGTCGAGTCCGTCAATGTGAACCTCTTGTCGCACAGCGCTACCGTCATCTTCAGCGGAAAGGAAAACACAGACGCTGTCAAGGAGGCAATCGAGGACTGCGGTTTCGACGCAACCCTGGACAACGTGTCGGAGCTAGTGCAGGAGAAGCAACAAGATGTCCGTCGCACCGTCATGATCCGGATAGACGGCATGTTCTGTCACCACTGCCCGTCCAACGTGATTGACATCTTGAGCCGCGAATACATGGGTGCGGTGCAGGTCGAGGCCGTCCCCACCATCAAGGAGCCGATCCTGCAGATCAGGTACACGCCCAACCTTGGCCAGAACTTCACCATCAGGCACATCCTCAAGACCATCTCGGATGTCAACCCCGCTCTTGAGCCTTCGATCCACCACCCTCCGACTATCGAGGAGCGAGCGCGCCATTTGCATGCCCGTGAACGGAAGAGGATCCTTCTGCGTCTCGGCCTTTGCGTCGCTGTGGCCATCCCCACCTTCATCATCGGCATTGTCTTCATGAGTCTTGTGTCGAGCAAAAACCCTGCGCGTATGTTCCTCATGGAGCCTATGTGGTCGGGTGGTGTCAGCCGGACTCAGTGGGCCCTGTTCATCTTGGCCACACCTGTCTACTTCTTCGCAGCCGACACATTCCACAAACGAGCCATCAAAGAGGTTCGCGCACTGTGGCGACGTGGAAGCAGGACGCCTGTTCTTCAGAGGTTCTATCGTTTTGGCAGCATGAACATGCTGATGTCTCTCGGCACCAGCATCGCCTACTTCGCATCGATTGCCGAGCTTGGCCTCAGCGCCACCGGCACCGAACACGTCGACGAGGAGAATTACTACTTTGACTCGGTTGTTTTCCTTACCATGTTCCTGCTCTTGGGAAGATTCCTCGAAGCATACAGCAAGACCAAGACTGGGGATGCTGTGACTGCTCTTGGAAACCTTCGCCCCACCGAGGCCATACTCGTCGACACTGTCCAGATGAAGGACCAGAAGGTGAGCGTCGACCTGCTCGAGGTTGGTGATGTCATCAGGGTCCAGCATGGAAGCACGCCGGCCTTTGACGGCACCATCATGGACGCATCCGCCAAGTTTGATGAGTCAAGCCTGACGGGAGAAGCGCGGCTGGTGTCCAAGGAAGTTGGCGATACCGTCTTCGCCGGAACCGCGAACAAGGGCAGCCCGATCCAGGTGAAGCTGACGTCCATCTCCGGCTCTTCAATGCTCGACCAGATCATCAAGGTCGTCCGTGAGGGCCAGACTCGCCGCGCTCCCGTTGAGCGGGTTGCCGATATGATCACTAGCCACTTCGTCCCCGTTGTCGTCTCTATTGCAATCATGACATGGGTCATCTGGCTTTCGCTTGGGCTTTCTGGGGCACTCCCGCAAGACTACCGTGGCAACCACTCGGGCAGCTGGGAGCTTTGGTCTCTACGGTTCGCCATCGCTCTGTTCGTCGTCGCCTGCCCCTGTGGCATCGGTCTTGCTTCTCCGACGGCACTTTTCGTGGGTGGTGGTCTTGCCGCCCGGTACGGTATTCTGGTCAAGGGCGGTGGCGAAGCTTTCCAGGAAGCGAGCGCCCTTGACTGCATCGTCTTCGACAAGACTGGCACCCTGACTCAGGGAGGCGACCCTGCAGTTACTGACGCTGAGCTCCTGTCGCCTCTGCAAGAGGATGAAGTGTGCGGCCTTGCCAAGCGTCTCGAGGAGAGCAGCAGCCACCCTATCGCCACTGCCATTTCAACCTTCTGCGGCTCCAAGAAGATGCGCGAGTACCAAGTCATCGACATCCAGGAGATTCCCGGCAAGGGCCTCAAGGGCACATTCAAAACCGCGGACCCCGAGCCCCGGATCGTTGGAGCCATCATCGGCAACGAATCCCTCCTCGTCGACCACAACGTGCATGTCCCCGTCGCCACCCTCGGTGTCCTGGATGGCTGGAAGCGCCAGGGCAAGTCAGTGGCCCTCATGGCCACGTCGGTCTCTCCGGTTGACGGGCCCTGGACGCTCACGGCCGACTTCGCCATCGCCGATGCCCTCCGGCCCGAGGCCCGCGACACGGTGGCGGCGCTGCAGGCGGGCGGCATCGACGTGTGGATGTTGTCGGGCGACAACCCGACGACGGCGGTGGCGGTGGGCGCGCAGGTGGGCATCCCGAGCTCGAACGTGATCGCGGGCGTGTTGCCAGACCAGAAGGCGGAGAAGATCCAGTACCTGCAGAGGACGCTGGGCAGCAAGAAGAAGAAGAAGAAGAACACGGGGCGGGCGACGGTGGCCATGGTCGGCGACGGCATCAACGACTCGCCCGCGCTGACCATGGCCGACGTCGGCATCGCCATCGGCTCGGGCTCCGACGTGGCCATCTCGTCGGCCGACTTCATCCTCATGACCAGCTCGCTCGAGTCGGTCCTGACGCTCGTCCAGCTCTCGCGCAAGGTCTTCCGCCGCGTGTGGTTCAACTTCATGTGGGCCGGCGTGTACAACCTGTGCGCCATGCCCATCGCTGCCGGCGTGCTGTATCCCCTCACCACGGCGAGCGGCAGCCACATCAGGCTGGATCCTGTCTGGGCCAGCTTGGCCATGGCCATGAGCAGTGTGAGCGTCGTGTGCAGCAGTTTGATGCTGAGGAGTAAGATCCCTGGTGTGGGGTTCAGGCCGAAGACCTAGGAGGAACAGTAGGATCGGTGCGGCGCGGTGGTACAGTGGTGACTGGTGGCAAAGTAAGGGGTTTGGAGGAGGTTTTGTTTCTTCTTTTGCTTAGCGCTTTTTCCTGGTTGCCCTTGATAGGCGGTGTGGTTGATACCCCCTTGGATGATATCGTCTTTAATTCTCTCCCCTTCTTCCTCGACGTGGCTTCTCTGATTCCTGATCTGTGACCTTTTTGTTTTTCTTTTTTCCTCGCAACATTGGGCTTTGGGGCCGGTGAGCCTTTCGGTGGATCGATTGGTTGGCGTAGGGTAAAAAGTTTTTTTTTCTTTTTTTTTTTAAGTACAGGCAGTAGCCTTGTAGGCAGTATCGGATATGGTCTTACCGATAACCAAAATTGGAAGGCATTTGTCTAATGATATCTGTGTGGCGATATTGCGAGGCTGAGCAGCAGCGCCTGGATGTGCCCTTACTTTTGCTCCCAATGGCCCCGGTCGGTGGGGAGCACGCCCACTTTTATCTGGGAGGCTGCTGCTGCTGCTGTGCGGCCTCTGCAAGGAAGCTTTCCTGTCGGACGAAACACATGAAGAAATCGGTTGCGCGTTGCGGTATGACTGAGCATTGGGGTTTGGATTATGATTCGACTTCGCTTACCGGTTCGCCACCGTTTCTTGTATCTGGCGACTTGCATGGCGGATGCCCTTGCGCAAGGCTGAGCTGAACATGATGAGCAAAAATGGGAACGCGTGCTGTAGATGTTATCGTGCCTCGCCCGGATTCTGGCCCCCATGATAGCCTTTTCAATGAGTATATATATATATAAACCATATCTTCGTTTCCGTGGAGTTTTACGGTCCCAACTGCCTCCAGCAAATCACTGCCAGCATGAGCACGATAAACTTCGCCACCGGGTCCGCGGACGACGACATCTACATTGGCGTGTGGACCAACTGGGCCAGGGGCCGTGTCTTTGGAGCGACGCTCACCGTGACCAGCCGCGATGGCGCTCTCCTCGTCGCCTTCCTGGCTCTGTTCGTCAGCCTTGCCGGGAGCGGCCTTTGGAAGATTGCCTGCTTCGCCCTGCACCACGTCTATTCCACCGACGCACCCAAGGACGCGCTTCACCACCAACGCCAGGCAATCCTGCGCAACTCGGCCAATGGGACTTCCGGTTTGATCGGTTTCGTCCAGCTTCTCTGGGCGTGGCGTCACAGCAGCAGAGTGGACCGTCCTTATCGGCGAACCTTTCCCCTGCTGGCTCTCACGTTGGCCCTGGTGGGTGCGTTTGCAACCGCTGGCACCTTTTCGTCCAAGATTGCCACCGCCATGGGCCATGAGGTCCTCGTGTCCAGCGGCGGTTGCCAAATCACAGACTCCACTGGACACGAGGAGCAAGACTTGGAACTTCTATGGTACCCTTACATCGCTGGCCAGGTGGTGTCATCATCGAACTACGCTCTGGAGTGTTATTCGGACAAGGTGAAGGACAGGAACTGTCAACACTACATCAAGCCACGTTTGGAAAGCAGGATAGTGCGGAACGCAACATGTCCCTTTGGAGAAGAGGTTTGCCGTCTGCAGAACGGGAACCTTATCCTTGACACCGGCTACATGGACAGCCATTCGGATCTTGGCATAAACACCCCCTTTGGAGACCGCCTTCTCGTTCGAAGAGTGGTCAGCTGCGCGCCTCTCGCTGTCGAGGGCTACAAGGACCTCAAGCAGTACGACGAGCTTGGTCCGACAAACTATACGCGTTACTTTTACGGCCCTCAGTCTTTGGGGCTCCAGCACTCCAATAATTTCACCTTCCAGTATCCTGAATTTTCCAAAGAGGAATACTTCAACTCCTTCTACGACGTCGGAGATACTTCCTATAGGGGCGCGTATAGCATAGAGTACGTACATACATACCCCACATGTCTAGACAGTCGATCAGTCTAACACGGTAGTAAGCACTTGGAAGTACAGAATCATAAACGGCACGACGGACAACATTTTTTCCGACTGGGACCCTATACCTGCACTCAGATACTTGGATGCCGACGTCATGGTTTTCTTCCTGTCTGCCAACTGGATGCTCTTCAACGCCGAAGTCAACGATCCGTGGTACTCGGCGCACCGGAAAATCGGCGACGCGAACAATGGCGTAGGACAAAACCAGGACGACTCGATCCCGGTCATAGTCGCAGACGAAGCAGCTTCCCCACTGGCGTGCAAAGTCCAGCAACAGCTGTGCAATCCGAGCAGCAGCAGCGGCGGCGGCGACGGCAACCCCCGCTGCTCCCGCATGATGGGCCTATACGAACCCGTCGGCACCTCAATCGGGGATCTGGGGCTCAACGGCCGGCAGAAGGGGGCGCTGCTCAAGCACATCAGCGCCCTCCTCAAGCAGGGCTGCGACCACCTCTTCGAAGCCGTCGGCGTGCTCGGGCCCGCGGCGCTGATGTCCAAGTTCGCGGCCGACGCGCGCTTCCAGGGCCCGCTCCCGGACGACCAGTGGCAGCTGGACGTCGAGTACTGGCACAACACGTCGCTCGCCTTCCTGCAGGCCTACGCCGTCGAGGCCGCAAAGGGGCCGTCGGACCCGCGCATCGACAAGTTCGTCGTGCCGACCGACGACGACGACGACGACGACGACGACGCCGCGTGGAACGCGCTCTGCAGGAGCCAAAAGGTCCGGTCCGACGCCCACTTCAACTTCTCCGTCTTCTGGCTCTCCGTCACGCTCGGCCTCAGCGCCGTCGCCGTCGCCCTCTCCTGCGCCGTCGAGCCGCTCGCGCGCCGCGTCCAGCGGAGCAGCTGCCGCCGCGACGGCGCCGACCCGTACGCGCGCCTGGAGTGGGCGGCGAACGGCACGCTGCAGCTGCAGCGGCTCGCGCACGAGGGGCTGGGCGCCGGCGGCGTTTGGACGCGCTGCGTCGACGACGTGCCGGTCACGGCCGACGGCCGCGAGCGCCTCGCCGCTCTCGACCTTTCGGATCCGGAGCACCCGAGGCTGATGGAGCCGGTGAAGGGCTTGGACGAGGTGTTGGCTGGTGGTGGTGCTGACCGTGGCACGGGCTTCGGCGGCGTGGGGATCTAGAGGAAGACAATGAGTAAGAGAGTGGACGGTAGAGATGCCAGAGCATTGCAGTTGGGCGGCAGTCGGGCGGCAGTCGACAGCTTGTTGGTTGGTAGTCATAAAGTAAACGGCCATGTGCAACTGTCACGTACGACCATAGGTCGCAGAATATAGGGCTTCCCGTCCGCTCAGCCGTACTCAAGCTGCGAACCGGCCGATTAGTACTCAAGTGGGTGACCATTGGGGAATCCCGGCTGTTGTACGTTTTGTATTTCTTTTTTGGGTGAATTCTTTTGTGGGTTTACCGCACGGACGCGTTTGGGCACGAAGCGAAGGCAACAGCGGCGTTGCTCTTGTTCGTTCTTTTTTGGAGGTTGAATGTGAACTTTGCTTTTGATTTGGCGTTAGATACAGTAGGGTTGAAGTGCGGAGAACATAGGCTGCCTACTTTACAATTCGACACCAATATTCCAAAAAGAAATGTTTTACTGGACACGGTTTGAGATGGTTAGCCATCATGGAAGACTCCGTTGGTACCGGTCACGGCCTCAGAAAGCCAAGAAGGACCAGGTTTGAGAATGCAAAAGATCAACAAAGCAACGAGGGAGATGGCTCAGGGTGCGGTGGTTGGCATTGGATACTTATCGTCATTGGGAAATGTGATGTACGACTGGGCCAGGGTTCAATATTTCGGGTCTCAAGTGTAGAGGGTTGTGGATGGACTTGATATGTTCACTGTGGTCTCGAAGTGTAGCAGCTGGGAACGTGGGGCTTGGCCAACTGTTATGTCGGTGCTTTGACAGCAATTAATTTCTGTCTTCTCTATTTGCAGCAACGGTGGATCTCCTCGAAGTAAAACTTCAGGTCATCCGGATTGACAAACGGAGTGATTCCTGTACCGTGGGTTAGCTAAGACCAGATTTTAAGAAGCCGTACAAACTCGTACCGTGACCCAAGTTAGCGATCCAGCCCTGCTTGCCGCCGCCGAAGCCGCGCACCATTTCCTCCACGGTAGCAGTAATAGCCTGTCTGCTGCCATACAGGACACCGGGATCGGCGTTGCCCTGCACGACCTTACCCTTTGCCTGGGCAATCTTGTAGGCCTCAGCGGGGTCATGCAGCCAGTCAAGCCCAATCACGTTGTAGTTGGTGTCGCAGAGGTCCTCCAGCGCATACCAAGCACCCTTGGCAAAGACAGTCATGGGCACAGGCTCCTGGCCAAGCTCCTTCAGGCGCTTGGGCAGATTATCGGCGATGTGGTTCAAGTATGGCAGGGAGAAGACCTTGAAGGTAGTGGGCGACAGCTCGCCAGCCCACGAGTCGAAGACCTGGATCATCTGGGCGCCTGCGAGAACCTGCTCGGCAAGATAGTCAACGCACAGCTCGGCAATCCTCTGCAGCAGAGCCTTGCTCGCGTCGGGGTGCTTGTAGATCCACGTCTTGACCTCCTTGAACATCTTGCTGCCACCGCCCTCGACCATGTAGCTCATCAGCGTCCACGGGGCGCCGCAGAAACCGAGCAGCGGCACGCGTCCGGCGAGCTTCTTGCGCGTCATGGTGATGGCGTCATAGACGTACTGCAGCTCTTTCTTGACGTCGACCTTCCGGGCCATGATGTCCTTGTACTGTTGGTCGTCAGGCGAGCGGAGAGGGTCGGGGAAGTGCGGGCCCTTCTTGTCGACCATGACGACTTCCATGCCCATGGCCTGCGGGATGACCAGGATGTCGGAGAAGATGATGGCGGCATCGATCAGGCCGGCGAAGCGCTCAATGGGCTGGAGGGTCAGGGTCGAGGCGATCTCGGGCGAGCGACAGCACTCGAAGAAGTCGCGTCCGCCCTTGGCTTCATGGTACTCGGGCAGGTAGCGGCCGGCTGGACACGGGCAGGTCAGCGGCGGCGGAACGGGGTCCAGGAGAGAGAGAGTGTGTGTATGTGCTTACCCTGGCGCATCACCCACATGGGGGCACGCTCGACCTTTTCGCCTGCACGCGGAAGCTTAGCATGTGTTCGGGCCAATTGGGGCGGCTCTCGGACGCGGCTCACCCCGGGCGGTGCGCAGGATCAGGTCGTTCTGCAGAGGCGCGAGCTGGGTCATGGCGGCGGGATGGGCGGGCGGCGAGGAGTCGGTGCTGGTGGATGAAGCTCCCCGCGGTGGTGGGGTTGATGTGACTTTTTGGGCGGGTGATCGACGTCGGCTGGCTGGCAGCCGCACCAACGGCCGGCCGCCGCTGCCTGCCGGGGCTCGAGGGACCCAAGGGACCATCTTCTTCTCTTGCTCGAATTGCTGCCCGTTTCCTCGCCGTTCCTCTGCACCATGGGCCTGCGCCTGCGCCCAGTCCCTCTCAATGGCCTGTCGTCCCGTCGCCTGATCCGCGTCTCACTCCCACGCACGGTGCAATCGCGCTGCATCGCGTCGAGCCGGCGCCCGCGAGTCGCGCCGACTATTATTCCACGGCTCTTTGCCCGCGGGAAGAAGACGACTACTACTCTAGAGGTCAATGATCTGCCGCAGGGGCTCATCGGTGGCGCGCCTCTCCAAGACGACCCGGCCGAGGATGCGGGCCCTGCATATCCAACCGTCTTGCAGCAAGTGCGCAACAACATGCGCAAATTCGACCACTGTGTTGTCCTGACCCGCGTTGGCAACTTCTACGAGGTCTGCTGCGAACGCCTCCTGCATGAGAACGCTAGCGTCTGACTGGAGACTAGCTGTACTTCGAGCACGCTGAAGAATACGGGCCTCTCTTGAATCTGAAGGTCTCGCTGCGACGGAGCAGGCCGGGGCTTGGCCCCGTCCCAATGGTTGGTCTGTGAAAAGATACTGCCGTGCTTTCTGTTTGACAACTGTCTCGTAGGCCGGCTTCCCCTACTTTCAGCTCGACCGCTTTCTCAAGATCCTGGTCCAAGACCTCAACAAGTACGTGGCCATCAGCGAGGAGTTCCGCAATGATGCCTCTGCCAAGGTCAAGTCCGGTGGCCTTTTGTTCGACCGCAAAGTCTCCCGCATCATCACCCCTGGAACCTTGATAGACGAGAAGTTCATCGATCCTTGGGAGAACAATTACTGTCTCAGCGTGCACATTGAGCCAGAGCCCTCTGGAGACGAGAGCAAGCCCCCCGCCGTAGGTCTGGCCTGGCTCGATATTTCGAGCGGCGACTTCTTTACCCAGAGTACAACAATGGCCGGACTTTCGTCAGCCCTGGCCCTCATCGGACCCCGCGAAGTCGTCGTTGACAGCGCGCTAGTAGACCGCGGTCATGCGAGACTCGCCAACATGCTGGAGGAAGAGCGCCACGTCATCACCTTCCATCAACAGGACTTGGGAAGCCAAGTCCCAGATGATTATGCTCGCTCCGTCACCGAGGCTGTGCCTGGGTGTAACCTCTCAGCCTTTCCGCCCCTCGAGCTGGGTGCTGCTGCATTCCTCCTCGACTACGTGAACACTCAGCTCCAGGGCTCGAGTGTTGCCTTGCAGGCGCCAGTACGCCGCGAGGCAGATGAGTTCATGAGCATCGACAAGAACACTCTGAGGGCGCTAGAGCTGCGCGCCACTTTGAGAGAGGGAAAGCTCGAGGGCAGCCTACTGCACTCGGTTCGGAAGACCGTTACGAAAAGTGGCACAAGATTGCTGACACAGAGGCTCAGTAAGGTCCCCAACGCCACCAGCTTGCCCGCAAACTGATGGCCCGCCAGCATCCCCCTCCATGTCACTTGACACAATTAACGAACGGCTGGACCTCGTCGCCGCGCTGATCGACAAAGCGGCATTGCGTGAGAACCTGGTCGCGCTTCTGCGCCGGTCTTTCGACACGTGGCGGCTGGTTCAGAAGTTCTCGATAGGCCGAGGCGACGCAGACGATCTTCTGGAGCTATCAAAGACAGTCCAAATTACCAAGGACGTTGCACAACTTCTCCAGAATGAGACAAACGGCGGAGAGTCTTTCGACGGGCTGGTCCGTCGTCTTTCATTGGACCGCCCGGCCCGTCTGGCCAAACGCATCACGGACGCCATCGACGAGGAGGGTCTTTCGGAGCAGCACCGTATAGAAGACGACGAGGCGGCAGAAATGGCCGGCCTCGCCGTCGAGGTGCTCGCGCTGGAAGGCGAAGAAGTCAAATCCGGAAGCATTGCGAAGCGGGCCAAGGCTAAAGAAAGCACCAAGCCGGGCCCAAGCAAGGCTGTTGATACGAGTATGCCTGACGTTTGGATCATGCGCCGCAGGTAAGGGATGATTCCAAGAGCCTCGTGGTGCGTCATGCGTCGGCTGACTATCCAAGTGCGAGTACAACATTGACGAGACTGCATGAAGAACTGGAGAGACTAGCTCGGCAGAAGGATGTTCTTGGTGTTCGCCTGCGAGAGGCAACCGGTTGGCTAACCTGCTTTTCCGTCGTTGGGCTACGGACGCTAACCCACGCTTGCAGGAGCTCCGGGGCTGACGTTGCGGTGGACGCCCGGGCTGGGCCACATTGTTCACATCAAAGGCAAGGCCGGGAGCATAGCCGACATGGACAGCGTGCGGCCGGTCAGCTCGAGCAGGTCCACCCGTTCGTATCACGTCCCCGACTGGACTCATCTGGGGAACAAGGTGGACGACGCGAAAGTGCGCATCCGCTCCGAGGAACAACGCGTCTTCGGCCAGCTTCGAGCGGAGGTCGTCCGGAGCCTGGTCAACCTGCGGCGCAACGCTGCCGTCCTCGACGAGCTGGATGTGGCGTGTTCCTTCGCTACGCTGGCCGCGGAGAGAGGGCTGGTTCGTCCCAAGCTGAATCACGGGTACGTTTACCCAGCAATCTCGATCGGCTCGGCAGTGCTGACTGTGATAGGACCGCCCATGAGATCGTCGGCGGCAGGCATCCGGTGGTCGAAGCCGGCCTGTTGGAGCAGGGCAGAAACTTCACCTCTAACAGCTGCAACGTTGGCGATGATGAGCGGATACTGCTCATCACTGGGCAAGTTTCTCCCCACACCAGCTCGTATATGCTTTTTCCTCTAACGTCCGGGCAGGCCCAATATGGCGGGCAAAAGCACATTTCTGAGACAGAACGCATTGATTTCCATTCTGGCTCAGACAGGGTCCTTTGTGCCTGCAGTATACGCGGAGATCGGACTGGTCGACAAGATTTTCAGCAGGGTGGGTTCCGGCAGTTCGGTTTGATTGCGACGGCTAACATATCTCGCAGGTCGGATCTGCCGATAATCTTTACCAAGATCAGTCAACCTTCATGGTGGAGATGCTCGAGACTGCCGAGATCTTGAAGCAAGCCACCCCCCGGTCATTCGTACGCACCCCCCGCTGCTGTTGGCAAATATCCCGATGGCTCGCTGACAGGCAATTTGCACAGGTCATCATGGACGAGGTCGGGCGAGGCACGACGCCCGAGGATGGCATCGCAGTCGGCTATGCATGCCTGCACCATCTCTACCATGTCAACCGGTGCAGGGCGCTTTTTGCGACGCACTTCCACAGGCTCGCCGACATGACGGCCGGGTGGGAGAAAATGGGCTGCTACTGCACGGATGTGGAGGAAGGGGCCGACGGCACTTTCGCGTACGTGCACCGGCTTCGAAAGGGGGTTAACCGGAAATCCCATGCGCTCAAGGTGGCGCGGGTCGCTGGTAAGTTGCAAGCGGGGAGCTGCGCGCTGTGGGTTTCGGTGCAGCTGTGCCGGAGCCACCGCTAACGACCGGGCTGTAGGACTGCCGGATGAGGCCATCAAGGAGGCCGAGCGGGTATTGGAAGAGTTAAACATGTCGCCCTCCAGGTAGTGAGAGGTGAGCATTCCGAGACGGTCGCACAATGAGCTGTATCCCGTGCAGGGTCCACAATAGCCGTACGTACAGTTGTAACTCCAGGGCCGTGGCAGAGGCGTGCCACAGGGCGGCTCAGGGCCGCCGACTGGGTGCCTCTCTCACCCCTCCCCGGCTCTCAGCTGCTGTGCGATGGTTACGTGACTCAATAAAGGGACATCAGAGCCGGTGACAGACAGCTGATCGGCGGGAGGCGCTGGGCTATAGTGAGTGCGTAAACTCCATGTCATTCTGCTGTCTTAAATATATGTGTCGACCCTGGGCCTGACAACCGCCTTAAGTATCCCGTACTCCTCGACCTCGGCGGCCGCCGTTCGACCCTACATGTCACCTCCCCGCTGGCCAAGACGCTCAACAAGTCACCTTCGCAGCCGTGCCGGGACTCCTGCCGGCCTAGACAGCTACTTCTGCTGACCCACTCCCTTGCAACTTCATCAAGTCGCCAATCACTGGCCCCGGGCTCCGGCAAAACGAAACATTCCCGGCTCCCGCCACCCGCAAAAGCACGGTTTCCACCTGTTGCCCTTCGCCCACGGACACGGACACGTCGGCTACCGATCATGGCGGGCACAAAGCTCAATAACATTCGCTTTCCGGCCGGAGATGATGAATACCGCGCAGCTCGGCTGCGGTGCGCAATGGCGTGTCAGACATACAACTCGATGCCGGAGAACGCGACCGTGGAGCATCGATCAAGGCTCTGGAGAAAGTAAGGACGCCCCTGCAGCGCCGGTGTTGGAAAGGAAGCTTACAGAGGGTGCCAGCATTGTCACGACGGGGTCCATCACGCCTCCGTGCGAAGACGAGCTCGAAAGCGTCGGCGGGGGTGGTAGCAGCAGCCATTTCCGCAACAACCCGTTCGGCAAAGGTGCGCCGTACGTGAAGGCACCGGTGCACATCGACTACGGCACCAACCTCCGGATCAGGGCGTCGACGTTCATCAACCGCAACTTCACCGTCAGCGACACGCCGATCCTCCCCATCACGATTGGCGAGCGGTGCCTCATTGGACCCAACACGTCAGTGTATGCGGTTAGCCACCCTCTCGACTACCGCGAGCGCGCCGGGCCGCTGGGGGCGCCGAGCCTTGCCAATCCGGTGACGATTGAAGATGACTGCTGGATTGGCGGCGGTGTGATCATCATGTGAGTATCAGCGGAGCGTGGAGGCTCTCCTGCGGTGATTGAGCTGACGTGGTTGTCTTGTAGGCCTGGTGTGCGCATTGGAAGAGGCTGTGTGATCGGCGCTGGCAGCGTAGTGACGAAGGTAAGCAAGCATGCGGCGCGCGCCCAACCTGCAAGCACGCACAGCCCGGCAAGACGATCAGGTCCTCGACCAAATTAAGCAGCCAATCCCGGCGTGCTGTCACGTCTGCCCTGTTGGCTGTGCTTCTGGTCCACCACCAACAAGAGCGACCCTCCAGCCTGGTCACGGAATTCCGATCCGCGCGCCCCGTCCGCTAACATCTCACAGGACGTGCCGCCCGAACATGTCGCGTACGGCAATCCTGCGCGCGTCATTCGCAAGGTTACCGACGCCGCCGCCGCCGAATCAGCGCCCGCTCCGGCCAGGCAGATCTCATCCGCCCATCTGCCTCCCGATTCCGATGCAGCACCGCCCGCCAAGAGCGATCCGCCAACGGCCACATCCCTGGCCCAGCCCCCATCGCCCGCCTGCTCCCACTGCTCCCACTGCTCCCGCTGCTCCTGCTCCCCGGCCTCGTCGCCGCTTGCGCTGCTGACGGTGCTGCTCCTGCTCGCCCTGGTTGTTCTGCTGCTGCTGCGCGCCCACACGTAATCCGCCTTCTCAGACGCGCAGCAGCGCCTCCTGTCCCCTCTCACTCTCCCTCTCCCCTGCACCTGCACCGGCCTGCCAGCTCCGGTGGTGTGGTTACCATGCGCGCGCACACATGGTGCCGCCGCAGCCAACAGCAGCAGGCGGCCGCCACCGCTGGCTGGCCGCCTGCTACGGGTGCTTCATTCTGCTGCGTAACCATCAGAGACAGGTCACCTCGCGGCTGAGGTACCACACAGTCCGGCACGGACGCGCTGATGGTCCAGGCATGCTTGCAGATACTCAACCGCCCACCTTTGTCTTCCTCTTTTTTTTTCTCTCTTTTTCTTTTTCCTTACACCAAGGCGACTTTGATGGGGCTTACATCTCCTTCCTCTCTTCAGCAACAATTGGGACTTTGTCGGCGTCAGGGAGCAGTGACGAGTAATGTAGATTGACGCGTCTTCGGGCTCATCGGCTCTTTTCCCCCATGATGTTCTAGTGCCTCATTTCCTTTCAACGGTTTCTTGCTGCAGCGTGCGAAAAGGCGCGGAGGGGTTGCAACTGGGGCGTTCCAATATGGGGGTGAAGATTTTTCCAAACGCCGGAGCAATGATAATGACTTTTTCCTCACTCCATTCTACCTTCTCTTTGGGGCAAATCACGGAAGGGCAAGTCATATTCTCGAACGATTCGCTTCGGCCAATACTTGTCTCCAACCGGGTAGACGCGTGCATTCTACATGCGCCTGCGTCGCAGGGCGGGGACCGGTCAGAGCAGTGCCTAAGGCAAGGGAATATATGGATACGACGCGCGCGTTAGCAGCCAGCAAGACGGGCCCGCAGGCAAACAACGGCAGCAAAACCGCCAGCCTTGGCCGGTGACGGAAGGATTCGCCGGCGACACGCGGTTCCCAAGCAAGACGGCATGCGGTCACAGGGATCAGCCTGGTATCCGTACCTCTCAGTAGGGTGGAGGCACCGAGGGCAACCCCTGGCAAGGCAACGGACCGCCCTGCAGGCGCGGAACGGGTAGTTTGTGCTTCCGCGCGTGCGCCCTGGAGCCGACCCAGCACACCATCGGCGCGATCATCCGCATGAGAAGGGGATAGGCCTGAGAGACGGAGCATCGGGTTCGGCAAAGCGCATGTTCGGTATTGGCCGCCTTCCCAGTCCCCATTCCTGACGTCCCTCCTGGACCGGACCACTCTCCGTCTCTGTGGTGTCTTCCGTGCATCCGCTGCAATATGAGGCTTCAATTCAAGGTTAATCTCACCGCTGTAGGGGCCGCGGATTGGCTGCTTCCCTACTTGGGGATGCGTGTGGAACACTTGATCGCGCAAATCACTGCCGGCGAAAGCACTTGCACATCCGACCTACTGCGCTCTGCGCTCTGCGCTCTGCGCTCTGCTCTCCGTGGTCTAGGCTGCCGCCGTGCCTTCTGCGGTATGCTCTGTAGGCGCCTTCTGCCCACGCATTTGCCGCATACATTGGAAGTATACGTCCCTGTCGTGCCAGGGCGGGTTGGCGCTGTCTTAATCCACTTTCGATCCATCATACGACAATGCCGCTTCCGTGGCAAAAGTCCCCAGGCGCCGGGATGCGTCCAAAACAACATGACAGCCTTGTCCTGATGTGTCGTTACGCTCGCTTTCCCCAGCAATCGATGGCGTCAGAAGAAAGCAACGCTTCCCGGCCCAACGGTAAACACGGCCCCCCGTATTGCTTTTTCTCCTCGCCATGCTCGCTACTTGCTCACAAACGCCACTCTCGATAACAGCATCCCCTTCCAGACATATCGGCATGTCGCATTCCAGAAAATTCCCCCACTTTGGCCCCCAACACCCAGCGACGGGGAAAAAGCAAGCCCACTTACCCGTAAACAGGGGAAATGGGGTTTCGCACCGCTGGCGTGAAGCTCGCCCGTCTCCATCTCTCTTGCCTTTTTTTTTTTTTTGCTGCCTCAGCCTCTGGGGGCGTGAGATTTGCCGGGCCGCGCAGCTGATGACTTCTTTTCCTTTCTCGTCACTTGTCGCGTGGTTGCCCTATGCGAACCCCCTCTCGGGGAAAACGTTGAACTTTCCTATAGCCACTTTCAAACGGCCCTGCATTTGCCTACGTCAGCCCGCCTCTATTCCACTCAGGTGGCCGACAAAAGTTTGACGAGCCCCGAGCTGGGCTGCATTGTCAGCCAGCCCGGTGCCTTTTCATAATTGTCATCCTCTGTCCATACCCATGCAGGACCCAGCACTCCGTCTCGCCTTTCTCTTGCCGCCCTTTCCGATGCGGCAATCGATTCAAGGGCATACGTGCTATCTTGGGGATTGCCCTTTCCGCGCAACCTTGCAGTCCAGGAAGCTCGTCCTAAAATATACGGAACACGTACTCGTACGCATACGCATTCGGGACCGAACGCCTTGGGAAGAAGGCAAGCCATCAAGGCAAAGTCCCTGTCACGCCCTCTTTCCCTGTCTCTCATCCCCTTTCTCCGTGCACAACCCTGCTCCGTGGAGGAAGCTGAACCATGTCCAGCTAGCTCACGATCGGGATCTCACCTACCGCATACCGTTCTTCAAGAAGAAGATCTGTCACACCTGATGCGCGGTAAGGCCATTCCGTTCAGCCGCCCGCTCCCCCCGGCTCTAATGACCCTGGCCCCCTGCACACTTCCCCTCTATTCTACCTCATCTCTTCTCGGCTTCACCGCGTGCCCCATCCCTCCTCCCCATGAACACCAGCCTGTGACTTTCTTTTCTTTTTCTTGCCTTTTCTCCGCTTTCCGCCCTGTCTCCACCTACTCGTGCGCTCATACATCACCGTCATATCTTTCCTCTTTCCGTACCCTTCTGATCGCATCATCCCGTTGACGTGGTGCCTTGCTAAAAATAAGAGACCGTGCGAGCACCATGCATGTGGGAATATTCAAAACCCATGCCCACCTGAAAGAAAGGAAAAAGAAAAGAAAGGACGCCGAACTCCAGGGGTCTATGTATAATGTGGCTGCTGCCACTTTCCTGGCCCCCTGTGTTTCCCAGCATGTCCCCCCCACAATTCCCCTTCATCCCCGTTTTGGCGCAATACTCGGTGGAGCGTCAATTAATCTACATGCAGACGGCGGCGCGGATTTCCTTGCGACTTGGCTGAGAGAAGGAAAGAAAGAAAGAAAGAAAGAAAGAGAGAGAGAAAAATCAGGCTTTACAGCTAGGAAGAAGAGAAGGGAAGAAGCCCCGCCCCGCCCCGCCCCCTGATGTGGAAAGGCCGATGATGAGGAGGGGGAAAAAGAAAAAATGTCCCGGGTCGATGCTCGCCATGTGTTTTTCTTGACCCCAAAAAAAATTAAAAAGCGAAACCGAAACGGGGAGATGGGTGTGGAGGAGTGGAGCGAAAGAGCATGGGATCTGGTGGAACAGATAGGTACCAAGATCCGTACCCCCCGAACGACTGGGCCTCTCTCTCACACACTCACTCTTTTGGCGGCGACCGAATCGGTAACCACTACACTCGGCTCCCAGCCCAGTGCCCAGCGCCCAGATCCCAGCTCCAGCCCGGCCCAACATAGTCACATCTCAGCTCAGCTCTCCATCTATCCATCCATCATCCGTGCTCAGCCTCCGAACCGGGGGGATGATGGGCGGCCTCTCAAACGCTTTCCCTGTCGCTTTCTGATCCTCTCCCGTCACTGGCGAGGGAAGGAGGGGCCACCACAACAACCATCTGCCTTTCGTTCGCGGTCGGTCGGCACTGGGCCATATGTCCGGACGACGAGCAAGGGGGTGTGGTCTCGTCGGCCATTGGACTGACTTGTCAGTCATGCCGGTGTGAAATGAGGCTGTTGTCTTGTGTGTGTCTGGGATGACGCATTGACCCCATCGAGAAAGAAAGAGAGAGAGAGAGAGAGGGAGAGGGAAAGAGATCATCGAATATTACCCCCTCCTTACCTTCCGCCATGCCCCGCACCTCTTTTTGTCTTGTGCAGAGTCGAGTCACTTACTTCGTCTTGTTCTCCTTCCGTCTCTTCTTGCCCTTTCTCTCTCTCTCTCAGCTTCTATTCACTGAGGGGCGATTCGACACCACACATGGCTGGTTGATAGTACAGATGAATCCAGCGACATTCGGAACTCAAAGAGGTGAATTGCTGAACAGTTTTCTATCACGAACAAAACACAGGCAGACTCTGAGACTTTGAAGGAACTTTTGAGAGTGGAGAGAGCAAGGTACATAAATCAATTTTTCTTTTCCCGACCACTTTGAAACAGACTCAGCGAAACCAAAAAAAAAATCCCACATGATGCACGTGTCCGAAGACATCAACATTTGACTCCGTATCATACAGTTCCCCATCATCAGGTCAACCACATGATCATCGGAAGCGCATCCACCCAGGTTCTAACTACGCACAAAGAAAAAGTGAAGAAATCTTTCGCCGCTGCGGGTGATTATGACCACGATGATATGTATACCCTCGCGTTCCAACCACGGACTCGTTTCACCTCTGGCATGGTTGTATTACAACACGTTCTCATATAGAGCGTCCCCTGGGAATCTCGACTGCCGTCCACCTTCGATATTTTACGGAAGCAGAGTGGTGGCTGATCACGTACCATTCCGGCCTTTCCCCAGCTCAGTCTGCTTAAGTGCGGCCGGCAGACGCCGAGGTGTAGTCAACGCGCAGGCGCCTTCCATAGACCTCCTTCTCCTGGAGCATGCTCATAGCCTTGGTCGCGCTGGTCTCGTCAAGGAAGTCTGCGTGGGCGAAGCCACGGGGCTGGCCGGTGCGGCGATCGATGGCGACACGGACGTCGAGCACGTTGCGGACGTCGCGGAACAGCTCGTTGAGGTCACGGTCGCTCATCTCGTACGACATGTTGCCGATGAAAAGCGTCTTGCTGGGCGGGTTCGGCTTGTTGCGGCTGATCCGCAGGCGGCCGCCGTCGCGGCCCTCGCGGCCCTCGCGCTTCTTGTGGAACTGCACCGTCATGCGGCGGCCATCGAGCACGCGCTGGTTCATGTCCATGATCGCACTCGACGCGGCCTCTTCAGAGTCGTACTCGACGTAGCCAAACCTAAAAATCAAACGCCACAACCGTCAGCATTCAAGTTTCGAACATCTAAGCCCTGGAGACGGCTGCTCGGAGAAACATACCCTCTGCTCATGCCAACGGGATCGCGAATGATGGTCGTCTTGACGAGGTTGCCGAACCGCGAGAACTCCTGCCTAAGCTGGTCCTCGGTTGTCTGGTAGAACAGGTTGCCGACGTAGAGGATCGTCTGACTGTCGTTGTCGCCGACGAATTGCTTCTTGTCGTCCTGCGCCGGCTCGGTGCCAAAGGCAGCCGAGGCCGCCGAGGCCGCCGCAGCGCCTACTGCCGACACGGCCTCGGACGCCGTGTCGAGGGCCGAGGTAGTGGATGACTCGGCCTCGGCGTTGGTGGGCTCAACCTCGGGGTTCCCAGCAGCAGCCTCTTCAGCAGCCTCTTCAGTCTCAGTCGCCGCCTCCTCGGTGGGACGAGACACGTCGGCGTCGTCGCTGTTGTAGCGGCGCTGACTGGCAGCCAACCATTGCCGCTGGTGCGGGCGGAATGCTGAGGTGGTGGAGGTGGAGGTGAGGCTGGCGAAGGTACGCGGCCTGGCGACGACGGCGATGGATGCGCTCGTGGACGAGGCAGCGCGGAGCGCGGCGCGGCGGAGAAGATACCTATGGGCGAGGAAAGCTGTCAGCATTCACTCGAGATAGGCGTGATTGACCGCAGTGGAGCAGAGCGGCTTACATGGCTGTGGAATTGGTGAGGTTTGTTGGATATCTGAAGGTGGAGGCGAGGAACGAAACTTCGATCGCGTTGGCGGTTTCTCTGGGACTTTTTGCCGCTAACCCGCACGGGGCAGGCGCACTCACCAGCCACAGCTTGGCTGCCACTGCCACAGCTCCCTTCGCACGCCGCACGCCGCGCGCCTCACGCCTTACTCATCGTAAAATTCTTGCCCGCTTGTGACTGCTCGGATGATTACGGAGCAAAGACTGGACGACATTACGTTTTTGAGGCATTTGCTAGCATTCACGTTGTCTTGCGAGCGAACGCCTTTTCCGAGATGTCGGCGGAAGCAACGCATCGTCCTATCAGCAGGTAGCACAAGAATTTGATATGCAAGAAACCCCCCTGACTGCCGGTCCAAAACGCTTGCTCAACGCGGCACCGGAACAAACAGCATGTCAGAATCCCTAGGCTTCAGCACGTACACATGTCAAAGCAAGATGTCTTATTCCGACGTCTAGTCTGCTCGCCGAGTCTACCTATTGACAAAGCCATCGGCGTCATAATGCGGAACGTATTACGCCGCGTTAAACCAACCCACCAGTTTCCATGACAGTCCAATCATGCACTATGCGAAAGCCCTCCCTTTCCATCTATGAGTCGTAGGCACGGGATTGCAGGAGTCTTTTTTTTTTTAAATCCAGAAAAACAAGATGATCGCGGAGGTGGTATCTACCGCTCTATCGCCAACATGACTCTAAAGGTAATGCGGAAAGGAAACCCCGGCGCTGAGCTGTGCATCGTGCCTCGGGGAAACGAGTCGCGCCTTGTCGCGACTCTCTATACAGGACGGATATCAGAGTGAATTAGAGAGTAGGGTTCGAGCGGTACTCGGGAACGACGCCGTTGGCCTGGGATTTCTTGGTCTCCGACTCGGCCTCCAGAGGGTTCTCGGGCCCGTCCTCGTGCTCCACGATGAACTTCTCCGCCTCGAGCGCCGCAACGCAGCCGGCACCGGCGCTGGTGATGGCCTGCCTGTAGCGCTTGTCCTGGACGTCACCGGCAGCGAAGACACCGGGAACGTTGGTGAGGCCACGGCCAGGCTCAGTGATCAGGTAGCCGTCCTCGTCCATGTCCAGCTGGCCCTTGAACAGGGCAGTGGCAGGGTCGTGGCCAACAGCGTAGAAGAGACCATTGGCCTCCAGCGTCTCCGTCTCGTTGGTCTTGTTGTTCTTGACGACAAGATGAGTCATGAGACCGCCGGCCTTCTCCTCGCCCTTGATTTCGACACCGCCAGTGTTGTACTTGATCTCAACCTTGGGGTTGCTCTCGAGTCTCTTCGCGTTGGACTTCGACGCACGCAGGACATCGCGGCGCACGAGAACGTAGACCTTTGAGGCCTTCTTCGTGAGATAGATGGCCTCCTCAACGGCCGAGTCACCGCCGCCGATGACGACAAGGGGCTTGTTGCGGAAAATCGGAGCAGAGCCATCGCAGACAGCGCAGGCGCTGACGCCATTGCCCCAGAATTTCTCCTCGCCAGGTAGATCCAGCCTCCTTGCCTTGGCGCCAGTAGCAATGATGATGGTGTCCGCAGTGTGGGTCTCTTCCTCGAGGGTATCATCGTCGCCCATGGGGTGGAGCCAGTACTTGAAAGGACGCTGGCTCAGATCGACCTTGCCGACGGTCTGCGAGATGATCTCGGTGCCGCAGGCTTCAGACTGGGCGCGCATTTGGTCCTGCATGGGTGGCCGCAAAATCAGACAGTTGTTCCCGCGGCAAGGGCAGGACACGCTGACTTACCATAAGAGTAGCACCCTGGATGAACTTGAAGCCGGGGTAGTTCTCGACCTCGTCGGTGGTGGTCAACTGGCCACCAGCGGCAATGCCGAGCGCAAGGAAGCCCTCATACATGACAGCTGCGCGCTTGTTAGCTATATCATCCACGGCCGGGCGGCTGAGGGCGCGACTTACGCTTCAGATCGGCGCGCGCAGCATAGATGGCTGCGGTGTGGCCAGCAGGGCCAGAACTGCACAACGACACTGGTCAGTATCCAGATGCTTGGGAGTCGAGCGGCCCGAATAGCGGACGCTTGCGTGCAGAAAAGAAAGAGGCGTACCCGATGACTGCGGCAGACTGTTAGCTCCTGCTCGAGTACGGCTGTGGGGGCGCGGAGATACGTACTGACAAGCTTTGAATGCATCCTTCTTGCGCCTGAGACTGCGTTGGAGATGGAAGAAGCGGCTGGAAGTCTGGCGGCGGCCGTTTGTCTCTGCTGCAAGGACGCGGCGGCGGCGAGCGGGACAGAGAGGGAGGCGCGAAGCGGAGAGGCGGTCGCTCTACGAAAGGCTGCGGCGAACAGTTTGGCGGTTGCAGGAGGCGAGTGTCTGGGGGCGCAATGGGGGGGTGGTGTGGTGTGCGGGTCCACCGAGGTGCGTAGAAATTCCAAGGGCGGCTTGGAGGCGGCCAAATGACGGAATGCGGGCGGTGGGGCGGGGCGGAGGACGGATGAAGCGAAGCACAGCGAGAAGGTGCGGCGGCGGAGAGCAGAGCGAGGCCAGGTGTATTTATCGTCGGCGGCAGTGGAGCCTCTGCGCAACGGCTTTGATTTCTAAGTAGTGGTACTCGAAGCTCCATGGCGCAATCGGCCGGCAAAGGCCCTGGAGGGAGGCGGATTCGGCGTGCGAAAGCCGGCGCCGGTGCCTCTCCAAACCTCGACTGCTTACTAGATGCCCCCGATCCAGAACTCAACGTCACCGCCCGTGCCCCTGTTCAGCCTTAGATCCCCCGTTCCAGCCGCCCTTATCACGGCAATCACTCGTCACCACCCCCTCCGCGCTTGCGCAGATTCGCGATCCCATACAACAGCTCGCCCAAACCGTCGCTGTTGCTTGTCTCCGCCGTGTCCAGCTGATTCGCCCGCCCCAGCTGCTCCTTCCCCGACATCGCTCCCTCGACCATCGCGCTGTCCGCCCACAACAGCCGCGCTGCCTGCTCTGCTTCCTGCACCCCCGGCTTGTCAGCTGCATCCTCACCGCTGGCTGCGGCTGTGGTCTTACCTGCTCAGAGCGCCTGGCGGTCGTCGACCCCGGCACGTGAATGCTGTCTACGGAAATGATCACCCCGTCCGAGCCGGCGGCCACATCCAAGACATTGCCAGCGATGGGGATAGCCGTCGCCTGAACCGGCTCGGCGCCCTGCAATGCTTCTATGCCTATCGAGATCAATGCAGGCACACCCTCCAGTGCCACCAGAATCGCCCTCTGTTTTGATTAGCAACGATGCACGTGCTCGGGTGGTGTTGCGCTCCTACCTTCTCCTTGGCCGTCTGCGGGACGCCCCAGATGCCCGACACTGCAATGCTGAGATCACGTCTTTTCTCGCCGGCAAATTCCCCTTCGTCTGGAATAGACGACAAGATGTCTCGGAGTGAAACTTTCTTCAGCAGGCTGCCTTTCAGCCAGTCCCAGACGAGCAAGTCATCGTCGCCGCCACCAGACACAAGAACATGTGGCGTTGCTAAACACATCTTGCTAATGAACTCTTTATGGCCAAGGCAGAAACCTTCGATGACGTGACCTTGAGGTTGACCTCGTGAGATTCGAATGTGTTCATCGCGGTCCGCAGTCAAGATGTAGCTGCGACGTCCTGCAGCGGATCCGTTCGATTCGGCATCCAGAGTGACGACCAGCAGATCCGTCAGCATCGATACATGGCCAAGAAGTAGTTCGTGCTTGAATCGCAAAGGCTCCTTGGACTTTCCCTGGGTTTCTTGTTGCTTAAGCTGGGCCTCCAGAGCCCTGCGATTCCTGCCCGTGTGCACGGTCAAATTAGTGGCGGTTGGGACAAACGTCTTCGGCGCCTGCTCCGCTTTGGTGATGAAGGCTTGCTCGTCCTCCAAAGTGTGCTGGAGCGGCAGGGCGTAGACGTCTCCGAATTTATCCGCACAGAGAATCGTTTGGTCATCCTGGGTTACGGCAATCGCGCATGGGCGCTTTGGCATGGTCCTAGAGTCTGACTTCAACAAAGGGAGAGACGGACAGGGCGAAGTGGTGTTCTACCTTTCACTCAAATGCTTCAACGCCCCGCTGGCGTCCAATGAAAAGACGCGTACTCGCTTGTCCTCGCCGGTCACAGCAACAATGTACTGGCCGTCATGCGAAGCCACAAGCCGGATGATCCTAGGCCGCGGAGCCGGGTCTTCCGACACTTTTCTTTTCTTTTCTGGCGGGCCCTCGGGCGTCTCTGGCTGCGGACCGTCCGGCTGGCGCAAACTTAGCTAACGTCTGCGGAGATGGCACAGGGAGAAACAACGCAACGGCACTTGTGGGCATGACGAATTGGCCCACAGATGCTTGCAATCAGACTTACGGGGGCATTACTGGAGGATGCAGCAGACCATATGCTTCGAATTTCGCCGGTGGCAAGGTCGATGCAGAGCAAATTATGTGCGCTCGCGGCGAGCAGCAGTTTCACGTCCTGAGAGCCCACGCGCTCGAGAGCGACCAGGCATTGGTAGGGGTGCTTCATGGCGGCAGCGGAAGTGAGATTGGTGGTGAGTCTGGTGTCTGGGTCTTGGCGCGGCCAAAAATTGGGCAGGCAGCGGACGATCGGCGCTAGCGCGCGCAAGCGAAGGCCACACGCCAGCGACATTTCAACTTTCTTGCGCGGCTGCTGTGACTTCAACAACATCGTTCCGCCGCCGAACGCCGCCCACCACCGAACAGACGCTTTTGACTTCGCCTGAAATATCCTATACCTCACCGAAGCTATGGGGGGCAAGTCTCAGAACAAGGCCGCTTACTTCGATAAGCTCAAGGCCCTCCTCGAGGAGTACAAGTCCATCTTCATTGTCGGCGTCGACAAGTGCGTCTCCCACCTGCGCCATGCGCCTCCCATCATGCATCTGACGCGCCTCCAGTGTCTCCTCCCAGCAGATGCACGAGATCCGTGCCTCGCTCCGTGACGTTGGCGTCGTCCTGATGGGCAAGAACACCATGGTCCGCCGTGCTCTTAGGGGCTTCATTGGCGAGAACCCCGAGTACGAGCGTCTTCTGCCCCACGTCAAGGGCAACGTTGGTTTCGTACGTGGCTTCGTCCTGCCAAAAGGTGCAATTGAAGCAGTGGCTGACAGGAACTAGATCTTCACCAACGGCGATCTGAAGGAGATCCGTGACAAGATTCTCAGCAACCGTGTCGCTGCTCCTGCCCGTGCCGGTGCCGTCGCCCCCGCTGATGTCTTCGTCCCGGCCGGCAACACTGGTATGGAACCCGGCAAGACCTCTTTCTTCCAGGCCCTCGGTGTCCCCACCAAGATTGCCCGTGGTACCATTGAAATCACTTCGGACCTGAAGCTCGTTGAGGCTGGTAGCAAGGTCGGTGCCTCCGAGGCTACCCTGCTGAACATGCTCAACATTTCTCCCTTCACCTACGGTATGAATGTTGCCCAGATCTACGACAACGGCCAGACCTTCGACTCCTCCGTCCTTGACATCGAGGAGTCGCAGCTCCTTGCCACCTTCTCCTCGGCCATCACCACCATTGCCTCCATCTCCTTGGCTCTCAACTACCCCACTCTTCCCTCGGTCATGCACTCCGTTGTCAACGGTTACAAGAAGGTGCTGTCCGTCGCCGTCGAGACCGACTACTCTTGGGAGGCCATCGAGGAGCTCAAGGACCGCATTGCCAACCCCGACAAGTACGCTTCGGCTGCCCCCGCCGCTGCCGCCGGTGGTGCTGCTGCCCCTGCTGCCGCTGCCGAGGAGAAGAAGGAGGAGCCCGAGGAGTCCGAGGACGAGGACATGGGCTTCGGTCTGTTCGACTAAGTTATTTAAACGTAACGAACAAGCGCTTCAGGTCACAATGGCGAAAAATCGGATGTTGCAATGGATGCTCGCCTCGGCGAGGTGATCATTCACATAGCATACTGAAATGGAGACATTGGACAATGAAACACTCTGGGCGATGTGATGCTGAAAATGCTCATAAGCCTTTTGTGTTCACAATGCAAGGTAAGCCCATTTTATCTTTTTGTTCTTTCGCCTGCTTGAATGATTATACATTTTTAACCCTGATCACCATGAAGATCAAAATCGCAACAACACTCTAATTTTTTAATGACGCAACCACACAATCCTTGTTATACAAACCATGTCTTTCTTGGAGCTTTAGCTGACAGAAAGTCGAACAGGTCCAATATACATCAAGTGTGCCAAACCTCAGTGATCTCTAGCATCCTATCGTCTATCCAGAAAGTCCCGTAACCCAACGTAGTAGGTATTCCGTGATATGTTCCGCCTCGACGCCAAGCATGCAAGCCCATCCCTTGTTCCCACTATGTGAAACTTACAAAATAGCCGTAGATGTTTTAGACATTAATGAATTTATCAACACCGCACCTTTGCCTGCCTTTGTTACTCGTGATGAAACGCAGGTGTAGAATATGATAAAAAAGGAATTGTCATTCAATTAAGCCGACGCTGTCACGACTGCTCGCACTCTATCCAGATCTATTCTTACCCAGTACACATGCCAATCCTGATCGATGCCACCCAGGCTCTTGCAAACGCCGTTGCTCTCCGCGTTTTCCAACGCCACATCCGCATGCGCCAGGCCATTCAAATCGTCCCCAAAGGCACCCCATCCCTCCTGGAAAATCTTCCAGCCCATCGCCTTTGCCAAACCCTTTCCCCTATACTCGGGCTCGACATGCAGCGACGACAAGCTCCCATCGGCGGCAAGAAACGCCCACGCCACCGGCTTCTGCTTCTGCGTCCCTCTTTTCTCCTCCTCCCCCTCCTCCTCCGGCCCGCCGTCCGAGGCGACGGCATCCGCAAAGACCGCCACAGAAGGCAACGTCCTCAGCGTGCGATTCGTCCTCGGAATCGCCGTCCTGCTCCTCGTAACCGTCAGGTCATCCTCGCTCAACCGGCCCCACCTCAGCCCCTCCCAGTCCCCTTCCCCCATCACCCTCTGATGATCCCCATCCTTCTTTTTCCTTTTCCCCTCCCCCTCCCCCCCATCCTCCCCCTCCGCCGTACCGTTTTCATCATCATCATCATCATCGCCGCCGCCGCGCCGCTGCGAGGTCGTCATCGAAAAAACATACTTCCGATACGCGAAGCCCGTGCCCACGCCGTCGCGCCGCAGGAAGCCCAGCCCCGTCGCCCACGCCACGCCGCGCGCGTGCATCGACCCGACCTTGAGCATCGCCGGCGCGTGCAGGTCGTCGAGGTAGCGCGCCGCCGACGTGCTCGTGTGCGCGTGGTACCGCGCCGCCGTCTCGCGCGCGTCGGCCGCCGTCACCGCCGCCCAGATGTCCGACTCCTCGGCCGCGGTGAGGGGCGGGTAGGGGACGGCGGCCGCCGCGTCGTCTCCGGTGTTGGCGGCGATGTGCGAGAGGAGGGCGAGGAGGTGGGAGGAGCAGGTGCAGGACGACGGCGGCTTCGTCGTCATCGTGGAAGAGGAGGAGGAGGAGGAGGGATGGTGGTGCAGGTGGTGCGAGGGATGGTCCCAGGAGACGTAGACCCAGCTTTCGGTTTCCGGGCGGCGGGAGCGGTCGATGAAGGTTGCTGCGAAGCATTGGTGGAGCGTTTGCTCTTGCTCTTGCTCTTGCGCTTTCCGGTCTTGTTCGCCACCGTCATTGGTGGGGGGAGGAGGAGGAGGAGAAGAAGGCACGGTGGCGAGGATGCGGGTGTGCGGGCTGTGGTGCCCGAATTGAATGCGCCGGTAGAGCGGTAGCGCGTAGGGCAGTGTGTGGTGCAGGTGCGGAAGCAGCGTGGTCTCCGGACTCCCAGTATGGTCGTGGACCTGCGGTAGGGAGTGGCCCAGGTGGGCGTCTTTTCCTTCAGCGAGTGGGCCGACCATTGTTGCTCCTTGCTCTTACTTGGGGAGAGGCTCGTGGCTCTGTGTTCTCCTTTTTGGGCCGATCTGCGCTCAAATGGTCGGTGGTGGTGAGTCCCAGTTGAGTCGACAGTGGAGAGAAAGACAAGAAAAATCTACAGCAGAGATTTTACACGTAATAATGCCGCCTGTCATGTGCACCACCGGCTTGGTGCACGCGTGTCATTCGATAGCGCGGATCTAGACCGTGAGCGTGCGAAGCCGACTTTCCTGTTTGAGGTGCTCGGTGGGCAAGTCGTTGCATTGCTTTGTGGTGGTGGGCGGTGACTCAGAGAGTATCGCAAGAGTGGGGGGGGGGGTATGGATCGTCTGCCAGACGCAGTTGGTCTTCAGGGGGAAGTCTTCAGAAATGTCAAATCACACCGGAAACGTCGCTGTTGACATGAGCAGTGCACATAACGCCTATATGCTTGCCATTTGAACTACCGCTGAACGCCACGAGGAGCCGGGTTGAAGCGAGGTGCCACTACCCAAATCTCTGCAAAACGAAACCCCGGAAAAGCCCCCATCCTGTCTACCTGGTTGAGTCTGCCAAAAGAACAAAACAGAAAGAGGATGCGCGAAAAACGGATGCACAAAAGTATATGGGTCGCTCGATCTACTACAACAACCACAACACCAGGCAGACTCCGTTTTCCGAAGGAAGAAGAAATAAGAAAAAGCCATCATGAATTAGGAAATGCAGAATGCTCCCTGAGACATCGACCCAGACGGCTGGGTCATTGAACAGGCCCAACTCCAGGGATGTCGCGATAGAGCCCCGCACCTCTCAACTGATCAGCTTGTACGCCCCGCCACCATCCCCATGCTTTCTTGGGACCCTCCCTCGTCACCATGTGCAGCTGATATCATTGTGGTTCGTTGATCATTCGTAGCCTTATAAACCCGGGTTTTTCGTCTTTGGATCGTATCGTCGATTACTGGGATGCGCACTGGACACGCTCGGCGCCAGGGTGCATGTCGTCGTCGTCGTCGTCCATCGGGGCAGCACCGCGTGCCCTGGCGTGTTCTCTGGTCGGGTCAATGTTCTCGAGCGGGAAGTCCTCGACCATTGCGTCGGCCGGAGGCTGGGCCGTCTCGATCTTGCGAGGACCCAAGATGCGCTCGAGCGCGGCCTTGTCTTCCTCAGAGAGCACGCTCTCCTCCGGCCCGATCTTCTCCGGGAACTTGACATCGAATTGAATGTAGAGGTTACCGAAGTCGTGGTGTCTGTACGAGGGCATGCCCTGGCCGCGAATAACCTTGACGGCACCTGTTCCGAAGTCAGCATTTCTGGTGCGCATGATACTGGGTTTTGCGAGCTGTCTTACCAGGTGAAATAACCTCGCCGGGCGTGATTTCGACAGACAACCATCTGTCGTCAAGGTGCTCGATGTGAAGGACGCCGCCAGCAAGTGCGGTGACGAGGTCAATGTCGGCCTGGTAGAAGAGATCGTCCTCCTTCCTCTGGAAGCGAGGATGCGGCTTCTGCTCGATCTCGAAGACAACGTCGCCAGGCTCGCAGTCAGGAAGCTGGTCACCCTCTCCACGGAATTCGATCCTGGTGCCGCTCCTGACACCCTTGTCGACGTGGACGTGCAGAACCTTACGCTCAATGACGGTCTTCTTGCCGTTGCACTGCTTGCAGCGGTCCTTCTCGCGGATGATCTCTCCCTCACCCTGGCAGTCGGGGCAAACGGTCTGGAAGCGCTGGATCATGGGACCCATCTGGCGCATCATCATCTTCATACCACGGCCATCGCAGCCAGCGCACTTCTTGACAGCGCCTTCCTTGCCTCCGCGGCCCTCGCACTTGGGGCAGATGACGGACTTTTGCAGCGCGAGCTTCGAGACCTTGCTGCGGTAGATGTCCTCGAGCGAGACCTTGTGGACATGGGAGATGGTGCGAGCCTTCTTGGGACCAGACTCCCTCATGCCGCCACCGAACATGCCACCGAAGCCGCCGCCGCCACCACCACCACCGAAGAACTGTGCGAAGAGGTCTTCCGCGGCCATACCGCCGCCGCCACCGCCGCCGTTCTCCAGACCCTCCTCGCCAAACTGGTCGTAGACATGACGCTGCTGCGAGTCCGAGAGGATTTCGTATGCGTGCGACAGCTCCTTGAACTTCTCGGCGGCATCGGGGTTGGTTGCATTCTTATCTGATATGGAGTCAGGACTCCGGAGTCGCAAGCAGGGGTACAGGTGGGCGTAAAAACCTACCAGGGTGGTACTTCAGGGCGCCCTTCTTGTAGGCAGATTTGAGCTGGGCCTCGGTGGCGTCTGGCGACACACCGAGGATGTCGTAGAATTTCGTATCTCTCACCATGGTGACTGTGGGAGCGGAAGGTGACGAAGCGCGCGAGGGCGGTTGTTGGAGGGTTCAGCCGGGTCGCTCGTGCTAAGTGGGCTAAAGGTGTCTTTTCACGAGGATCGTCAAAAGAAGAGCGCAAATTCTGCCGGCGGACTGGTGAGCTTTGGGGTCTTTGTAGGCGGCAGTGGGAGGACGTGAGGCTGGTGTCGGGAGGTGGCCGCGGGCAAAGTGGCACGGCGCGCAATATTTAAAGCCGTAGCACGGAAGCCGCAGGCGCAAGGCTGGGGGGGGCGTGGGTAAGCAGGCGGTGGAGGAGCAGGCAGACGTACCTCAGAGATGGGAGCGACTCGGAATGTGGGAGCGAAAAGCAGGGGCGGCGGGCAGAGGGACGGAGATGCAGTCGCAACGCCTTCTAAAATTCACAAGCAAGGCGTCGTTGGGTACGCAGGCAAAGCCTAGATAATTCCACGCCTTCCACCTAGTTCGCTGGTGTTCCATCGAACGCCGCCCGCATGCGGCAGGCGGTCAGCATCCTGCCGAGCCGCATCTGCCCAGATCCGCCCGACTGCGCGCTCAAACAATGCAGGGCACGCAAGCAAATCTCAGCCTGCCACTGTGCACCTGCGACGTCCGCCCCGCCTACGCGCGTCCGGCCACACGGCCACACGGCCACCGGCCGACTTTCTTCAGCCCTGCCGCTGCCGTGCCGCTGCCGCTTCCGCTGCTGTTGTTGTTGCTGCCGTCTCGCACTCCCGGCTTGCACTGCGTGGCCGCCCGACGTTATCACGATTGGTCGCTGTCATACCTACTATGTAACGCGCTGTGGATACAGCTACAAATTCATTCCGTGCCACTGTCATTCGTCGCCCATCTCGCGTTCGCGACTTTCCTGCATCCCCGTCCAGCTTGCCCTCACCTGCGTCATGTCTGACAGTGACCCCGGCTTTGTTGCCGCCCTCGAAGAGGCTAAGAAGGGCTATGGAGAAGGCGGCATTCCGAGTATGAGTCTCGCCCGCCTCGATGTGAATTCCAATTATTGACCCGTGTTTAGTTGGTGCCTGCATTGTGTCTAAGGACGGCAATATTCTGGGCCGGGGCCGCAACATGAGGATCCAAAAGGGTAGCGCCACGCTTCACGTAAGTCATGGGGTGGCGGAAGCGGACTGATCATGTCGGTAATCCGGCCGAGTAACAAGGATGCAGGGCGAGATCTCCGCCCTCGAGAACGCAGGCAGACTTCCCGCCTCCGCCTATGAGGGCTCGACCATGTACACGACTCTTTCGCCCTGCGACATGTGTACTGGTGCTTGCATCCTGTACAAAGTCAAGCGCGTTGTCTTGGGCGAAAACAACACTTATCTCGGCGGCGAAGATCACCTCAGGTCGAAGGGTATCGAGGTCATCAACGTCAAGAGTGCTGAGTGCGAGGCTTTGATGCAGAAGTTTATCGCTGAAAAGCCGGGCGATTGGTACGAACCTGTTGCAAGTTAGTCTTGGAGCATATTCCGTTGCTGACGCAAATTGAACAGGAACGAAGATATTGGCGAGCAGTAAGGGTCGGGAGCGCTCCACGCAAATGAATTCGAGCCTAGTTGCCACATACATTTGGCTTGGTAATGGTGCAAACAGAAAGCAATCACAACAGCTGCCCTGAATCGCACTCCTTTCCCGCTTGCCAGTGATTGCATTGCCCCGAGAATGCTCCGTCTTTTCGCCTGCTCCCGTGGTCGTGTTCTGTTGGGATTTCGAGATATTGCCAACCTCAAACACTTGCCAGTCCAAGATACATTTAAGCAGGAAAGGGATGTGAGCAGGCGTAGCAAAACTACAGAATCATGCAGCGAGATGGATGATGGCTCCGATGATGCCCCAGCGATGCTGTCGATGTAGCAGTGGTCTGAGCGCGGCGTGGGGCTGACGCAATCAGGTAGAAGCGGCATAACATGTCGTGATTGTTGGCTTCACCAGGAAGCGTGTGATCCTTTGTCGAATCGATGGCAACTGCACAGGTGCCGAATGGCCAACGTCAATCGGGATCATCCACAATTTTCAAGCCTCGAGAAGGCGGAGCGCACGTTCGAATGCTTGGACAACTTTCGTGTCTAACCGACTGTCAGTGGTACTACAACATAAGCGCGTCAAGGACACTCACAATGCTCCCTCTTCTTCTCAAGTTCGCGTTCTGAATTCTGGACATGAGCCATACGCGTACGCAGTCTACACCGTATTAGCAAGTGAAAGTAGCTTTGAAACCACGCTGTGAGACACCAACCTATAGAAGCTCCGGTCAGTTTCGTGGTGTGGTGTGGTACCAGCCCAAAGTTGAAAGAACTTTGAGAAGTCAGCCTCAGGCGGTATTGTAGCGGAGAGGACCAATTACGTTCATGAGTCGCTCAAACTCAGTCCACAGCTGTTGGTCTTCATCGAGTTTTACCGCCATCGCATTGTGGTATCTTTCCTCCAGCTCTTGCCAGTCGAAGTCTTTGAGCGGCTGCTCTGGATCCAGCTCATCGTCACCCATTTGGAATTGGGTTTCGGGTTGCTCGTGGGCATTGACATTTTCGAGCGGAGGCATTGACGTTGGCTTGACAGAGTCATCCTCCTTGTCACTAGAATCAGAGCCGGCGGAGGAGATTTCAGTTGGTGGAACTGGTGAGGCACGTTGAACACCCTGTTTTCCCGCGGCCATCTCGGAATGCGAACGTTTCCGCGTGGGACTTTCCGCTCCCCTGTTGGGCCGGTCTTCGGGCGAAGGCGGGGTGCTCATAGCGGCGAATCCACTGCTGGGCGAGTTCGTCGCAGGTAGGTACTCGGGGTGCTCGTGACCGTGGCTTGCAGGCGTCGCTCGTCACGCAGAACGTGCGCACAAGGTGTGGCTGGTGAGTTGTGGACGGAACGTGCGCTGTGTCCGTGTGTGCGGTGCGGGCGGGCGTTGTCGCGCAGGTGCAGGGGTCTGGCTGATGCCTGCGTCACAAGGAAGCCACCACACCCGACCCAGGCCCGCGCCTTCTACTTCGACCCGCGACCGCTCTTATCACAGCGCCTGTCACCTGCCGCCTTCGCCCTTCCTTCCAGACCTCACGCAAGCTTTCGAGCCCACCGGAACAAACGGAACGAACGGAACGAACGCCAGCGTGGACAACAGCAAGCGGTCTATGGATAAGTAGCAGTTTCCACCAGAGCTCACCATGTACCACGGTCCACGCCCGCCAACCTTCGTAACTCCTGAGACCTGTTCAGTGCCTTGAGCATTTCCTGCGCGAAATCACTCTTCACCAACCGAAATTCTCTCGCCTCAACAACATGGACTGCGACATCTGCGGCAACGAGCTGACCGCGAGGGCCCGCGTCCACTGCCCGACCTGCGCTCGTGCCGCTCTCTACCCGTACCGCATCGAGCAAGCCGCCACCTTCTTGGACAGGGAGAAGTTTGCCCAACACGTCGAGGCTGTAGTAAACGGCACCGAAGACCGCGCCGGACAGGCCGTGTCGCTAGGCGAGACTCTGGTCGATACTCACGAATGCTCCAAGAGGGTGGCTGTCGAGCGGGACCTTGCTGCGAAGGAGGAGTTGCAAGAGCGTATGCGTCTAATCACCGAACAGACCGATCTCCTCAAACGCCAGATTGAAGAAACGCGGCGTGAAATCGCCGCCCGCAAGGCTGCCATCGCCCAGCGCCATTCAGATCTCGAGTCAGCCTCGTACAACGTCGACAAGCGTCGCGCCAAGGACCTGAGCGTGGTCAAGGAGGTCATCGGAACAGTCAAGCATGCCGACGACATAGGACATCGTGAAGACATCCGTAGCAAGGTGTGGCACTGCAAGCACGCCGCCGACATCGCTGGCCTGAAGCAGCGGAGGCGCCGTTCGAAGGACGGGCAGACGAAGATGGAATACTACATTGGGGGCGTGCGGATATACGATCTGCGCGACTTGAACCGTACGAGCTTGCTATACCCCAGACCAAGAGCGAAATTAACCCTGATAAAGCTGCATCCCCAACTCAGGTCACGACGTCGCTTACTCTCCTGGCTGGCCTCGTCGTTCGAGTCGCCAATTACCTTGCTGTCCGGCTGCCGGCTGAGATTACTCTACCGCACAAAGACTACCCTCTCCCGACGATCTTCTCCCCTGCCTCCTCGTACACGCATAAGGACGTGCCATTTCCGGGGACGACACCGATCTCCTCTTCAAGCAATAGTCCCACAGCATCTCGTACTTTCGAGAATCAAAAGCCTCGTTCGCGTCCGAGGCCACTCTACATTGACCGCAAATTACCCGCGCTAGCAAACGAAGACCCGACGTCGTACGCCCTGTTCGTCGAGGGCGTTACGTTTCTAGCTTGGGATATTGCATGGCTCTGCCGTTCGCAGGGCCAAGTGAACGCCTTTACCGAATGGGAGGAGATGTGCCCGATGGGGAAGAACATGTTCAAGCTCCTGGTTGAAGACGCTCAGGCCACTCTGAATGCACTGGAGCAGGAGACGGCGCGCAAAGCCGAAGCCAAGAGTGGCGCGCCGGCTCGCTCGTCGGGAGTTACAGATGTAGTCATGGGCTATTTCTCGCACGGCATGTCCAAGGGTTTCCTCGGCAGTGCCGAGGGCACCAACTACATGAAGGGCTGGAAGTTCCAGACGGCCATGAAGGCGGTCGACCGGGTCAAGGGCCACCTCCAGGCGGAGATGCAAGGAGCGGAATGGGAGGTGCTAGACGAGAAAGAGTGGGAGATGGATGAGGAGACGCCGCAGGGACTTGATTGGGCGGGTGAGATGAAGAAGGTGTCTAGCGGCTCGAAGCTTGCGAGCGCAGCTATGGGCAACGGCAGCACCGACGAGGGGCAGGGCAAGGCGCGGGGATGGACCAAGTTGAAGAGCAGGAGCGACGAAGGCCGGTAGGATAAGGCGGATCACGATCAGCAATCAGTCATGGCAATCGTGCGGAGTCTGTCCTAGGCAAAGAAGATCTCTCAAGGCAGCCAGTGGTCGAAACAGTGGCCTGTCCATTTACACGCAATGCCGGGCCATACAGTAGGGCAGGATGATAAGGTCGATAGGTGGTACAAGCGGACGGGGCAATGTAGAGGATGAGGCACAGTAGGGAAAAACAAGGCGACGACATTACGGTGGCTGCATGACATTCCTGGTGGCTTGATTGAGCGCTGCGCCATAGCCCCTCGGCCTGGCAAACGCAGCCCCTCCTCCCCCCCCTCGATGCTTGGCTCAGGCCCGTATTGCTAGCGACGGACAAAGCGCGCATTTGGCGAACACGATGGCGGTGGGCGGGACTCGGGCGGCGGTGGCGGTGATATTCTGGAAGACGGCTGCCGTGTTCTGGCGCGTGGTTTGGCCGAGCAGAGGGGCGTGGGGGGGACAAGCTCGCAGCACGGAGCCGCAGGCGGTGACGTCGGCCAGAGCCCTGGGACGAGACACGGGCACACGGGCTTGACCCTGCGCATGCAGCAGTCAGCCCTATCGAGACAGCACCCCGACATGAACACTGGCGCACTGTGGCACGGCGGCAGCGAACAAGCATCGCGCATCCGGACGCGCGCAGCCGGCACACGAGGGGAGGGCCCGAGGGGACTCCTCATCTCTGCCCCCCCAGTAGCGTCCCCCAATGCGCTGGCGAAGCGGCGTCGATCGTCATAGGGCCAGTCCGCACGGGGACTGGTCACGGCGCGGGTGGGGACCAGCAAGAAGTGGAACAATACTGGAGCGCTTGGCCCATGGTGCTGCTTGGCAGCCAAGGATACGACCACCTCATTTCGCAGTGCTGATCGGAAGCGTGGAGGACGAAGGACGGCGGTGTCGTGGGCGTGTGGCTAGCCGGCAGCACGAGGGGCTCGGGCGGCGCCTGGTGGCAGCACCGCCAGGAACGCGCAGCACGCGGCCGCTAGCTCCCCCGCGTTAGCAGGCGGTGGCGGGCGTCAAGACAAGACTCGGGCGGCGCCTTTTTGCCGGGGGTGAGGGCCGCCCGCACTGGGGCCCATGTTAGCGGCGGCCAGTGCTCCAGGGGAGATTGCAGCATTCGGCACCACCACGCCCGAAAATAGCCAGGCTCCGGATCCCCAGAACTGCCCATGGCCTCTCAATTGCCTGATGCGGCCGGCTGCGCCATCCAGCGATCGCCCAGGCACAATCTCAACGCCGCCCCTGGCCGCTGGCTGCCTCCATCAAAAGGCGGGCTGCCCACCGTCCATCCAATCCCTCACCACGGCATCTAGCTCTCACGACCAGTGCAAGGCATTTGCCCCAGTCGCTCTTTTCCTCTGCTCGTTACCTCCGCTTCACTCTTTCAGCGGTCCGCTCTCTAATCTCTAATCTTTCTTGTTGCTGCACTTGTAATCAACATGAAGTCTGCTCTTATTGCCGTGGCCGCCACGGCCCTGCTCGGCAACGCTGCTGCTGCTGGTGTCCACGACCGCCACCAGGCCTTCCACAACCGCCGCAGCCCCCTCGAGGTCCGCAACGATGATGGCGAGGTCTGCGGTTGCACCACCTACGTGACCACCGTCACCGGCCCCGCGACCAGTGAGTCCCGCTCCCATCCCAGATGTCATTGCCACGCCATATTCTGACCCTCGCCAAACAGTCGTCCCCACCCCCGAGTACTCTGCTCCCGTTGCTCCCTCGAGCCCGGCTGCCGGTGTTCCCTCGGCCCCGGCCGGCTCCTCGCCCTCGGCCCCTGCCTACGGCGTTCCGTCCGCTCCCGCTGGCACTCCCTCGGCCCCGGCTGGCTCCCCTTCGAGCCCTGCTGCCGGCGTTCCCTCGAGCCCGGCTGCTGGCGTTCCCTCCAGCCCGGCTGCCGGTGTCCCCAGCAGCTCCAACGTCGCGGGCGTCCCTGGCTCCACCCCGGCTCCCAGCACCACCCCCGCCGTGCCCAGCCAGCCTGCTACGCCTGAGGCTCCGGCTCCCACGCCGGTCGTCTCTACGTACGCCACCCCGGGCACGTACACCATCCCGGCCACCACCATCACCGTCCACGACACCACCACTGTCTGCGGTGCTTCCACCACCAGCCTGACCCCTGGTGTCAACACCTACGGTGGTGTGACCACCTCGGTCGTGACCGCGACCACCATCACCTGCCCGTACGCCACCGTCGAGACGGCCGAGTCCACGACCACCAGCGTCATCAAGACCACCACCTACACTTGCCCGGCTGGCGGCGAGTACACGATTGTTCCTCCCTACACCACCAGCGTTCCGGAGGGCACCGTCACCCACTTCCCCACTCCCGCCACCTACACTCCTGGCACCTACACGGCCCCTGAGCAGACCGTGACCATCACCAAGACCAACGATGTCTACGTCTGCCCCGCTGCCACTCCTCTCGGTGGCACCCCCAGCGGCAGCTCCCCTGCCACCGCTGTCCCCACCAGCAGCGTCGACGGCGTTGTCGGCAGCCCGTCCAGCACCCCCGCCCCTGTCAGCACCCCCGCTGTTTCTGTCGGCACCCCCCTGGCTTCCACCCCGGCTGCTTCCACCCCCTCTTCTGCTGCCTCGTCCACCCCCTCCAAGGGTGCCGGTGGCTTCACCCACAACGGCAACCAGTGGGCCATGACCTACACCCCCTACAGCGCTGACGGCCAGTGCCGTGAGGCTAGCGGCGTCATGGAGGACCTGAAGGACATCAAGAGCAAGGGTTTCACCACCGTCCGTCTCTACGCCACCGACTGCGATGGCCTCCAGACCGTTGGTGATGCTTGCAAGGAGCTTGGTCTGCGCATGATCATTGGTATCTACGTCAAGGAGACTGGCCTCAGCGGTTCCGACATCACTGAGCAGGTCACCGACATCATCCAGTGGGGCCAGGGTGGCATGTGGGAGCTTGTTGACCTTGTCGTCGTTGGTAACGAGGCCGTCTTCAACGGCTTCTGCACTGCTTCTGAGCTCGCCAGCTTCATCACCAGCTTCAAGTCCAAGATCACCGCCGCCGGCCTGTCCCTCACCAAGATCACCACCACCGAGACGCTCAACATCCTCCAGGGCACCGAGTTCTCTGCGCTCTGCGATGCCATCGACGTCATTGGTGTCAACGTGCAGCCCTACTTCAACTCGGAGTGCACTGCCGACAAGGCCGGTGACTTCGTCGTCTCCCAGCTCGAGCTCGCCAAGAAGGCTTGCCCCAACGTCTCCGACGTCCTGAACCTCGAGTCCGGCTGGCCCCACCAGGGCAGCGCCAACGGTGCCGCTTCCGCCTCTGGCGACGAGCAGGCCACGGCCATCAAGTCCATCATCGAGAAGGCCGGTACCAACTCGGTCATCTTCTCGTACGGTGACGACTCGTGGAAGAGCAGCGGCGAGTTCGGTGTCGAGCAGTACTTCGGTTGCGCCAGCCAGTTCGAGCTCGTCTCCGGCACCCTCAAGATCGGCGGTCTGTCCCTGTCGCTCGACATCGGCTCGGACGGCATTGACCTCGACCTCGACCTCAACCTCTAAGCGGCTCGTTGATCTTTGTCTTGTCCGAAGGAAATTTCCTTAGTCCTTTGTAATTTCTTAGATATCAAATTCTCCTGTATCATGATGGAGCGTCTTCGTGTGCCTTAGCAATTGTGTAGCATGAGGAGGATTGGGGAAAGAGCGGTTTTGAAATAGCAGTTGTATTGTTGTCGAAATCGAGGTGGTTGAACATCATTCCGTCCCAGCGCGCAGTGAAAAGAATTTGTCCGTGTAGTTTGCTTATCTTTCTAGTGTATAATATCTTGTCGTGTTGTTGCCTTTAGCAGAAGGACAAAAGAACGGGCCACCCAGAGATACGAATCCTCAATAATCCCGCTCTCGTGTGTATGACTTGCATGATGGCTGAGGAAGGAAAGCCACACGTGCATCTTTGTTTCGTGCTCGCTTACTTGAAAACACGTCTTCTCCACTGGCCTCCCCACTCTTCTCCATCCGCATGAAAACAGAGAAATCAAGCATAAACGCACCGACGTCGCCGAGAACCAGGGACTAGACACTTTCTGCAAACCTGGTCGCCTTGAAGCGAGCCAGGAGGATGTGGGATCATTTCATCTCGCTTCCTTCTCGCCTTGGCAACCCCCTCTGTCGTGCCATGATTTGAACGAATCGATAGTCAGTGCTTTTGACTCAAAGTAGTCTCGGCAGGCGGGATTGATTCTCCGTTCCTTTCTGTTTGTGTGCTATCTGTTCAATGATCAGGGTCCTTTTTTAACTTTCAGTTGAAAAGAGAGAAAGGTTAACGGCGAGTATGGTGAGGTGCTTTGGTTGACATTATTCGACTAAGGGCCTAGCGACAGCTGACTACCTACTTGATATGTTGGATGACATTGGGAACGCACAGAAGCGACTTTGAAGAGAGGGAAAAAGATGTTTGTGGCCGAAACACCAAGCCTTGTTCAACCCCACGGCGAGAATGGTAAACGAACTGGTGACTCTGAGAGCAGAAGCCTACTCGCGTGGCCAACTGGACTAGCCGCCACCGCCTCTGGACACCTTCATCCTGTCTACCATCTTCCTTGCCGAAGAGTTTCCAAGCCACGGCTGAAAGACTGTTCGGGACTTCCAAATGGATGATCAAATGGAAATTAGATAATACAACGTGGCATAGACTCAGTATGAAAGGTTCGTGTAGTCGAGAGGTGAGAATTCCCAGCTGATGACGATTGAAGCAGCCTATAGATTATGCGAGTAGATCGCAACCTTTCATCGCAATTTCTGGTCCGCATCGAGCATGTTCCACCTATGGGGAAGAAATCAATTCCAACTACGATGGGGATGCCCGTCGAGCAGATTGCATCGACGGAAAAACGTTTGAAACGAAGCACGCCTCGCAACAGCGTTGCTGTCGTCACGTTGGCGAAGATGCGGGCGGCTTCCACAGGGCGGCACAGTTGCTGGCCGATGACGATGTGATACCTGTCATCACGGTACATGACTTTGAAACCCCTTCCAGCAAAGGCTTGGATTTGCTTCGAGCCTCCTGGAAACGCACCGTATGTAGTCATCTCTCACGTGTGGTCCGATGGGCTGGGCAGTCCGAAAGCAACACTCTTCCGGGCTGCCAGCTGCGCATAGCCCAAGGCTATGTCAACGACTTCACTTACGTAGCGTTGTGCAGTAATCCCGTCCATGGTTGGATATGCCTTCCCGACTGAAGTTAGATAGCCTCTCAGCCCAACTGTTAACAGGTAATAGTTGAAGTGTAACGAGTCACTTACTATTTGACACGGACTTTCTCGACACGGGGCAATGGCCCTTCTCTCCCTTGAAAGTTGCACACAGCATATCGAAGACATTCGTGATCTGTGTGTATTCCTACATGCCACAGGTTTTTCATCTCCACTGCAACGACCTGCACTCCGCTCAACAGTACGAAGTCCAAGAACATCACCCACTTTGGTAAAACTTTCCGCGGGAGAGAGAAGCGCGCGTGGAATAGAATATCGTACAGAATCAAGATAATACAATTCAAAAGTGTGTGGCCTTCTGTTGCTTTGCGCCTGAACTTTTCCCATCGGCGATGTACCCTTGACACACAAGATCCAAGCAAGCAGGTCCAACAAAGACGCATTCCCTCTCTCCGTTTCTCTCGAAGCGCATAGTGTCTCGCAACACGTGTGCTCACCATCCTCGCAATGGCGCCTCCCACGCTCATATACTCCTTTAGCTCCGCCGAATGCAGGTCCAATCCACACCCTCCAGCCAAGCCCATCTATACCAACAACCATGAAAATGCTTCCATCCAAAGAGAATGGAAAAGAAGAAGAAGAAGTGAAAAGGACCGTGGGCCGACTTTGTTAGTCCGTCGAGCAGAAACCCCTTGACAATTCGATCCGCAAATGGTGGCCAAGGAAGTGAAAGGGAAAATCCAACTGAAGAGAAGAAGGTGGCCGTTGCCTGAAGACGAAGAGCTGCGTATTCGTCCTGAGCTCGTGAAGTTCGTGAATATTAAAGAATAAGAACCATTACCAGCATCCCGCCTCTTTGATTGGAAGCTTAGAAATCCCAGAAGGAACCCCCGGAAGTCTTGTTGGGGTCCCTCATCGTAGTGATCTTCCTGCCGGTGATGGTGCTCCTCCCCTTGTCCTCCTCAGCGTCGTCCTCTCCAAACATCCAGTCGCGGTTGCTGCCCTTCTTGCCACCCATTCCGTCACCACCAATGTTGATGCCACGCTCCTTGCGGGCGGGCTTGTCGGTGGATTCCCAGTTGGCGTCCAGGTCCTGGTACAGCTTCTTCATCCCGCCGCCGTTGGTGTTCTCATTGTTCGGCTTGGCAACGTGGGATGGGTTGGGGCTGTCGTCACTGATTTCGAAAGAACTGCCAATGTGCTTGTTGGAGTTGGTGTTCTTGCTGGTCTCGCGGAGCGGGCCATTCTTGCCCATCTCTTCCTCCTCGTCAAGGATGGGGTCCTGGTAGAGACCAAGACCCTTGCTGTGCTTGTTGCCCTTGCCGCTGACTTCCTTGGTCCTCTGAGCCACAGGGGTAGCTTCGTCGTCAAAGTCGAAGTGAGTCCTGGCATCCTTGCGCGGCTGGTGCACCACGGGACGCTTGACGGGAGATTCCTCGGGTTCCTATAGAAAGCGTGCACATGTCAGCTCTACCGCAAAATTCGATTTACTATCCGGCATGCATCGCCACCCAGGGCGAAAGTACGTACCTCGTCGTCACTCCATCCGATTGACTTGGTGTGCTGTGGCAGGATCTTGGTGCGCGTCTTCTCGGGGGTCGCAAAGTCCTCGAATCCCCATTGCGGCGTGTGCTTCTTGGACTTGGAGGCCGGCCTCTGCTCGGCCTGGGGAGCATCCTCGCCCTCGCCGAACTCGAAGTGGTTATACTTCTTCGCGTTGGATTTGATGCCGCGATGCGCGGGTTCCTCCTCCTGCGTCTCGCCTTCATTCTCAAAGATTCTGATCGGGTGGTAGTGCTTGGCAGCGCCGGCCTTGGCGGGAGAAGCGCTGCGCTCAGGCGCCTGGTGCTCGGGGGAGATGATCTCGTGCAGGCCGCGCGACACTGGCTTGCTCGCCCTCGCGCGCTCCACCCTGGGTCCAGAGGGTGTCTCGGGCTCGTCTTCCTCCTCACGAGGCGCAAACAGAGACAAGCTCGCGTGAGGGTCGGTAGTGGCACTGGTGTTGCTCCTGCTGGTCTGGGGCCTGCTCCCGTTCTCACTGTCGCCTGCCGAGGTGTTGCGGCGGGAAGGAGCGCTGGAAGCGGCGGGAGCGCTGGCGGCGCAAACGTTGATGAGGCGGATCTGGTCCTTGGCGTCGCGGATGGGCCAGTTGCGCGCGCGGGCGCCGATGACATCGACCTGCTTGAGAAGCGAGGCCTGGTCCCAGTGCATGCGAATCGAGACGATCTTGTGCTCGGCGTCGAACTGGACAATGTGGATCTACGCGCGCGAGGGCTGTCAGTCGCGGTCTCGGACAGAGGGCGGATCCGGACGATCTGGGGTGCTTGGGTGCTTACCACAGGGAACGTCACGGTGCGGTCGGCAATGAAATTGTCATCCAGGCCCGGGAGGTAGGCGCCGCCGCCGTTGACGAGCTCCAGGGTGGTCTCGACATCGAGGCAGAGGCCATTGCTGCTCTCAATGGTGCTGAGGATCTTCTCGGCCTTCTTCTTCAAGAGCTTGCCCTGGGCGACCAGGTGCTTGAGGATGGCGGTGGGCTCCGTCACGGTGGTGGTGGTGGGGACGTAGTGGAGCGAGGCGCCCGGGGCCAGCTGCGCGGTGGCGGGGGCGCCGAGGAAGGACTGGTATGCGGCGCTGAGAGCCATGGTGCAGCTTGGACCGGGTGCTGTGCGACTCGGCGGGCGCTGGAGGCGGCGATCGATGCGTGGTGGTGATCGGTGCAGAGGCGAAGTGGGGGCACTGGAGGCAATTGGCGGGGAGAGGTCGAGGGCAAAGGTAAACAGAGGGAAGGCGGCACTGGAGGTGGCTCTGGCCGGCAGACGGCGGCAAGATATTGGGCAGAAGGCCTGAGTCAGCAGCGTGTGGCAGGGGCGGCGCAGGACGCGCGCTGAAACACAGGAGAGCCCTGCAATTGCTACGCAGCACGCTGCCAGTGGCTTTCTGCGCTGTTGTGGCCTTCTGCTTCGAGCCCGTTGGTCCGCTCCCGCCTAGCGCCTCTCCCGCCGGGCGCCATGTCCAGCCCTGCGCAAGGGAAGTGGGAACCTGCAGCATCGTCTTCCTTTCCGCACGCTACCACACGCGTGCAACGTCAAAATCGCCCGCTGCCCGCTGCCCGCTGCCCGCCGTCGCCCGTCTGCCGCCGTCCTGCCAGCCCAAGTCTGGATGCCCAGCCTGCTGACGCGCCCGCGCAGATACGCGTCGGAGGTGCGCCCAGTTCGCGCCCAGCACGGATCGTCCTCCAGGACGTGGGGTGCACATCAAACACACCATTGCCGCCTTCGGCTCCATCCGCGAGCGACCGGCGCCGTCATTTGAGCGCGTATTACCAGCCCTACAATACCTCGGTCACGCATGCAGCATGCTCACACAGCGGCTTGAATAATGGCAGAAGGAGTGGCGGCTCTACAGTCCGCGCATAATTAAGGAGAGTGGCTATGACAAAAAAAACAAAAAAGCAGAATGGAAACAATGCAACGCCGGTAAACACCCATTGCAAAGGAATGACTGGAAAGCAATGAAAAAGTCGCCCGTCATCGCGCGTCGTTGCAAGTGCCTCGCCGAAGAATGCATGCTTCCGAGGGGGCAGCAGCGCAGCAGCAACGTCTCTATTTTCCAACCCATCCTCCATTAGTACCCCTGCTGCTCCCCCTCGGCATCGAAGCACGTTTCCCAGCAAAGCACCTCCGCCGGAAAGTCTCTCTCGACGCTCGGCCGCTCGCGCACAAACCACGCCAGCCCAGCACCTGCCGCGCCAAACACGGCAAGGCTGGTCCACAGCGCATAGTTCGTTGCTGCCACGCTGTAGTCGGTGCTGAGGTAGAAGCTTGCCCCGCTGACGGCCACCGCGAGCGCCTTGAACAGAGAGGCCGCCTGCATGAGCCCGATGACGGTGCCCGCCGAAAACGCGTCGGGCGCCACGTTGAGCATGAGCAAGATGACCAGCACCTGCGCTCCTCCGGCAAGAAGATGCTTGATCATGATGGCCGCACTGGAGATGACGGCCGTGACCGGAGTCGAGCACATGGTGAGGAACGCCAGCAGCGGCGTGATGATGTAAAGAGCCGGGAAGAAGAGCGCGCAGGAGCGGAACGGTCGCAGAAGACCAAATCTTTCAATGATCTTCGGCACAGCATGGAGGATGATGGCCCCTGCGATGGCGCGAACTGCCAGCAGTATCAAACCAAGCCAGTCGCAGGGGATGCCCATCCCTCCATGCATGGAGCTACTGTGGCCCAGATGCGGGAGGACGACGTCAAAGGAAGATGCATGGAGTGAGAGCAAGCAGAAAGAGCACATGAGGACAATAAGGGAAGGTGCCTGGAGAAACTGAGCGATGGAGATGGGCTCGGGACGGGTGAAGTCGACGATGCGGATCGAAGGCATGTCGGAGGAATCGTCTGGAAGAGGTTGGCCGAGGAAAGCAGCCTTCTCGCAGTCCATGTCGGACTCGTCAGCAGAATTGGAAGTCTGGGGAAGCGTCTAAAAAGAGGTTAGTGACTGTGTCAGGTTGAGAGCGGGCGAAGAGTCGTGACGTATCCCACAGGTCTTGGGCATCCATCCACGACAGCCACACGGTCGATCCCAGGCCATTGCAGCAGGACAAATCCTAATGGGTACACACGGGAGCCGTAAAAGCGTCGAAACGCTGCTACTCCTGCGCTTTCGCGCGAAGAGCTCCTCGGATTCCCCATGTGGACATGCCCTGTCCCTACAATCAGGCTGGAACCTCCCAAGCAGCGCGGCATGCGTAAGTCGTGGGTGTGGGTGAATGCCGCAAACCAGCAGGATATGTCGTTTCCCTTCCCTGAGCTCAGCAGGGTTGAATCGTGGTGACAAACCTCCTTGAGAATGAAAGTGGCAGCAATGGTAATGACGAAAACCAAGCTGCCACAAGCAATCTGGCTGCTAAGGATTGGGAATTTCTCCCAAATAGCGCCATGAGCCTTGATACTTCCTGCGACCATACCCTGGATCAATGGGCCGATGGATCCGCACACGCCAACAATCGGCAGCCTGGATACGTTCTTCGTCCTCTCCTCCGGGCTCTGGCTGACGTCTCCGAGCATGGCAAGTGTGCTGACAACGACGGCGGAACTGACGAGACCGGCAACGAAACGGAGAATGGTGCACGCAATCAGATCAGTAGCGAAACCCATGGACAGGCAGCAGGCCGACATGCCGTACAAGCCCACCAGCGCAACGGTCCTTCGTCCTACGCGATCGGCAAGATATCCCCAGAGAATGCCGGCGGCAGCGCCAAAGGCGTAGGCGCAGTCGAGGATGCTGCGGAGATACGAGTCGGAGAGCGTGCTGCAATACTGTTCGTTGCTGGAGACGAGCATCTTGAGCTGAGGCTGCAGGCTGGACGCCATGATGCTACACAGACAGTCAGCGATTGCGCTGGACGTGGACTCGACGGGGTTCGTACGCTTCAGCGAGGAAGACGACGTAGATCCAGGTTAGTTGGGTGTGGTTGGTGCCGGTGGGATCCGTCACTTCCGAGTCGTACTCGTCCTCGTCGGTCATAAACTCCTGCTCCTCGATACCAGCTACCTTCTCATATTTGGCCAGGTCCTTGACCGGAATCAAGGACCGGGTGCGACGGTGGAAACCGAACATGATGATTAGTTATGTACTGCGGCGCAAAGCCGGTAAAAAGGCGTATGGTAAGGCTGAGAGAGAGCGTCGTTGGGTCGCGGCCAGCGCGGGGGTGAAAGTGGAAAGGCTAGAGACTGTGGAGGTCGGATGGACCAAGTGTGGTGTTGATGGTTGCTAGAATGAGCGGCGGGCAGGCGCTGCAGACATAGCTGTAGTCGCGATGCTGGGCGTGTGAGTTGTTCTTGGAGAGAGGATCGCGCGAGAGGGGAGGGTCTGTGATGGAGCAGCAGCAGGGAGAGCCGCGTGCTCGGCTGCCGTCGTGGTCCTTGCGGTGGCACATTCGGCATGGCGCGCCCCAAAATAGGCCAGGGGTCCGCCGGCTCCCAGGCCTCTGTTTGACCATCCGTACGCGAGCAGCGCTCCGCGTCGAAGCAGTCGGCGGCGATTGCTGCGGCCCACAGCAAAAAAACCCTTCGTGTGGCCGCGGGCGCTTCGAGCGCATCGTGTGATGCAGCAGGCCCGCTTATCGCCGCTGCACAAGACGCTCTTGCCCAGGCGATGGCGCTAGCCCGTCGGCGGTTCCTGGTGATGATGATACGCGCTGGCACTGCCGCTCCCGGAGCCTGCCGCCCGTGATTGGCCACGACCTACGCGCCCGTCTAGCGCGATAACCTGCGTCAAAAGCCCCGGCCGCTCTTTCCCAATCGGCCTTTCCCTGGGCCTCAAGTCCTCAACCGCCCGACGTCAGCGCCGCGCCTGCGACTCGGAAAACCCACGTTGCGACGACGATCACCTCGGGCAAGCCCCCACACGACAGCTGATCGCATCCGGCAGGGCTAGCAAGTAAAAAAGTGAGCTTGGCCGCTCCTAGAGTATTGATATTGGTAGTAAATCTACATCGCCCATCACGCGCACCCAATGCATGGAAGTTCCCGGCTCCCAACCCCTTAGCAAAGCACCCATCGCTGAACGAACGGACAAGTAAACAGCTCCGCCTGCCGGATCAAAATAAAACAACGTGCGCCGCAAATGCAAGATGGAAATCAATCCGAGATGACTCTGTCCGTGCGGCAGAAAGCTCAAGCCGCCTGCTGCAGAAAACGCCCGCTAAAAGTACAACAAATCTACAAAGCTAGAGATCATACAGTCGTCAAACGAACGTTAGAGTGAAGCGTAATCGTAGAAGAACAAGCTCAGTCTACTGCTTGCCCTTTTTGACTTTGTGGAAGAACTTCCTGACCAGGTTGCCCTGTCTGGTGTTCAGGTTGACGGCGAAGGGTCCATGCATGCCAGTGGTATCCTCGCTCACCGGCGGGAGTTCTTCGAGCGCCAAAGGATCGGCTTCCTTGGGCGCTTGTTGTTGCTGCTGCCAGCCGTACAGCATCTGTTCGTCGGCGCGCAGATCCGGCCGCGTGAGCGTCATGCGGAGTGTCATTTCCCGGTTGCTCGGGAATGTTTGTGGATACACGTCCGGTGACCTCCTGGCTCTAGTCTGCAGAGTGGGTAGGCCATTCGAATCCAGTGACGAGTAGTTGGACTTGGGGATCTGCGCCGCCGTGTGGAAACTTTCATCAGGATCGGCGGGCGTGTCCGGGGTGTCGAGGTCGGCCAGGCTGCTCTCCTCGTCCGACTCATCGCCGATATCGCTGTAGTCCAGGAATGAAACGGCGTCGTCCCGGAGGAAGTTGTGCAGGTCGCGGCTGGCTTGGCGCTCGAAGAGGGTGGCGCGGGACGACGGCTCGGGCGAGCCCTCGGGAGTGGATTGCTGCGTGGCATGCTGCTTGTCCAATGGGAATCCATACTCCACCACCTCATCGAACTTGTGGGGCGAGGCAAGATAGAGGCGTAACTTCATGCGGGCTTCCGGGTCCTGGTAGTATTTGGTCTCCGACTCCACCTCCCCACCGTAACGAAATGAGCCGGTGTTTGTGGTGGTGGCTCTTGGCCGCTGGTTAGTTTGCGGGGCGGGACCGAACAGAGGAGAAGGGAGAGGCGGAGCAGAAGACGTGGACAGTCGTCCAATGGTATTAGAGATTGACACCGTCCTGCGGTAAGAGGCTCGCCTGTGGCCGGTATTAGGGCGAGAATGTGTCTGGGGGGGCGGCATGTCTTCTGGCAGTTCCTGGGTTTCCCGAGAAGAAGAAAAGTAGGCGTCGATCACGGAGTCTCCTTGCGAGGACCTGGATCTCCTCCTCTTTTCAACAGGAAGCGGAGAGGTCTCGTGATCCTTGGGCAGGTCTGATGCACTGTCTGAGTCCAGCAGAAAGGTCTCACAACGTCCGGCCAGCAGAATTGCCTCCTCGCGACTCATACAGGACTTGATGACCTTGTCCGGAAGGGAGAGAAACCATTGAGCCTCCGCCTCGGTAATGTCGCCGGCAGTGTGCGCCTTCCGCAGCCGGCGGCGGCCACGGCTTTCCGACCTGGGTTGGCTGTCGCTGCGCCGGGAGGAGCGCGAGGTCTGAGGCCGCCGGGGCATGCGGTTGATGTCCGGAACAGGGTGTGCGGCGTGTTCCATTCTTAAACGCTCCAGGGACGAGAAATACTTGCGCCTAGACGTTGCAGTAGAGTTAGCAGCGCGACGGGGTGCGGAAGGAGCGACCAAGCTGCATGCGGGACGGCACATGGCGCCAGCACTGCGGGCGACAACGGCGGCCTCGAGCCGGGGCAGGCGCGAGCACCGAATGGCCAAGCGCGGTGAGACAGCGTTCCATATGGCAGCAAGCCGGCGGAAGGAGGCGAGGCTGGATGGACTAACCGGACGGCATCAGGCATGGACTCGTACTCGGCGGCGGAGAGCAGCGGCGCGGGCATCCTGGAAGGAGGGAATGGCTTGGAGCTGGAACCCTCGGTGGTGACGGGCCGTGAACGGCTGCGAGAGGAATGGGTGCGGGCGTGCTGAGGTAGCGGGCAGACAGGTGCGCGGGGGAGAGCGCCTGCAGGGCTTATATTCCTGCTTCGTCCAGGCCTTGGGGGCGGAGGGGCCATGATTGGAGCCGACATCGATGCAGATTGCTGAACCGCGGCTGCGGGAGCCATAGTAGCTTCGCGCCTTGCAGGTGGATGGCGTTGTGCCTCGCATTCGCAGCAGCTAGTCGCAGCGCCGCGCCGTAATAATAGACGCCCTGATGCTCCCGAATCGCAGGGATATAGACGGTAAGGCCCTGGGCCCACCGCACGCGCCCTAGTGCCTGTGTCACAGCGCCAAGCACGGTCGTCCAGGCTGCTCGTTGGCTGCGCACAGACGGCGGCCGGGGTCGGGCGCCCCTGTCACTGTGAGCTGTTCGGCACGCGCTGTGTGGGTGCGGGCTGTGGCACTGTGGGCACCCGCCCGTCGTCGCGCGGCCGTCGCTGCCGTTTGCTCGTCTTGGGACAGCGCGGGAGCGACCAGCTGAGCGCGACTCCGCCGCGTGTTCGCAGCTCCGCGACTCCGCGACTCCGCGACTCGCATGGACTGCAAGGGCGCGCGGCCTGGGGCCGGGCGGTGACAAGGGGCCATGGGGGCATGAGATGAGAATGGACAGCCCGAGCAGCGCTGGGGGACGCGTGACGCTCCTTGCTGACGGCGGCGATGGGCGTCCTGGGGCCAGAAAGGCCGTCGACGATATCGAGTAGCCGGACTTGTCCTGGCCTCACCTCCGCGCGGCGGCTGCTGCGCTGCTGCGCTGCTTGCTGCGCTGCGACGGTGGCGGGCGAGCGGCGCTGCACTGCACTGCACTGCACGCTGCACCGCTGCAGCGCTGGAGCCAGAGCGGAGCAGCGCACGGCGTGGCCTCGACTCCAGTCTCCATCTCTTCGGCAGCCATGCAGGGAAGCAGCTCGACGTTTCATGAGCCCTTTCTCGCCGGGGGTGCCTCTGCTGATCCTGCCTCCTTCAACGGCCCCTCTCCGTCAGCTGTGAGCCATGTACCTAGTTAGCCCGCGGCTGCATGCGACTGGTGACGCTGGCCGGCGGCAGATGCCATGCACCACGAGGCCTTGTTGGGCTCCGCATCCCGGCGCCGACGTCAACGGGAGGCGGCGTCGTTGCAAATAAGGGCGTTCCCGCCGCGCGATCTCGCCGCGGCGCTAGCAGGAGGCCCTCACGCCCTCCACCTCGGTCGGCGTCCTGGGAACACGGAAGAGCGGTCTGCGATGCAGGCTACGAAGAAGGACCCGGCAGGTTGGCAACGTCAGTCCGGTCAAGCGCCACCCGTCGTGATCGCCCGCGCGACCAACACGCCCCACGAAGCCCGTCGCGTCGCAGCCCTCGCAGCCCTCACAACCACCTCGCCAAGCTGAGACGCTCGCGACTGCATTGCCGTCCCGCCCCAGCTGCAACACCAACACCGCGGGCGTTTGGGGCACTGCAGCGCGGCTCCAGCGCGGCTCGGGCGCGGCTCGTCGAGCTCTCGCGCCGAGCCCTGACGCCGCGCTCACGCTCAGCTCCAGCCACCGTCGAGCAGCAATACCCACTCGGTAACAATGCAGGCACAAAAGCAACGGAGCCACTGTCAGATCGGCTACCTCGGAGCTCCACCATTTCCTTCTTCCGGCAGCGCGGCCCCAAACGCGGCCGCGACACGGGCCTCCGTTTGCCGACGACCTCAATGCATCCATGTCCCTGCCGTCCAAACTTCCCGACCGCCTTGGCTCAATAACCTTTTCTGAACCTTGCAGCCTGAGCAAACCAAACGCCCTCCGCTGCTCCCTTCCCAGACAAGCATGTCCGCACGGCACGTTTGCGCCTGGCCGGCCTGTGAAACAATGGCGCGCCGCCGCACAGTGACGAGGCTTGATCTTCGATGAGATTGTGCATTCCAGAAGACTGGGAGGAATCCTCCATTTTTGACTTTGCCTCATCCATTCAGCCCCAGCTCCCGAGAGCCCAATTGGGCTTCCCACGCGGCGAAAGCCATTGCCGGTTATAGCGGGTGCATTTATAGCATCTCAGCATTGATGCGTCTGCAGCCGAGGTACTCCAATACCACCCAACCTCTTGGCCCCGATCGATAACCACACATGGTTATATGTGCAAGGCTGGTTTTAACAGTTGCGTCAGATGCGTGGCCGGAGCTGCTCGGTAAGGGAGTGGGGATTGAGTTGTGGACTGACTCACGCCATGCCGAGCCACAGGCTACGACGACATGTCGTGCCCAGGCTAAGCTTCTGGTGTCGAATGCATGGCCCAACACGGGAAAGAGTATCATTCAGATCGTCGTTTGCTACGAGGATAGTGGTCAACTGACACAGCCGTCTGGCTTTTTGACCCGGGGTCATGGTATCATGGCAGCTCCAGACATTGACCCTATAGGGCAAGGCGGACACTCACTCGCTTCTTATCACAAACTCTGGGGTTGGCGGCTACATGCATGTGCACATAGAAGCCCCTCCAGCAACCACACCACCGTGGGCATGGCCACGTAGGCACCCATCGTCACTGCAAACCGCCATCACTTGACGGCCTGCGGCAGTCCAAGGCACACCCGTGAAGATCGCTGTTGGATTGTCCGTCTTCCGTTCCATGGATCCCTTCATTAGCCGGCCAACGTCGTCATCACCGAGCAACTGCGAACAGCACGGGTTGCACCTGAAATTGCTAGGCCAACAATCAACTCGCCCAGTGACTGTCGCAAGGTGAGCACGCGTCCTTCCCCTCTTGTTTACATTGTCTTTCCCCACTCTCCAGCTACGGAGAAGCCCGTCGTCGGTCACACAAAGGGGAAGCGCGACACACACTGCACACGCACAATGCATCATCCTGGATGGGGCATCGTGGGACGCAGCGGCGGGGGCGGGGGCGGCCGGCGCCGATGTTGGTGGTACGCGCGCCCGCCCGCGGCACCGCCTTCTTACAATTTTCCACGTGTGTGGGAAATTGTTATTTGTGATTTGGAAGGCAAGGTAGGCTGGCGTAGACACCTGGGCAGGGGGGCAGATGGTGGTGGCGGTGCCCTCTGCCCCAGGCACCCTGTTGCTGCCATCCTTTTTCCCCAGAATGTAGATCAGCCGATGCGAGACATTGCATCCATCTGGCCCCCCCTGGTCTGTTTTCTGGAGAGAGACAAGGCAAAAGCGGCTAATAACAACAATCTCTTCAACTCCACTCCAATCTCGTCGTGCGAAGGAAGAAACAGGCCCGATTGAGGCTCGCAATTAGCCCTTGTGGATTCCTTCTCTCCGGTCATGGGATCTGCCGAAATATAGTAGGAAAAAACGTGGAAGAACGGCTCTACAGCCACTCGAGTGTAGGAGCCGGCTTTTGGCAGGATTAGGCCGAGCGCGGGACAAGAGTAGTAGTACGTAGTGGAGCAGAGCACATGAGTAGTGTAGAAAGATCGGTGAGGGTAGTAGCGCGCTCTAGAAGGTTGCTCCAACTAGGATCCTCGGCGCGCCACAACTCTCATAGCGTGATGGCAGCATTCCGTCCTGCGCCGCGCACCGGTGAAGGCTTTCTCCGAGCAACCAGCCGCGCCAGCGCGGGCAAACGTCAGCCACTGAATTCGGATCGTCGCTCGTAACATGACACTGCCTTCCGGCTGCTGATCGGAACTGTGACATCACATCTCAGACAAATCCAATGCACGGCATGCAGGAAATCTAGAAGCTTGACGAAGCTCGGCTGTGCGGAGAGAGCGGGGAGGAAAAAGAAAAGAAAAAAGCCCAATTAATCTCTTGACAAAACCGGAATCACCCTGAAGTATCCTTAATTCGTCCCAACCTGGTGTAGCAAAGCCGCCCATGGTGCTACGCGTTCCGTTCGCGTCCTATCTCCCGAAACCCGACTCCCGACTCCCGACTCCCTCGGTCTCCGAAAAACGCCGGCCATCCGTCTCGTTTGACATTACTGCAGCTAGGTACCAGGGCCCGGCGCGCAGCCGTTTCACGACTTTAGAACAACGTCGCTGTTGTGCGCGTTCACTACTACTGCGTCAATTCGCCCGTCGTCGCCGACCTTTTTTTTTTTTTTTTTTTTACTCCTGCCTTCATCAGAACTCAAAGTCCTTCCTGAACTTCTCAATGTCCATGCCAGGGCCGACCATGTCGCCCAGGTCTCGCCTGTTCATCTGGCTGAAGACTCGCCTGAGCGTGTCGTACAAGTTCGTGCTCTGGTTCTGGCTGATCATCCGGTCGAGCTCCGCCTCGTCGACGTTGTCGCCCACGACCTGGCGCGCCTTCTCGCGGCCCTCCTGCTCGACCACCTTGTGCATCGCAAGCGCGCCGAGCAGGTGCTCCGCCGCCTCCTCGTAGCAGCCGATGTTGATGCAGCTGACCCCGAGGTTGTAGCGCGCGCGCACGAAGTTGGGCCGCAGTGCCAGCGCGCGCTCGTAGGCGTCGATGGCCTCCTCGCTGCGCCCCGAGTTTGCCAGCGTCGCGCCCAGCCGGTTCCACAGCAGGTGCACCTGGTCCTGCTGGTTGCTGGTGCCAGTTTCCGTGCTGGCCAGCGCTGAGCCGAAGCAGTCGACCGCCTTGTCGTACTCCTCCGCGCCGTAGAAGAGCACCCCCAGCCCGACTTGGACGTCCGGGTCCATCTGCTCTCCCGCCGGCGAAAGCTGCGCCGCCTTGATGAACAGATCCGTCACCTTCTCGTGCAGGAGATGGCGGTCCGTGAAGCCTACGTCAGCGGCCGTGGAGACGTCTTCAGGCTTGATGAGCTGCGGGTATTTGGTGGCAAGCCATCTCTCCAGCGTCCTGTAGGCGGTGCTGTCGTACCCTTCGTTCGTATAAGAGACGGCGAGACCCATGAGAGCCTCGAGGTTATTAGGATCAAGTTTCATGGCTTGCTCCAAGGCTCGAATTGCCGGAGATTCTTTCTCGTTCTGTGCCTGGGCTGCACCCAGTTTCGTCCACGCCTCGACATGTTGAGGATCCTTTTGCACTGCCGCCTCGAAAGCGAGCGCGGCCAAAGACAAGTTGCCACCATTCTGTAAGATGGCGAGCCCTTCTGCAAATGGATCGGTGACGTCCTTAAAAGGGTTCGTCTGCTCAAACATGTAGTCGCCCATGCTCGGGTCGCGCAGGGAGGAGTGTGTGTTCAGGCCATCGAAGCCCTCCCATTGTTCCAAATCGCCCATGTGCATATTTTGAGTGAAATCGTCGTCCGCGAGAGCTCTGGCATTTGCGGTCTCAGCTTGTATGCCCCGCCAAATGCTTTCAAAACCGCCAAACTCGTTAGTCTCGGAAAGGACTGACCTGTCTATGTCATTCAACTCCGCCTCCATTGCTGCATTCGCTTCCTTGTCCAAAGCATCCATGTCTTGCTGGCCTGTCGTCTCGAGTTGTGCGAATTGGGCCTCCCAGTCCTTGTCATCAAGCTCCACCATCCGCTCCTTGCCCTTGGACTCTTGCGGAGCTTGCTGAAACTGTTGATTGTGCATCATAGGAGATCCCATCATGCCCATTCCCATTCCCATGCCCATGCCCATCCCCATGCCGTACATGGGACGCTGGTAGCCCATCATCCCCGCGGGGCCGCTTGTAACCGGACTTGCTGTTCTGCCTGGTGCGTTTGTTCCCATCTGTTCGAACTTGGCAAACTCTGCAGCACTGAAACCCGGGCGCGCGTTTTGGAAGGCGGGGCCGACGGGACTTGCTTCTCTGCCGGCGTCGAATTCGGCGGCCCAAGCGGGCGAGGCATTGTGTTGGGCACGCGAGGCTTGCTCCAGCTCTCGGCGCATCTGCTCCATGGCGAATGGCGAGGCCGGGCCGGCGCCTTGGGGGAGGTGGGATTGCTCGCGCATGAATTCGTCCATCATCTGCATCATCAGCCGTCAGCGCTTCCGCTTCCCCGCCCGGTCGAGCAGCTGACACGTACATGCTCTTGGCCTCCAGGCATGGCTTGACTGCGCATTCCCTCCTGCATGCCCGGCCCCCGGCCGACCAGGCGATCTCTTTGCAGCGACTTGTCATCCTGTACGTGCTTTGTGAACTGGCTGAGCGGGTTGCCGGCGGTCGAGCACTCGGCGCCTCCGAGGAAGGACATTGTGAAGGCAGGTTTCTGTGGCGCAAAAGAAGAGGGAATCGGAAGAACGGCGCGGGAGGTCGATGATTTGCAGGACGGGCGAGCGATCGGGGAATGCGCAAGGCAAAGGGTTGGATGTGGGGTTGAAGACTCTCGGGCAAGGGAATGGACGTAATCAAGATGCCGCGGCTACGGTCGGTCGGTCGCCGCTGCCGCCGCCATCGCCTCCGCCTTCCAGGGCTGGAATGCGGAGACCACATGCCGGCCCCTTGCACGTGTAAGCAGAGCCTCAGGCACACAAGGCCACGGCAAGGCAGCCACGCAGCCACCACGCAGCCAGGCCCTCGAGGCCCTCGAGGCCCTCGATGACCGCTGCCACGCGAGAGCCGGGACGCGTTGTCGCCATCAGATCGCCGCACTCCTCGGATCATCACTCCCTCGTCCCCACGACACGTCAGGCCCCGCGGCGCCCTGCAGCTCGTGCAGCTCCTCCCTCACCGTATGCCATGATCGTCACAGCAAAGCGTTCGTCCTGACTCGAAATACGATTCCAGTGACACGCTGGCCCACCAACGTCAAGCACCACACCTGACTCACGAATGCATCCATTGTTTGATCTCCTTGGCCTTTGCCAACATCGGTGACTCTGACATGCTGCTCGTATCCGCGCAGTCCAAACCCGCCTTTCAGCCGTACAACAATCCGTACTTCCACTCCGACTCTGGTACATCCTTGTACTTGATGCTGGTCGGGTGTTTGTGTCGCGCAGGCAGCACTCTGCGGATGTACAAGTCGCCTACATTGAAGGGTTCGTACTGCGGCTCCTCCCCAGCCGCGATGAAGCTATCCAGCACGTGGATGTTGGCGTCAGGGTCCGGTGTGAGAAAGAACGGCAGCGAGTAGCGCCTCTCCCCCGTCTGGTTGCGCACTCGGTGAACCGTCGCCACAAACCTCCCATTGGTCTGCCGCTCTAGATACTGGCCGACATTGCACACGAACGAGTTCGGCCTGGGCGGCGCCTGCACCCATTGACCGTCCTTGTTCAGGATTTCGAGAGCCGGGACCGAGTCCTGCAGGACCATTGTGAGCCCTGACGGAGAGTCGTGTTAGCTTTTAGCCGGTTACACAGCAGTCGGGATACTCGAGACCATCGGAACCATGGTATGGCCACAGTGGACTACGCCTTGAACGGAAGGACTCACAGGAGAAATCAGTGTGGGCTCCGAGACCGATGGTTCCGCACTCTTCCTTCGGCATTGGAGGGTAGTGCAAGGCTCGCATCCCGGTAATCGGAAACTTGAATATGCTGTCAAGTGCAGTTTCCTCCAGGCCGAATGCAAGCGCGAATATGCGAACCAGCTTCATCGCTAGCGGGAACACATGGCTGTAGTAGTTGTACAACCCCTCCCTCAGGAATGGGGCGTCCTTCGGCCAGATGTTCTGGGGCTTCTTGATGTGTGACGGAGGGTCGGCGCCTACTCTTCCCTTGTAGTCTTGCTCAGGCTCGATCACACAGTCGCCCATGGTGAAAGCTTCTTTGGAGTCTATGGCCTCGCGTTAGGATCGTTCCATATCGCTATGTCATGTCACTTAGCCATACCTCCTTTCGTTCTCGGATCGTTCCGCGTTTCCAAAGGCGGCTCATAACCTCTGATGGCTGGATTCTTCTGCACGTGCGCATCCATCTTTGTATCGTGGTCAAGCGCAAAGAACCTTTTCATTGTCTCGAACGCCTGGTTCAGCACTGCTTCGGGAATGCCATGGTTGGTCAAATAGAAGAAGCCGGAGACGCTGCAAGCATCATGTATTTCCTTGGCTATCCGCTTTTTCTCCTCTAGCGAAGGGCTGTCGATGTTCGAAATGTCTATCTCTGGGATTGAAGTGAACTCTCCCTTTGCTGCTTTGCTGACTTTGCGATAGGTTGCTTCAGAACCCGAATGGAAGTACACATACTACGGCAGTCAGCCTTGGAAATTTCCCACGCCATGGAAACCTATGTGGAGATATTACCTCCCCATCTTCGGCGGGCTCAGCGTGAGTTGTCGTCACAGTAGCCATTCTGTGTAAAGATCTTTGTCGACTGGATGTCACTGTAGAGCGTCAGTTGGCAGTCAAGTGTGAGTCCCTTTGGTTTTGAGCCACGCAAGAGGCGCCTTCCTGAAGCTTTTGTAATGGGGACTCACACCTTCGGACAGGCTTACCATTCGGTAAGTGATGAAGTCCGAACCGCTCTTATCGCACGCCCGACTGCTGCCCCGCAAAGGCAGCCGACACGCACGTGACTCTCACCCACTCTTGGCAAGGTGATGTGATTGAATGAACCTATCAGAGCATTTGTCGGACAAACCGCCAGACTCAACCTCACTTTATCTGCTACTGTGTCGGCGGGCTGCTGTATCGCACCGTATTCAAAGGTGAGATGATAGCAGAGACTAACATCAGTCACCTTGAGCCGCTGCGGTGAAGACAATCAAATCATTGGAGTCATCTCACATCTACTTTCATGCCTGAAGTGACGTACCAGGCTGCTCTCGAGCGATAGTCTTAAGACTGATACTTTACTCGCCGACTTCACCTTGTCTTGCAGCAAGAATAAGTTAGGTATCCATCCCCGTGTGAATTGTGCTATAACACGGAGGCTCCTTTGTAATTTTTCATCCTTTCCATCGTACTTCCAACATTTGAAATTGGGTACAGCAGAATTAGGGAGTTGGCGGGGTGTCTGGAGTGGGAGCGTTTGGCTGGACTTTTGGGAAGATTCCGGTTCGTATGGACACTTCAACCACGAACTTGTGGGGACAGTAGGAGCTGGACACGCATGGAGTCACGACCGAATTTCTTGGTAAAGAAAATTTGAAGTAGAATCTCAGTCAATCATCTATAGAAGCCTCTCCATTCCCATCTCAAAGCCATTCTCGAATTTTCTGTCGAATTAGATAAATGGAAAGGAAAAAGTAGACAGAGGCCTGAAGAAAGAACGGCCAGAGTCTCAAGAGCTGAAACTGCACATTAACCGCAGAGGGTGAATTGAAAGACACCGGTTGGTCCGGCACGGCACTCAATGGGGTGGGAGCATTGAGGGTTGTTGTTCATCGGTTGGCATGTGAGTTCAGAAGTGTAGTTGGCTTCGGGATCGTTCTCCGAGCGCGCGTGGCCAGGCTGCCATTCGGCCGGGCAAGGCTGGTCGCTGGGGGCGCAGTACAGAACTGAGCCGGTCCCTCCGTCGGATGAGTTGCAAAGGGAGGCGTCAAGTCGCTTCCCGTCAACAAGGATCTCTGCGTAACGAACGATGTCGGTGAAGGGATTGCCATCGACGACGGAGAGGTCTGCGGATAGCCACTGGACGTTGGGGTCTTGGTACCAGTAGGGAGTGTACTCCAGCTGGTAGACGTGGCCAGTTGCGAAGCTCGGGTCCTCTTCCTTCTGGAGTTTGATGGTGACTCCATGGGCGTGATCAGAAGCATCTGGGGAACCTTCACCGTTGCCGTAGACCGGGATGAACGCAGCGTTGTAAATCCCACCCCCAGCGGAGATCTTCTCCATAGGTGAGTCGAGGATTGCATTGCCGTCGGAGCCTGGCTGGCGGGTGGTTTTGGCCCAAACGTCGAAGTCGCACTTATTGACGACATGGCCAACCCAGTCGGCGGACACAAGGTCCACCAGAGCGACGAGAAGGAGGAAGCCTATGCGGCCGATAGATCAGTAGCATCTGTGACTTTGAGTATGGTGAAGATCTGAGGAGCAGTACAAGCGATGCGGAACTTCATGGTGAAGAATGAGGAGTGACTTGAAGAAGTGATACTCGGAGAATCAAGGTGGAGATTAGCGGAAGAAGAGTCTGCCAGACGATAATCTCGGGTTGAGGATGTAGAGGAAGAAGAGCAGGGTGTATAAAAGATTGGAGGGTTTATAGGTATAGGAGCATCGACCGGAAAGAGTTCGGCCCGGTGGTTGGCTGGGGCAGCTGACCTGACTACAGGCCGTAAGTATGAGCACCCTGATGTCTTGTGCAGGGTCCCATCGATTCGTCCAGTTTGGTGCTTGTGCCCGTGCCCATGCTTTTTCACTGCTCAGACACTTCGATGGCAGGAGCAGCCACCGTTTGAGAAATGGCCCTGAATGTTGGATCTGACCACCATAAAGGCTGCATTCAGCTGTCCAGAAGCAAGTGTCTTATAGCCCTGGATGTTGTTTGCGTGGCGCCTGTTTGAACTTTGGCTATTTGTGCACGGTTTGCGTTTTATGTAGCTCTGGATAGCGATCCATGCTTGCCATCAGGGAGGTCACCTTCCCGCTCAGTGGTGCGTCCTGTCATGTGTGGATGATAGAAAGGGACAATCTCATGCCGGAAACGTGCAATGACTTTGACAAACTTGTCACAGAAGCCACAGCCTCAAGGACCCTCAGCCAGTATCAAAAGATACCAACAGGGTGGGCAGCTGGTCCGGCTCAGTTTGCACGTGCAATATAGCTAATAGAGCAAGCATTCTAGATTAGTATGACCGCGGGAGCCGATGCCACCATAACGATCAATACTGGAGTCTCAGACTCCTGCAGTCCCCAAGCCGATGATCAGCAAGCCGTGGTGACACTTGGCATGACGTGTCCCCGCTGGCGTCCCCCGATCAGGGGCGCAGGCGGATCAACTCGCGGCGGTGCTGCTCGTCCGATTGCTGCCTTGTCGCATGTGGCTGCGGCTGGATAGGAGGCCAGCGCCGGTGGAGAAGGCAGAGGGTTCTTTTGAATCCTTTGGGCTGGCCGTTCCCGAAGCTGGGCAGGTGCACAGTACTGTGTAGCGAGAGTGTAGCGCGGAGAGGCTGGGGAGGCTGGTGCAAATTCGGCGCAGACCCCAGCAGCCGGCCCGTCGGCAGGAGGGTCAGGACGGGACTGGCAAGGTTTGACCGAAGGAGCCGCAATGATTGATGGGGCTGGCCATGGGTCGCGGTCGCACAGGCTCACGGCTCGAGCAGGCGGAACACGCGGGGATGGCACGGGCACGAGCGATTGAAGGAGGATGCGAGACAGGAACCGGCGAGAGGCAGGGCTCGGTGCAGCAGCCGGGGCGGTGGTGAAGCAATGCGGGGAGCAAGCTGGCTGAGGTGTGGGAGCAGTGGAGCTGTGACGAAGGTGACGACGGGCTCGGGGTCGGGCAGCGCGCGAGCAGGCAGCGATTGGGCAGGCCGGGCCCGTCGTGCAACATCATCAACCTCATCCTCATCCCCACCCGCCGGCGCGCAGCTGCTGGCTCACGGCCTCTTTCTTGTCGCGAGTCTGCGTCCAGCCCCCCAGCCGCACTGCCCCCATCCGCGCCGTCCAAGCCTCCCGCGCCCAGCGCCGCCGACCGCCCGAAGCTCGCACATTCCGCGGCCTCCCTACGCCTGCATCCCGCACCACCGCGCTCCCTCGACCGCTCCCTGAGCACCGCCAATCCGCTCCCGCTGCCGCCGGCTGCGCCGCCTCCGCTCGACCAAATGGCCTTCATCGGAGTCTACCGCGCCGTCTACGACTACGCGCCGCAGGGTGAGGGCGAGCTCGAGATCAAGGATGGCGACCTGCTGTTCGTCCTGGACAAGGACTCGGACGACGACTGGTGGAAGGCCAAGAAGAAGGCCGCCACCGACGACGAGGAGGAGCCCGAGGGCCTGATACCGAACAACTACGTCGAAGAGGTGAGTCTGCGAGCAGCCGCCGCCCGCCGCCCGCCGCCGGGGGGCCCGCTCGAATTGGCTCCGCCGCGACCTCACGCCGCGCTGCCAGCCATTGTCAAGCCGCAAGTGCGCTGACGTACAGGGAACCGCAGGCCCAGCCCCTCGCCAAGGCAAAAGCCCTCTACGACTACACCCGCCAGACCGACGAGGAGCTGTCCTTCACCGAAGATGCCGTCCTCGACGTCTACGACACCACCGATCCCGACTGGTCCCTGGTTGGCCTCAAGGGCGAGTACGGCTTTGCCCCCGCAAACTACATTGAGATTACAGAGGCCCTCGAGGCCGAGGAGCAGGCCCCGCCGCCGCCCCAGCGCCCTCGCATCCCCGATCCAGAGCCCGAAGAGGAAGAGCCGGCTGCCCCGACCCCTCCGTCTCCCGCTGCTGCCACCGAGAGCCCCGCTGCTGCGCTCGCCGGCCTCATCCAACAAAAGACCGGCCAAGCCCAGGCCGCAGCCCCTCAGCGCACGGTTGTCTCCCCTCCCCCGGCCATTAGCCTGCCGCCGCGCCAGCCCCAATACACCCCCGAGGAGTCGGACGAGGAGGCTCCTGCTCCCAGATTACCCCAGAGACCCATCTCCCAGGTCTCCTCGCAGCCGTCGCCCATCCCGACCCCGACCTTCCCCAATCGCGAATCGTCAAGCCGTTCCCCGTCTGGCGGTGTCATGCCCTCGCCGCCCTTTAACCGAGCATCCCAGCACCGCGTCGAGTGGGACGACGATGTGATCAAGAAGGATGTCAAGGTGCCGCAGGGCTACCACTTGTACAATATCCACGAAATGGTCTCGCACATGGGCAAGAGCAAGAAGATGCCAATGACTCTGGGCATCAACATCCCCAAGGGCTTGATTATGATAGCCCCGGAGAAATCAAAGGACGGTCCTCAGCGGGAGTGGACTGCCGAAAAGCTGACGCATTATTCAATCGAGGGAAAGCATGTTTTCATGGACCTTGTCAGGCCGAGCAAGAGTGTAGACTTCCATGCCGGCGCGAAAGACACGGCCACAGAGATCGTCGCCATGCTGGGAGAGCTGGCTGGCGCGGCCAGGGGCGAGGGTCTCCGTGAAGTCCTTGCTGCGGCCTCGGGTGGCAGCGGTCAAAAGAAGGGCAATATTCTTTATGAGTTCATGGCTCAGGGAGACGACGAAGTCACCGTCGCCGAGGGCGATGAGGTTATCGTCCTTGACGACCAAAAGAGCGAGGAGTGGTGGATGGTACGGCGACTGAAGAACGGCAAGGAGGGTGTTGTGCCCGCCAGTTACGTCGAGATCACCGGCTACGTCGCATCTAGGGAAGACCCCGGAGTTCTCCAAGCCCGATCGATCGTGGAGCAGAACCGGCTGGACGAGGAGCGCATGGCAAAGGAGATGATGAAGAAGAAGAGAGAAAGCGAGATGCGCGCGGCAGAGGTAGGCCCTGGACTGTCTTTGCCACAGCGTTCTAGCAGTTTGTTGCATGGAGATAATAACGTGAAACGCTCAACACAGAAAAGCAAGCGCGATAGCTCGGCCTCCAGATCATCAACGGCTAAACCGAGTGAGTATACCCCTAGTCACCAGAGGTCTCTTTCACAGGCCAGATACCAACGTTATAAACGTGCAGAGCCCGACCCCGGGAAGACTCGCACCTGGACCGACCGCACTGGGTCGTTCAAGGTCGAAGCCGAGTTTATTGGCTTGAAGGATGGCAAGATCCACCTTCACAAGCTCAATGGTGTCAAGATTGCGGTGCCCGTCCCCAAGATGTCTGTCGAAGACCTCGAGTACGTTGAAAGGGCCACTGGCGTGTCCTTGGACGAGGACAAGCCGCTGTCCGACATCAAGAGGCGGAATACGACAAGAGACGCCCGACAGAACCGGGCCTCGTCTGCCCCACGAGCGGGTATCACGATTGGTGTCCCGGAGTCGAGTTACGATTGGTTCCAGTTCTTCCTTGACTGCGGTGTTAACCCACAGATTTGCGAGCGCTATGCACAGTCATTCGCGAAGGACCAGATGGGCGAAGAGAACCTGCCGGATATCTCGGAGAAGCTTCTCAGGACTTTGGGTCTGAAGGAAGGCGACATTCTGCGGGTGATGAGGTTTTTGGATACCAAATACGGCCGTACAGGTGAGAATCAAAAGCGGAGCGTCAGTTTCGATGATGCCGCCGAGGATGCCAATGGTGGTCTTTTTGCAGGTCCGGGCGGAGCGCTCAAGAACAACACCCGGAAGGGCCGTCCGGCGCCGGCCGTGCAGACGAACGACGTTATCGACCCCGAGGCGCTCAAGGCGAAGACGGCGGATGGCGTAAAGGCAGACGGCACAGGTGCTTCGTCTGGATCGGGTGCGGAGAAGACGCCCGGTGGATTCGACGACAACGCATGGGAAGTCAAGCCATCGAAGCAGCCGGCGACGACTGCTGCAAGCGAACCCGCTGCCACGGCCACGGCCCCCGCCCCTGCTCCCCCCACAGGCGCCATGGCTGAACTTTCACTGCTCACGCCTGCGCTGGAGCCCACGCCTGCACCGCCGCCAGCAACAACGGCTCCTGCTCCGGCCGCAGCTCCCGCGCCCGCCCAGGCTCCCCAGCCTACCGGCCCTCAGGGTGCAACTCCTGGTCTGTTCGAACAGGTTGCGAACCTACCTCAAGCACCACCCAGGGCACGACCGCAAGCACCGCAACAAACCGGCGCGAACGCGCTCATTGCCCCTCCGCCGCAGCGGTCGTCGTCGGCGCCCCAGAATTTCAACCAGTTTGGCCCTCCCCAGCCCATCCAGCCGCAGATGACGGGCATGCCAGCCCCGCCCGGTCAGAGCCTTCAAGACCTCCAGAACCAGCAGCGTATGCAGCAGTTCCAGCAGCAGCAGATGGCTATGCAGCACCAGCCTACTGGTTTCATGCAGCCTCAGCAGACCGGCTTCCCTGGCCAATATGGCCAGTTTGGCCACCAGGGTCCTATGATGCCACAGCAGACAGGCTTCATGCAGCCTCAGCCCACCGGCTTCCAGGGCCAATTCGGCCAAGGCGCGCAGATGGGCAACCAATTCGGCTCGCCATTCGCGGATCCCAGCCCCCGCCCCAACTCTTTCGCGCCGGGCATGCCGATGCAGGCTCAACCCACCGGCTTCGGTCAACCCGGAGGCTTCCAGCCGCAACCCCTTCAGCCGCAGGCCACGGGCGTCAACGCCTTCCTCCCACCCGCACTCGCACCCCAGCGCACCGGCGCCCTCAACGGTTTTGGAAACAGCAACAACAACAGCTTCCAGGCCCCGCCCGTGCCGCCGATCCCCCAGCAACAGACGGCCGCGCCTCTCGTCCCGCAGAAGACGGGCCCCCCGCCGCCGGTCAGGTTCGGCGTCAACCCGTCGGCGAAGAAGCTGGCGGCTCAGCCCACCGGCAGAAGAGCAAACTTGACCAATGCTAGTAAGTCATACATGGCCCCCCTCCCTCGCTTTTCTCCCATGTGTACGGCTTGTGTGCGGTGCTAAAGTGTGTGTGTGTTTATAGCGCCCGACAACCCCTTTGGTTTCTAAGCGTCTTGAGGCTGTGGTCTGTTTCTGAAGGATTTTCGTCGCAAATGGCATCATGATAGCGTGCTCTAAGCGGTTCGTAGCGGGATGCGAGTTCGAGGCTTTTTGTTGGACAAGGTTCTGCTCTGCTGAAGGGGGCCAGGGACGGTGTCACTTCAGTATTATTTTGTGAGGTTGTGGGCTGTGGCTGTGGTTGTTGTATATAAAGTAGCTTTTTTTTTCTCCCTCGCTGTCTGTTCTCTTATTCTTTCGTTTTCTATACAGTGTTGGTTACTTCTCTCCTGGCAGACGGGGGAAAGGGAAGAAGGGCATAAGGGTGGAGAAAGGGGGAGGGGGATGGGTCTATACGGAAACTTGGCGCTAATGTATAGCCTTGAGTGTTACTTTGTGAGGTTATGTTGCTGCTGTGACTTGAGTTTCGAAGCCTTGTCGGTCTTGGTTGGATGTTCATGAAAGGTTTTTTTTTTTTTTTGATGTGTGCCCTTCTTTCTAGGCGCGATGGAGAGATCGTGTCTCTTTTGCTTGCATCTGTTCCTTGGTTTGGATCCCCCCTCCGACTTGCACTTGAAAGCTGACTAAGTTTAGACGCATAGCAGCTTCTCTTAATACTGTGTTTGGTGCGTAACGTCCGCCTATGCCTGCGCAATAACGTCTCATCCTTGGTTTCTTTGTAATGATTCTGACTTGGGGAGTTGTGGCGCTTGACTTCGCGATGCTTCTCAAGCCCGGGGCATCCAGGTCTCACAAGATTCACGTTTTTGTCTTCTTCTTTCTTTTTTTCGAGTGAATGGCCAAATCATATCCTTATGTAATTTGATTCAAATATATCTACAAGAACAACAAACATCCGCCATGGGTATCACAATCCCCTATACAACGACAACAACCCCTTTTTCCGATAGGGATTCTTACACACTGATCCATTCGCCCCTCGACCGCACCATTTCTTCTCTTTTCTCTTCTATCATCTTCTTCTTCTCTATCCTTTCACCCCCTTCCTTCTCTTTTTCTTTTCTTCTCTTCATCCTCTACATCATACTCTTCCCGATCTCGCTCTGCCAGTCCTTGGCCCGCTCGAAGCCGTTCGTGTGCGTGCTGTAGTCCATCATGGCCTGGTAGACCTCCTCCTGGCTGTTGACGACGAACGGGCCGTACTGCACGATCTTCTGGTCGAGCGGCAACCCCGCGACGACGATGAAGCGCGCCTCCTCCCCGGCGTCGGGCGCGACGGACACGACGACGCCGTCGCCCTGCTGCTCGAAGACGACGTTGTGGTAGGGTCCGACGGGGACCGAGTCGGTCTCGAGCTGGGCGTCGTCATCATCTGACACGGCCCCGCCGTTGAGGAAGCGCGCGGTGCCGGACAGGGTGTAGACGAAGGCGTTGAAGCCGGCGGGCAGGGGCTGGACGAAGCGGCCGCCGGGGCGGACTCGGACGTCGAGCAGCCAGACGGGCGTGTAGGCGAGGTCCTGGACGCTGTCGACGCCGAGGCTGCGGCCCGAGATGACCTTGACGCGCACGCGGCCGGCGTCGGCCGTGGCGGCGGGGATCTCGGCGGCGCGCAGGTCGCGGTAGCGCGGCTCGCACGCCTTGAGGCGGCGCGGCAGGTCGACCCACAGCTGGAGGCCGATGTTGATGGCACTGGTAGCAGAGCCGTCGGCGTTGGGGGGTTGCGCCGCGGCGGCGGGCATCTCGGCGTGCACGATGCCGCGGCCGGCCGTCATGAACTGCAGGTCGCCGGCGTGGATGGTGCCGCGGTTGCCGGCGAAGTCCTCGTGGTCGACGCCGCCCTCGAGCAGGTAGGTGATGGTCTCCTGGCCGCGGTGGGGGTGGTCGGGGAAGCCGGCGCCGGGCGAGATGGCGAAGTGGTCGAGCATGAGGAAGGGCGAGAAGTTGCGCAGCTGGGGCGTGCCGATGCTGCGGCGCACGCGCGCGCCCGCGCCCTCGGCCTGCTCGCGCGCGAGGAAGACGTTGGCGATCCTGCGCGGCTGCAGGCTGGCCGCGTCCTTGGCCAGGGCCGGGTCCGAGGGCGGGACGACGGGGAGGCCGGGGAAGCTGGCGGCCGAGGTGGTGGTGGACATGTTGTTGGGGTTTGTTGCGCGCTGTTTGGCAAAGAGCTTGATGCGCTGCAAAAAGGCGGTTGTGGTCGACTTAATGGTGGCGGTGGCGGTGTCGGTGTCCAGCTGGTGGTGGTAGTAGAGGGCGGTTGCTGCGAGGCAGACGATGATGCTTGAGAGTAGGAAACGCATGGATGTGGGAGAGACAGGGGGATTTTATAGGGAGTGTAGCTAGGGCGGGTGGAGAAGGCGATGGAAAGGTTGCGATAGCGTCGGGGTGTTTGTGAGGAGCGACATGGGCGCTGGGTAATGCTTTGTGATTGATTAGCACCGCTGTGGCGTCAATCGAGCGGTGTCGCGGGGGAGCTGCGCTGACAAACACATTGGAAATCAATCCTCTGCCCAATCAGCGCCCGCCGGAATCAAAGCGCCCCGTCGGATCGGATTAAGCACCTCAACACCATACAACCAAGCTCGAAAAGATCAACACTCCACTCTCATTGGTAAAATAAAGGGCCCGTCAAGCCACCATAAAGCTGTTCTCCAAACCACCATCGCTAGAAAAAATCCACATGAAATGAAAACAGAACATCTTCTAATCCGTTAAAGCCATCATCTCTTCCCCGATTCTCTCTTTGAATTAAGCCTCCCCTCGCCTTATTACTTAGACAGCCTGGAGCCCACCGCCAACGGTGAAGGCCATAGGCGAGCAGTACGAAGCCACACCACCAACAAGCACCCACCTCATCTCCTCCTTCTCGAGCTGCACAGGTCCCGCGTCAGGGTCGCTGACGAGGAAGAACTTGGTGCTGTCATCATCGACATTGCACACCACCATGTAGAACGCGTTGCCCTGCGAGTCGACAGCCACGACGATGCCGCCGTTGGTCGTGGTGCTCGAGTCGTCGACCGGCATGAGCGTGATGATGTCTGCGCTCTTGGGGATCTCCGATGACCCCGCGAGCCGGAAGCGCGACGCGCCCAGCTTGTCCATCTCGTCCGGGTGGTAGATGAAGACGCGGTCCGAATCGTCCGACACGACCACGTTGGAGTAGGCCGCGAAGTTGAGGCCCGCGTCCGCGTCACCAACCGCCTGGAGGCCGAGGATGCCCGTGTCCTCGTCGGCCGACAGGTGCCACGCGCCCGTCGTGTCCGTCAGCGTCGTGTAGGTGAAGCCGTCAGTGTCCGTGGTCGAGTCGGAGCCCGCGATGCTGAGGAGGGAGTCGTTGGACAGCGCGCTGCTGTCGTCATCATCGGTCGACGTGGTCGATGCATCCGACGTGGTCGACGTGGTCGAAGCCTCAGAGGTGGTGCTGACAGTGTCATCGGTGGCCTGGCGCTTGGACACGCTGCTCTCGTCCGAGCCGGTCGAGGTGGAAGAAGTAGTCGAGTCACCAGAACTCTCAGTGCTGTCCGAGGGCTGCTGGCTCGAAAAACCCTCCGTACTGCCCGTGGTCGTGCTGCTGTCGGTAGTGCCAGAGGAACCCGTAGAGTCAGTGCTGGTCGAGTCTTCAGTCGAGCCGGTGCTAGTCGAGCCAGTGCTGCTAGAGCCCTCGGTGGTTGAGCCCTCAGTAGAAGTCGATCCCTCGGTGGTAGACGAATCAGAGCTAGTCGAGCCAGTGCTGCTAGAGCCCTCAGTGGTTGAGCCCTCAGTAGAAGTCGAGCCCTCGGTGGAAGTAGATCCAGAGCTCGTCGAGCCTTCAGTAGTAGTAGAGCTGGAGCTGGTCGAGCCCTCAGAAGAAGTAGAGCTGGAGCTGGTAGAACCCTCAGAAGTAGTGGAGCTGGAGCTAGTGGAGCCCTCAGTGGAAGTGGAGCCAGAGCTGGTCGAGCCCTCAGTGGAGGTCGAGCCGGAAGTAGACGAGCCATCAGTGGAAGTCGAGCCAGAAGTAGACGAGCCATCAGTAGAGGTCGAGCCGGAAGTAGACGAGCCCTCAGTAGAAGTCGTGCCGGAAGTAGACGAGCCATCAGTAGAGGTCGAGCCAGTAGAGGTCGAGTCAGCGGAAGAAGAGCCAGTGGAAGAAGAGCCAGTGGAAGAGGAGCCAGTGGAAGTGGTAGTTCCAGTGGAAGATCCAGTGGTGCTGGAGCTGCCAGACAGGAGAATGCAGTCCGAGGCCAAAGCCTGGGTGTCGGCCTTCCAGATGGTTGCCTGCGACAGGCCAAAGAAGTCCATGCTCAGCTCGTCGCCGAGAGTCAGCGCGTACGAGACACCGTTGTTGCACGTGCCGGGGTTGACGCTGTCGTACACGTACTTGGCGTTGGCGGCGACGTAGGGCTCGTTCGTAATGGAGATGAGCTTGCGGTACTTGAGCGGGGTGATCTCGAGGCCGACACCGACCGTCAGGGGCAGGCCGACGCGCGCGTCAGCCGTGATCTGGCCAGCGGCGGTGAACTTGGTCTTGAACTCAGGCTTGAAGTTCTTAACCGTGGTCTGGTCCTTGTTCACAATATCCAGCTTGGCGTAGAAGTTGGTGATGGAAGCCTCCGCACCGACGAGAATCTGGCCCTGAGCCTTGATGTCGAGCGTCAGCGAGGCATCCATGGCAATCACAGGGCCAACCGAGATGACGTTGGGGATGGAGAAGCCCGGAGCACCGTAGGAGGCGATGTTCTTCTTGAACTTGTTGTTGTACGTGCCGTCGGCCGCGAGACCCAGGTAGAGACCGGCCTTGACGCTGCCGTCGATGGTCACACTGCCCTTGTTGAAGCCACCACCGAGAAGAGAGAAGCCCAACTCGCCGGCAACGTGCGCGTTACCGGTGATGCCGCAGTCGACGCAGTACACATCAACGGTGCCGGTCAACGCACCGCTCGCGGCGCCGTGGTAGATTTGGTACTGATTACCCCAGTACTTGGAGTCGACAGTGCCGCTGGGAGTGAGGTTGATGTTGAAGTTGCCCTCGGGCTTGGCCGTAGTCAAGCTGTCGATCTTGTCGTTGATGAACTTGATGCCGGCCGAGACAGCGCCGTTGGTGTACTTGTCGGCAACCTTGATAGCCATGTTCTTGAGGTCGTCGATCTTCTTGTCAACCTTGTCGATGGCCTGCGAAATTGCCTTGGGCGCGATCTTCTTGATGAGAGACTTGATGCTCCAGCCCCTGCGGACGATGGCGCTAGCGCGGGCAGCAGGGCTGCCATACGAACGGCGGCGAAGGGAGGTTTCGGCAGTGTCCTCGTAGTCATAGTCACTCTCGGAGTAGTCACCGAGGCCGGGAGCAAAGTCCTGCATGCTGGTGCTGAAGTCGCTGTCGAAGTCGTAGTAGCCGAGCTTGTCGTCAAGAACCTTGTCGAAGTCATCTCCGCAGGGCGCAGTCGGGAAGCCAGAGATGGTGGCCTCAGGAGCAGCACCGCACGAGGTGCTGCTGCTGCCAGTCGAGTTGGAGTAGACAGATCCACTGGTGGAGACGGTAGAGTTGCCGCTGGAGGAAGTGGTGCCGTTGGTAGAGCTGTCAGAGGAAACAATGGTTCCCCACTGGACCTCGACATCACCGATCGCCTGCTCAATGGCGATTTCGGCGCAGTTCAAGGTTGCACTGTGGCTGCTCTCATCGAAAGTTTCGCTGGTAACCAACCAGTAAGTGTGTTGGCCAACGGTAGCGTTCACGCCAGCAACGCTGGAAGTGACACAAACCCATTGTTCGGTGCTTGCCCAAGCACTTTGAGCATACTGGAAGGACTCGGCAGTCGAGAAGTCAATCTCGAGGCCACCGGAGACGACAACAATTCTCGAGACATACGCAGAGTCGTCAAGAATAACCGAGGGGTAGGTGAAGTTGGCCTTCATAAGAGCGAAGATCTGACCGTCGGTGCTGGAAGATCCAGTGCTGGAGTAGGTGCCGTTGCTGTACGAGCTACCAGTGCTGGAAGAACTTCCACTGCTCGAAGAGCTACCAGTGCTGGAAGAGCTACCAGTGCTGGAAGAGCTGCCAGAGTTGGACGAGCTGCTGCCAGAAGCTGAAGAGCTGCTACCCGAGTTCGAAGAAGAGCTACCAGAGGTCGAAGAAGTGCTGCCCGTGCTGGACGAACCATCGGTGCTAGAAGAGCTACCCTCGTTGAAGTACAGCGAGCCAGTGTCCTTGGGAGCCAAGTGGGCAAGAACGGAAGCGTCATGGCCCGGCGGGGTGGCAGGCTGCAGAGTAGCGATAGGGCCCGCGGTGGTCGTCCAGGAAGATTCGCCAACAACGACATCGCTGGATCCAGACTGAACGCTGGACTTCGAAGAGCCACTGCTGGACGAACCAGAGCCGGAGCCCGACGAAGAGGAGCCGGAGCCGGAGCCGGAGCCCGAGTTGGAGCTGGAGCCCGAGTTGGACTTGGAGCCCGAGTTGTTGCTAGAACCGGAGCTGTAGCTGGAGGAACCAGAACCCGAGGAGCCCGAGGAGCCCGAGCCCGAGCCCGAGCCCGAGTTAGAGTTGTAGCTCGAGCCAGAGTTGGAAGATCCAGAAGATCCAGAGGATCCAGAAGATCCAGAAGATCCAGAAGATCCAGAGGAACCGGAAGAACCGGAAGATCCAGAAGAACCGGAAAGACCGGAAGAGCCGGAAGACCCAGAGCTGTAGCCAGAGCCGGATCCCGACCCAGCAGAACCAGAGGAAGAGCCCGGGCCACCGCTGCCAGCCAGGCAAGGCAGGCCGGTGGTGATGACATAGGCAGTCTGGGTCTGGGTGGCGACGGTGGTCTCGACCTTGGTCGTCAACGCCGTCCTGTAGATGGTGTCGATGACCGTGGTGTGGAAGACACCGGCGTCGGACTCCTGCTTGTCGTTGGCCTGCTGGGCCACGACGATAGCGGTGGAGGTCGAGTTTTGGTAGCGGGAAAGGCTTGTGGCCGTGACAGCACCGGCGCCCGCGAGGGCGGCGATGAGGAAGTTTCCGCGCATGGTGAAAGTGGAAGTGAGCGTGGTATGCCCGAAGGGCAGATTAGAGTATTAGGTTGTCGAGTGAAGACGGTGGTATGGGTAAAGAATGACCAAACAATGGAAAAGAGAGGACCCCCGAAGGGAGAGAGAGATGGAAAGGGACACTAAAGGAGTGAGTGTGCAGAGAAAAGCTGTGGATAGGGCAGGCACATCACGATATATAGTGGGCGGGCGAGGCCATGGAGTGCTTCGGCGGCTGTCAGGAGAACAGGGCGTTGCGGATACGCCGATAGAGTGAAGCCACACAGAAGTTTGCCGGCAGCTCGAGGCTGCGTCTGCTGAGCCATGGCGGAGGAGGCGGGCTGGATGGGGAGAGCTGAATTGACTGTGGCTGAACTAACAAACCTGAGGCAGCCTTGTGGCTTTCTGGGGCGACATCCCCAGGCGGCATGTCAGATGAGATTTTCAGTGTGCCAAACAGGCGACTCAAAAGCGTGATGGGGACAGCTGTTCCTGGAACATGGCCAACATAGGCGTGCATTCGCCCATCCATCTGTTACGGCTGCGAGGGCGGATGAAGTTGGAGTGTTGGTCAGCATCGGCTCGTATTGCCTCGAAATTGAGTTTGTGTTAAGCAACCGGACCAAGCTCCACCACGTGCCGGTGCGACAACCTTGTGCCAATTAACCACCGAAAGGCGTTTGTAGCCGTCCCATGGTGGGCATGGCGGTTGCCGCAACGGGTAGCTGTCTCTGCCCACGGGCTCCCGTCTGCGCCGTGCACCCATCTCTTCTCCACAAAGGGGACGGAGAGGTCCGGTGGCCCAGGTCTGCGGCCAGAGGCTTGTCAGGAACAGAGACGGAAGCAGGTGCCAAGAGGGTCTGGATGAGGCACCGCCCGCTGGCGCCCGTACGCGAGCGTGTGTGCGGCGCGGGTTGCGCTCCGCGCATGCCCGTCGACGTGCCTTTGGCGCTGGCTTGGCAGAGTGTGGCACAGAATATCTGAGATGGTGTCGGGGTCGCCGTCAGATTGGATGAGGATTGAGCGTTTTGGTTGGAGAGGACGACGGGTGCGGAGAAGAAGGCGCCGCTACTTGCCGTTGTCGACCCCTGAGGTAGCTGCGCCATGCACGTGACTTTGTCCCGTTGCGTCCACCTCCACTGTCTTGTTGAGACTGGACGCTAGATGACCATGTGAAAGCTGCCTTATCTCTCGCTGCGGATGGCGTCCTGTTGTCGGCGGCCGATCGCAAGCATCGTGCTGTCTCGCCGTCTTGACAATCACAAAACCGTTCTACCATCGGTACCGCATCTGAGTTGTCGCGCGATGCTTAGTGTACCATGGACCGGCTTGTTAGCCTCATCCCTCGCAATAAAACCTTTGCGGCTCTGGCCAGAACTGCCGTTGCCGAGACCGGCCATGCTCCCGACATGGAAACCACGGGGAAATGCCAGCCAATAAGAAAATTGCCGTTGGTAGTCAGAAGCGTGAATGCAGGGGAGGGAACTCCCGCTCCCGATCAACCGTGTCATTAGCTTTACTGCGTCTAGGCTACGTGGATCACGCCCGCATGGACGAATTCGGACACCTAATCACCGTGTCCAGCGAGTCCAGATCTCTGATAGAATCAAAAAACAATTGTACTAAAGAGGCTATTGGAAAGCGTAGTTACACCGTGCCTCCTGCATAATCTTCCCTTATTTTCAGACTCGGCGAACTTGCACCGAGCGAAGGGTCCAACAAGTAGGATTACCCAACCTATACGTGCGCCAAAATCCACCTCTGAGTACATCTAGTACTCGGCCTCCTCGAGGTCGCCCTCGTCCAGCGCATCGCTGGCAACCTCCTCGTAGTCCTTCTCGAGAGCCGCGAGATCCTCACGAGCCTCGGAGAACTCGCCTTCCTCCATACCCTCACCGACGTACCAGTGGACGAAGGCACGCTTGGAGTACATGAGGTCGAACTTGTGGTCGAGACGGCTCCAGGCCTCGGCGATGGCCGTGGTGTTGGACAACATCGACACGCAGCGGTCGACGGCAGCGAGCTCGCCGCCGGGGACACGCTGGGGCTTCTGGTAGTTGATACCGATCTTGAAGCCAGTAGGGCACCACTCGACGAGGTTGAACGAAGCCTTGGCCTTGAGCGCGGCAACCGCCTGGTTGCACTCGCGAGGAACCACGTCGCCACGGTACAGGAGCGCCACGGCCATGTACTTGCCGTTGCGGGGGTCGCAGACGACCATCTGGTTGTTGGGCTCGAAGCCTGCGCAAATCAATATCCGAACCTGGCCAAACCATCTTGTCGTCACTTACACTGGAAGGTAAGGTCGTTGACCTTGAAGCTCTCGTGGGAGCTCTTCGACGCCGAGATGACGGGAGCGTAGCTGATGAGCGGGTAGTGGATACGGGGGTAGGGGACCAGGTTGGTCTGGAACTCGTTCAGGTCGACGTTGAGAGCTCCGTCGAAACGCAGCGACGACGTGATGGAGCTGACGACCTGGGCGATGAGGCGGTTGAGGTGCTCATAGCTGGGACGGGGAATGTCCAGGTTGCGACGGCAGATGTCGTAGACGGCCTCGTTGTCGACAAGGAAGGTGCAGTCCGAGTTCTCGATGGTGCTGTGCGTGGACAGGACAGCGTTGTAGGGCTCGACGACGGCGGTGGAGACGCGAGGGGCCGGGTAGACGGCGAACTCGAGCTTGCACTTCTTGCCGTAGTCGGTGGAGAGGCGCTCCAGGAGAAGAGCACCGAATCCAGAGCCGGTACCGCCACCAAACGAGTGGAAGATCAAGAAGCCCTGGAGGGACGAGCAGTTGTCTGGGACATGGTCAGTGGCATTCGGCGCGATGCCGCGGACATGACGCACCTGCGACGCGGCGGACACGGTCGATGACGTTGTCGACGAGCTCCTTGCCAATGGTGTAGTGACCACGGGCATCTGCATTGCATTAGCTTCAGCGGTAGCTGCCGGACGCCGTCAACCCACAGTTGTTGGCGGCATCCTCCTTGCCGCTGATCAAGAGCTCGGGGTGGAAGAGCTGCCTGTAGTCGCCGGTGCGAATCTCGTCAACGGGCTGGCAACGCATCAGCACATCATCCCTGGTCTTCCATCGGCAGCGCCGTTCTTACAGAGGGGTCGAGGTCGACGAAGATGGAGCGCGGGACGTATTTGCCGCCGCTGGTCTCGGTGAAGAAGGTCTCGAAGGAGCCGCCCTCGGTATCGGCCTGGCTCTCAGGGTCGGCGCGACCATCGGCCTTGAGGCCGTGCTCCAGGAGGTAGCTGGCGCGACCGTGTCAGCGGCAAAGAGTCTCGTATGGATGGAATTGGACGTCGTACAGCTCCCAGGCGCTGTTGCCGAGCTGGATACCAGCCTGGCCGATGTGGATGTGGCAGACCTGCGCGTCGAGACACGTTAGCTGGACCGCGCAGATCAGGGGGAGACAGCTTGGCGGCGGCGGCGCAGGTCGACGGCGTGCATTTGGGCATTGGCGTGGTCGCGTCGGGCGGGCGAACGTACTTCTCCCCTCATGATTGCTGGTGTCCGGGTATCTCAGGTGGTGGTGGGCAGGAGTAATTCAGATGCTGGGGAAAGGCAGCGGTGAGCGAAGCGGTTTTGGTGTTGACAGCGAAATAGCGGGGCAGACCAAAATAAAGGCGTGCATGGATGCGCGCCGCGCACCAATCACATGCCGCTCTCCACCTGCCGCTATCCCCGTCGCGTTACCTCTCCCCAGGAACCGCCAACGACGCGCTTGCTTGTACGCCCGCATCCTCCGCCGCACTCACGCTCGCACATGTACAACATGACCACACAATGCCAGAGAGTTCCTCTAGAGTCCACTGTCTGAGACTACTATCTACCCCATATACCTTTGGAAAATGCTTCGTAACCGTGCTCTCGCCGCTGATCCTTATCTCATAGCATCATTTGCAAACGCGTCCGCCCCTTCATCTATTGACCTGGCCTGTTGAGCACCGAGTCAAGGCACTACCAGCGGCGCGGCCCGCCTTAGTCACCCGCCACGACTGGGGTCTGAGGCTCCGCATCGCCGGCAACCTTGGTCTTCTCAACAGAATTGTCCGCCTCCGTCTCGTCAAGCTTAGCACCGTTCTCGTGCTTGGCAGCTTCGTGCTGAACCTGCGCAGTGAGGCTGCCCTTCTCCGTGGCACCGTGGGCGCGAGTATCGACACTGCGCATCTGGGATAGAGTCAGTGCTTGAACCACAGGCATTTGAACAGGGCGGTAGCTTACCGTGTTTGCATCTTGCTTGGTGATGTCCTCCGGGTGCGTCTCGAGCTTATCCTTCATCTGCTCAGCGACGGCGCTGTAAACCTGTTCACGGGCGGCAGGAGACTGATCAGCCGCGACGATGCTCTGGCGACGGGCACGGCCAACAAGAGCCGGCTTCTCAACCGGAACACCCTCTTGAGCTTCGTGGTCGTTGGCAGCAGCAGCACGCTGCATGGTAGCAGAGGTGTTATCCTTGGATGGCAGATGACCGAGAACCTTGTGCATTGCGCTCAAGACCTCCTTCACCTCATCGACCGTGACGGTGGCTGGATCCTCGTCGAGCTTCTTCTGAGCGACATCAGCAAGGTTTTGCAAGTTCTGCTTCAGTGTCAGCGACGTACGCACGAAGATGAGCTCGAAGATTGCGAACTTACCTCGACCTTGTCACTCATCGATTGAACCTGTGCAGCAGCACTGCCCGGAGGGGGACGGAATCCCAGGACCTTGTGCTCGGCGCTCTGGACGCGGGCAGCATCTTCGGAAGTAATGTGCTCAGGCTCTTCCTTCAGCTTGGCAACGCCGTCGGCGACGGTCTTCTCGAAGCTTTCGCCAAAACCTTTAGCTTCGGCCGGGAGAGCGGGGGCGTTCTCCTTGGGTGCAGCAGTGGTATCCTGCGAGACAGGGACGCCGTCGCTGGGCTGGACGCTCATGGTTGCGGTAGTGAAAAGAAGTGTGATGTTTGATGACGTTGAGGTGTGATGTGCCTTGGATTATGGAGGTTAGGAGGAGGAGGTTTCTGTTCACATTTGGGCGAGATGGAAAAGGTTTTGAGGGCTTGACGCGCTGCTGACGGAACGGCGCTGCGGGTGGAAGGCGCGAAGCCGGCGCCGGAAGGCGCGAAACCGTTGGAAGGTGCACTCGGCTCTTGACAGCTTCCTTCAACCCTCACTAACCCGGAAAGCGCCCCAGCCATGCAGGCAGGTGCTTTGCCTGACAGGCAGCTCATTCGCCGCGCTTCGCTGCATGGGTAGTTGAATCTAAAGTCAGGACGAATTTGTCCGCGTTCGATGCTGACATCTACGTCCGGGCATTGGACTCTACTTCTACTACCCATGTGGTATAACACAATATCTTCGTGAGACAGATGTGGGCGAGTTCATTCCTTCGCAACCTGCTGTGGTGCTCGGAGGTGCACTCTGGTAGAACGTTGATACAAGGACTGGGTTTGGTGCCCGGAAGGAATTCCATGTTCTGGGAGAGGGCGTAGTGCTGGGAGAGCGGGTGTGTGGGCGCAGTGCTGTGAGGAAGCTCTGTGATTGGAGGGATGGGGGCCTGCGTTGCTGTTAGATGTCTTACCTTTGAGCCAATTAGCAGTGAACTGCCAAATTGGGCAACTTTAAAGCACGTCGACAGCCTCTCAGCAGATAGATATTACCTCGTCCTGAATTTTCCTCGCAACCTTCACTTCTACATCCACCTTCATCTCCGCTACTTCCATTTCATCAACTCCTCATACATCTCCCACGCCAGCTCATCGCTCCGACACGGGTGCACACGCGTTGGACTGGATGGATGCCGCGGGCTGACGAGCATCCCTACGTAAGCAGAAGCAGCGATATCTTAACATTCAAACCAAGTAAGCAATGAGAGTAGTTTGACCACTTCGCGCGCTGACGCCGGTACACAATACAGTTGCTTGTCTGCCCGCAGTCGGCCGCATTGCCACGCCTGTCATATTAGAGTATAGACCGGATTGATCTGCACTAATAGCACGTCTCCATATCATCATAAGATGGCGGATGAGTCCCGTTCCTCCCAGATACCCCTCTTGTCAGCAGCGGCCGAAAATTTAGTCGGTTCGTAGAAGGTAGTGGTGGTAACGGCGCGAGTCGGGAGAGCAAACCACGAGTGAAGTCGGTTTCAAAGACCAAAGCGAGTTGGCAACATGGAATACGTGAAATTATCCTCTTCTATAAGTCATCAGGGTCGCATGAACATATCAGCTTCCGACACTTGGCAGCAGAAACAGACCGAGCTAGGTGGTGAGAAGCCTCGGACGGTGCTGTCCACTGGCCCTCTTGTAAGCCTCGAGGGGGATAAGTGCTGTCTTCTTTGCTCACATATCGAAGCATGGGATGAGCAGCTGGGAGAAGGGCGAGACAAGGCGAGAAGACGACTAAGCGACACTGTGCAAACGTCAGACAAAGGGTGCCGTCCCAAATAGCGACAACCATTTAGAAAGCAGCCTACCTCTTCGTTCTCCGCCATCCGCGGAAAACCGCGTTATCCTGAATTCTGGCAACCATGCAAGATCAGCATACCTGTCTTTCACCGTCAACCACAGCTTTCCACTCCCAACATTACCAGCACGCCGTACGCCGCCTATTCTATCTGCTTGTAAGCACAGGCTGGCAGCAGCAGATCGGGCGAGTGCATGCGGGCGTCAAGGCTGGTAGCCCGGACCTGGTGGTGAATGAAAGCGCGGCGCGAGCGAAAGTCCGGGAGGCACACTTTGCTGGGGCTCGGTCCTTGGTCACGGAAGTCGGATTTATGCAACCCGTACAGAGGGTTCTTCAGCCGAGGGCTAGTGCAACGTTACAGTCTTTGCGAACAAGGGGCTTTAGCCGTATGTCAGTGACGTGATAGGTCAGACCCCCGCGTTGATTAATAAAAAAAAAAAAGCTGGCGCTAGCAATCGACAGCAGGACTCTTTGTACACACTGTGAGGGCCTGCCGTGGACCTTGCGTCTCGCACTGCTCGTGCGCCTCCAGCTGGGTCAGTTTCCCCTCTTTGGATGCTACATGACTCGGATCTCGGATGATCAATGGCAGATCCAAGGTGGAGGGAGAAAGTAATCAGTGCTGGCGAGATGCCGTCAATAATGGTGGAAGCCGAACATGCTGTCTCAACCGCAGAACAGAGCCGGCAGCAGACGGCTGCTGAGGAAAGTCCAACCAGACAGACGATCACCGACCAAAAGAAGGACGTCCGGCGTGATTCATGGTCGAAGTGAGCTCCGACGATCGCTCATATTTGACGGGAGAGTGATGTGGGCTGGAACGGTGGACCGCAATCACAACGGGCTTCGCCGTTATCCATGGAGAGGTGGTTGGCAGGCGCACGGTGGTGGTACGCGTACCAAGCAAGAGGACAGCGGGTGATCGCCATCTCAGCAATCCCCAGGCTGGGAACGGGGCAACGTCATTGCAATCCTGACGCGCCCGCAGTGGAGAGATGGGCCAGCGCGAGACATCCAAGCAATCCTGCTCAAGGAACAGCGCAGCGGCGGTGAGGGCATTCCGCCATTGTTTGTCGAAATGCCGCCCCATCGAGTGGATATGGCGAGTGCAGGGATAACGGGATCGGCCTCCCAGTGGCCAGGCTCAGGAATGATCGTCCGGGGATGGTGCTGATAGAGTCGCGCACCGGGGGAGTCCTCCGCGATTCGCCCATCTTCACCGCCGGAGAGGGCCTCCAAGACGCAGGCGAGATGAGGGCGTGTTCACGAGCGAACTCCAGGCTGGCGGCGGTTCCGGGTGACGGGGCGGCGCAAGGGCCTGCGTCCACCGCTGCAGCAGAGGCACCGCGAAACTGCCGGCACGCGAGGCTGGGGCACAAACGCAATCCCAGAAAACGACGCGCAGCCACCAGCCAGCCAGAGCCAGAGCCGAGGCCACAGGCAGGGCGCGAGAGCCCGTCTGGCGCGGGGCGAATCGGCGGCGCGGCCTCTCTCTTATCTCTCCCGGCGCGGCGGAAGGCAGGGCCTTGCTTGGAGGATGGTCCCTGGAAATTTGGCGCCTGCCGCCGTGCCGAGGGCTAGCAGAAGGCTCTGCGGGTGGAGGACGCCGCGGCGGGAGTTGTGGCGTTCCGGATCCGGTAGCATGTGGCAGTCTCGCGGGGATCAGCAGAGGCGCGGAGGCAGGGCCTGTCAGGGGCAGGTGCGTGGTGATGCTCGCAGGCCAAGCGAGCGCGCGCGCGCGGCCCAGCGGTTGAGCAGCGCGGGCGTGGCCGGCATCTGTGGCATGGCTCGCCAACGTCGGACGGGCTGCCATGGATGACGGCCCTGCATGCCCACCAAGGAACGCCGGCGACTTGAAACGGAGCGCGCCAGCAGCCGCCAGCGGCGGACCCGCGCGCCCTGGCTGCTGGTGCGGTTGAGGCGACGCCGGCCAGCCACCTCGCACCTCGGGCGCGCAGAGGGCTGAGCCCGCCCGCGCGTTCTCGACCTCACCACCAAAAAATTTGCGCGAAAAGCAGCCGGCTGGCCGCGCGGGTGCCGGCGCTCCCCTGCAGCGTGCAGCGTGCAGCGCGCGGGTTGCCCCTTCGCGGCTTCCGTGCAGCAGCCTCCGCGCCGCCCGGCTTGGTGGCGTCGGCGCCACACACGTCGAACTTTCTGCGCAAACGCGGCAGCGCGCCGTCTGCCCAACAGCCAACAGCCTCGACTTGGCGACCCACAATTGGCTTGTTTCCCGGGATCCCAAAACCGCAGGGATTCGCGGTGCGCCCATGCCTGCCCATGCCTGGAGTCGCGTCCACCAGGCCCACCGGCCACGGGCTCAATCGTCATCCCAGATCGCCGGCCTCAGCGCCTGGCCTGCCCAGCCGCCGTATCTCTCGATCGTCCCGTCGTGCTACCCGCAATATAACACACTTTCCCTCCGTCTCGCTGCCCATTGCTCTCGTCTTGCATGCGCTCGTATTGCCCTTCTTTTAATTGCGCAACCGCACTCGCTACCCCACCCGCCCTCGTCGATGCTCGCCCGCCGCTGCCACTGAGAGCGTGCAGATAACCTCGCGATCCCCCGCGAAAATCAGTGGAGCCCGACTCTGCCACCCTCACCTCACCAGCCATGACGACCCCCATTGACGAGAAGGCCGAGGTCCGCTACTACCATCCTCACGCCTCCGACGAGGAGGACCACACCGTCATTGGCGACGATTCCACCCGCAACAACTCGGACCAGGACAACCACTATGTCGACCCGCTCGACACCACCCACCTGCCCGTCGACAACAACTCGGCCTTCCTGCGCGCCCCGAGCGGCCTGGCCTCGCCCTCGGCCTCGCGCGAGCAGGCCAGCCGCCTGGACGATGACCTGCAGATGCTGCAGATCGAGCGCCAGATCTCCGCCGTCGAGGAGGCCCGGAGCACTGACGGCCGCTCCATCCACCGCTCCCGCTCGCGTCACCAGGAGCCCGTCGACGAGTTCGATGCTGCGACCGAACCCATCCACGCCCAGGCCTCCATGTACAAGCCCCCAGAGAACCCGACCACCACCTTCGCCAAGTTCTTCAAGAAGGTCCACAATTCGAGCTGGGTGATTCGCTACCTCACCTACATCGTTCCCGTCGTGTGCATCATCCTCATCCCCCTTCTCCTCGGCGCTCTCGTCTTCACCCACACCGCCGTTGGCGGCGTCGAGCTCGTTTGGTTCTGCATCTGGCTTGAGATTGTCTGGTTGACCCTATGGGCCGGCAGAGTGAGTTCACCATAACCCCCCGCCCACCCCTGCATCCTCCCCCACCTCGTGCTGATGTTGCTCCCAGGTCCTTGCCAAGTGCCTCCCGTGGCCCATTGGACTCGCTGCCAGTCTGTTCACCAACAACGGAAAGAAGTGGCGTGACATGGGCAAGCAGCTCGAGCTTCCGGCAACCCTGTTCTTCTGGTGGCTGGCCATTATTATTTCCTTCTATCCGACCATGACTTATCACCACACGGACGGCACCAGAGGCGTCAAGGGCTGGGAGAAAACCATGTACAAGGTCCTGGTGTCCACCTTCATCGGCTTCACTCTCAACTTCGTCGAGAAGATCGTCATCCAGCTCATTGCCATCAGCTTCCATTTGCGCACCTACCAGGACCGGATCGAGCTGAACAAGTTCCAGATCGGAAGCTTGGTCAAGCTCTACACCTTCTCCAGGGACAAGCTTACCATGGAAGATTCCGAGTTCGAGCAGCGCGAAGCCGGTCTTGGCTCAGGGGCTCGCACGCCCGGCATGTTTGTCAAAGAGGCACAAAAGAACACAAAGCAGGCCATTACCAAATTCGGAGATGTTGCTGGAAAGATTGCGGCTGATTTCACCGGACGTGCGACGCAGCGGAGCAACCACCCCCACCAGGTCGTTCTGGCGTTGCTCGGCACCACCAGCGGCAGCCAGGTTCTCGCCCGTCGTCTGTACCGCACCTTCTCACGTGAAGACACGGAAACGGTCCACCCCGATGATCTCAGCAGCGCTTTCGACAACGAAGACGAGGCCAATGCTGCCTTCTCCATGTTCGACAAGGACATGAACGGCGACATCTCCATGGAAGAGCTCGAGGCTGTTTGCGTCGAGATTGGCCGTGAGCGCAAGGCCATCACTGCTTCCCTCAAGGACCTCGACTCTGTCATTTCCAAGCTCGACGATGTGCTGATGTTCATCGTCGCCGTCATCACTATCCTGGTCTTCATCTCCCTCATCTCCTCCTCCGCCAGCAGTGTCATTACCAACGCTGGCTCCGCCGTTCTGGCTTTGTCCTGGCTCTTTTCCGCCACGGCTCAGGAATTCCTGCAGTCCATCGTCTTCGTCTTCGTCAAGCACCCGTTCGACGTTGGCGACCGTGTGAGCGTCTACGGCAACACTGGTGCCACTGGTCTGGGCGATGACTATTTCGTCAAGGAAATCGCCCTGCTGTACACCGAGTTCAAGAAGATGGAAGGCCACGTCGTCCAGGCACCCAACAGCTACTTGAACAGCCTGTTCATCCTCAACCAAAGGCGTTCTGGCGGCTTGGCAGAGGCTGTCCCTATCATCATCAAGTTCGGTACCACGCTCGAACAGATCGAAATGCTCCGCACGAGGTTGTTGGAATTCGTGCGTTCGGAGAAGCGTGAATACCAAGGCAACATCCTCACCGAACTGCGCGAAGTCAGTGAAGCACACTCGCTCACGCTCAACGTCGTCTTCTTCTACAAATCGAACTGGCAGAACGAGCTGCTGCGTCTTCAGCGCCGCAACAAGTTCATTTGCGCCATGATGGTGTGCATGCAGGATCTCGGCATCGAAGGTCCCCGCATGCGCTTCCCTGGCCAGAAGGAGTCCTTCCCGGTCTACCTCCAGCAGATTCCTCACCTTGCTACTCCTGGCACGGGCCACGGTGGCAACCCGGACAACCCGGCCGGCCTCATGGAGCGCCCCGGCACTGGCAGGAGCAACGCATCTGGTGGCCAGGATCCTCCCTTCGTCTCTCCCGAGTCTCCCACTAGTGCACAAGCACGCCAGCCTTCACATTCGATTCTCCGCTCTGGCAGGCCCCGTGGTGAATCTCTTGCGGCTATGGGCAGGCGTGTCGATTTCTCGCTGGGCATGAAGGACATTTCATCGGGCGACTTGACAGGAGACATTTTCGACGAAAGGAAGCCCATACTTCCGATGAGAGTCACGTCGCCTGGCGACTCTCACCGTGGATCACAAGACTCCCGTCCTCGGCCATCGCACGACACGGGTCGATCGACAGGACACGACTCGGACCTCGCCCGAATCCCAACGGACAGTTCGGCGGCACGCAGCCGCACCAGCCACCGTAACCGTTTCTTCTCGCGTGGGAAGGGACCGGCGGATCTGGAAGGCGGTCTCTCCATGCAAGACATTCCTGAGACAACGGAACGCATTGATCCACGCAGCGGGACCATCAGCCCCGCAGCATGGCGGGCGAGCCATGAAGAGAGCCGGACACCTACGGCGTCTGGCGCCCTGGATGGGGCGGAAGAACGCTTTGTGCCTCCCCGCAGGAGTATGACCGAGAACATCGGCTACAAGCACAAGTAACGGCCTAATTAGAAGTTAGAGTTGCGTTCCATTTTTGAATTTCGGACCGGCTTCGTCCGGAATAGATTGAATGTTTCCAGCGAGCGAAAGGCCAGACTCATTTCTTTTCACACAGAAAGCAGATTTTTAGAGAGCATTAGACGGTCATGTTTCTTGTAATTATTCAATTTGGGCGGCAGTCGGCCATGATGATGGGAGGGAGGGTTAGTGCTTTGGCCTCCAGGTTCCCATCTGTATCCATACCACAAAGCAAAAAAAGCACACACACGAGCTACGAATCTCGCTTCTTCATACCTCTCCAGCCGTCCAGGATCTGAAACGGGTGATTGACTCGCTCCCTCAGGCATCCCACTCTTGCATGTGATCACCGAGCGGTCCTCACTAGACCAAGCCACCTCTCCTTACTTCGTCTCTCCACTTTTGTCCGATGGACCAGGTGGATCAACGATTGCGTCTTGCAGTGGGTTCAGTTCCAGAACACGCCGCGTGTTCTAGAATTCGGCTGTCCCGCACGGCCGATGTGAGGGCGAAGACTGTTTCTGTGATCTCACAAGAGGAGGGAGCTCGTTTCAGATCGACCTCGTCCTGGCGAGTCTTATGTGCTGCTGCTGCTGTCCCACTTCTGATCCTTCCTCCCCCCCTCCACCCCACTTCTGCACTTACTTGCATATGCTGTACATAGCGCTTTCCCATCCCATCCCATCCCCCCACCCACCATACATACCTAGGTTCCTCCCGTCTCCCGCCCGTGCCTAGCCGGCCGCGCGCGCGCAGCCGCTGCCGTTGCTGCTATCTATGTATATCGGTCGCACATGTACGACGACGACGTCTCTACGCATGGGATGCGCTACGCTTGGCTTATCAATGCCCCCTCCCCTCCCCTCCCCGATCAGCAACCGGCAAGGTTCCGATGCCGGTTCGTCGCTTCCCGCTTTTCGCACCAACCAGCGACGGGGAAACTCGATCGGCTGGTAGGGCCATGCGCGAGAAGTGGAGGGGGCGGGGAGGGGGAGAGAGAGAGAGAGACACACAGACAGACCGTGGGGGAGTACACTAGCAACCGGTGGATGAGATATGTATAGGATGGGGGGGATTAGGCCTGTGCTTTGCTTCGCCCTTTCAAATGTTCCTGCTGCTGCAATTGTTGCGCTGACGTGACGACGACGGATTCATCTCCTGAGCTGAGCTTTTTTTTTTAACTATACCACTTGCTTTTTTTTTTAGAGGGAGGCGTGCAGCCGACGGCGCTACTGCTGTGCAACAACAGGACCTCGGCGAAAGGAGCGGACGAACGGTTTCCGTCACTCTTTTTTCTCTCTCTCTTTCTTCCCTCAAACAAGTCAACGGCGTAACCCCAAACCACCGTTTCGCGGCCAAAGGGAGAGAGAAAGGAAAGAGAAACGGGCAAGCGTCGACATGTCGATTTCGAACCCGCACGATCAGGCGGCGGGGTCAACGGTGACGCCCTCCCTAGCAGCGAAGGATAGAGGAGAGAAACAGCAGCAACATGTCTCGTTGTCGTCGTCGTCCTGGGACGTCGCGGATCGAGAGGTGGTGGTGGGGTCGGCCGCACCGTTCGTCGACAAGGTTGCCGAGAGGTCTTACGGTGAGTCCTTTTTTTTTCTTTTCCTTCCCTTTCTCTCCCTGGCATATATGTGCCTGGCTTATCCGTCGTGTTTCGTATCTACTGGGATGGGGGGGTGTACCCGTCGTAGACGGTTGGGGTGGGTGGTGTGTCTGTTACTGACTGTGGTGTAGTACGGAAGCTGGATCTTTATCTCCTGCCGATGATGAGTCTGGTATGTACGACGCTTGGCACCGGCTGACTGCCGACGGCTGGTTTCAGGGGGGAGGGCACCCCGGTGGGCTGATTGTCTGACTGGCTGACGCGAGGCGGCTTGTTGCAGATGTACTTTTTCAACTCGGTCGATAGGGTGAGTTTTTTCGACTCTCTTCCTTGCGAGACGCGATCGGCCGATGGATGGCGAGACACGATATCTTGCCGGACAGAGAAAGAAAACTGATGATGACGATGCGCACGGCAGAGTAACCTGGGTAACGCCAAAACGGACGGCATGGACAAGGATCTGGGCTTCGTCGGCGAGCAGTACTCGTTGCTGATCCTCCTGTTCTACGTCCCGAACGGGCTGTGCGACCTCCCGCTCAACATGCTGACCAAGCGCTGGTCCGGGAAGGTGATGCTGCCCGGATGTAAGACTCGAAATCAATGGTTTCTGCAGACGGGAGCCCGTGCTAACACCTGTTTCTGTGGAAGTGATGCTCGGCTGGGGCTCATGCGCATTGCTGCAATGCGCTGCCACAAATTTTGCCGGGATGCTCGTACTACGGCTGTTTCTGGGGTGAGTGCAGCCCTCGCCTGCGGTTGTATCTTGCCGGATGCTGACCGGGGGGTGGCTGTGGCAGCGCGTTCGAGGCAGGCTTCTTCGCCGGCGCCGTCTTCTACCTCACGCTCTTCTACACGCGCGGCGAGCTCGGCTTCCGCATTGCCATCTTCTTCGGCAGCGCCCTGCTGGCGGCGGCATTCAGCGGCCTGATATCCTTTGGGGTGTTCCGGATCCAGCATGGCTCGATCCAAGGATGGAAGTGGCTGTTCATCATCGAAGGTTTGCCAACATATCGATATTGTCCCCATCCATCCCCACGCGATCCCAAGCGCCTGATCCGCTGACACCCAACCAGGCGCCATGACCGTCATCATCGCCCTCGTTTCCTTCTTCTGGCTCCCCGCCTCCTCCTCCACCGCATGGTTCCTGACTCCGGCCGAAAAGGCGGCGGCGCTCGCCCGCTCCCGCCGGGACGCCGGGACGGGCGCGGCGGCCGAAGCGTACGACACGGGCGCCATGTTCCGGCGGTGGCGGTCGTGGCAGTTCGCGCCGTGGTGCGCCATCAGCTTCACGTACCCGGTGGCGTTCGCGACGACGTCCAACTTCCTGCCGCAGCTGGTGGCGCGCGTGGGGGGCGGCGGCAGCAGCATGAGCGCCGTCGAGACGAACCTGCGGACGGTCGCGCCCAACGCCGCGGGCTTCTGCTTCCTGCTGGCGGTGGCGTGGTCGTCGGACCGGCTGCGCGAGCGCACGTTTCACATCGTCTTCGCGCTCTGTGTCAGCCTGGCCGGGCTGGTGGTGCTCGCCGCCGTCGACGCCGCCCGACGCCCGGCCGTCGCCTACGCCGCCACCTTCCTGCTCGCCGCGGGCGCCTACATCCCCTCCTGCCTCGTCCACTCGTGGCACAACAACAACAACCTGTCCGAGAACGCGCGCGCGGCGACGACGGGCCTGCTCGTCGGCCTGGGCAACCTGGGCGGCATCCTGAGCGCCGCCACCTTCAGGACCGAGTACGCGCCCGCCTACGTGCCGACCCTGGTCGCCACGGCGTGTTGCAATGTTACGTGCATCGTCTTCACGCTGGGCCTGGGTGGCTGGATGAAGTGGGAGAACAGGAGGAGGGATCGCCTCATGGGGTGTAGGCTGAGCGCCGGCGACGTCGACACGGCGGAGCTGGGCGAGCAAGGGGAGAAGGATGTGAGGTGGAGGTATTTTACGTAGTCGTGCGAGGGGTGCGTCTCATATATATATATATACACCCTGCTCGCATGACTAAGCCATCTACTGAACAGCCACCATTACTTGTTTTTTGCATATCCTTTGCTCCTGCACAACATTGGATGCATACGTCCCTCAAATGCGGTTCAACATCAAAATCCTCAGCAATTCCCCCACACGACTTCGGCCGACGCAACGCCTCATGTGCTGGTCTCGCTGGCCACGTGCTCGTCTTCTTCTTCGGATTTTCGAAGATCGGCCGGGCGGTCTGGCACGAGCAGCGTTGCAGCATACGTCGACGGGATGGTGATACCAAACATGACGAAGGCGATGATCAAGTTCACCATTGGGCTGACGTCTGCAGCACCGACGCCAAAGGCCAGACAGGAGCCGATGGACTCGAAGGACCGCATCAACCCCACGGCCAAAGTCAACGTCTCGATGTCATCGAAGAAAGTGCCGAGTATCCAGTACACGAACATGTAGTGGGACTCGTTCATGAAACTGCGCACCCGTCGTCAGCACTCGAACGTGAGAAGATATACACACACGCTGAAACGGACTCACCGGAACAGGACGTTGACAGCGAAGCCGCGGCCGAAACCAGGCTGGCTCCAGTCGAGCGTCGGCTTGGGGCTCGTGGACTCGTACAGCTTCTCGTTGGCGACCTGCCACGCGAAAAGACCCAGCATGACGACCGAGAAGATGGTCCAGGTGACCCTGGCCAGCTTCGGCCGGCTGAAGCCCTTGAGGTCGTAGACCCAGCCCCACACGACGTTGGCCGCCGTGGCCGCGAGACCCGACGCCAGCGCGCCCAGCGTCCTCGCGCGCACCGAGAAGTACTGGGTGAGGTAGATGCCCTGGTAGGTGCCGTTCCAGTTGAAGCCGACCAGGATGGGGATCAGCAGGTAGAACTGCGGCGTCTTCAGCAGCGCCCACCACTTGTGGAACTCCTTGACGACGCCGCGGTCCTTGACGACCGGCGCGCGGCGGCGGCCGTCGCGGCGGATGACCTTCTCGGGCGGCGACACCAGGCAGGCGAGCGGCAGGCCGAGGCACTGCAGGCCGATGAGGATGAGGTAGGTCGAGTAGCCGACCTTGCCGCGCTGGCCGTTCTCCACGTTCAGCGACAGCTGGATGGAGGCGCCGATGAGCTGGCCCAGCTCGCGCAGCCCCAGCCAGATGCCGGTGAACTTGCCGCGGTCCCGCACGTCGGCGTAGCCCAGCGCGATGGCGCCCTCGGACGCCCACAGCGCCGACGCCGCGACGCCGCACGTGGCGCCGCCGAACAGGACGAACCACTCGGTGCCGTAGCGGTTGTTGACGTAGAGCGAGGCCGAGTAGGGCGCGTAGCCCAGCGTGCCGAGGATGAGGATCGGCTTCAGCCCGTACTTGTTCGCGAGGATGGAGAAGGCGGAGCAGCCGAAGACCATGATGCCAAACGTCAGCGAGTTGGCGCCGTTGACCAGGTACGGCTGCTGCTGGCCTCCTGCGCCCGTGTCTGTTGCCCGGTCAGTCGGTGCGTGCGGCCGGAGGAGAAGACATGCGGGGAAGCGGCCTACTGTTGAGCGCGTTCCAGATCCCAGGCTGGGTGAAGGAGATCAAGCCGACGACGATGACGTTGAACAGCGGACTGCGGTACCACCGCGTGAAGCGGGACACGGGCTTGGTCGTGGCCTCGTCGACCGCCCCCACTTCCGGTTCCACCTGCTTTGCAGACATGTTGCACGACGGGCGCGGGATCTGGTGGGCGAGAAGCCTTGGAGACGGCTTTGATTATAACTAAAATGCATTTTGGCGTTGCTGCGAATGGTAACATCACCCCGGGCGTCTATTGGCTGGACGGTTCTTGGTACTATGGCGTTTTGCGGATCCCTTATGAGACCATCTGGAAAAGACCCTTCACGATGCCCAAAACAGTCTTCGGATCCGCCCAGTGTCCGATTGGCCTTTTCGCTTGTGGTATCTTGCCCGATGGCAGCGTTTTGGTCGTTTTTTTTTTCTTTTTTCCCGTCGGCAAGTGTCTTCTACCGAATCATTGCGCCCTAGGTACTACTACTTCATCTCCGCATACACCTCCAACGCATCATGCAACCGCCCATAAAGACCCCCATGCCAGCTTCTCAGCTCCTCCCACTCGCTCTCCGGTAGCGTCGCGCGCATCATCCGCAGCCACGCACCGACGATCAAGTCGGCATAGCAAGCCTTTGCTCCGAGCAGAAAGGGCCCGCCGGCGTCCCTCTCGAACAGCTTGCCCAGCCCGCCCAGCGTGTTGCGGAACGACTCCATCATCTTCGCTCGCACCTCGCCCGCCAGCGCAAAGTCGTCCCAGCTCGAAACCCCCGCGCGCCGGACGAATTCCGCCTTGGACGCCTCAGCCGTGGCCGGATCGAACGGGAAACCCTGGACCGAAAGCGGCACGTGTGCGCTGAAGGCCGCGTCGACGTTCGCGTTGAACTTGGCGTACTCGGGGAAGTCACTCTCGCTGCAGTCCGACAGCGGGACGAGTATGGCAGCGTCGGGCGTGAAGACGTAGTCGATTGTCTGAGGCGGGAAGAGGTCGCCCGCGCCCGAGTCCGGATATGTCTTCTGGAGGTAGACGGCGATGTCGAACGAGTCGCCGACCGACGATTCGGTCGCGGGATCCTCGATGATGGGCAACGTGAGGAAGTCGGTGCCATCGGCAAATTTGCGACACGCTGGTACTTTGAGACTGTTGCGGACCTTTGCAACGTCGGGCAGAGGCACCCATGTGGTCGTGTATGGGAGAGCTTTGAAGTTGAGTGCCAGCCGGCTTTTCCAGGGGTTTGGTGCACACGCGTTTTTCTCCACGGGAGGACGCTGGGCGATGTCATAGAATGCGATGGGGCTGGACGTCGCCATGGCGAATGATGGAAATGCTGTGTCTTTGGAGAGGGGAATGGCTGATGGTTAATGAACAGAAGATACCCAGATGATGGCCGTGAGACCAGGCGGATGGCGACTTCATTGACGCGAGAGTGGTTGGCTTATTTATAAGTTGCTTAGCCCGTGTCACTGTCGACTTCGCCGCGCCCGACGTAGGGCAAATCCAAGTGGTTTACGCGGGTCCGTATCCGTAGTGACTGCGCCAAGTGATTCACGCTGACTCATAGTGGCTGCTAACTGGTAACCCCGCATTCCACTTCAGCTCTCTCCTGCAGCCAACGGCTAGCGTCGATCTGCTTTTTCTCGACTTAGACCTATCGTACCATCAATACACGACCAGGGTTCCGCTTTTACCACCACAATACCGTCTGCGCCCAAGGCCTGCTGCCTTCACTTGACCACCACAAAACCAACACCCTCCCTCGCCCTTATGCAAGCCCGACGCAGCGCCTGATCCTCCGTGTCCGTCCACTTCACGCTGTTTTCGTCCCAGTTCTTGACCTTGAACTCCCTGTAATACTGCTTCTTCAGCTCCTGCAGACGTGTCACCTCGCGCGGATCCCCGCTGCCGCTGTACACCACGAACGCCGTGCACGGCGGGAGTGAGTCGTACATCTCCTTGAGGCGCTGAGTCGTCTTGCGCACCGCCGCCGCGAGTTCAGCGGTGCTGGGTTCGCTGGGAGACGCATCCGCCGTGACAGTCTGGTCTTTCGTGCCTTCGGCCGCGCTGGCCGCCTCGCCTTTGACCACAGCCTCGTCTGCCATCACCGTCTCGCCGTCAGCCGTTGCCACAGCCGGCTTCGCGTCGTGACCACCGCCACTCAGCGCGTTGGCGAGCAACTCGGCGTTGTCCTTTGTCTTCGTTCTCGTCCACCAGCCGCGGACGGCCTCCAGCTCCCGCATGCGCGCCCACACGAAATCAACGCCCTTGCTGCTGACCGGCCTCGTGGGATCCGGAACACCGTTGACCGCCTTGAGCACGTTCGCTACCACGTCCTCGTCGTTCTTGCAGCCGAAGCAGACTTCCGCCGCCGCTCCAAAGCCACGCCTAGGCTCGCCCCAGTCGACGACAGCGCCCGTGCGGTATTCTTCGACCGCGCTCGTTGTCTGGTTCTTCGGTCTGGGTGCTCGACCGAGGCGCTTGAAGATGGATTCCCCATTGGCTTCGCTGGTGCCCCAGAGCGGGCCCTTTTCGCACTTTTGCTTGACGAGCTCGAGAGTGCTGCGTGCGTCTTCGACCGAGTCGTGACCAGAGCTTCCGTGGCCTTTCTGGATCTCCTTCGACAGGTATTTCTGTGCTAGCCACTTGAGAGAGCACTTCAACGGTCGGCCGCGCGGATGGGGGTAGAGGAACGACGTGTCGACAATGAAAGGATGCGTCATTTTCAAGGCATTCAGGTCGGAATTGAGTGAATGGCCAACGAGGATTGTCTGGGGCGTGATAATTTCCAGTAAGCGTTTCTGAATGTCGGGAAGGGTAGTCGTGACGTCCTTGAGCATGTCCTCGGTGATTCCAGAGTAGGGAGTCAGGTAATCTGTGATAGGGCGTTCTGGCTTGACCAATTCGTCCAAAACAACTCCCCCGTCCCAATCAACGACGCTGATTCGTGTAAGCTCGAAGTCTTGTTCCCCCGTCTTGCACATTTCACAGTCCAACGCAAGTATCTTCCGGCCGGCGGTCATGCTGCCGCTCTGGATCTGGTCATCGGGCACATGGCCATCTTCAAGACTCGCGACAGGCGTGTCGACCCAGCCGTGCACAGCATCCTTGCCCTTTAATCCCCTCGCCTGTAAACACTCAGCCCTTTCTTCCGGCGTGGGGTACATGGCGGGGTGTATTGTCCATTCATCGTCCTCGAGCATTGGTTCTAGTTCTGCAATGTAGCTGGTGATGGGGGTGCGCTTGTTCTTCCAGTTGCGGTTGTTGGCTGACTGAGGGCCTTTTTTCTTCTCGTCCTTCTGCTTCGGTATGGGCGCAGTCAGTATTGCTTGCAGCGGCGAGTGAAGCCTCATGAACTTGTCGTCACCAGGGCTCTTGACGGGCCAGATGTGTGGGAACATGTCTGCGAAGAGCCTCAAGGGCTCTGGCAACTTCTCTAGTACAAGCTGAGTGGGATAGTAGTCGTCGGGAGAGACACTAGATTTTTCCTTGTTCTCGTTGTGCTGTGCTACAGGATCTTGCTGCGCGGAAGCAGCCTCGTCGAGTGATATTTGCCCATTGAACATGCCGGCCTCGAGACCCGGCACCATGACGGTGACGATTCTCCTGATTTGCCCAGAGTTGTTGACTGCAACCCAACGGGGCGAGGGTGCGTCGCTCAAGATGTAGAGAATGAGGTTCTGTATGTCGCTGAGCTTGACGGTCGACTGCAGGCGGGCATTTGGAGAATGGGTGATCGAGGGATAGTTTTTCGACTGCTGGCCTGGAATCTTCTTGAGCTTCTTGGTGCCCTTGCTCTCGAATGTTTCCCAACCGTCGTTCGCTCTACGGACGCCATCGGTGGAGGCGTCGTGAAGGCTCTCTGCCTGTTCGTGGCGGACATGGGATCCATCGACGGCCGGGTCGCCCTCGGCAAACTCCTCATGGCTGCGTTTCTGGCCAGCCATGGTTGCGTTTGGGGTGCGACGTTCTGGAGCTGGAAACTGATCGGAAGAAGGTGCGGCGGCGGCGGAGGCAGTTGTTGGAGCTCCGAAAATCTGGAGGCAGCGACGCGCCCGATGAGATCCAATCGGCCCGAATGCACGTCTTGGCGCAGCTCAGGGTCCAATGACGTCATCATGCCTTTTGTGTATGCAACTCCTAGGTAGGCCGTTGCAATTCTCCCAGGACAGTCAATTGACTTGGAATATTAATACAGGCAAAACCTGATACACTCAAATATATACACTGGATTCGCAAGCTGTCAAACAGCCCGAGTCTTGACGCTTCTCTTTTGGAGCCGTTGAGTTCAAATCAGCGTCTCTTCCTTATACATCTCCATGCACACCGACGAGGTGATTTAGTCCAACATGCCCTTTTCGCCCAGCATTTTGACAAACCGCAGCACAACTCCTGCGTCGTGCCGATGCTCCTGCTCAACCATCTGCTCCCGTTAGCTGTCATATCAATGGGAGTGGGGACAGTTTGACTTACCCTATCACGCAAGGTCACTCTCTTGGGTGCTTCCTTGTCCTTGTCTCGACGAGGACGTGCTGGTGTGACTTGAGGGGCTTTTCGGTTGGGCAGATGAACCTTCACCGGCCGCTTGGCCGAGGATTCCTCCTCCGGAGGCGCATCGCCCTCACTCGAGCCACCCGAAGAGGACGAGCTGTCCGAGTCTGAGTCTGCTGAGACTTCAGATGAGCTATCTGCAAGCGAGATCGCGTCTTGTTCACCGCTCTGCTCAGCGCTGTCATCGCTGTCATAATCGATGCCTAGGTTCTTCTTTGGCGCGTCCTCCTCTGTAGCTCTGCCTTCCAGCTTCGCCTTTGCCTTCGCTACCGCCTCCTCGGCTTTTCTGAGTTGCTCGCGGAGCTTGTCTGCTTTCCTAACCGCTTTGTCCTGCACGTTGTCATCCTTACGCTTCCTCTTCTTGGTATCCTTCTCCTGTTGTGGGTATCTTGATTTCCTCTCGGCCTCTCTTGCACGCCTCCTCTCATCCTCTTCTTTTTGTTTTTGTGCAATACGCTCCTTTGTCGGAAACCGCTTTCTCCGCTCTTCAATCCAGGCAGCAATATCCTCCGCGCTCTTCAGGGTAGAAGATCGTCCCTTGTACTCGAATTGAAGACTGTGCAGATTAGTGCCATCTCAATATGCAACGAGGAGAGGGTGTGGATGACTAACGCTCCACCGGTAGATCTAAACTTGGCCTCCTCATCGACATCTTCCTCTTCGCTATCCTCACGCATGTCGCCCGAAGGGGTGAGGCCGAGCACATTGGCTTTCCTCTTTTTTGGTTTGGTCCCCTCTCTACTGACATTGGGCAAGATTTGTGGCTGTGACGTTGGAAGAGCAAACCCGAAACTCGGCACCGAGGGTGCAGCTTGCACCTTTGGCTTGTTTGTGGGTCGCGAAGCTGAGGGCGGTTGGAGGGGGCTCGGTGCGGTGGGCGCAGGCGGTTTGTATCCTAGTGTGTGGCTCGATGGCACCTGGGAGAACCAGGGCTGGGCGGTAGGGAGGGTCGGATTTACGAATGCCGGATTGATGTGTCCTCCGGCAGGCAGACTTCCCATGTTGAATACATTTTGCTGCGGTGGAGGGCGACTAAACTGCGGAGGGTGGCTCATAGCAGCATGATTGCTAGCGGTACCTCCTCTGCCAAAACCGCCGCGGTTGCCTCGTCCTCTCCCCCGACCGCGGCCTCTATCTCCTCCGCCCCTGCCCGGGCGCTGTCCGTAGCCCCCAGGTTGTGTCTGATTCGTCGCAGAGCTTGCATCCTGGGATGTCGCCTTGGGCGGAGGTGGAGGAGGCGGTGGGAAAGAAAAACCAGCCATCACACGGTCACGGTGGTGGCGTTGGGAGACAGCTGCCGTGGCGGGGCGCGCGAATCGTTGTAGGAGATGGCAGCGGTCGCGTCGCGTCGGCAAAAAATAGAAGAAAAGGGCAGGGACGGGTGGCTATGATGAAATTTTGCCAAGACCGAAGGCGGTGACGACTCGATGCCCGCGGCGACGACCTTTTCCTTCACCTGTCCACCCGCAGGCCAAAACTGGAATGGGGCTGCTCGCGCGCCTGGCCTGACCCTCGCTTAAACGGCACTTCTCTCTCCGTTCTGACGCTCCTTTCCTCCGCTTTCTCACCGGTTGCATGCAGCACTACCCACCTCCGAACGCGCAGCCATGTTCTTGACTGTATGCACGCCCGATCAAATATGCTGTGGTCGCTGCTGACGTCCTGCGGACCACCATCTCGGATCTGATCCAGATCAAACCCGAGGAGTTTGAAAAGTCCAGCATCCAAGCTATCAAGGATGCTATCCACGCCAAATACGCCAATAAAGTCAGTCCGCCCCCGTGGCCCGCCGCGCCGCGGACTTCACTAATGCAGTGCTGCCCGCAGGTTATACAGGAAGTTGGCTTGTGCATCTGCCTTCGCGACATTCTCAAGTCCTCCGAGGGTCTCATTGGCCACGGCACTGGGATTGTAAACGTCAATGGTACTACGCTCCTGCACCAACGCCGTCCAACCTACTGTAGCTAAGTCCTCCTACGCAGTCGAGTTCAGGCTGGTCGTGTTTCGCCCCTTCAAGGGCGAGATCATCGAGGGAAAGATCAGCGGGTCTGACCAGGAAGGCATAAAGAGTATGTTCCGCTCGAGTCTAGCCTCACATGACGGCCGTTCCTGACATGAGAACAGTCGGGTTGGAGTTCTTTGACGACATCTTCGTCCCTGGGCCCGTCAACCTTTTCGAGGGCGTGAAGTAGTAAGTCTCCTCTCCTCACCCGGCCGCCACCCGGTTACTATTGACCTCACCGGCGCTTACACTGCGCCCCGCTTCTTTAGCGTTGGCGCCGAACGTGTTTGGGTCTGGGTCACCGAGCAAGGAGATGAGCTGTTCTTCGATCTTGAGGAGACTGTGCGCTTCAGAGTCGAAGCCGAGATCTGGACAGACCAGTCTCCGCAGGCTCCCACGACAGACGACACACCAGTGGAGAGAAAATCGCCATACCGCATCATTGTAAGTTGGCGTAACCTGCTACCACAGATGGACTCTACTGACACTTGTAGGCCTCGATGGCGCAAGCAGGCCTTGGCCCCACCTTGTGGTGGGAAGAAGGCGAAGCGGAGGAATGAGCACATTGGTCACAAAACGCCACAATCGCCTCTTCCGCCAAACTTGTACAATGGGCGACCACCTTCAGTACACGAAGCACCCTCGGCCATTTCTATTGATACCCCTCGGTCCCTGGTAAGGACATGCCTTTTGAGCACAGCATCAAGTGTTCAAGCCAAGCCCACCAAGTGGACAAATGAAGAATCTGAAGTCATGGGCGATCTCTTGGGTGTCCCGCTCTCGTAACGTTCAGAACGAGTCATTGGCGATTAGACTGATGCGAAGTATGGACAACAGCATAGATTGCGGTAATCGGCGCAGAACTGATTCCCCGCCTGCACAGTAGCTGGCGCACTAATGCCTCGGGCGCATTGACTAGCTACATAAGGCGAAGCAATTTAAGACGATAAACTTTGTCAACGGCAAAACACGCTCTATTGTCCTACAGCACGCGACACATTTCCAAAGAGATCAAGGTTTCACGGAATCTGCGGTGTCAAGAGACAGGTGTGGTAATCATCCATTATCCAAAAAGCAAGACCACTCAAACAGCTGGGAATCGTTTTGCATCACCTGTTACCCCGATTTTCCTTTGACTGAAGCACGCCCGGATCAACCATCCATCCACCATGATTCGCGCGATTAACCGGGGAAGGAAAAACAAAATAACTTTTGAGCGCCGATCCCACCAAAGACCGTCCGGTAACGCAGAAGCTGCGCGCCTGCGAATGCCATGATCGGTGGCGAGCTAGAAGGAAATGGTACAGTATGGTTGCCGCTGTCCCGCGCGAACCGTTTGAAACTCCGGGAACCCCCAATGAAGGCCAATTGCGGACCAAAAGAACGCCATCCGTAGAACTCCGAGGTCAGCTGCGAGAGAGAGAGAGAAACTGATTAGACTTGAAAACACAGCCGGAGGCTTCGCAAATCACACTCACTGGAAGTCAATCGTCCAATTAGTTGACAGGGGTGCCGCAGGCAGGGCAGCACTTGCCGGGGATGACCCAGACAGTCTCGCCCTTGGCAAGGCACGAAGGGCATTTCCTGCCAGGAACCTAGTCGGTGTCAGTAAGCTCAGCAGGCAGAGCCAAACGTGGCAAACACGAGGAGCAGTAGCTCACCGGAAGCATGACAAGAGGCACCTCGGGGCGGCGCTCTTCCTGCTCGACGTCCGGATGTTCCTGGCCAGGCATCAGGGCGGGAAGCTGCTCGATGCCGAGACGCTCGAGGATCTCATGGCGGCGGATGTTGGTGAACTGGTTGTAAGACATTGTGGGACGGTGGTGGTGGTGAGAAAGACTGAGTGATGGAGCAGGAGACGGGCAGGAGACGGGAGTGAGTGCGCTGAAGGTGGCTGGTTGTGATGGTGAATTGGATGGTGAGGAGGCCGGACCAGGTATTTATATGCTACCTCTACCGCCAGTTTGCTTTGGATTCTCGCGGACAGTCCCGGAGGAGGTTACCAAAGCTCTAGCATGGCGAGGAGGCACAAGGCGCTAAGTGTCGAGTTTGTGAGAGCTGCTCACATTGAGAGTAGGTCTTGATGCTGGTTTCCACAGAGAATCAAAGGATGCATGGAGCGGGCCGTTGGTGGTACAGTTGTTTCCGCTGCGGAGCCAGCAAGGTGGAAGCCAATGATCAAAGGGCGCGATCCGGTGAGGGCTGCCGTGCCTGAGACTAGCAGGAGCTTGGGGCATTGGGGCAATTGGGATTCTCGGAACGAAGTCAGGAGGGCTGGGGACGCCTGGCCCGCGTCGTGCTGGTCGTATTTGGCAGGGAGCCGGCTGGCAGTGGGCGCGTGGGTGGTGGCTTCTGGAAAACGCGGGCCCACACGGGGGCGCGGGCGGGGCAGGGATGCGGCGGGCAGGTCTTGAGGCTCCATCTCGCAATGGGCGTGGGTGGACAGGCTGGCGGGTGGGTTTGAGGAGGAGCATGCATGGGGCCAGGGGGAGCTCATTTGCTGGGTTGCTTTTAGCTCGTCACTTGTGATCCCAGAACCTTCCGGCTGGGACCTGGCGTCGATCGGCATCTGTGGAAGCCGCATCGAAATCGTGGTCTGGCAGCAGGACCGGGGCGGCGGCGACGGCGGCGACTCGGACGGGCGTTCGGCGCAGGACGCGGTGGTACAGATCAGCAGGCGCTGACTCGGAGATTTACTGCTGCCGGCGGCCGCGTCGGTAGGTGGAGCAGCCAGGATGGAGCAGCGGGTTGAGGGCGGCCATGCCACGGCGTACTGATCACATTAGCAGGGCTGGGGCTAGGCCGACCCGCGCGTGTTTTAGGTTGTTGCCCATGGTGTGGCCCATGGTGTGTATCCCCTCGGCCGTCTCGCGGATGCAAATCCGGGCTGATATGAGCTGTCGCATGCAGCAGCCAAGCGGCCCTACTGGTGCAGCAGTTACGCAACAAGCACCGGCGCCAGGCCAGCCGCCTGGGCCGCGCCCGGGTGGTCAGGAACACGCTGCGAGGGCGGCTGGCCGCGCGCTGAGAGCAGGCGAGAGCTGACGTCGGCCGCTGGATCGCGGCTAAGCGAGCGAGCGGTAGGGCTGACGGCCGCCGCGCTGGCTGGGCCGGCTGGGCCCACGGCCGTTTCGGCTGCTGGGGCTCTGGGGCTCTGGCGTGGGCGGCGCAGCTGCAGCCGCGATCTGGGAGCCAGCCCGATGCCAGATGCCAGATGCCAGATGCGAGGCCGCCGCCGCGCAACCCCACCGAGCGAGATCCGGCGTACCGCGTAATACAACTTAGCTGCCGTGATCCCTGCGCCGAAAGAGGGTCCTCGGTGTCCTCGGTGTGTCGGGGCAGCAGCGGCGGCAGCAGCAGGCGCAGCAGACGCAGCAGGCGCAGCAGCATCAGTAGTGGGCAGTCAGTGGCCGCAGCCGCGACGGCGCCGGGCCCGGCTGCGGCTGCCGGAAGCGTTGGACTCTGACCACACTGACCACTGACCACCACCGCCGCCTCTGTCCACCGGCGATGCCTTCATGCCCAGTCCCCAGTCGCACCAATTCAATCGCCAGCACCGCCGACGCACCCGCCCGCACCACCGGCTCCCAGCGAGCTTCTGCGTCCACCGTGCCGCCAGTCAGCTGCGCAGCCCGTCCGCACCTCACCGCCTCTTGCGCCTCTGCGGCCCGCCATGCCTTCTTGCAACGGGCCTCTCCAGCCGCCCGTCAGTCGAGACGAGCCATCGGCAGCTCCGGCCAGCGCCCGTGTCGCTGCTCGCTGCTCGCTGCTCGCTGCTCCGCCGTCCTGGCGCCCCTGGGCCTTCTCCGTCTTCCGCGGCTTCTCCAGCCTCGACGAAGCCGCAGCCCCGGCCGGGAGGCCTCCCGCATCCGCTAACGCTCCAGAGCCCGATGCCCCGCCACGCGGCGGAAGCCACGATCTCGCCGCTCGCCTGCACGCCTATCTGCTACAAGACGCCATCCGCCGCCAGCCCCGCTGCTTGCTTTTGCTCTCGTTGACGCCCCGGGGGCCACCGTAGAAAAGCAACGCGCGTCTCGCCCAGCATCACGCTGCTGACGTTGTCTCCAGTTTTCTTGCGGCTGCGCCCTTGACCCGTACTCGCAATCGCGAGCAGCATAACGTCCACCGGCCCGCTTGCGCCCCGCGAGTCACGCATCCGGGGTCTCGCGGCTTCGTTCGCAATGCTCCCTGCCATATCAGCCGATTCTCACCATGCCCCGTCCAATTTCCCAGCCCTGAGGAGATGGTGCCCAAGGATGGTGACCCGGAATGCGGTGTCGACGGTGGGACCGCGTCCGCAGCCGCCGGTCTTTGCTCAATCGCTCACCTGGGCGATGTTTCGTAACACCTCCCCCCATCGGCCTTGACTCGCGGGAGCCGGCGCTTTGGGCCCAGGAAACGGCCCTGGCCAATCGGCTCAAGCCGACGAGCCGGTAGCTTGCATGTCATCCATTACTCAGGAACAACATGTGCTCGACGCTGCTATCTGCCGTTCACATTATCTCTCGTACCCAGGACATATGCTGATCACTTATGGGTCGATGAGTGTAAGAGGCAGAGCAAGACAGGGTACTTTGCTTACTCGCGCGGCTGCGTCGATGATTAATGCAGAGAGGAGGCTGCTCACAGACAAGCCTCGGATCCAATGAAGATCTGTGGGCGAGCCATGCTGTTCCATGTTCACGCCCCGTGGTCACTGACTTCCATGCCTTCGGGGGGTTGAGCATGCAGTACCTGCGACCTGGCGCTTCTCTGTCCGACAAAGCAGCCTCTACGGCCCTTGGCCGAGCCTCTTCCAAGCCATTGGGTGTGCGGCTTGCTTCAGCCATCATTCAACAGAGCTGGCGAGTATGACAGGGCTGGGAATCACGATCTCCCATCAAAACTCTAAATTTCTCCGAGTGCAAGCAACTGCCGCCGTTTGGTTCACCGGTTCTAACGGCAGCCAAGTGATACGGCTACCCGCCTATAATCGGGACTCGAGGCGACAAGGGGAGTCCCCACTACCCGCTGCAGCCTTCCGTACTTCCGCCCTCTAGTCAGCCAATGCCCGTGTGACACCAGCCGATGACGAAGGCTGCCCTTAGCCTATGCTGCTGCTTGCCATGCCGCCGCTGGCTGCCCTTGTCGATCTTCACGGAAGTCACTCGCGCGACTAGAGCCAACCTGGTAGCTTCACCGGTAGTGCATGCACCTTGCCGGATTGCTTGTGTTTCCTCTTCTGTCCCCCTTGTGTTCGGAGCCGACGACGAATGGTGGAAGCTGGGTCACGACAACGCAACGCCAATCCCGCCATCCGGGAACCAAAGCCATGTTTCACCGATGGGATTAACGGAGTTTCAACAACCGGCAGAGGTCGTTGACGTGATAAATCACATGGCATGCAGTCATTGGGCTGGTGGCCTTGCAAGAAAGGGCGGTATGTAGGTGGGCAATGATAAGGGGAGGGAAGAAGGAAAACTACACTGCATGCGTCACCAATGCAGGCCGGTCGTTGTCATGCTTTCTCGGCCCGGGCGAGTGCGCGTACCCTTTGCTAGTAGACGGAGTGGGGCTCATCATTTACCTGATTCCCGCTGCGGGACCGTAAGGCAAGCATCAGCATCGTTCCTCTGCCTCCACGGTAGCCGCTGTGTTCCTTTGTTAGCCTCGTCGAAAAGACCGTTTTTTCTCCCAGGTCCTTCGACTCTTGTGGAATGCACACACCGCCCATCTGGATCCCCGCCAGCATAGGTACGATGTTTCGCAGTAAAACCCTCGAAAGAGCTCATCCAAACCATCCAAACCATTGAGCAACACTTTGCGTTTTTGATTTTGTTGTCTGGGGCTTATTATTGAGAGTATGGCCTGTCTATTCCAATTCTGCTAATACGATGAGGCAAGCCAAAAAAAGAAAGAAAAGCATTTGCTCCTGATTCTAGCAAGTGATGTCCAATGCAGGCTCACCGTTTCCTGCCAGGTGAGATCTCGCCTTACCGATTACGTATGCATCCACCTTGATTATGTACGCCAATGCGACCGCGTCTCCTTTCGACTCACCGGGCTGTACCACACACGTGTGTCACGAGATGCCACATAAGGCTGCGTGCGTCATACATTCTTCGGCATGACGAAACTAGTTGCTGCATTAATTCCAACTGTTACGCATCTTGTTTACTTACCGGTCAAATTTCCCAGGTTGGGCTGCTGTTATTTTTGATCCTTCCTCATTCTCATCCACTGTTAAGGTGTTCGGAGGTGAAAGACGACCGATACTAGATCTACAATCGCGCTCACTATTGCCGTCACAGAGCCGATATTGCTTCTTCCAGCCTTATAGCAGAGCAAACGACTCCCTGCCCATCAACCCCGGCCCCCTTCCGGGTACAGAGCTCTAGTCCTTGTTACACGACATATGTACATCAGCCACCTCGGCCCACTTTCTCTTTCCCCTTCCCTCTTGGAACATTACCATCAGCCACGGGTTGCAAATCTCACATGCTATTCTGACCTGATCGGTTTTTTTCCCACACGCCCCTCTCTCACCGCTTCCTCCTCGCCTTCTAGACCCTTCCCTGTATACCGTCTCCCCCGACACCATCTCCTGCATTCCCGCGGTTTCAGCCTCTCCCGGTTCTTTCCCTCCCCCGCAAAAAAAGAAAAAAAGGAAATAAACAAAAGGGCCGACGCTTCGATTACACAAACGCGGCTCCGGGAAGCTGGGGCCTTTTTCCCTTTTCTGTCGGTTCCACCCGCCGGGAATGGCACGCCCACCTTCCACCATCCGCATCCCATCATCGAAACAAAAAGCAACAACTGATTGGAAACGGGAAGGGGAGGATGGGGGGCTACGTGCACGCGTGGTTGCCGCTGGCCTAGGCACCTAACTCCACCGTCGGGTACGTGCAGTAGTGGCCGGCGCCGCAGCACCTGGTGTGTGTTGGGGGGTGTGTGTGTGCGTGTGTCTCTTGCCGCCCACCCCACCCACCGTCTTGGAATCATAACGGAATGCCGCTTCCTCGCTATCCGCCTCGATCTCCTCAAAAGTGGTGCTCCTCTCGGTTGCAAACCGGATGACAGGACGGCGGATGATTTAATCGCGTGAGGCAAAGAAAGCATTGGAATGATGACGATGACGGAACGGACGACCATCTTTGACTGTCACCTGAACCAATGAAGTCGCCACGATCGGTTCGATTCCCTTCTACCACATACCCTTCTACTCTCTGTGTTTCACACCGCCCTATCATTGCCAATGCATGATGATGGGCAACGGGCGAGAAACGTTCCAGAAAAGACCGTTACAAGGGTTCAAAGAAAAAAAGTGATGAGTCTCACGAGGTATGGCGGCGACCCAGGAACAGGTAAATGCGCACGCGAGCCAGCAAGATCCGATCACCTCCTTGCATCCCGTCATTATTCGTTATCGCTTGCAATCTGATGTTGTTCCACTCGCATCGATCGCCGAATGTAAAGAGTTTTCTGGAGAGCTCAGGGTAATCTGTATTCGTACTCCTCACCCTTCTGTTTCTTTCCCAAGTAGCTAAGTGACATGAGAATCGAATTCGAACCTACACGCATAATGTTTCGGAACAGCAGGGCAAAGAAAAAGGAAAGAAAAATATCATCCGATCAGGCACTGCTATTCTCCAATAGCCGCCCGCCTTGTGCATGAATCTGTATGACATGACGTCCTTGGTTCCATAGCTTGTACAGTGTAAATGCAACTCACCGCCCATTCCCAATCCCATCTCCTTCACCAGCTCAATTTCTCATATCCCGATATCGGGGGTAAAACAGACGAAAGTGGTGGAGGGATGGGACTGGCAACACCAGCGGCAGATCGACAACGCCAGCACCCCTTCCCCCACCTCACAACCATACTCGCCATTCTTACAACAATCTTCGATAGGAGGTAGCCCTATGTCTTCACTATGTCTGCAACTTCTTCACCTCTTCCACGACCGCGTCCACACTCTCCCCCTTTTTCGAAGGCGGGGGAGTCTCGGCGACAAAGTTCTTGGTCACACGCACAAGCAGCACGCCCTTGCTCTGCACGCCCTCGGCATCGAATAGGTGGATAAGACGGAAGCCTGTCTGTAGCCGGTCGAGCCGGAAGCAGGCCCAAGCGGCCAGGTCGTCGCGACCGAATTCATCGTCCATGACCTTGAATCTACAAGGTGCAAGAAAAAACACATTAGCTGCTAGTGCCTATTGCCGAGAAAACTTCATGTGACGTTGATGGAATAGAATATTCGGTGAGGAAAGAAAGTGTTGGGAACGGCCGTGTACAGCTTCGGAGGACAGAGGGAGTGGAGTCGGAAGAGGTTCCCTCCAAGAGGCTAGGTTTTGCAAGCTACTGGCGGGCCCTGCCAAGGCGTTGTCGGTATCACGGGGTCGAGCAGCGCGATCCCGCCCATCGCTCCTTTTTATCTGTTGTGGTGTCCCGAAAGGATGGCGACCAAGGAAGAGGCTTGGGTGCGGGAGTACAATGGCAGGCTCGTAGAGCTTGCGTATGTAGCCACCCGCTACTGTTTCGCGAGGTGATGGCGAAATGCAAGTGGAAGAAACCACTGTGCGGTGCGCGGTATGACATTTGTGCATGGTGACACGCAGAGATATGAGGCTGGTGTGCAACAAAAAGGGAATCTGGTAAGAGGCAAGAAGTAAATGAACTTACCTGACAAAGCTCAGTTCTGGCGTGACGCCGGGCACACCTTCAAAGCGCAGAACCTCTCCAGAGAAGTCCGGATCCTGGGTCTTCACAGTCTTCGAGTGCTGCTTGTACTCGCCTTCTTTACTCTTGCCACCACCAGGAATGGGTTCGCCAAGACGCTCCTCTGGCTTCTCAACGTGCAGCTCGCACTTCACGTACGGGTGGAAGTTTTTTGCCTTGCTCTCATCTGGAGGTAGCGGCACGTCCTGGCCGCAGAAGAGCTCGATTGTCAAGTCAAGCATGCCATACGTGAGTGCATGCAGGTGCTTGGCCGCCTGAGAAGTGCTGCGGTATCCCTCTGGCTTGAGGACCCATCCGGCCGTACCGGCGAACATACCCTCATTCAGCATCATTGCTTCGTCCCAGCGCTGCCAGTTCAACGCAACGATTTGCACACCCTGCCTCCAGAAGACGGGCGCGTCAAGGTTTGAGGATGAAACACGAGTGCCCTTGGGGTAAGCACGCATCATATGTTTCTTTACATGGTGTTAGCCGATCAATGTACGTACACCAAAAAGCAGGTTCAAACGATGATCCGTACCTTGTTGTGTTCGAAAAGCTCAGCTGGCGAGTGCTGGTGGACTTCCATGAGACGGCCCTCGGACAATGAAAAAATGTGGGCGGGATATTGAGCCTCTGTGAAGCACGCTTATCAGGAGAGAGTCTCAAGGGAGCGGGGGCGCAGCACTTACCCGGCTGTTTCAAGTTTTGGAAGCGTATAGCCCAGGCGTATACGCCGAGCCGGCTAAGGTTCTGACAGATTTTGCTCTTTGCGGGCTGGGGTGTCTCTGTTGCTGCAGCAGAAGTAGTGGCATCCTCCTCAGACTCAGAGGGGGTCGTGGGTTCTGACTCCTGCGGCGGAGTAGTCTCACCTGGCTTTGTGGGGGGCGCGTACTTGACCTTGATCAAGATCTTGCGCAACAGCTTCTCCAATGGAGGCAGTTCTAAGCTAGCGGGACTTGCTTGATCTGCCGGTGGATGATCGACAAGAAATTCCTTCCATGTCTCGTTCATGATCTCAACCATGATTTCCTGTTGCTCGGGACTGGTGTGAACTTCGAAGCTGATGATGACAGGAAGCTCCCTAAAGCCAGTTAGCTCCAGCGGATACCATCAGAGCCATCTGTATGTCCCGGTACTCACGAGGTCACGAAAGCGTAATCCCGGATGGTCTCACAAACAGAGCGAAAGGAAATGTCGGAAGTAGCAGTGTATCCTTAACAGTCTAAGCATCAGCAAGAAACCCTGGGAAAAAGACAGCCAGGGGCCCCATACCATGGTAAACCTTTGGCTCAGCACGGTTTGAGTTGGCTCTCCAGGGCTTCGGCCTGTCGGGTTGGCTTTGGCGAGCACTGGAGGTGTTTGCTGCAGGGGGAGTCTCCTTTTTCTTGGGGTCGTTTTTCGTGGAGTCCTTCTTCCCGAGCTTGGCTTTGAAGCGGTCCTTCAAGCGACGCGTCTTACCCGGCTTGCCATCTTTCTCGGCTTCGGACTCACTACTGCTACTGGAGTCATCCGAGTCCGACGGAGCGTCGCCGTCCCACACGTCGATCTCGACGCAGCGGCAGCCCCGAAGCAAGACCTATTGACATTTAGTATGATCGGACATTCCCGGCCGCTTTATGCGCTTACGTTTTTGTAAGCGTCCGTGCTTGACTCGCCGTAGAGCTGGTGGCCGGTCAGATAAGTGTTGTGGCTCGAAGATATGAAGTAGTTGGAGATTGGCCAGCTAAGATCAAGGGGCTCTGCTGCACCCAAAGCATTCACGTGGTGGGATCGAAAGTAGCTCTTGAGAGAATCGGCGGTCAATTTTTCGTCCTGGATGGGAAGCGCGCCGGCAGAGTGGGATTGGCCATTGACCAAGAAGTTGTACAGGCCAATCTTATTGGACACTTCGTATTCCTTCTCCAGTTTCTTGTAGATTTTGTCAATGTGGCCTGAGAGGGTTGCGTTCAGCCTGTCGACCTTCTGGGCGTTTTTGATAGTGTAGCTGGCGGTGCCTCCACCGGCCTGGGCCGGGGTATTGGCCACGGACTGAGACTCCGGGCCGGCACGGCCCTCTGTGGCCTGGGGAACGGTTGTAGCGAGATCGGTGGCCATGATGGGTGGTGTGGTGGTTCTGGTGAAGCAGTGACGCTGAGGGGCGTTCTGGGGCGATGCTCGCTTGGGGAGCCTAGCTGAGGCAGTGCTGGCTTGATGAGTCCAGGCGTCTCTGGGACAGACCGCCAGAAGAACGTCGCGGAGGCTCACGTGTCCCGAGCTAGGGAGAAAAGACAGGTCCTGGGCAGGCGAGTCAGACGCAGGGCTGGAAGAGGACAAGGCACGGCCAGGCACAGGCGGACGGTTTTGACCCACGGGGTTTCATGTCGGAGAGCTGACGATCTCGGCCGCTCGAGCGCGCAAACAGGCCCGGCTCGCTCTTGCCGTCCAGGCCGCCGCGTCTGGGATGGATCATGCACAGCCCGACTGATGCTGCCGTCGATGTTGGCTGGCAGCAGAAGCAGCCACGAGCGCAAACAAGGCATGCACGCAAACCGCGGGGCCAGGCGCAGCTGCCAGGCGTTGCGGGCGGGCGCGGCGATTGGCTAGCGCCGCCCAGCTGAGGGAAGGCGCGAGCCGACGGCTCAACGTCATCCAGGGTCCCAGACGCAGCGGCCGGAACCCCTCATCATCGACGAAGAAGCACTGCAGCCTTCCCTAATACGACACATTCCCAAGACCTTGCGCCCACGGCCTGGAAACACACGACAACCATGCCCGCGAGAAGCCAGCGAGAAGCCGAGAAGGAGGTCCGCGACTGGGGCTTCCGCCACGTGTTCACCTGGTCTGATGGCCCGTAAGTCAAGGCGACGGCTTGTCTGCCAGCTGAAGGCCCCGGTGGCTCACCCTAGGCCAGAAATGCCCACTATCCGCCGCACTCGCATAACGGCCTGACGACCCATCTGATCGTCGACGGCGAGCTCACCATCACCTACCCCAACGACCAGAGCCCCACCAAAGAAACGTTTGGACCCGGCGCCCGCCTTGATGTCGACGCAAAGCGTGTCCACGAGGTCTGGGTCGGCGACACGGGCTGCACATACGTCATTGGCGAATGAAGTTTCTGTAGGTCCGAATGCAATGTCTTCCCAGCGTTGAAAGGCAGTATGGCCCTACAGCGGAGATGATTCCTCCACGTGGATCCCCGTACGTGGCCTGCCCCATATTGCCTCTTGTTTCACCGTGATTGCGCTGTGACCGGAGTCGCTAGTTATTCATCGACGTCGCGTCGAACACTGACGATCACTTGCACATCCTCCGGGCGGCGGTGCAGGCGGTCGCGATTGCACGCGCTCAACGACTCGAGGTTTCATGAAGTAAAGCACTGCGGTCGACAGCGGAGCTGGAAGCGTAGCACCGAGTGCACACCGACATAGTTTCACAAGAACAGGGCGACTGCGAGATCGTCGTCGGGGGTCCTGTAATCCAAGCGATGCGCATTTACGCTTTGCGCTCCTCTGCTGCGCGACAACGGCACTCTGAAACAATGAATTCGACATCCGGCATCTAGTGAAGCCAGCTGTCGAGCGGTAGGCCCTTTCCGGTACTATTCTGCTGGCCACGCAGCAAACTATGGCCCATACAACGGCGTCGCTCAGGCAGAGAGGATGGGAAATGTGAAACACGTACTCAGCGGGAGTGAGCTTGGCTGTGCGCTTCAAACATGCAGGCGGCGCGCGTTCCAGCAGACGCCCAGCACAGCGCCCATCTACGCCTCTGCTGACGCCTGCCGACGCCTGCTGACACCTGGGCACCTTCAGCGCATGTCTCGCAGCTCGTCTGAGCAGGACGCCGGGAAAAAGCAGGTCGGTAGTGCGCGGTCTGTTGAGCCACGGCCGTCGCCAGAGTGATTGCGAGGCGCACACGGCTCCGGGTCGGGCTCGCATGAGGCGTGAGCGTGGTGAGAAGATCATCCTCGCCGAAGTTTGGAGCGGGAGGTCCGCGAAGACTACGGAAGGCCCCTGGCTCGACAGTAGGTTCGGCAGGCAAGCCTTGCAGCTGGCGCAGTGTTTCAGCAGCAAGCTCCCGCACCCTGCCGATCAGCCACCGGTTGCACCCTCGCCCTGGCTGTATCTTACCGCAACCGGTAATGTAATCGCCGTCGGACTGCCCATTCAGCCCATATAGTGAGGGTGCTACTATACAGGAGCGTCGCTATACTGCGCACGCCACGGCTGGTGGCAGGCATGGGGCTACACACTCTACAGCGCCAAGGTGATGACAAACAAGCTGCGGGGGCGTGTCAAGGAAGCGACATCGATAGTTGCTGGGAGCTAAGCATAGTGTATTGCTTGAGACGTTTGCTGTGGATAGGCAGATGGTCGCAATAAAATTCGGTGCGGGCGACCATTGGCGAGCGGCGTGGACGTGTTTGCTCGGTCCGTCTGGAGGTCGGAACTTGCCTGCTGCGGTGTCGAGATCTCCGAGGGAGATGAGTCGCGGTGCGGAAATGATGCAGCCGTGTCTGACAGCAACGACGGCTTCACCGGCTTGACGTGGAGAGGTCGAGGCCGGCGTGGAAGCCGGGGCGCGTCACGTCGACGGCGCGCGCGGGGGATAGCAACCGCTGTTGCCAGGGACCGGGCGCTGCCCGATGACCCAGACACCCAGGCCGCCAGCCCCCTGCTTGCGGTCGCCTGCGGTCGCTTACGCAGTAACAAAACGGCCTGGAGAGTGTCAGTTGCGCGGGTCCCCTGGCTTTCCCTGGCTTTGAGGCGCATTGCAGTTGCCTCGCGCCCAATCACCGATGAGTGCGTTGCTGCGCATTACGCTCAGGAAGACCCGCCGCGCGGGCGGTATGTTTATTTCCTTACCCGAGCGTCCACCTCCCAATCTCCCCTTCGTCGTGCCGTGCCTGGCATTCCTCCCAAAGCGTGCGCTCCACTTCCCAGCCTTGAAGCTCACGGACCGGCGGGCGACTCTAGATGCGGCGCCGCCTCGCTCTCTCCCAACTCTCCCAGAAATCCAGCTCACGCCCACCGATATTTCCCTTGGGGACATGAATGGGAAGCTGTGGTCACCGTCCGAGAACGATGCGCGAACACCCTCGCCCTCTCTCGTGAACATGCCTTCCACCAACCGAAATGGCGTCTACGAGCCCGCCGTCCAGATCCCCCCGACCCCTCCGCTCTCCGACCTCCCCAACGGCGTCTCCAACAACGGCGCCTCGCCCTTTTCGAACCCCTCCAAGTCGACCACCAAGGTCATCGAGCGCCTGACGGCCTCCAATGACGCCCTCCGCCGCGACCTCAACTCGGAGAAGGCCAAGAACCAGGAGCTGACCGAGAACCTGCGCGCCAAGAACAACGTCATTGAGCGCCTCCAGGCCGACAACAACACCCTCCGCTCCGCCGCCGAGGCCGCCGAGCGTACCCGCAAAAACCGCAAGGAATTCGAGGAGACACTGCGGACACAGCTCAAGAATGAGGAGGAGCGCCGGAAGCAAGCCGAGGCGCAAGCGACCGGCCTGGGCATCCAGCTCGGACAAATCTCCTCGGCCGCGAAGCAGGAGCTCGCCGCGGCGAAAAAGGAGCACACCGACGAGCTCGCTCGCGCCCGCCAGGAGCAGACTCGGGAGGTGTCGAACCTCCGCGACGAGCTCCAGCAGGCCCAGGAGCAGCTGCGGCGGATGACGGAGAAGAACAAGGAGATTGAAACGCGCTGGAACGCGTCCGACAGCATTTTCAAGGGCGAGCTCAAGAAGCGCGACAAACGGCTCGACGCCATTGCAGAGGGCCGGGACGAGGAGCGCCGCCAAGTCATCAGGCAGGAGAACGCCATCGCCGCTCACGATGTAGTCGTCGGCCAGCTCCGCAGCGAACTGGAAAAGAAGGACCAGGTCGCGCTCGAGTTGCAGCAACTTTTCACCACTTACAAGAACATGACGGAATCGGAAGCCAAGAAGTACCGGGAAGAAACGGAAGGGGAGGTGGGCAAGCTGCGCAAAGACGGCGCCGAGATGCACAAACAAGTCACAGATTCCCTCACACATCTCGACAAGGTTCTGCCGCAGGCGGAAGACGCCATTGCCTTCCTCCGCTACGTCAAGAACTACCACATGCCTGCGAAATAATCAACCCGCCTCTCCTACAGCAACGGGCTTTCCGATCGTGCCGTCTTGTGTCTTGGCCGTCAACATATGTTCGCACATGACAAGCGTTCATGTTCAGATGCCGCGCGCGCGGTATGCACTGTTAACAGCACGAAGGCGGCATCGAGCGTACTTCCAGTGCACCCTCCTATCCGGCAGTACAGGACAAGGCTCCTACTTCTACCTTCTTCCACGTACACTTTCTCGAGACCCGCAAGGCTTGTCTCTTTTTGGGCTAATGACGAGACGACACAAATCGCTATAACAGGCATAACATCTCTGTTCTTGGAATTGCTTTATGAGATCTGCATCTCCGGCGCAAAGAACAACACCATACATCCAAAGCACAGCTTTCCCCCAAGTGTCGCAAGGAAAGCGAGGGCGTAATTCGGCGTACAGTGTTGGTTTGGCTTCCAGGAAAGGCGTGGCGCAAGTTGTTTGGCGCATTGGCGGCCGAAGTTCATGCTCTCTTCTCCTTCGTCCTTCCCGCATCCTTTGTCTATTGCGATACCACCGACAGGGAGCGAGGGCCGGATGGACATTGGACAGCTTTATTTTCCAGCTTTCGGCCCATGGGAGATGTGGTGCCTGGACATGTTATTGGGAGGTGCTTTTTCCTCTTCTCTTGTATAATAGACTGGGAAAGAAAGACAACGGCCGCCGAATCCGCCCCGGGAACCACTTTTGGAAACCATTTGTTTCTGCTTTCTTTTATTTCTGCTGCCTTGCTTGTTGCTCTTGCGATACCAATGTTCTCATGTAGATCGGAAATAAAGGAAGGGAGGATCCGGGCTGGCATTCTTTCTGAAACATTTAGACAGGTTCTTGGCTGACTAGCGCTGGGTTCTACATAGCTCATTGCACCTAATTGTAAATCGACGAATAGATCAAACCTATCCCCTCATTGAACTCTCATCTCCAAGAAGAGAGAGAAAAAAAAAATCGAATAGTGTCCAGTGGCTATGAAATACCGGGCGAGAAAATGGTGGCCGGCGGTGGCGTCCATGCTCTCCGGATCAACGCCGGAAAACACTCAGTCAACAGCGCTCTGCGCGTGTGGGGAATGGCGCAGGCACCGCTGGCCCGGGCTTCGTCTCGAATGGACACATACCTCCCTCCAAACCTTCGGCTTGCTCAGCTTTGTCATCTCCGTCCGCACCGACCGACTGTGGGGGCAAGACAAACGTGACCGCACGTCGACGAAAAGCGAGCAACACGGACGTCAGACGTCAGACGTCGCCCCCTCATCTCAGCGTCCAGAGCCACCCACTCTCCGGTTCCGTGAAGATGGCGGAGAACAAGACGCTCAAGAAGAAGTCGCCCGTCGCGGGCAATGGTCTGTTCGCGAAGCAGGACGTTGCGGCTGGCGACTTGGTTTTTGCACTGAAAAGGCCCCTCGTTACCGTCCTGGACAGCGTCAGCTTGGACAGCTGCTGCGCCAATTGCTTCGCTTCCACTGGCTTTGGAGCCACCAACAGCCAGCTGGAACTGAAGGCGTGCACTGGCTGCCGGACCCTCAAGTATTGCGGCAGGGTAAGGCAAACGAACATGTCCGGGCTCCACAGACGTCACCGACTAACGGATGCCGCAGCCGTGCCAGAGCCAATCGTGGAAGCGCCACCACAAGTTCGAGTGTCCGGTGCTCAAGACCCTCGGTCCGGAGAGACAGCTGCCCCATACCGTGCGCGCTGTCATTCAGACCTTGGCCATGAGGAAAGCTGGCCTCGTCTCCGACGACGACTGGCAAGGCTTGCAGAGTCTACCCGACCATCTCGATGAGCTGCGGCAAGATAGCGAGTGGGAGCGGCATTCCGTGCTAGCCATGGGCGCACTCAAGTACTCCCGGGCAGAGGACATGTTCAATTCCAACGTTGCTACTGGCATCTACGCAAGAGTAAGACTCCGGACATGGCAACCACCCTCGCCCATCTAACCCGCGCCAGGTCCTGACCAACAGCCTGACCCTCATCGGCAGCGCTCTTGAGCCGCTGGGCATCGCCTTCGATCCACTTGCATGCAGCGCCAACCACTCGTGCGACCCTAACGCGTTTGTCATCATGGACGGCGCGCAGCTCTCGTACCGCGCCCTCAAACCCATCGCCAGGGACGAGGAAGTCTTCATCTCGTACATCGACGGCACCAACCCCTTTGAGCGCCGCCAAACCGAGCTCCGCAAACGCTACCACTTCTCCTGCGCCTGCAGCAAATGCGCCCAAGGCCCGACCCTCCGCGAGGACCGCTGGCTGACGGGCTCCTCGTCGCTCCAAGTAGCCAAGCCGGGCGCCGTCGAAGGCACGGCGTTCGCGAAGCTGGAGCAGGCTCGCGGCGGGTCGCTGTACGTGCAAGAGCTGCAGCCGATCGAGGAAGGGCTGCGGTTCTGCGGCGAGACGGGCGTGTACCCGGCGGACCGGCAGCCGTACGCGACCATGCGCGACGAGTACATCGTCGGGTGCCTGTACGCAAGCCGCTTCGTCGATGCCTGGCTGCATGCGGTGCGGCGCTACTTCGACGTCGACCCGCTGCTGTACCCGCAGCCGCACCACCCGCTGCGCGTCGTGCACAAGTGGAGCCTTGCCATGCTGACGCTCGTCGTCGCGCAGGACCACCACGCGGCGCTCGCGCGCACGCTGGGGACCGAGTTTGCCAAGCTGAACCTGGGCGTCGTGCTATTCGGCGTGCTGGTCGAGACGGTGGCGAATGTGTCGGCGAGCCACGGCGCGGGCAGCACCTTCGCGAAGATGGTCATGGACAAGTTTGAGCAGATCAGGGTGGATATGACAAGGGGGGATGATTCGGTGCTGGCGGGGATGAAGACGAGGATCGAGGAGCAGTGGGTCATCCTGAGGAAAATCGGGGAGCAAATGCCATTCTGAAGCGATGGCACGAACCTCCCCTCCCCGAGAGCATTGAAATAGCCATGCAGATGGAACCTCTCCCCAGATATGAGGCGGCTCTACAAGTCTTTGGACTCTTCCACTCCCTCGCACCCAAACGGGTGAAGGTTTCGCGTCAAACATTGCGCGTTCTCGGCTTTGATTCAAAGCATAGAACCATGCAAACCAGTGAATGGTGAGAGACAGCAAGCCATGCCCTTTGCACGTGTGCTTGCCCTGCGCATTCAATCACACTCATGTGAGGCGACGCCGCCCGAGCTTGCGTTTCTTCCGCAACTCCAATCCTCGTTCTTCGCGGCCAGCATCACACACTTCCTGCTCCTCTCTCCATCTCCCTCACCCATTTGCATGAGCACGACCAGCGCCAGCCCGGTCATGACCACGATAGAGGATGACAGCGCCCCCCTCCTTCCGCATGAACTAAGCGCGCTCACGGCCCCGCCGCCGCTGCCGACAACGCCGCTGCCTCACAGGTCCAAGCAGCTGCCGCAGAATATCACGTCGACACACGGACAGACACCTCTGCCTCAACCCATCGTCTCGCCCGCAGTCCCCGTCGTCCTCCATCGCCATCCCCCCCGCCAGACCTCACCTCTCGAGCCCTTTCCAGCCTTCGACCCGAGGGTGCGCCCTCTAGACGAGCCACCGTACTACTATCTCGGGGCAGCTCATCGCGACAACGGCAACGACGCGCCGCCCGCCGGCTCCGAACCTCAGCAACAGCAATGTCGTGAACACGGCGGACAAGAAAACCACTACCCCAGCCCCAACGCCGCAAACACGCCCGCGCCCGCGCCCGCGACCTCGACGTCGACGTCGACCACAAGCCCACTTCTCTCCTCGCACGGAGAAAAGCTCATGATCCGCTGCCACACGCTGTGCGCGCTGGCGGAGCGACTCTTCCCGTCGACGTCGGCATCCACGAACCGGAGGGCGCTGCTGTACCTGCACGAGGCGAAGCGGGTGCTGACGGCGCTGGAGAAGCAGAGCGGGAGGAAGCTCTGCGACTACAACTGCACCCCGCAGCAGCAGGCGCTCATCCAGTTCTCGGCGGGGAACCTGCGCGAGAAGCTGAGAGTGTTGGAAGAGAGGAGCTTGGCGGAGAAGGAGGGGAGGGAGGCGGACGAGCTGAACGAGAAGACGGGGCGGGTGACGGCTTGGCTGGACGAGTTGTGATCAGGGTGGGGTGCAATTATCCCTTTGGCTTTTTTCTTTTCCACTTGGCAGAGGGGCGGGCACGACGACGGTCCAAAGGGCTTGGGGGCTGGAACATCTGGGAGTTTGCTGCTTGGAGGACAGAATGTGCGGCGGGGAAGGGAAAGGGAAGTCTGGCGAAGTAGCTGGTGTTTTCAAGACGGCGTCTACTAAGCGTGGCAAGGCTTGGACGATGACGGCGCCAACGGGCCGGGAAATGATAATAACGGCCGGGACTGGCCTTGCGGCAACTGCTGAGAGGCAAATACTTAACTGGTGTTTTTTCCAAGCGAAAAGAATGAGAGAAGGCCCAGTCGCGTGATGGTGAGGCTGGAAATTGGCTCGTGAGGGCGTTGCCCGTTTGGGGCGGCGGCTGCAAGGAACAGCGCAGGCCAAGCAGCGCTATCGATGCTCATCTCCGCACCCTCTGCATGATCGCGTCACACACGACAGGCCTGCAACGAGGGCACGCCTGACCTGACCGGGCACAGCGGACGGCGAGCGAATAATGGACGAGCGGAAGGATTGATGCGGTGACTTGCCAGTTCATGGCGGGCGCAGACGGGCTGCGACGCCGGCTTTCTGGGGTCGCCCAGGGCCCCGAGCGCAGTGGGCAGAGCGCAGAGGTTCGGCAGCGCTGCCCGCCTACACCGGCTGTCGAGTCGACGCAGCATGGCAGCAACCAACACGAGCTCCGCGCCCGGCGGATCCTGACTCCAACGGCGGCATTACCGGGGGAGCATCCGCGAATCCACCGCCCACCGCCCGGAAATTGCGCCCTCGCGAAAGCGCTGGCCAGAACGCCACCGACGCCGGCGAGGAGCAATAACGACCACGCAGCTGGCAGAAGAGGCAGAAGAGGCCGCAAAAGAGGCGACGAGGCAGGCATGCCACTGGCTGCGCGGCACGACTGGCCCCAGGCGGCCCCTTTTCGCTGCCCCGCGGGAGGCTAAATGCAACCTTAAGTCAGTGTTGACGATCCCTGCTAGCCCTGCTGTCCGGGGCACAGCAGGGCTGGTGATCCCCCGGCCGATGCCATGCTCTTTGCTCGCCGCCTGGTTGGCTGAGTCGCTCCATCATGTTCACTATAAGAATTTCCCTTGTCCTGGTGCCTGTTTCCATTCCGCCCGCATTCTTCCATCGCTGCCTTCGCTCGTTCTTCAAACAACAACCCCGAGTAAACACTCGCTCCACTCTTTAATCCAGCTCGCCCGCCCGCTGCCACCAGCCGATCCTCGCATTCCACACCACCTGCCACCCTACACAACACAATGCGTTTCTTCTCCACCGTCATCGGCGCTGCCGCCCTCGTCTCGAGCGTTGCCGCTCAGACGCTCGGCATCACCAAGGCCCCCACCTCGGTCGTTGCTGGCCAGACCTACACCATCGAGTACGCTGCGCCTGCCGGCTCGCCCGTTTCCCTCATCCTGCGCAAGGGTGACCCGAACAACCTGAACACCGTCACCACCCTGACCTGTAAGTCCACGAGCACTTCCCCGCAATCGGTGCCGTCCAGTCGCTAACTCCAGCATAGCCGCTGCCAGCGGTGGTTCCTACGAGTGGTCCGTCTCCAAGGACCTGGAGAGCGACGACGACTACGCCATCGAGATCACCCAGGGCACCGACGTCAACTACTTTGGTCCGTTTGGCCTCAGCGGCGGCTCTGCTTCTGCCTCGGCTGCCAGCTCCTCTGCTAGCGCTTCCGCCTCCGCTTCTGCTTCGGCTTCTGCTTCTGCTTCGGCTTCGGCCTCGGCCTCTGCCTCTGCCTCTGCCTCTGCCTCTGCCAGCGCTTCTGACAGCTCGTCCAAGAGCTCCACCATCACTGCCAGCGCCTCGCTCTCTTCGGCCGCCTCGTCGCTGTCGTCGCTGATCTCGGCCGCCAACTCGACCCTTGCCTCGCTCACTAGCGTCAACGCGACCATGACCAGCGGTAACTCGACCGCCACTGCGTCGGCTTCGTCCAATGGCACCCACAGCTCTTCCATGCGTACCTCGACCTCGACCTCGACCGCCACTGCGACCGATGGCTCGGGTTCGTCTGAGACTTCCAGTGGATCTGGCAGCGCGCCTACTTCGGGCGCCGCCCTGCCTAGCATGGTCAGCCCCGTCGCCCTCGTCTTGGGCGCCGTCGCCGCCATGATCTTCTTCAACTAGAGCACCGGTCTGTTCGCGCGCGCATCCAAGGGAGGAACATCTGAGCATTTCATGGCGAACGGCTTCGGCATGCTACTGGTTCCATTTTACGACCGCAATTGCTCTTTATACTTAATCAACGAGACACTGAAACCGAGGACGTTGTCACGCCCAACGATACTATTCATGTATAATTTCTATCCTTCACACGATGGACTCGGACGGGCGCCAGCTTGTACGCACCATTGATAATAATGAAACTCCGTTCGACGGATACCATCAACATGTCCCCCTCCCCTTGCTTCTTTGTTCCCTGGTCTAGGGCTGTTGAAGCATCGCCACCTTGTGTGACCGTACTCATATCGTGCCCCTCACTGCTGGCGTTGTATGACGTTGCATTCGTTGAATACGCCTGTGGCTGCCCCGCAAGTGCTCACTGACTCCGTTTTTGCTCTGCCGAAATGTCGCTGGCTGTTGAACTCACATGGAGATATTACTATAGCAGTCACTGGAATATAGGTGCGCCTGCCGAATGGGACTCGTATGGCGCGACATTTCTTGATATAAATAGAATTCTCTCGATATAGAGCAAGGAATGATCGCTATGGCCGACGTCCTCGCTTGCCCGTTCATATCCAGGCTGGGACAAAGATTCTACCGCCAGGGTCCAGAGAGCGCCCAGCCGCGACACGTTGACACTGTAAAGATAAAGTCTCACGTCAACCACTCCTTGCACGATCGAGAGCACGGCATGTTGGCTGACCCAGCACGCATGTTTGAGTCAGCGTGGCTTCCCCAATCTCATCTGTTCTGCATGCACGACTCGGTTCCCTGCATATATGCACGCGAGACGATGCATCACGACCCGTGCCGAAAGCAATTGATGCGCAAGCTCTGATGAGCGGCGGGCCTCGTTCTTGTTCGGCTACGCTCTTGCGTGCTTGTGGAATGCGGTGCGTCAAAGCATCCGTCGTCATCTGCACATGTCGTATATCGTAATTATCTTCTTTTTTTTTTTTACCCCAGATTGATGCGCGCGGGCGGATCTCTCTCTCTCTTCGTATCGGATAACGACCTTGCAGAAGAAGGCGGATCAGAGTAGATCTCTGCGCACTTCCCCACGATGCTCGATTTCTGCAACATGGCTAATGTGCTGCTCCATCCAAAGGGGGGAGTGAGAGAGAGGGTCTGGGGTGACAAAAGGGCGTGGGTGACGGATGCCTGGCGAGAGAGATGGCGACGCAGCATTGCTCGTGACTCGCACTCCACTTTCTCGCGACGCCAATGGCTGAGGAGAAGCAGCGCAGCATGCGCGGTTAAAAAAAAAAATAAAAAACTCAGCCCGTTAGACCTGCCCTCTGGCCCGTATCGCAGGACGGCCAGTCCCTCGAGAAGGTGGTTTCAGCAAGGGACGCATGACCGAGTGACCAACTAACGTGACTCGACCCCTTTTACCAACGCATGGAAGCCGGGCATCATCCGCCGGCAGCCGGCCGCCGGGGGAGGGGGAATTGCAACAAACCGTCAGCAGCAACAGCAGCAGCAACAGCACCCGTGCCCCTCTTCCTAGTGTGAAAGACCTCCACAATTGTGTCTTCCCAGCAACGTCATCTTTCCGATACCACAAGGAAGAAAGGAAGGGAATAAAAAAGGATAAACCCGCAGCAATCTCGGGAAGAGCACAGGGCTCATCAGCGCTCAGCTCTCAGCGCTCAGCGCTCAGCTCTTCGGTGCCCTGTTCCCTGCCGTCAGCTTCCGGCGCGTGGTCCACCAAAGGCTGCTGCCGGCGCTAGCAGCAATCAAAAGGCAGGTACCGTCCAATAACATTTAGCGGCAGGGTTGGCCCAAGCGAGTAATATCCCGGACAGTCATTCATCCTGGCCGCAAAAAAAAAAAAAAAAAGAAAGCCAACGGTGTACGGGCCTCGAGCCAGATCTCGCTTTTCGCGCCCCCAGCAGCCGAGCCGAGCGAGAAGCGAACTAGGTACCTACAGTAGGTAGCATTGCTGGCTGCACCGCCGCTGCTGCAGCAACCACCCACCTACCCACCTACCCCTTTTATCATGCCGAACATCATTGGCCAGCGACACCACCAGCCGCGCAACATCGCTACCATGATCCAAATACCTAAGCGCCCGTCGGCAACCGGGTGATAGGATCAATAAGGGGTAAAAAGCAAGAAGAGAGGATCGATGCGCCACATCGATTGAGGGCGGCGGCGGCGGTGGTGGTGGTGGTTTCTTCAGCCTATAATTCAGCGCGCCCCCATCTCAAAGCCCACATCCTGAAGGGGTAAGCGAAGGCTGCACTAGGCTTGATCCTCCCCCTCCGCCTTTCCCTTTTTTATTTATTTTTTGCTTCTTCCCTTGCTGGTGTTCTCGCGTCACTCTCGCTTGGAACTGCACGCCCGTCCTTTACGAAACGACGGCGGCGCCTCGGCATTTGGCAAGAATGCTTGGAAGGCATCAGAAAAGAACTGCCTTCTCGAGCAGCAGGCGTCGGCGTGAAAAGCGCGTGCGCTGTCCGGGGCCAATGATGGGGAGGCCCATGCTCTTATAATTGCGGCGCTACCACTCTGACCGCCGCCGAGTAACGGACGTTATCTTGTAAATCCAATTTCCCATCCATGCGGTCGATCTGGAAGCCGCCGGGGCTGTCTGCCTAGGCTGTTGTTGGACCGGGACATAGAGTAGAGTAGTGTGAGAGCCAAAGTGAAATGATATAGAAGTGCAATTTCCCCGGCTTTCTGCGATTCTTTCTTTTTTCCCCTCGTCCGTCGTCGCTGGTTTTGCTCGCTTGTACATACCGTTAATACCTGACCGTCCAGTCCTTCTTTATCCACACACTGTGCTCGCTCCCTCGCAGCAACCGACACCGCCAATCATTTTTCGAGTCGCCTTTCAGTAGTGCCCGACTTGTCGCCTCCAGCATTCTTGCATCGTCATCATCAGCGCGTGCTTGTGCTCCCTTATACCAGGATACTTCCTTAATCAACGTCCACCCGTCGTCTTAATCCTCCACAACCCGACCGCTGCAATCATGAAGTACACCATCACCTCGCTCTTCATCGCCGGCTTCGCCGCCCTGGCCTCTGCTACCGAGAACGCCTTCATCATTCCTACCGAGTGAGTACAGCCTACGCTCTCTTTGTCTTTCGCATCAACGCTGACATCCGTCTAGTGGCTTCGCTCCCGTTGCCGGCAAGGACATCCAGCTCCAGTGGGACGCCACTGCTGGCAAGACGGTCACGCTCGTGCTCCGCTCCGGTGCCAGCAGCGACCTGAAGGAGGGTAGCGCCATTGCTGGTACGTTCCTCCTCTTCCTAAGAGCTCTCTCTCTCTCTCTCTCTCTCTCTCTCTCTCTCTCCTGCCAGCCGCTAATCCGTCGTCCCCACCAAACAGAGAAGATTGACAACACCGGCTCCTACACCTGGTCCGTCCCCAAGGACGTCGTCCGCGGCTCCGACTACACCATCGAGATCATCAACGACGACGACCCGACCGAGACCAACTACTTCCCCTACTTCGTCATCGACTCGACCGTCACCGTCGCCTCCACCACCAGCACCTTCACCTACGGCGCCGCCACCACCACCCCCTCGGCCACCTCGGTCAAGTCCTCTTCTTCCACCAAGTCCTCCGACGATGAGTCGTCCTCCACCATGGCCACCTCCACCAAGTCGTCTTCGGCTTCGGCCAGCGCCTCAGCCTCGGCCTCGGCCTCCGGCTCCAAGTCCAGCTCGTCTTCGACCGCTTCCCGTACCTCGTCGTCGTCGAGCTCAAGCACGAGCGAGGCGTCTACCGGCACCGCCCCTACCAGCGGTGCTGCCGCTAACCGCGTCATCGGCGGCGGTGTCGCCCTGATGGTCGCCGCCTGCGCCTTCTTCGTCTTGTAAGGAGAAAGAATAGGAACAAAGGAACATGCGCACGAAGGGATCGTGGGAAGAGACAAAGAGAGCCGATGGAGAGGACGGGTTTGTTCGTTGTCGGTGGATGCGGGATGAATCGATTCCGAATTTTTAATGTCGTTATTGCCTTTTCTCTTCTCCTTTGAGCTTTTGCTCTTTTTTTTTTATTGGCTGGTGGTTTGGATGAGCAAATTTTCTAGACGGAGTTTGATGGGGACAAACGCGGTGTGCGGAAGGGAACTGATACCCCGATGCGAAGCAGCAACAACTTTTCGATCTTTCGATCGCTTTTCTTGACAGGTCATTACGATCATTAGGAGACAGGGTTTGATGAGGAAACAATCGAGAAAAATCACGACATCTCTACCAAGGACGTTGCTAGTCCTCACCGATGCTATCCCTTGATGCTGCTGTAGCGCGCCACATGACCGGTAGCGATGCGGGTGGATGTTAGGCCGTTGAGAAGCGGCGGGGATTCAACAGGGTGAAGTCAGAGACAAATGTGTGCTCACGTCGGATCTTTGTCGCATGCAGCACGTCCGGAATGATGCTGTAAAGTGCATCGCACTGCGTGATGTTGTCCCGCTTGCGGGTGTACACGGTTCAAATGTCTCAACCCTGCATCTCCGCGGAGCAGATGGGAGAGGATGCTGGGATACCCCAATGGTTGGCGGGTCGAGTGCGGACTTTTTGGGGTGAAGGTGGTTCAGATTATGTCAGAGATTGCATCATATCCATGTCGTCCATTCCCCGGGTTTCGATTGGTAAGAGCAATATATGGATGAGGAGAAGGCACTTAGCCGTCCGGAAGGCTAGCCGACCCGCAACGCTCGTGGACGAGGAGGAACCTCCTTTTTCTTTGATCCGGATCGGCACCTTTCCCGGTGAAAAGAAACTCTGGGGTAATAGAAATCCGGGGTAAGGTCAAGTGTGCTGCAGAAGCACCAGTCGTGGCTCGTTGGGAGGTGCTAGCTGGCTTGCCGGTGAGCTTGGCTTCTGCCCCTTGTGCACATCGCCGGCAGCGCTGTTGGCGCCCACGACGGCAGGCGGTTCGAGAAGAAGGGCCTTTTCCCGTATTGAGGGGTCATCTCAAAGGAATTGTGGGGTCCTTGCACCAATAAAGTCCCACTCAGGGCTCGAGGGCTGAGTCGCATTACCGCCTTCCGCCCATCGGCCGCTTCCGCCAGCATCGAGAGAGCAACGGTTCTTTGGACTCTTGCACTCGGTACTACTAGACAGTAAATGAGGAGCGGCTCCACCGACAGTAGGGACAGCTGGCCCGAGAGGCGGCACTGCGACACCGCAATTGCATCCAGGGCCGAGGGGGGCGGTGCGCCTCCACTGATGGGCCGTTGCTTGGACCTCACTGTGTTGGCAGCCGGGCGTTTTTGGAGATGATCTGGAATCCGGGGAAGGCGTCATGTGACGGAGCTGGGCCGGTCCCTGGGCCGGTCCCTGGTCCTTTCAGCATCACGCAGCCATCAGGCGCGCGTCTCGTCTCCTTTCTCCTGCCCTTGCATCACTTGACACGCACAGGCGCCTCTGGACGGCCAGTGCTGGCTGACCGGGAGCACATGGTGTGCGGGGAAAGGAGAAATTGTTACTCACGGGAATCCAGCGTACCTGACTAGGGGTCGGGCTAGCCACGGCTTTGAGCGCGTGAGGCTCGTTGGGGCGGTCCTGGAGGGCGTTTGGGGCTCTCAGCAGGGCGGGCTAGGATTGTGCGGGGAAGGCTGGGGGGGCCGGAGGACGGGAGGGATGATCCGGCACGATTGCTGCAGGCGACGCTGGCGCAGCGGTGAGGCTCGGGCGTCGCGGATACGGGCGGCTTTGGGTGCGGGTTGGTAAAGGGACGGCGCTGGCTGGGCGCAGCGGCATCGCAGCAGCTCGCGCCAGAATGAGGTGCGATGGCGGTCCGGGGTCGGCGCGAGCAGAGAACGGAACTGGAGGGCTCCATGAAAAATTCGCTGCGGTGATGACGCAACTGCAAAGGGTCCGATCACCGAGATGCGCCCGGCTGAGTCACCAGCCAGCCTGCGCCGCCGCTGCCACGCTGCTGCCGCCGCCGCTGCGGTTTCCACTTCTTTTCTCGCGCTGTATGCCCGCCGTGCCCGCCTGGCGGTGCCATGTCGACCACACGCAACAGAGACCGGGATCTTACGCAATGCTGCAGGCGCGGTGCCCCGGCCAGAGGCTCGCCAGCGCGCCGTTCCCGTGCGCTGGAGTTTTCTGGGGGTAAGCAGAACTCGCTAGTGGCCAGGATCTTGCCCGAATGGGAATTAAATGGGGGTAACAGGAACTCGACCGCAGACGCGCCTTCGCACCTTGTGATCATCGCCCTGAGCAGCCCGAGCCTGCACCGCACCGCACCGCCGCTGGCTCCATGCCGCCGTTCGCCTGCCTCAGTCCGCCAAGCGCTGCTTTTGCCAGCTCCTTCCGCGTGGCGCCAGCCCGCCTACCTGCAACCTCTGCCCTCTCTCTGACCATCGGCCCATGCTGCCTGCTGCTTGACTAACACCCAGCCAGCAAGCCCGTGCGGCTGCCGTTTCACGGCTCGAAAGGGTCCTCCCTCTCCGGTCCTCCCTCTCTGGTCCTTGTGCGCGTCGCCGATATAAAGCCCCCAGCCGCCCATCTTGCCACCCTTGCGACCCTTTGTCTCTGCACCTTCAACCATCCCAACGCCTGCCCACCCTGTTTCTCCAATGCACATCAACGACCTCCCCTACGAGATCCTTTCCCAAATTCTCGACGAGGCCACCAAACTCAATGAAAAAGAGGGCGTGAAGTTCACCTTCGGCCTCTCCCAGGCCCCCGGCCTGGTGGCCAAGCCGCCCGTCCAGCGCTATGTGCGCGGCCCTGTTCCGCCCGACATGCTGAGGTGGGACACCACCTCGGCCGTCCGCTCCGTGTGCAGCGCCTGGCACGACTGGGGCCTCCAGTACGCCCTGCGCGACGTCTACATCCGCAAGTGGAAGGGCGCCGAGCGGTGGGCCGACCTCCCGCTGAGTCGCAGTATGTCATGCCCTCAGCTCCACCACGCACTCGCACCATCGCTGACCTGACCGCCCCTAGAGTCATATGCCACCTACGAGCTCATTGACAGGCCTTCGAGCACTCCCTTGTACAGAGACCCCTTCTGCGCACTCAGCAACTTTGGAAAGCTGGTGAACCAGTACCCTAACATTGCACAGCAGATCCGCCGCATGTGGTTCAATGGCTTCCATGTGTTTGACACCAATGCGCAGATCTTCGCTGCCCTCAAGTGCTGCACCAATCTTGTGTCGCTGAGCGTGCCCTGGACTATGGTCCGCCACCTCGATGCCCGCCAGTGGGCTCGGGTTCTGCGCGCCCAGCACCCCACCCCTCTCGAGTACCTCGAGCTCCAGGCCATCACCCTGAGGGGCCAGCAGGCCAACGACCCGGCCAACCAGGTCGACCTGCGCCCCTTCGAGTCGCCGCTCGTCGATTTCAGCCGCCTCAAGAAGTTCAAGCTGATGGGCAACACGACTTTCATGCCCATCAACGACCGGGACCTGTACGACATCGCACGCACCGCTACAAACCTCGAGGAGTTCCACATGACCTGCCTTGACACAGTCAGCATCGACGGTGTCATGGCCATTGTCAAGTCGTCCCAGAACACGCTCCGTGTCCTCGAGCACTCGCCTCGAAGCAACGCTGGCTTCTTCCACCCGCATCCTGGCACGCCTTCGTCCAACGAACACCTCTGCGAGGTTCTCGCAAACTGCCCCCGTCTTACCACCCTGTCCATCTCCATTCCGTCCATGTGCCCGACCCTCTTCGCCAACTCTTCGGTTCGGTGGGCAGGAGACTGCCAGGTCCGTGCCCTTCGCCTCTGCGACCACGACTACGCCAAGGGTAGCAACACGGCGCTCATCGCCGAGCCTCTGGACGAACTCCTTGCCGAAGCTCGTGGGCTTTCTGAGAAGCGCGCTCGCGGCACCCACGGCGTGGAACTCGCCATCGAGCTCTTCTTCGGCGGCTTCATCTTTGAGCCCCACGCCAAGGCGGTGCATGGCGACTTCCAGATTGCCGAGGTCGAGTCCGAGGGACAATGGCCCCGTAGCCACGAGCCCAGCCGGAAGGGTCCGTACGGAAGCACTGGCCTGTATGGCAAAGACGAGGAGGATGTTTTCTCCAAGGTCGATGAGGCTGAGTTCCTCGAGGGCGTTCGCAGGCGCGCTGTCTATCTGGTCTAAGCCGGATGCACAATGCCCCGCAGCCTTGGTAGCACGCGCTTGCGCTGCTGCTCCATTCCGTTCTTCTGGCCGGTGAAGCTCGTCACTGGTCAGTCGTTATTTTTCTTTACACTCATACCCCTACGATTTGGATCGCGTTCTGGTATTGTTTCCAAAAATCAACAAGCGTCGGAACTTCTTTGGCTCGATATCGATGGGATTGTCACGAAAGCAAGGCGTTGGTCATTTTGCGCGGCATTTCTTTTTTTGCGAGGGGAACAAGCAAAAGCGAAAACTTCTTTACAAAAGCATGGTGATGAGTCTACGGCCAGGCTGTTTCCTAGATACACACTGGTTTGATCTCTGGCTGGTTGGAATATACCAGGAGGGGAACTGATGATACCCCTCTGATTGAATCGCTGAAAGAAGCATTCGACAGGTTTTCGTTTTTCTTGATCTCAGCGTAGCGTCAGCGGTCCTTTGCGTTGTTTTTTGTATTTTTGTTGGGAAGGCACTCTGCATTATTAAATCCATGACGCTTCGTCCGTCCGCTATGGGCGGACAGCTCTTACACTCATCGACCTTGCTCGCCTGCTCTTCTGACTCACTGGCGTCTGTCCTGACGATCTCGTGATTTCCTCGACGCCTACGCTGAGGCCGTCAGTCCACTTCGACTGTGCCACGGACAGACCGCCTACTATTATTGGATACTCATCAGTCGCCGTTCTAAAATTGGCAGGTGATAGCGGCGGCACAGTCGTGACGACTGGACGACGTTGCTTAAGTAGCCTACCCCGGATCGCCCCAGACCGATGGTCATGATCCGAGCCAACCAACATTTTATATTTCTCTTACCAACAATCGACTCCGCCCCCCCCCCTAGCCCGCCCAGCGGGAACTAGGCACGCATGGGGAAAGAGATTCCCTCACCACGTGTCGTGGGGGAGCAGCTGATTGGCGAAGGCGCCGGAAGGGGGGAAAGAGGGATTAGCGGGGGTAGAGCGGGGATGCGCCGGCCGGGCTGTGACAGCGTGTGGTTGGTGCTTTCGCCCTCTCTTGCGTGCTAACGAGCATCCGTTCGAGTGGCAACTCTCGGCTCGGCCCGACGAGGCCCGGATCGGATCTGGATCGGGTGGGTGGGTGGCGAAGAGTAGGTTTTTTTTGGGGAGGGGGCGTCTCTACTGCAGGTTGGTGAGCCAGTGAGGATCATGGGGGAACGGGGCGTGGGCAATGGCTCACATCTTTTTGCGACGATGGAGTGGGTTCGTTGCTTCGAAAGTGGAGGCTGGGCGAGCGGCGTGTGCCGGTTCGTTTACTGGGTTTCTTTTGGCGGGTGACGCGGGGAGGTGTTGGTTCCAAGCACGAGTTAATGCCGTGAGTTGAGAGCAACGTTGTTTTTTGCCTTTATTTTCAGGATCCGACAATATCCACTCATGTCATAGTCCACATTGCTTCAAAGCAGATACCCACCCGGTTGAAAAGTGCCGGTCGGTGGGGCCTGGTCTGGCGCCCTGCAAAAAGTTGCTTGGGATCATAGGCCCATTGAGCCGGTAGCGGGAATATCTACCGCTACGGAAATACGGTACACGAAGGACAGTGTTTGAAGGAGAACGCTTTAGGAGTTCGGTCACTTTTAGCTCGAGGTACATGTTGGCGGTTCGATGGGTTTTGCGAGTAGTTAAACGGTGCGTTAGCCCGCAAGAGATCGCCCAACGAGGTGTCAATCAGCATATCAATAATTTAGCCATCGACCAAAATCGCTGCTGCTCTAGTATGGGTGTTGGAAGAAAGCAGAGATGTTTTTAGAATAGATTATGAATGTTTGCAGTAGTCATGAGCACGCTACGGGCTGGCGCATGTCGAGGATAAACGTGGGATGCCCACTTCACGGTGGGTACAGAAAGAAATTGACCCTATTCACATCTATAATCTTACATGGGCCTTGGGGTCCCGCATCTGGAATCTGGATGCATTCGTATGGTTTTAATACTTAAATCTACGCCGGGATATCTGCTTCGACTGCCTACGCAAACAATCGCCGCAGGTCGATTTCTTCTTGCACCCATTGAGGGGGCCCGTTGCGCCTACACACTGAAGTTTTGGACGGACTGTTGAATAGTGTACCGCGTTGACAATGTGCAAGTAGATGAGAGCGGTACCCACTTGTCACCGGGGTTGGCCCGGCCATGAACAGCTGCGTATGAAGTTATTATTCCTTCAGCTGACTATGTTTCCAGCCGAGGCATGAGTCTAGGATGCAAGTGGGTCTATCTCACATGGCGAGCAATAGGTCATGGGCTGTTGTGGCAACCACGTGCTTTCGTTCAATGACGAACTGGCTAGGCTAGTGTCAGATAGGTCAACCGCTCCATCGAGTGCCTTCAAGGCTAGCGACAACGGCAACATTCAGAACCCGCCTTCACAAGAGCCATCAAGCACAACCAGACTGATGAACATCCGCACCGGCCCGATACAGAGACAAAGGTTCGACGCACGCAAGCACGAGGTCTTCACAAAGTTCCTGTGGTGCGACCTCCTCCCAGGGTTAGCTCGCGTCCAGAAAAGATCAAGGAACTTTGGAGGCCGACTACTACAGCAGAGAGAGTCTCGTTCAAAGAGAACAGTTAGTAGATTCCAAGTAAGAAGAGTATGATAACCATGGCTCGGAGGGTGCAATTCACTGGAAACTGATGATGCTTGAAAATGATGTAGGCATCCTTTGAAAAGCTTGGCAGGTTTGCAGAGAAGATGAAGAATGGCTAGAGTATATAGTCCTGTTGGTTCGGCTTGGCGCCCAAAGGACAAGTGTGATGACTGAATTGTCTGGACCTCGTGCCAGAGACAGCGGCGAGGTATGTGCCTGGTATGCGCCGTTCCACAGCCTTCCACGTTGGGCTAAAAGTGTGGCCGGCCGCGGCTTTAGTCTAGTCAAGCGCGCTCACGTTCCGGAAACCGATAGTCTACCGCCTCCACAAGTGTGCTCTAGAGACGAAGCCGACGAGTGATGGCTGATGATGGCTGCTGATGGCTGCTGATTGGACCGGGTCATGGCGTGAGTAGTATCGCTGGCCAAGAACAACGGGAGACGGCGGCGCAAAGACGAAGTACATCACATGTCGTCGTGACGGAGGTGGGGGAAAACGTGGAGGAGCTATCCGTTGCGGCGCTTTTCGTCGAGCCGGGCTGTTTTCAGCTACGCATCCTTCGGTCCTCCGCCACGCCATTCTCCGTTCCGAAACCATGGCTCCGGACTCAAACAACGTGCTCATGCGCGTCATCCTGCAAAGACATGCACATACTCTAACCGGTGTACAGAAAATGATCTTTTCTCCTATTGCGCATGCATGGTCAGACCGTGGTGAACGGCGCCGCGACGATGCTTGACTTACTGCGAGCGTCCTCTCCAACATCCACCTTCGACATGGCAACGGCTCCCCGCTTAAGCCAAGCTGTTCCAAGTCGTGTAAGTGTACGATCCTACTTCTCCACGAGGCTCATGCTAATCAGTCCGGGCTACCAGCTAGTTCGTCCTACGCCACGAGCCATTGCCTATCGGGGAATAGAGCTGAACCGGAATGCCCATGGCTTCCTTCCCGTGCCGCCACTTCTATCTGGGCGCTACACCATCGTCTACGGGCTTGTAGAAACCGCCATCTCTTGGGCTCGTACGGGACCGTCGGTCACGTCAGCTTCCAGACAAGATCATCCGAGATGCGAAACGTCGGCGTGGATCGTAGCCTGTGTCGGCTCGGATTCGAATTCGAACGCCGCTGGCGGCTCCATATATCAATCCACGGCATGTATCTGTATACTCTTCCATTGCTCTGATCTGCTTCAAGCACTTCTCTTGCGTCTTTCTTCCCTTATCCAGCCTCTGCCATGGCTTACACAGTGGACGAAAGGGGTTCCTGGGTGAAGCCGTCGGACAAGGACAACAGAGCATCCTGGCTCTCCGGCAGCACCCAATACTCTTACGACGACCCGGAACAACAAGACTCTGGAGTACCCGTCGTCAGCGCCCCTGCTGCTCCCGGCTCTTCCCAATCTCCCTCAGAAAAACCCAACACCCCCGCCGCTGCTGGCGACTTCCCGGAAGGCGGATTCCGCGCGTGGTCCGTGGCGGTAGGGACGGCGGCGGCGCTGTTCTGCACCATGGGCTACCTCAACAGTTACGGCGTGTATCAGACCTATTACGAGTCGCACCAGCTATCCTTCATGACGCCGTCGGCCATCTCGTGGATCGGCTCGCTGCAGAACTTCTTCGTCTTCTTCAGCAGCCTCTTCGGCGGCGCCCTCTTCGACCGTTACGGCGGGCCCGTCATCGTCGCCCCCGCCGCCGCGGCCTACGTGCTGTCCATCATGATGACCAGCCTGTGCACCGAGTACTGGCAGTTCGTGCTGGCCCAAGGCGTGCTCGGCGGCATCTCCAACGGCATGGTCATGAGCCCCGCGCTGGCCGCCACCTCGCAGTACTTCTCCAAGCGGCGGGGCGCCGCCATGGGTCTCAGCATCGCCGGCGCCTCGCTGGGCGCCGTCGTGTTCCCCATCGCGCTGGTCAAGATGCTCCCGGACGCGTCCTCGCCCAACATCGGCTTCCCCTGGGCGGTGCGCGTGTGCGGCTTCATCGCCCTGGGCATGCTGATCTGGCCGTGCATGGCCATCCGCGCCCGCCTCCCTCCCCGCAAGAACAGCCTCATCCTCCTCTCCGCCTTCCGCCGCCCCGTCTACCTCGCCACCGTCGCCGCCACCTTCCTCCTCTTCCTCGGCTTCTTCACCCCCCTCTACTACCTCCCCAGCTACGCCGTCGCCCACGCCGGCCTGTCCCCCTCCCTCTCCAACTACCTCCTCGCCATCCTCAACGGCGCCTCCTTCTTCGGCCGCATCGTGCCCGGCATCCTCGCCGACAAGCTCGGCCGCTTCAACACGCTCGCCTTCGCCGGCGTCTCCTCGGGCATCCTCACCCTCTGCTGGACGCGCTGCACCACCGCGCCGACCGTCATCGCCTTCGCCGCCCTCTACGGCTTCAGCTCCGGCGCCGTCGTCTCCGGCTTCACCGTCGCCCTCGCCTTCTGCGCCGACCAGCCCAAGAACATCGGCACCTACATGGGCATGGGCATGGCCGTCGCCTCCATCGCCATGCTCATCGGGCCCCCCGTCAACGGCGTCCTCCTCGCCCGCTACGGCGGCTTCGACGGCATGGCCATCTTGAGCGGCGTCGTGTGCATTGCCGGCGGCCTCGTCTCCTTGGCGGCCAAGGTGCTCCAGGGGAAAGGGGTGTTGTCGCTATCGTAGAGCGACCTCTCTCTTCCCCCCCTTCCCCTTCACTCTCTGTCTCCTCTCTATCTTTCTTCTCTTGACCTTCCTATTTCTCTTCACTTCTTCAGACGCAGATCGTTTACCGGTCTACCGTTATTTTCTTTTATTTCCCCCTCTACCTTCTTTACCATCTTTGAAATATGTGCTCGAAATTGTGTCCAGAAAATATTCATGTTCCAACTGGCTTTGGATTTACCAGGAAACGGATAGAACATCTGCTGTGCATCATGTGTCGATCGAGGCAATGTGTGATGGCGCGTGACGCAGATCTACGACCTCACATTAGTGCTCGACTCCTTGGATCCCGTACAGAAAAATGATAAGACAAGAACGTCATCCCCTTATCTACTCCTACCTACATGCAGCCCACCGGAAAGATCGCACATGCTGTCATACGTACCGAATCTTCTACTGATCCATCCCAAAAATAACCAAACCATGTTCTCCGCCCTTGAAATACGTCGACCCCAATCTACAACCTTGTGGAAAACGGCGTTTATTCTATAACCAAACCTCGTTCTAACCCCCCAGCACCATTCCTTCACTCGTCATCGTCATCCACCTCGTCCATACCAAGCCATGCCGCCCGGCACTTGACCGCCTCAAGTCTGACCGCTCTCTTGGAATCGTCAAGGGCTGCCGTCAGCTTCTTGACAACCTGCCGCTTGAAAGGCAACACAATCTCGCCGCGCAGTCTTTCGGGAATGAGCGCAAGGCACTTGAGCGCGGCTGCCCGGAGAGCCGGGCTGTTTGTTGGAGGGACGGCAGCAGCCTTGTTTTTCGCCGACGCAGCGCTTGCCGTATTCAAAAGTCGGGTGATCAAGCTAGCGGCGTGTTCCTCGAGTGCCTTAGGTTCGTGGGTCAAGACCGCAATCAAAGTGTCGACTGTAGCCTTCTTGACATCATCGAACTGTTGCTGCTGCCCTTGCGGCGCTTGAGATTGCTGCAGGTCCAGGCACTGAAGGAGCAAGGGAGTCAGCTGCGATAGTTCCGGCTCAATGATTGTGTATGGGATCCAGCGCAAGATGCCGGATAGACCAATCAGGTAGTTGGTTTTAGTCGATGGGTCTGCAGTCTTGAACGAGGAAGCGATTTCCGGTACAAGAAGATTGAAGACCTTCTGCTTGTGCAGCCCGGAGACCATGCAGTAGTTGTCCTTTGTCAGAAGATCATGTGGGGCAAGTATAAGACTGAAGCCACGAGCCACAGCGAGGCCATGCTTGGGATCCTTGAGAAGTTCCAGCAGTGACGGGAGGACGGTGTTGAGGATAGGGGCGTTGCGAAGAGCAAGGCCTTTGATGATTGCGAAAATGACCCGGATGTTCTTGTCATTGAGTTTCTCGGCGGACAGCAGCTGCTGCGGCTCAAAGAAGATACTGTTCATAATATCCTTGATCTCGGCTGAAGGGATGAACTTGTTGGCCACAAGGGAGATTTGAGAATTTATTGTCAGACGGACCCGCTGGGGGATGTCTTCCAACACTGCAAAATCCATCAGCGCGGCGAGAAGCCTTCGTGAATCTGCAATGGGTGCCGCTTCGCGGCGGAGGGCTGCGAGGATATGTGTTGAGACGATCATTTTTCTTCTTCTTTCAAGTGAGGTATCCATGTTGAAAGGCGGTGAGCTGTCCGAGGATTCACCAGAGAACAAGGTGTAAGTATCCGGAGCAATCTTCTCCTTCTGGAACTCCACGGTCTGCTTTCGAAGGATGGTGTTGCACAAGCGTCCAACTATATCAAGGGCAAACTCATTATCGAAGGCCGAGGACTTCGATCCTGAGACCTCAGAGAGGAGTGGGAGTATGATCTCGTCGTAGTAGGGACAGGAGTCAGTGGTTCCTTCGAGCTTTACTGCTCCTTTCGAGAACGCGAAAAGTTTTGCTGAGAGAAGCGCAACGATATATCCATCCGAGGCGCCCTGTTGAATAGCCGCATTGAACTTGTTCCTCAGCCGCAACACCACCGTCGGGAATATCTGTTCCTCGGTAGCGAGCTTTGCAAATGCTTCAAGTACAGGAGCATATGAATCTGACCCTTCGATGTCTTTGTCTGGAAGCTCTGCCATGAAGGCTGGGAATGCCTTGTCAATCACCAGTTGAGGCTTTTGGTGTGCAATATCGACCAGGCCAGTGACTGCAGCCGTCTTAACTTCATCCTTGCCATAAGACTCCTCTGATATGACAATGTCGTGGAATATGGCAACGATCTTGGCAACGTCATCGTCATCAAGGACAAGCCTTGCCTTAGCAAGCTGCAAGAGCCCATCGAGCGCCGCCAGACGGAAGGAGACCTCTTTCGCCGGTGCTGTGGCAAGGCCATTGCTCATGACCTCTAAAGCTTGATCGCGGTATTTCAGGAGGGCGTTATCGGCTGTACGGGAACCAGAGTGGACAACCTTGCTGTCAACAAGCCGCCATTCACCGTAGACCGCAATGTCCGCCCTGATCAGCTGAGCAAGAACCTCAACTAGACCTCTCCGTTTCGCCATGGAATCGCTAGTCTGGTAGAGTGTGAAGACATTGGGCAGAACCGCGCCAAGTACCGAGTCCTCGACTGTCGGGGACACCTTCAAGACAGAGTGCAATATCTTTCCGGAAGCTGCCGACTGCTTTGTTGGCGCATCCTCAAGATGTTCATTGCACTCTTTTGTGATTGGCTTCAGGTAGGCATGCAGCGAACCGGCAGTGTTTTGTGTCAGCTGTCTTGCGATCTCCGCAAGACCGCTCAAAGCCTCCTCTGCAAGGTCGTCTTCCTGCGCGTTCAGGATCTCAAACTTCAGAGAGTCCCACAGAGTCACAGCATACAGGGAAACTGTGCGTGGACCGTAATCTTGAACGCACGCAGTCAAAGTTTGAAGGACGTCTCTCTGGTGCTAGTCAGATATGCTTCCAAACCAATTTTTGAGACACTAACCTTTGTGTTGATTGAAGTAGAGTCCAGCTTGTCAAGGAGAGCAGGGAAAGAGTAAGGAGCAAAGTCTGCGGTAGATGAGATGCACTCTCGCAAACGATCCTTTAGGTGTTGGGCAGTGATTCCGTAAGGGTCATCCGGCGGAGGCCTGAACGTGATGGGGAAGTAGTTAAAGACGGCATCAAACAAGTCCTGTTGGCGGTCAGCACAGAAATGGCACACAACAAGACGGGAGTGCTGGAAACAGTCGTGCTTCACAACCGCTGCTAGACTAACCTGAGCATCCGAGCCAAGGGTCCATTCCGTCATGGGAACCTTGAGGATTGAGAAGACAACCATCAAGTTACGGGGATCCTTCTCTCCATCAAAGTAGGAAATGAAGCGCGAAAGGAAACCCGGGGTAGTCTCATGCACGCTCCGTACCGCTGCTCAGGTCAGCTTCCAGCCGACTGCGACGGCCGAGGGTGAGTTACCTTCTCTGTACTTGGCAACAAGCATGTCGATCAACCGCAACACAGAATAGCGCTCGCTCTGAAGCTTGAATTGATGCAGCGGGGCCGTATTGTCTACAAGGGAGGTGAGCACCATGGCGGCCCTCTCCTTCTCCCACGCCCCACGCTCTTCCAGGGCCATGAGGGCTTTGGCTGCGGAGCCAATACCCTCATTATCGTCGGCTATACGGGACAGGACGAAGTCGCAAAGGAGATTTCCTGTTTGAGGTCAGGTGGATGTCCTCTCGGGGAAAAAAAAATATTTTAAAAATATTTTCATTCACGGCTGCAGCAATGCTTGCAATGGCGGCAAAATGCACGAGCATGGAGTAGAAAGTGGGGAGGAGCCGGCACATACTGTGTTGGCGGGTAAAGACCTTGGGCGGCGTGGCCGAAAGGACATCGGCGAGGTAGGCCATGGCTGGCAAGTCAGTACACACAGGGCAGAATAGATTTGGCGGAGCAGGCGCACCCTTCGCTCTCGTGGGCCCGTCATCGTTGTTGAGGAATTCGCCCAGGGACTCGATCAGCTCGAGCAGCTTGAGCTGCTTGGTCTCCAGGCCTGGGCGCGGTCAGCGAGGGCTTGACGTCAGCGGGGGAGGGTGGGGGCGCACGCTCGGCGGTCTGCGAGGCAATCCGCGCCGCCTCGTCCTTGTTCCGGGAGAACTCAAACAAGTACAGCTGAATAGCGGACATGGCGTTTGGGGTCGCGGTGCGGACTCGGTCTGCGAATGGCGGAAAAGCCTAAGGTAAGCAGCTGCGGGTGACGGAAAGCACGTCGCGCGCTACGCCCGAAGCGGGCAGGCGCCGCTGGCCGATAAGATTTGCGCGGGCGTGCGGGTGTGGGCGCCGGCGTCGGGGCCATAGGTCGGGGCCATCGGGGCCAAAGCGGCCAAAATATTGTCGGCACTTGGTCGTCGCCCAGGCACAGCTCAGAACCTTTCACCATGTAAGACCGGACGCGCGCTGCTGCTCCTAGGACGGCCCGTACTACTGATCGCAGACCCCGCAGGCCATCCTCCCTCGACGACGACAACGACATGGCCGACGCGCCCACGTGCAAGGTTGTTCTGGCCGGCGGCGTTGCCAAAAAGCTGCTCGCCGAGGTCCAGGACGGGCTGAAGCAGCTCAACCGCTCCCCGCTGCTCGTTGGCTTCCTCGCCAGCGGCGATCCGGCCTCGCGCGTCTACGCCGACTGGACCGGCAAGACGGCCCGCGAAAAGTGAGCCTCCAGTCGCTTTGTTGCTCCCGCAAATGCTCGTGCCCCGCGCCCTTGCCTGATCCCCGTGTCTGACGAGTCTTGTGCTCCAGCGGCTTCCAGTACGAGCTTCGCGAGGTTGACCGCGAGGAGCTCGAGGATGCCATCATCAAGGCCAATGGCGACGACGCCGTCGACGGCATCATGGTCTACTACCCCATCTTCGGCACCCGCCAGGACCAGTACCTGCAGAACGTCGTCGATGTGACCAAGGACGTCGAGGGCCTGACCCACAAGTACATCTCCAACATGTACCGCAACGTCCGCTTCCTCGACGAGGCCCAGCAGCTCAAGAGCGTCCTGCCCTGCACCCCGCTCGCCGTCATCAAGATCCTCGAGCACCTCCAGATCTACAACACCATCCTCCCGTACGGCAACCGCTTGCACGGACACACCATCACCGTCATCAACAGGTCCGAGGTCGTCGGCAGGCCGCTTGCGGCTTTGCTGGCCAACGACGGTGCTGTTGTCTACTCCAAGGACGTTGACGACGTTCAGCACTACCACAGAGGCGAGGGCTTGCGCAAGCGGAGGCACGAGGTTGAGGAGAAGCCCGGCTGGGGCTTGGAGGAGATCCTCCCGCTGAGCGACGTCGTCATCAGCGGCGTGCCGGGCGACAAGTTCAAAGTCCCCGTTCACCTCCTCCGCGAGGGTGCCGTGTGCATCAATTTCTCCAGTGAGAAGGTGAGTGGATGGGCATTGACCCACACGACTCCAATTGATATTAACAGTCACAGAACTTCTCTCCCGAGGTCAAGCAGAAGGCCTCTATCTACGTCCCTGCCATTGGCAAGTGCACCATCTCCGTGCTACTGAGGAATTTGCTTCGCATTGTCCAGAACAAGAGTGCAGATGCTCAGGCCAAGCCCGCCTCCGCGGTGGAGAAGCAGGGCACCCTCGAGGCCGCTTCCTAGAATGCGTTCGTTGGACGCCGAGGAACTCTTAGATAAGACTGCATTGGGATGATCGCCATGGAGCACGTGGGATAGAAGTGAATTGGAAGGGTCTAAGGACCCAAAGAAAAGTTTATGCTGATTTGATATGTTGATTGACTGCACTATCAAAGGTCGCCCGACCGACCATTAAACCCAACGTAGATAGATACCATAGAACGCCAGCTTGTTTTCCACCCAGACCCGCGCCCGCTCAATGCATAGAACCTCGGTGAAAGACTTTTTATGCCGCCCGTCACACGCGGGCACGCTTGGGGTGCGTTTCCGGTGCAAGATCCTCGTCCATCTCATCGTCACTGATCTCGTCATCATCGATCATTGTGCCGCCATCTTCACTCTCCTCTTCAATGTCCTCCTTGGAACGTTTCAGACCCTTCATCTTGCGGGTTTGAAGTTGGTTGAGATCCTGCTTGCCAACGTGGACTCTTCCGATCTTGTCACCCATGATGTCCGTCTCGATGTTCTTCTTGCTCTTGGGCTGTGTAAAGGAAATGTCAGAATCGCGTTCATATGAGACAATTCCCTAGCAGGAAAGATAGGAGGGAAAGGGTAAAACGTACCTCAAGCTGCTTAGGCTTCTTGAGAGCATCCTTCATCATAGACTCATCCGCCGCCTGGACCCTGCCGACCCTGAAATCAATTCTAGGGCCCATCTCCTCGACTTCGACGCGCGGCAGCTTCTGACCGCTCCTCTTCGTCCTGATGAGGTACACGCGCATGTGGATTGCAGGCTTAGGCTCGCCATCGACTTCGTCCTTGGCGCTGAAGTGGATCATGAATTGCAGACCCTCAACGTCCACGCTCTGGGCTTCCCCTCCGCGGAAAAAGTCGGTGAAATAGTTCTTTGCCTGGGTGTACGCATTGGGAACGGGGCTTTCGAAGGGGGTGCCGGAGAAGCTGAGCATGGGCTTCAGGCCGACGGCGGCCTTCTTGTTCTTGAACTGGCTGAGCTGGCGGAAGGTGTCCGGGTCGATGTACAGCTCGAGCATGTCGAGGACCTTCCACTGGAAGAAGCGCATAAAGGTCAGGCTGTGGGGCCGCTTCTTGCTGTGGTGGCCGAAGACCATGAGCGAGGCGTCATTCTTCTCGCTGAAGAACTCAAGCGAGTCGGTGTTCTCGAACGGGTGGATGTCGTTCTTCTTGTTGAACTTGATCGCGAGCGGCTCCTTCAGCTGCTTGAGGTCGGCCAGTGCATGTTGCGCGATCTGGCTGCACGACGTGCCGCGCAGGAAGAGCGTTGTCTTCGGGTTCTCGTGCACCTGCGCCTCGCGTTTCTCGAGGGCGCGCTTTGTGCGCGCGCTCTTGGGCTTGCTGTGAAAAATTGGTCAGTGATGACTCGAGCGAGGAGCGTTCCATACGATTGCATACATCTGGCGGAGCGGGATTGACATTATGAACGGGCGTGGTCTTGCGGTGCGCTGCTGGGCCGCGACTTCGCGCCGGGAACTTTTTGATATCCGCAAACATTCTGCCGCGAGGGCGGTACCTATTATGGACTAGCGCTAGGGCCTCCCACCCCAAGATTGTCCAAACCACGTGCTGGCCTGTCTTGGGCGCCTTCGACCTTTTTCGTTGGGATACAATGTACTTCTCCTCTCCCAAACTCTTGTCCGAGGTCTATTCCTTGGATTTGAGGATACTGTCACTTGTCGTCCCATTTCTGGTGCCTGTTAGCCCATACCAGAGCCAGTAACAAAGGTCCGTGAGGAAAGTAATACTGCAACAGTATTAAGTTTCCCTCCGAAGCAGAATGGAGGCTGCCTTGGCTTCTTCGCATCTCAAATACCAGAAAATATGGTCGGTTGAAGTTCCCAGCTCATCAAAACATACGTTAGCAACAGCAACGCGGTACGGGCAGCAAGCGCCCATCCTTTGCGGCGTTCCTGATGTTTGCATAAATCATTCAATTCTTTTGATTGTCGAGACTGAGATTCTGGGGGCTATTTATGACCATCAATACCTGCAGCTTTCGTCGCGTGGACTTTCATGAGAGATGTCAAGACAGGTATCGGACTACTCGTTGGCTGATTCACAATCATGTCGCAAGCGAATCAGACCTCGAAGCTGAGACTGAAACCTCTGGGATTCCCCGCACACGTCAACTGGAAACATTCAATATTGGTGCTGCGGAGGTTTGTCAGCTCGCGGGCAACCGGCGATGACGTGACAAGGGCAGGTGGCCTGTGCGTTTTGTCGGAGGAGCTTTTAGGCGGCGGGGCATATCAATCAGTTGGATCTGATTACTCGACGACCACCGTCACTTTTAGCTTCTCGCACGCCACCAACAGCCTTTCCTCGACGCCCAATTCATCCCGCCAGACTCTCACGCAGAGCCTTTCCCGCATTCCCTCCGCCTGCCGAAGACAAGCCCTTTGCGCCGCCAACCATGAGCGCCGCGACCGTCACCGAAATCACCACCGACGCCGACTTCGCGGCCTACGTCCAGAACTTCCCGCCCAATGCGCTGCTCGTCGTCTACTTCCACGCGCCGTGGGCCGCGCCCTGCAAGCAGATGACGACGGTGCTCGAGGCGTTGGCCAGCACGTACACGGCCGACTCGCCACCCTCGATCGGCTTCGTGTCGATAAACGCGGAGGAGCTGCCCGACGTGTCGGAGGCGTACGACGTGACGGCGGTGCCGTACATTGTGCTGCAGAAGGGCGGCCAGACGCTCGAGACCGTGTCCGGCAGCGACGCCTCCAAGGTGCGGGCCGCCGTCGAGCGGCACGCCGGCAAGAGTGGCAACCCGGGCAAGCTGGGCCTGCCGCCCGCCCAGGCCGTCACCAAGCCCGCTGAGCCGAACGGCAGCGCCCCCGCCCCGAACGACGCCGCGGCGGCCGCCCCCGCCCCCGAGGAGCCTGAGACGAGCAAGGAGGAGTTGTTTGCGCGCCTGGAGGGCCTCGTCAAGGCGGCCCCGGTGATGCTGTTCATGAAGGGCACTCCCAGCGCGCCGCAGTGCGGCTTCAGCAGGCAGACGGTCAGCCTGCTGAGAGAGAAGGGTGTTCGATACGGTTTCTTCAATATCTTAGCCGACGACGAGGTCAGGCAGGGCCTCAAGGAGTACGCCGAGTGGCCGACTTTCCCGCAGCTGTGGGTGGGAGGTGAGCTCGTGGGTGGACTGGACATTGTAAGTTGATTCAGTTTCTCATTCTCGACATGCAGAGTGCGGCATGCACATCTCATGATCACGACCTCCAGTGATGTTTGCTCGGCTGACACAAAAACCTTGTAGGTGCGCGAGGAATTTGAGAACAGCCCCGACTTCCTACAGGAGTACGCAGTCAGCACACAGCGGAACACCGCATCGGCCGACGCATAAGCGCAGCGCGCCTGAAAGGTGCGCGGAAGTAGTATGCAACAGCATCAAGTTGTGCAATGGATTAATAATGAAGAACCGACGAACGGCACGAACGGCATTACGAGGCGCGATGGGAAATGATGACTAGCATTGGGCAACCCTCAGCCCACAAAAAGCCTTCCCCTATGTAGAAGAGCCTCTATAGTAGGTAGCAGATACCACCTCGGTCAAATGACTTTTATGCGCCAAGCCAAACACCCCGGGCCCACAACGATTAAAATTAGATGTCCACTTATAGTTGATCGTACGAGCTCCCCCGCCAAGGTCGGAGGGGCTGCACGCGAAAAAGGCTCGGCACGTGCATCTTGTCTGTGGCGCACCCGTAGCGTCGAGACGGGGGTTGTGGTGTACCATGTTGGTCGGAAGTACAGTACAGGAGGTCGCACACCGACAACATCTGTGTAGTGTAGAGGACCTGGCGATTCTGTTCCCCTAGTGAAGTAGTTACGTGTCACACGTCTTTTTTTTCCTTTTGTCTTGTGAAGTTTTGCGAGATTATTTGATAGCTATGTATGGTATCATATGATGCAGAGGAAGTATTTGATTGGAAAGAGATGGGGGGAAACAACACTTCGCTCAGCGACTCTACTGTAAAGTCGGAATAAAGGAAAGCTTCTCTTCTCTAGTTGTTGTCAGGAGCTTCGTTGTTTCTCCGCTTTTTCTTCCCTGCTCTGCTACGCCGCTCTGCGCCTCATCGCTAACAGGAAAACTCTCCGAACAGCCGAAGCCAAATCCAACGTCAACCCGTACAACCCGAACTTTTCGCCTTCTTTCCCGCGAGAGAAATAGGATGAGGTATATTAAAGACCAATGTGTAAAACAGTATGTAGGAAAGAGATAAAGATGTATTGGAAAGATGTACAGCGAACAGATAAATGGTGATGCTTGAGATGTCTATACGTTTTGTTTTGTTTTTTGGTTCTCGTTCTGTCGTCGTTGCTCACCAGTTGCTCTTCGACTTGCCGTCCTCGGAGCTGAGGACAAATGCGCCAGACGACAAGGCGTCGAGCTCCTCGTCGTCACCGCCAGAGACGGCGCGCTTCTTGCCGAGGAGGGCGCCGGTGACACCGTTGTTGAGCAGAACGGTCTGCGTGGAGTCGAGCACAAGGCCGGTGATGGAGCTAAGCAGGCCGGTCGAGGTCAGGCGCGCCTTCATGGCGGCGGGATCCTGGCGCAGAGCGGGCTCCTTGTCCATCAGGTAGGCCATGACGCCGGTGACGTGCGGGCAGGCCATGCTGGTGCCGTCGAGGTACTGCACGACGTTGTCGCCGCCAATGTACGTCGACAGGATGTCCTCGCCGGGAGCGTACACATCGACGCAGGCGCCCGTGTTGGAGAAGGAAGACACCTCGTCCGTAATACCGATGCTGCCGACGCTGACGACAGATGAGTTGGAGCCACCGACGTTCGACGGCGAGTAGTCGCACGCGTCCTTGCCCTTGTTTCCGGCCGCCACCGAGGCGTGGATGCCGGATTGCGTGGCGAGCTTGATGACGTTGCTCAGCGTGTCGACCGTCTCCTCGGTGCCGAAAGACATGCTCAGGATGCTGCCCACGAAGTCCGACTCGGTCTTGCGCTGATCATGCTGCTGGATGACCCAGTTGATGCCGGCAATGGTGTCGGAGGACTTGCCACCTCCGTCGGCATCGAGGACGCGCACGGCGATGATGTTGGCGCCGGTAGCAATACCGAGGGTTGCGCCGGCAGAGGTGCCCGAGACGTGAGTGCCGTGTCCAGCACCGTCCGTGTAGTTGCCCCTGTCGTCGGTCCAGCCGTCTACAGGGCGGTCCGAAGTGTCCGGGTAGGCGGTCCAACCGTTGCGCGCGCGTCCCTGGAAAGCGACGTGATCGACGTTGACACCGGTATCAACGATGTAGATATCAACGCCCTTGCCGAGCTGGGCGTTCTCGTACGAGTAGGTGAAAGCAAGGCCATCGGTGGCGTTGCCACCAACCGCCAGCTCGCTGGAGATGCGCTGCAGACCCCAGGGAGAACCACCTCGTGTGCTGACATCCCTCTTGCTCCTCAAAGAGGAGGCAGACATGACGGCAGACTTCTCGACCGACTCAACTTCCACCATATCACCCAAAGCCTTGATACAGTGTTCATTTATGTTGGCCGAGAAACCGCGGAAGGCGCTGTTGTTGAACGTGTAGCGCACGTCGGAGTGGTTGGTGGAGAGCTCCAAGCGGCTGAGAATCTCCTCGACCTCGGGAGTGGTGGGGTGCGAGGCATTGAAGAGGATCAGATGTTCCTCACCTCCGGACTCGTGAGAAGAGCCAGTGGTTGCTGCTGCTGCGGCTGGGCTCGTAGATGTCGCGATGGCGGATACGAGAGCAGCAATGTTCTCGGCGTCGGTTTCCTCAGAGGAGCCGCGGTTGAAGCCCAGGAAATTGCCATGCCAGTTGGCAGGGATGGGAATTGTCCATGCCGAGGTAGATCCCAGCAGAGAAAGAGCGGCTGCCGAAGCGGCGAAAGCGTACTTCATGATGAAGGAGTGGTAAGAGCGCTCTAGGCGATCTCAAGTAATAGAGAACGAACGAAGATCCGAGAGATGGACGGATAAAAAGGAATGTGATGCTGTATAGCTAGTGTCAGACGTAGAAGCTCAAGGAGTCACAGGCAGGCCATCAATGACATGGAGAACCAGGGGAGACATTTTGGCGTGTGGTAGCATCATGATGGAGCATGAACAATGCCGTTACAGGGAGGCTTGAGACAAGCCCGGGCGTAGGACAAGAAACAGAGGCGAAGATGAATCAACGGAAGAAGCGGTTTACGCGCTGATTTGGACGAGTGGACGGGTGGAACAGGGATGAGGGGATGAGGGAGAACCCTGAGCGTTGCTCTGTATGCAGTTTAGTACTCACATGTACACGTTGAAGCACGCAGCTGCCAGGCGAATGATTGCAGTAAAAGAAGGTCTGATTCTGTCTGGTAGGTAGACCGTGCCGGCACGGGGTTCGGTATAGGCTGGGGAAGGGGAATTCAAGGAGAGAGGGTATTAAGATAGCAGTAAAGAAGGGAAAGGCCGTATATCAAACACCCTTGGAGCGCACACCAGAAACACAAGAAGAGACTTGAGAAGAAAAGGCGTGAGAGAGGAGGGGGAAACAGTGCATTTTGATGCATGGCGCGCAGCCGGCGCCATGCTGCCATTTCGCGCAGGGGCGAAACGTGCAGCACTCCCCACGGGCTCACATCGTGCATTTTGCGCCAAACGGCTCGAACGACCATTCTCCTTCCAGCTCCAGTCCGCGGCTTGAAACGCTGGGCGGACCGTGAGGAGCATGCCCACGCGGCGATCGACGCCAGCAGCGGCCATGGCAGCGGCCAGAGCAGCGGCCAAGGGCCGAGAGCATTGCGGGCGGGCGAGAGCGAAGCGCAGCCAGTAGGACAGGCTCCGCGGCGGCGCTTGGCTGCAAGGCACAAGCACCGAGGGCCAAAAACACGGCGTTCACAGCGGCCGGAAGCGGCAGCGATGCGTCGCGGAGGGCATGGCGGACGCGGGCTCTGGTCGCTGGTTGGCGGAGGGTGCAGTGCCTTCACGTCTTTTCAGGCGGTGCGACGTCCAGGCGCAGGCACAGGGGCGGCATCGGGCGTTGGCGGGTTTCAGGTCTCAGCCTCGTTGCCTCGGGGCAGCTAGCCGACCGTCTCACGCAGCGGGCGATGGGCCGCCTGCTGGCCTGCCCAGCTGCGGACCGTCCAGACTGGGCCTGATGCCGTTAGGTGCCGTCGTTCCGAGTGGTTTCGACCTCTCTGGGCCAGTGGCCAGGGCAGGGTGTTTAATGCTGAGGCACGGGAGCGGGTGGGTAGGTGGCAGGTGTGGTGCGGAGGTCGGAGCGGATTCGGGAGCCTCACGTGGGCCGGCCAGCGGTCAGCGGTCAGCAGCCCGGCCTGTCCTGGCCACTCGACCGCCCGCGATGCGCCAGCGATGAGTCTGTGTCTGCGCCTGCTCGGCGCCTGCAGCCCAGCCAACGTCCTCGCCGCAGCCGCCGGTGACGCACGCCAACCTGCCGCGTGTGCGATCAGAAACCCTCCTCTTCGTTCCCTCCGGTCCCAGTCAGCGCGCCATGGACGCGCGTGCGCGTCTGCCGTTGGCTTGCGGCACCAAGCCCGCGCGGCAGCAGCGTCGCGTCTCGGCGGCGAACCTTCGCTTGACGTCGAGGACGCGGGAAGTGCCATGGTGCTGCAATGCAGCTCTTGACCCCTGGGAGTCCGCGCGCGTCCAGCAAAGATACGCAATCATCTGCCAGCGGGCGGTCAGCGATATCTCAGCAATCTCAGCAACCTCAGCAATCTCCGGCGTCCATCGTGCATGCTGCAGCCGGACTCGCGCCGGGCGATCGCAGCCCCGCATGTCCAAGGTCCAAGTCGAGCCGGCGTCGCAGCGGCATTGACGGTCGCATTGGCGGTCGCATTGACGGGCGCACCAGGCCGAGGTGTGTCGACGGGAGGCAGGGGCCAGCCGTGGTCGGGCGGTCGTCGGCGTCGAGGTGTTGGCGCTGTCGTCCGGGGCACAGGGCGAGGCACAGGGCGAGGCACAGGGCGAAGCACGTGCTGGGTATCGCTGACGGAGTGCAGAGAGGTGGTGCAACACGTCTCTGGGCGGGCGCCATCCGTTCGCTCCAAGTCGACCGGATCCCCCAGGTTTTTAGCAGTCCTGCTGCGCCGCGCACGTGACTTAGCCGCTGTAGAGGCGCCATGTCGCTTCACACTCGCCTACACTGGTGCGGGCGGCACAGCACAGCGTGCCTCGCCCTATTCGGCCCAGATCGACCTTGCGAACACGCCTTTTTGCATCTTGTCGGCGACGTGCTGGCATGAACATGCCCCGGAGCGCCTTTGTCCGCCAGGGGAACGGCAGTACTGCGCCGTTCTGGCATCTCCCATGCGCCAAGCCCGCTGGGAGTAGAAAAAGGATGCTGATGTTCTTCGAGAGGCCGCAAACCCCGTGAAAGCTCTTCACAGAGACCCTTGCGAGGTGCCGCAGCGCTGGAAGGTGACCATCTATTTCGGGCCCGATTGGGCCAATGGCAGAGTCTCTCGCGTAGCACGGCGGCTATTGCAGCAGATCGCTTGCTGTGCCTCACCACCTCTGAACGCTCAAAACGACGGTTACGCTCAGCCGCCGCCGCCGCTGCTGCTTGGCCATGCACGCTCTGCTGCTGTCCCGATGGTGTCGCGCCCAGTCTCCCCTGTCTCACCCGCGAGTCCAACATGGAGTCGGCCGGGTTCAACGAGCAACGAGCACACCGACCAACCTGAGGAGGCCACCCCGCGCACCCCTGCATACGGCGTCTCGACTCCACATGCCCAAGTTCAACGCCCAGAGACCCCGCAAAGGCCTTCTCACGACGCCTCAGCCGGCCAGACGTATCCAGGTGCAGCAGCCTCTGTTCTCTCCCGTCCTCGAGAAGATGAGAGGCTCAAGCTTTGGACGCCTTTTTTCCTCCGCCGCCCCGCCCTTTTGTCTTTTATCGCTCTATTCGTAATATTAATCGTTGTACTTGCTATTCTCTTTGGCCTCTCCTCGCGGGATGAGCGCCTTACTTCGGCCGACTCGAGGCTGTACTACCTGTGGGTTTACGGTCCAACAGCCGGTAAATGCCATGGTCATCCCCTTTCGGACGAGCCGAGCTAACGCCATGTGCAGTCTTCACCAGCATCGCTGCCTTCTGGGCACAGGTTGAGTACCGCTCGAAGCAGATGACGCCATGGGTTCTGATGGCTCAAGAGCCGCAGCCTGTGCGGAAGAGCCTTTTGCTCGATTACATCGACACCATGAACGTCGTTGGCCTAATCAGCTCGTTGCGAAACCGACACTGGCTTGTCCATTCGGCGCTTGCGGGAACATTTTTGATCCAGGCCATCACCGTCTTGTCCAGCGGTCTGTTCATTTCAACCCAAACCACGATCCGGGCTGAAGACGCGGACCTGACTGCTTGGAGCGTCTTTTCCGGTTCCATCCCAGCCACTGCGGGCTCCGAACCAGCCGCGAACGCCTATGCCGTCCTCGCGTCCAATCTTTCTTATCCGAACGGTACTCATGACCGGTACGCATTCCAATGGTTCAACTCACCTAAAAACGACGTTTTCAACATGACCGCCTCCGTCGACGTCTTCTCTGCCGATCTGTCATGTGAGATTGCCAACGTGACGGATCTTAGAATTGGTCAATCGTATGGCAACAACACGAACACCCTCGACGAAGCCCTTCCTCTCTCAACAGGGCTCGAACATTCACAGGCTGAGATCACAATGGATGCGTCTTCATGCCAGAATCTTTACATATCAGTGAAAGACGGCGTTTCGTTTGGCTACAACGGAAGCTTTTGCAGCAATTTGAACCCTCAGGAAGAGGACACCGGTCGTTTCGTCTTGGTCTGGGGCGAGTGGAAGGACGCTGCTTCCACCCCGGAAAGGCGCTCGCCGCAAGATATTTCGCTTGATGACAGCTGGACCACTTTACGAGACGCGACTACCAGAGAGGAGGCCAGCACGGGAGTGAGCATCCAAACAATCGGCGGTGCGGGTTCGACAAGGCCAACCTCGACAACGGGATCTACCATCACAGCTGAGACCTCTTCGCACACTACCAGGCAGACCTCTGACCCCTCCGTGATCTCTATCGACGACGGAGATCTCGGCATATCATCAACTCGCCAGAGCCTCGCGACTACTACGTCATCTAGCGGGATTGAGCCAACCCCAGGCGTTCCGTTCACACTCGGCAGTCTGACCTTGCAGGTAGCGGCACCCACATTCAGCCCATCGCTCGGCCTTGTGTGTGCGCCTAGTTACTCGATTCGCAAAGGCAGCGTGGCACTGAACAAAGACAACAATGGCGAAATCACACCCTCCATCTCCTTCTATGGAAATGAGACGGCAGCTACGCTCTCAAATGTCACTTCTTGGGATATTCTGAAAGCATTTGCACAGACAGTCGCACAGACTGAGAGATCCATTTCAACTCTGAACATGGAGGCTCTGATTAACGCGACAATCCCGCAAGCAAGCCTCACTACCGACGCAAACACCACACAAGCAGCGCTGATCCGACTCTTTCGCCTTACATCTGCGCAGTTCGCTAATATCTACCTTACGAATTCTACGGAGGCTCCACTTACAGGCGTCGCCGTGTCGAGGGAGGCGCGGCTCCAGTTGCATGCGCTGTCCTTCTGGCTGATTGAGGCTCTCCTCTTAATCTTGATCCTTGCGACATCATTCCTCTTTTTCAAATCACCTACCATCGCTACGCCACGCGACCCGTCGACTATAGCAGGCTTAGCCACTATTTTGGCGCGTAGTACTGCAGTAGTGTCCGACCTGAAAGGAAGTGGGCTGGAGAGCACCAAGGACATTGACCAACGTCTTCAAACCCATCGATTTAGCACAAGCGCGACAGTTTCGGCGCACAGCAGCCACCCACATTTCCGGATTGAGAGTGCGGAAAGCGAGCATCGGGCATCGACCACGACTGACCAGGCGGAGGCGGAGCAGAGCAAGGATGTAACTTGGTACAGGCCTTTTGTGGCAACCGTCCTGGGACGAGGTCTCGTACTCTCAGCACCGCTGGCTCTTATTCTTACACTGGAACTCCTCTACCAGTATTCCTCACAGAACAACGGGTTACTGGCTGTAGACGACGCCAACTTGTTCGTTCACTACGCCTGGACGTACGTTCCGACTGCTGTCATGGTCGCCGTGGGCCAAACATTCGCCATGCTCGACACAACTGCCAAATTGTTCAACCCATACCACAACTTGCGGAAGGGCAACGCGTCCGCTGAAAAGAGCATCATGGAGAACTACATGCGTTCGGTCACCGTGGCCGCTTTATGTCGTGCTGCTCGCAAACTGCAGTACACTGTTGTTGCCGCTGGAATGGCTGCGGTGCTGACCCCCTTTCTGACCATTGTTGTCAGTGGTCTCTTCAACGCAGAGAGTGCGCCTACAGCCTACACCGCCAGCTTCGCTCGACTCGACAACTTCGACCCGAATACGACAACCACAGGTAATGGGCTGGCATACGCGAATCTCGTGCTCGCGAACAATCTGTCGGAGCCGCTCTGGACACATCAAGACCTCGCATTTCCGCAACTTTCGCAGAGCGCGTCCAGCATCACTGACGACAGCGGCTCCGCTGTATCTGTAGCAGCAGTAAATGCCAGCAGCGTGTCCTTGGCTCTTCCCGCTGTTCGAGGCAATCTCAACTGCACTCCAGCCACGCATGCTGAGATTTACTGCGATGAATTGGCACCCTACCTTCTCTCGCAGCCCAACAGCTCTTACGGAGACCCACGACAAAACCAATACTTCAGTGGCACGGGCTACTTCGGCGATGTGTTCGCGCTGGATGCAAGGGTATACCCAGGCTGCCCAGCCGTCATGGTCGCCTTCGGGCACGTGGACAACAAGACCATTGATAGCGTTACCCACCTGTCGTGCTCACCGTACGTCGAGACAGTCAACGCGACGGCATCATTCAAGCTTCCCAGCTGGGAGCTCGACACCTCTTCGCCCGTGACAACGGATGAGAACGAGACGAGCGTGTTCTATGACGGGCAGATGCCCGACTTCCTCACGGATTCGGGATATTCGTTCGCCAACCCGCTGCCGGTCAACCGGTCGGACGAGGACTTCGCCAGCATCTTCCCTTTGGCCATCTACGGCCGCAACGGCACGCCTGTGGCGGAGCTCTTTGGCCCGGACAACATCGGCAACCTCCAGCGCGCCGTCGAGTCGACGTACGCGCTGGTCATGGCGCAGGTGCTCAACTGGGATCGCCAGCAGCTAGGCGGGGACGACGTCACGTCGGCGGGTGCCGTCGCGTTTGAGGGCAATTTGACGGACAGGACCAGCATACGGCTGGTGCAGAGCGCTGTGTCGACCCGGATCCTGGAGGGCTTGCTCGCCGCCATGTTTGTCTGCGCGGCGCTGACGTTCGCGCTGCTGGACACGAAGAAAGTGCTGCCAAAGAATCCGTGCAGTGTGGCAGCCATGGCCAGCCTGCTGGCGGGGTCCAAGCTGCTTGCGGCTATACCTGAAGGCGCGGAGTGGATGTCCGATAGGCAATTGCGGCAGAAGGGCGTCTTCGAGGGAATGGTGTTTAGCATGGGCTGGTGGGGCGACGGAAGTGGGGTGAGTGATGACGACGGAAGGTCATCCTCTGGCGGTGACGGCCAAGCGGGCAGAAGCAGGTTTGGGATCGATATAGGGACTGCTGAGAAGGGAAAGGTGCCAGGTGCGAAACGACGCTGGTGGCCTGCGCGGTGGAAGAGGCGAGAGAGCCAAGGGGAATGACTCAATAGATAAGGAGAGGATGCCTTTCTCTCCAGGTCGCGGCTCTGAGCCGACACTACAAGCCGCTACGCCTAACCATGCTACGTACGATCTGTGGGACCCGTGCTTTCTCCGTAAAATCTTCTTGTTTATCCTTATGGTCTTCTCTATTATGACTAGAATTACTCTGGGTGTCTTGTTCAGCCAATCAAGTCAACATAATGGCTTCAGCACTGCCAGGAGAGACTATTATTACCTTTGGACATACGGACCAACAGCGGTCTGATGACAGCCTTTTCCTCGACTATATCGGGCTTATGAACATATTCAGCTTGTTCACATCGTTGGGCAAACCGCACGTCTTTGTCAGCGTTGCGATTTTGTGTTGTCGAGCGGCTTGTTGGAAGCCATTAGCGTGACGGTTGGATACGACACTGATACATCCACTACGCATGGACATTCGTCCCGACGCTGATGATGGCGGCGGTAGGCCAGTTTTTCAGCATGCTCGACTTTGCAACCAGATTCTTCGCGCCATACAGCGCACTCCGTCGACATCGACGTCCATCCGCCCGAGGCCCCGCCCATCGCCGCAGCGAGACCATCATCTTCAGTCACGACCACTGGAAGTCAGTCACCAGCGGGGGCGACTCGTACAAGCTGACGAACCCCCAACCCGCGCAACGAGACCGACGAAGGCCTGGCCACGCTGTACGGCCTCGCCGTGTGGGGTGTGGACGGCGTGCCGAAAGAAGAGCTGGTGCGCGACGAGCAGAGGCTGCTCCGCAAAGCGGAAACCGTGTACGCGCAGTTTCTGGCGCAGCCCTTGAACGAGATGAGAGAGTGACCAAACGGAGCCGCCGGGTCGACAGAGAAGCGTGACGAAATGGACGACGACGACGCTGCTGGCTTGACCGGCACCATCCTGTACACCGGCCGCACCCGCCGGGCGCCGAGTGGATGTCCGACGAGCAGTCGAAAGAAAGGGGCGTCTTCGATGGGGAGGTGTTTAGCATGGGGCGGTGGGATGGTAGCGTGGGCGATGGGGGCGGTAGCAGGTCCTCTTTGGGTGGGAAACGGTTTGGCATTGACATTGGAACCGCTGTCCGCGAGAAAGACGGGGCAAGTGACGAGGGAAACGACAACCCGGTGAAGGCGAGGTGGAGACCCGCGTGGTTGAGGAGCGGCGAACCAAGGTGAAGTAAGAGGGGGTACCGCGTGTTTCGGCGAGGAAAGGGATGAATGAATGAGGCCAAGATACCCACGTGTTGTTTGTTTTCTCTCACTTGGAACCATTTAGTTTCTCCCACAAATAGTATCTATCAAACAGTTGATGGATGATGGATCCCACGTTCCCACGAGTGTGGTACCAGAGAAAGCAGGCGTAAGAGCACGTAGTGCCTTGTAACCCACGCGTGGAACTCCCGTGTCAATGAGATGATGGTGTCGAGAGAGCTCACAATGATTTTCGCAAACACGCAGCAGCCGTGTTTGCGTGCCCTGTCATGGATCGATCCGATATGCAGCGCCGCGGGGATATCTTTGTTGACCGGACCTCGGACTGACACCACCGCCCAATCTACACCTCAGGTGGTACCCGACTACCCTCTCCATCTATCTCATCCCCTTTGATGAGATTGGCCGTTTGCGGAGTAGGCTGGACAGGGCCGGCAACGCCCGCATTTAAAATCCGTTCGCTATATCCGAGTACGAAGAGCTAATCGTGATTCGTCTGGGGTTCTAATAATGATTCTTGTCTTACCACAGGTAGCTTGGGGCGGACAATTTTCTTTTTTTGGGGGTAATGACAGGGTCGCTAATAAGGACGGAGGTTATAGCTTTCCTTCCATTTTCCGCTGCCCTTGCCGAGGACGGTACATGCCGGTGAGTTGGGTAGTAGCGGGGACGTCATATGATAGGCTGTCGTGACCTTCTACTAAATGCCATAGCGCAACATACCGGGCCGCGCCAGCGCCATGTCCATGTTAGCGCAACCCGTCCCAAGAAACACCAAACAGTGCTGTCAACTAGTTCTTGGTCCGCTGCATTCCCAAGACAGGCTTTTGCTTGAAGCATTCTGACTTCGTTGTCTTTTTGATGTGGTCCTTCGAGAGACATGCTTTGGACATCGTGATTGTTTTTTTTTGTTTTTTTGGTTTATTGGGATGGATGTCACCGAGATGACAGTAAGGCTGGAGACGAGATCTACTGATCGCCATTGTCAGACTCATCAGGGGGGGGCTGTGAGCATTCGGAATTCCCGAGTGGTATGGGCCTAGTGATGGAGATGGGAATGCACAGGGAGCTGGAACGGTGTGAATCCACACCATAACATCGAGAAGCTTTCGGAAGGAGCCTTATGTGAGGCGGTGTGAGTATGAAAAACACCTTGGTACAGATGGTTCAGGTGGGATCCTTCCCGTCAAGCCATCTACGGTCCGCGGAGCCTTAAAAGCTGCAAGCATTATTAAAGTGTTGTGGCGCCGGCCACCCGCGGGGGAAGCAAGGGATGGAAATGGCGATCGATGCCCGTCACCCTAGCAAGCGGGAATCTGGACCCCGTGAAGATGGGTAACGCGCCATTGCTCTGTACCGATCATAGTAACTATGGCAGTAGCTGTCATTCGGGCCTGCTCGTCATGGAGAAGCGTCGGAGAAACTATAGAGCAAAGGTATGAGGGTCTGGATGGTGAGCGTTTTGTAAGCTCATCTGAGAATAAAAGCTCGTCGGGGATTCCGTTGTGGCGCATTTCCGAATCGACGGCGGGGAACACACAGGCGTTTCGATGCTAGGAAGGCAGTGGTTTGGTAGCCAGCCACCATTGAGCCCTGTTGCAGCCACTGTGTCCGTGAGACTGAAGAGCATCAATGCCATCGGTAAAACATTCATCTCGAAGAGCTGTTCGAATTGACGCCTTCTAAGACATGTGAATGATATAGACTGACGCGTGAATGGTGATCCTAGCGTCCAATCCCGAGATTCATGGTCACGATGTGTGAACGGCGGAAAGGGTCACTTCTCGTCCGGAAGATAGAGTATGGAATAGGATGTTCGACAAAGACGAGGTGGTTGCGCGGTGGCGTTTACTAGAGCGAGCTCGCAGTGGTCGAAAGCAGCTGCGCCTCAATGGCGCGGCCAACGCTAAGAGCTCGGTGTGTCTATAGTGCTACCAGGTAGCGTACGTAATGGTGCGGTAAACAGGAAGCACTCCCGTAGTAGCTGTCTGTAGCCGGTAGGGAAGACGGTACCAGCTTACACCTGATCATCGCTCAGGAAACCTTCAGTTCTTAAAGCAGCAGTTTCCTATCCGGACCTGGAGTTGATCAGCAGCATCTCTGTCTCCATTCCTCTCCTTTTTCAGAACCTCGGAAGCTCCAGGGGCCCTTTGCAGCAGTCGCTTTGAGGCATTCAGCACACTCGCTACTCACCTGCTTTGCGTTTGCCGTCTTATCGCTTGCAGTAAGCCCCTCTTCACCACCACTCTGAACCATGACGACCAACAGCAGCAGAGACCTTCGACTTCAAGACGTCTAGCCTGATGTCCAACTCCTCCGCAATGACTTCGAGCTCGCCCACTTCGCGTAGACGGAGCACTCAGACTCGCCGCCGATCATCCATCTTCAGCAGCTTCGCCAGCCTCAGCTTGACCAGCAGCCACAGCCAGAGCCGCCGTGGCTCCAAATGGTCAATGGCGTCCTGCTTTTCCGAGAGCAGCAACCCCGATAAGGAAGACGGGGACTACTCCCCGCCTGTCTCCCCCGTGGCCGCAAGCTTCGACCAATCAACCATTGCTTCTAAGCGCAGGTCGTGCGTTCCAAAGCGCGCTGCCGAGTCCTTCACCATTTCGCTCCCTCCAATGTGTGCCCGCGAAGCCGGTGCAGTGCCAGTGAACCTGGCGCCGTCGAGGAGGATGACATATGCCAGGCAATACGGTTATCACGCACCGGATAGCACAAGTTCCATGGACACTGTGGCCGCCAGCAAATAATGGCCCTGGTTGGAACTCATCGACATGCATGCCAGAAAGAGGTTAGGAAGGCGTTGAGTGTTACTTCAGTCTGGATGCCGCTGCCTGAGCCGTGCACCCCCGCCACGGCAGTCGGCGGCAGAACCATGAAATGCGGAGTTTAGGGAGGGTCTTGTTTTTTTTTGTTTTTTTACGGTGTTCTGGGGTTTCTCTGGGGTCAACGACGGATATGGATACGCACACGCAATGATAACATAACACTGAGAAGATCCACTGAGCGCCCTGTTCAAGTGAAATGGTCTTCGCTTACTTACCTTGTCGGCGATCAGCCTCACACAACTCAACGAGGAAGCCTAGTCGTCTTCCATGGCCAAATCTGGTTGCTGTCACTCTGGCATGCATTCGACCAATCGTGTGCGGTGCCACAGGCGCCGTGTCAGATGCGATAGCCGCAGATTCCGAGGGGTTTGCAAGGTCAAAACGAACAAGACTAGGCAGGCTGTGGAAATCGCCGTCGCTTGCTGGCCGCGGGCCGCTTCAGATGCTGCATTGGGCAGCCGGGGCCCGGAAATGACAAAAATCCCAATTCTTTCCAGTAGCCGCTGGACTCGGGCGGACGGACGACGAAGTCTATATTGTACAATGTACAGGTGTTACATCCGTGAGCCCTCCCAGTGCAACGGTCAAGGGCCGCGACACACTCGCTCGTTCCGCAAAGCCCTGTCTTTTTTCGCCTATTACCTCTCCGTGTCTCGACTGCGCGTGTGCTGAAGATCCCGCTCCATGGTGTGCTGCTTATTTCTCCTCGGCCTTCGCCTTCAGGAATGCCTCCAGGTCGAACTTGGGATCTTCGGGGTTTGTGATGACTGCGAGAGGCACTGGGGTCAGCACTTGCCGTTGGTCCGCGGGTCCAGCACGTACGTCCAGAGCGGCCCGGCGGCGCGGTCTTCTTGGTCCACTCCTCCTTGGCCTTCTTGATGAGCTCCTCTTTCCGCTGGTACTCGCGGTTGATGGCGTCGAGCTTGTCCTGCGAGGAGAGCTTGGCCTGGTGGTAGACGCCGTAGAACAGGCCGAGGCCAAGCGCAGACCACCTCAGGACCTGCGAGAGCGCGTCAGCGGGAGGAACACAGCGGGCTTGGGGGCTTGAGGGCGATGGCGGCAGCCAATGCGCGGGAGGGGGAGGGAGCGGCCTACGTTAACCCCCGTCGATGCCATTTGGGCCGTGGGAAGCGATAAGCTGGCGAGCGGGCGGACAGGTCAATGGCGGAGCCGCGATGCAGAGAGTCGCGGGCGGATGGAGCAGAGACGCGGCGATGGCGGGCTGGGGGCGTTGGGGCTCCGGGGCAGCTTTTCTCGGCGGTGATGTGATGGCAGAAGTGTCGAGCAGATGCGACAAAGTCAAGCGGTTCGCTCCGAGGCGCCGGCCGGCCCTGCCTCTGGTTGGCTGAATCATCCGCTCTCCAGCACACTGCACTCCACGCTCCCACGCCCAGCACCCCAGACCGCCCGCCCGCCCAACACGCCCACTCGAAAAACACCCCCGGACTCCCGCTGCGCGCCCGCGCCCCTGATCTGGACGGAGCCTCCTGCGCGCTGCCGTCCGCCGCCCACCAACACCCCCCACGCAAACCGCCGCCCCGCCCTAGCCATGTCCGACCACTCGGCTGCCACCATGCAGCAGCGGCGCGACGAGATCCTGGCCAAGAAGGCGAAGCTGGCCGAGCTCAAGCGCCAGCGCGAGATGCGCCAGAAGGAGTTCACCGCCAGCCGCCAGAGCATGTCCGACGCGTCCGATGTACGCCCCGCCCGCTGCCCCCGTGTCTTGCACTGCTGATGTGTCTTCTCAGCTAGTGTCGCCCACCCCGAGCCGAGCTGACAGCAGACGCGAGCTAGACAACCTGATCCAGAGCCTAGTCGAGGGCCGTCCTGGCTCCGGTGGCCCCAGGGACCCTTCGTCGCCCGCCGGCGGCAGGGGCAGCAGGCCGACCTCGGTCGTCAGCGCCGGCCAGCTGTCCAGCATCGCCGGCGAGACCTTCGACAGCACGAGCTCGCCCCCGGCCTCCACTCCGACGACCACCACCGTCCCGCAGATGCTGACCATTGCCCCGCTCACCACCGTCTACGAGTCCCCCTCGACCCCGAAGCCTGAGATCATCACCTACAGCAAAGGTGTGCAGACCACAGAGCCATGGACCCCTCCTCAGCGGCGCACGTCGGTGGCCTCCACATCCGAACCAGAGCCGGACGGCCCCGACTGGTCCCCGTCCAAGGCAAAGAGAGCAAGCAAGCGCATGAGCAGGATGGAGCGCCAAAGGGACGAGGAGCTGCGTCAAAATCTGAGGAAGGAAATCGAGGAGGAGCTGAAGGCTCTGCAGAACGAGGGTGCTGTTGACGACGACGCGGCGGAGCCAAAATTCCCCGCCCGGGCACTGAACGACGAGGAGCTCAACGCCGTGACCTCTTCGGACGATTTCTTGGATTTCGTTGAGCGGTCCAGCAAAGTCATCGAGCGAGCGCTAGACGAGGAGTACGACCTCCTCGTAGACTACGCGCTGGCCGGGGTTGAGGAGGTGGATGACGATGACGATGGCTTCGGCACGGCAAAGGGCAAGAAGGGGCGGCGGGTACGCGAGATCACACAATTCTACGACGAGCGGTGGAGCAAGAAGCGTATGATCAGTGACCTCAGCTTCTCGCAAAAGGTACCGGCTCTCTTGGTCAACTAGTGCGTGACATGCCAGCTGACGAATCGCAGTTCCCGGAGCTGGTGCTGGCTTCCTACACGAAGAACCCGTCGGCACCGCATGATCCCGATGGCCTCATCCAAGTCTGGAATATGCACATGCACGACCGTCCCGAATACATTTTCCACGCCCAGTCCGATATCCTCACTGCTCAGTTCTCGCCCTTCCATCCCAACCTCATCATTGGCGGTGCATACAGCGGCCAGGTCCTTCTTTGGGACACGCGTGCCAAGTCACAGCCCGTGCAGAAGACACCCCTCACCGGCTCCGGCCACACACATCCGGTTTATGCCATTGACATTGTTGGAACGCAAAACGCCAACAACATCATCTCGTGCTCCACCGACGGTGTGGTTTGCGGCTGGACGGTTGACATGCTTTCCCAACCGCAGGAATTCCTGGAGCTCATTTCGCCGCCTCCCGCGAAGACGGAGGACATGGCACCTACGTGCATTGCCTTCCCGCAAGCTGATCCCACTTATTTCCTTGCCGGGACCGAAGAAGGCTCCATCTATCCCTGCCACCGCTACGACCGCGCAGGCGCCAAGGCAGGCGTCGATACCCGTGTAGCGTATCGGGGCCACGCCGCCCCTGTCATGTCGCTGGACTTCCACCCAGCCCGTGGTCCGATCGATCTGGGCGACCTTGTTCTGTCGTCTAGTGTCGACTGGACCGTCAAGCTGTGGAAGGTGCGCCCGCCGGCGGCTACGGCCACTGTGGCGTCGAGCGGTCCTGGTAGCGCCCCGCAGGCGCAAGCACCGTTGTACGAGTTCGTACGCGAGGATCTCGTCTATGACGCGCGCTGGTCGCCCGTCAAACCCGGTGTCTTCGCTTTGGTCGATGGCGCCGGCAGTCTCGAGATCTGGGACGTCAACATCGATGTCGAGGTGCCCGTTGCCAAGACGTCTCCAAGCGACAAGCGTGGTGTCAACTTCATGGCCCGCAGTCTGAACAGGGTCTCATGGGAGAAGAACGAGGGCAAGCGCCTTGCTACCGGCGGTCTTGACGGCGTCGTCACCGTCTTCGAGGTGGGTGCTGAGCTGGGAGGGCAAGACAACCTGAGGCAGGAAGAGTGGACCGGTGTGAAGAAATTCGTGCAGAGGCTGGACACGGCAGGTGGCGTTGTAACGAACGGAACTGGCAAGTAAACGTGACGATGAAACGAGGAAGGGAGCCAATGGCCCACATACGTATGTGTGACGACGAATTTAATGCGCTGCTTGTATGACAATGATGGGGATGTGGGAAAAGGGATTGTATAAGGGAGACAAGCCTTTCCTTCGTTCTGATTGGGCTTTTAGGAGTCTTGGCTCTGGCTGGTTTCACTGGCGGCATACCCCCCTCGGTGGCAATTGAAATTAGAATACTTGATTTACACCCCTATGCTGCTGCTATTCTTGAGACGGCGTGGGCGCACATGATGAACCAAAATCGAAACCGGAAGCTGGAAGGACCATACCGATTTATGCTTTGATCGTCACGAATGAGTTGACCAACGGTAGCATACCATAAGACTTATATACGATGAGCAAGTTTCTTCCTTTAAGAAATACCAAGTAAATGTAATCGTCCATATACATGTTTATCCATAGAGTTCTTCCGCTTTTACCCACCGGTCCAGCTCAAGAGTGGATAGTAGGTAGAACGATAGCGAGGAACGCTTCTGATGCTTAGATGTGCAGATGAGGTATGGCCCACTAGTGTAACCGGGTAAAAGGTAGCGGTTGAAAGAGGTGGTCCCAGCATCTTCGTTCACTCGGTACGTGGACTGATTTTTGGTTTTACCTTTCTGACACACCAAACCCCTTTTCAGATTATTTGTAGCTCTATAAGTATTAATCTAGTGGGAAGTGCCGAGCCTTGAATGTAAAGGACAACGGATTTACTTGTCGAACCTAGTGGTGACAATAAATCTCTGTTCAGCCGTATCACTCATACTTTCATCTATTCCTCAACTTGAGAAGAGGAACCCCAAGTACCTTAATTTCCTGCCGCCTCCGACTCTCATACTGTTCTGTCCACAGTAATCATACGACAAGCCGGCTGCACGGCCTGCCTTTTGAAACCCTCTCGCTGCTCTATGTCTGTCCCCTATCTCTCCCCCCAAAAAAAAGCATAATTGCTCCTACATTCCCTCAAACAGGTGGAACACACAGGAGCCGCCAGAATCCAGAAGAAGAATTTCTCCGGTCCATCAGGGCATCTTCATTGCATACGGTGACCGTCGTCATCCCACAGGTGCCAGGCCATGGCATCCAATCAACAACTCCAACCCCTCCCGGTCTTCTACTTTTCCACACCGGCCGCAAAGTCAAGCCAACAGGCATGGAACCTCGAGCCAAGATGGCCAGGGCGTGATGAGAAGGCAGTAATCAGGGAACCACATTCATTGCGGGGGGCGTGACTGCCCACTTCATGCCTCTCCCCTCAGTGCCCTGAACCCCTCCCTTCTCCTGTCCAGCTCCGCCAAAATGTCCTTCGCCCCCTCCACATTCGCCTGGGCCGCCCTCACCCGTTCCAAGATCGCCTCGTCCGTCTCTCTGGTCGCCTCCTTCGCCGCGCGCGCCCACGCACCGCCGCTCTCCGCATCAGGTCCGACCAGGTGGCTCTCGCTGGCGAGGCGCTGAGCCGTGTTGCGGGCTTCCTCCTGAGCTGCGGCGATCTGGTGCCGCAGGTGCGTCGCTATCTGCTGCGTGAGGATACGCTCGTCGTTGGCACAGCGGAGAAGCGCGGGGACAAAGGGGAGAGCGGCCGACGGTGGAAGGTGGAGTTGCTGGCTCCGTTGGCCCGCGGCCTCGCCACCGTCGCCGCTGCCGGATCGTTGATTGGATCCTGGAAGTGTAGACGGGGCGTTGAGCTCCTTGGCAGAGGCAGTTGCCGCATCCACGGCTGCGACGAGTGAAGTGCGGGCGGCCACGTAGCGTTCATACAACGCGTCGACTTGCTCCTGGATGGATTCTGCATCGTCGTCAAGTCCGGAGGCGGCGGCGTCCTTGTCGTCTCGCCGGTCTGGTCTCTGTGGTGTCCCGCCGTTGCTGAGTATGCTCTCATCGCCCTCGGGCATCTTCGCCAGCTCGCCCTCGATCCAGGCAATGAGCTCGTCCCGGGCGGCCCGCAATGCTCGCACCTGCGCCTCGATGCCTCGACTCAGGGTGGAGCCCCCCGTTGATTCATGCGCCACCGCTTTTCTGCGCTGCGTCTCGGCGTCAACATCCTGCTTCGCGAGCAGCAGCTCCTTCTTCAGGCGTAGCACGTGGTCCTTGGTCTGGTCTGCGGCGACGGCGGCGGCCGAAGCGGATGCGTCGCCAACAGCAGAATGGCCGCCGCCCGCGATCTCCGGCGGCGGGACCGGTGCGTCACCTAGTCTGTCCTTGACCCATTGGCGAAGATCGTCCCTCCGCAACGGGTCGTCGTCGGGTTCGGCGTCTGCGGCCCGGTCCAAGGCGTCCAGTAGGACCTGCAGCCTGGCATGCCGCCGGCGCTGGTGTAGCAGTGCGACATAATTCTGGACGTCGTGGCCAGCCTGATGGCCGCCGCTGTGACCGACTACCGGCGCGGCGGATGAGGACGACGAGTAGGGACCGACATCCGCGGCCGGCCCAGTTTCAGCCGCGGCTCGGGCTGTGTGCGCCTCCCGCTGCAGCTGGGTGAGCTCGCCGCGCAGGGCGTCCCACCGGTGCTTGGCCAAAGCATGCGCTCGCACGGCTTCCCAGTACTGCTTCCGCAGGCCAGTCAGCTCGGGCGGAGGCGGAGGAAGGGGCGCGGAAGCGGAACGCGTCTGATCATGCTCGAGCAGCAGCGAGGGCGGAGCGCAAGCCAGGGTCAGCGACGTGATTGGCGTCGCGGACTCGGCGCCGTGCTGCCGCTCTGTCCTGTGCATCTGCGACTGCAGGTGCTGGGCCAGCGTTTTCCTGATGCGCAGAGTCTCCTGGCGCGTATGGATGTAGGGGCGCAGGGCCTCCTCCACCTGCGGGAGAGGGCATGGCAGGGTGGTCATGGTGAGGCGGCCGTGTTTTGCTTCGCGGTCTGGAAGGAGGAGATGGTCGGCGGTGGTGATGGCCAGTAGTGTTTGGCCCGGATGGGAGGAGTGGCCGGGGATGGCCCGCGGCGACGGCAATCTATCGCGCACCCGTCTGCGCCTAAACCCAACTCTATTCAGACCCGCATGCCCATCACCACAGCCTCGTGCATTGGTCCGTCTCCGCCGGAAACGGGCTCCAAGGGCACGCATGGATCATCGGGCTGCAGATGTTGGCGGATCATCCTGCGCCGCGCTCTGATTCCCCTGTGCCATCATCGTTGGGCGTCCCTCCGCTGGGCTATGCGCAAGTCAAAGCATTGAAGTACTCAACTCTGGAACTCTGGCCACACTTGCTTGGGAAGAGCAATCGATAAGTCTGGCTCGTGTGCACTACCCCGTGGAGAGGGTATATGTAGCCGCGTTAACCAAAGCAGCACCATGCTGGCCATCGCGTTCAGCGACATTTGGCTGGGCATGCTGGCTACACAGCTTGGCGATTGTGGAAACAAGCTCGTACCCCCTGGTCTCTCAGCTGAGATCACGCCGGTCTCCGCCTCGAAGCCGCGCGGCACACCAAGCAGTGAAGCCCTGGCTGCGCCTCGGCTTATATGTTCCATAGGAGCCCCACACCGTGATGGTTGGTATACACGCCAAGCCGGCCAGGATATACTGGATACAGCATCTCCATTCCTAGCACTTCTTCGCTTATGCCCCCCGCGCTCCTCCCCTGTCCTCAACCGTTTAGCTCAAGTTTATCAATCCTTCCCGCTGCAGCCGTACCCGCCTCCCTCATCGTGCTCGTTATGCGCGGAGCAGACCGTAGAAGAGGGTCCAGGTGAGCACGAAGCTGCTCAGGCTGCCAAACACCTCGCCGAGCCACAGGTCTCCAAACGGCCGATAAAAGTAGCTTTTCGGCTGCGCCCCCGCCCTCAGCACGAATATGAGCACCGACACCAACAGGCTGCCGGCGAGGTAGAACAGGAAGCCCGGGTATGATTCCAAGCCCAATGTGCCGGCGGCGACGCCGAAGAGTGATGCGGTCAGGTTGCGGATTGTGGAGATGGTCTGACGGCAGTGGCGGCTGCGTCAGCGGCGAGTGGTCTCAGAGCGTATGGCGGCGGCGGAGCAGACGAGGACAAGAAGGGCAGGATGATGCGTACCCGGGCGTTGTGCTGGACACTGTCCTGCACGATTGGCGCAATTGCGAGCTCGCGTTCGTCATGCATGATGGATGACGTGGGGCTGGCAGACGGCAGCGGACGGCAGCGGACGGCAGCGGACGGCAGCGGTGTCGAGGCACGGCAGACCAGTGCGCGGAGGACGGTGCTGTCAACCGGACGGGTGGTCGCGGGAGCGCGAAGACGTCTCGGCCGGGATGGCGGCGACGGACGATCAGCGGGTATGCGCGGGAGGAGCCAACGCCGAGGTCGGTGCAGCCGTCAAGTTCAAGTTCGTGCCCAAGCGCCCTGCAGAGGCGGTTACGCGAAGGGCAGGCGTGAGGTGGGCGAGGGCGAGGGCGGGAAGAGCTGAAGTGTCCTGTGCGAGGAGCTTGGGTTGCGAGCTGCTGCTAGTGAGGTCGACCGACGGCTGGAGTCGGCAGATGGCCCGCCGTAATGCCGACCCCGGCAAGGCGGGCACGACACGCGCAACCACATGCAAGCAAATGGAGAGTGGCAATCTACGTCGTTGTTCCGCGGAGAATTCTACCTAATCTCCAAATATCCCCGATAGGCATTTTGGCATTTTACGGAAATATCCACGACCTCGTGCCCCGTATTCCCGTGCAATGACTATGACTCTCACGCCACCTCACCCAGCCAAAGGGCCGTACTCCTCCAGATACCTGGCATTTGTGAGCCATTAAGCCTCCAGCCCTGCGCAAACAGACTTACTGCTGTAAATGCTCCGGAAGCTGGTAGCCCGGTATGCTGGACGTCATCTGGAGATACTGCAGGGCCTGGCTAAAGTACTGTTGACTATTGCGACTATACGAAACGTTGCCGAGGCTCATATACGCTTCTGCAGCCTATGCCTCCAGGGTCAGCCCACGTTGTACTTGCTTGGCCGGCGGCCCACGAACCTTTTCGAGCAGATCTCCCGTCACACAGCCTTCCGCATACGCTGCCTGTACGGCCCGTGCAAAGTAATCCGACGCAGGCGACAGCACTCCTCGTGCCTCGACATAGCTGGCCGTGTGCAGACGAGCCTCGGAAACCTGCTCTCCAAAGCTGCCTCTGCTGCTCCCAGAAGAGCCGTGCTCCTCTGCGTGGATCTTGGCCAAGGACGGCTGCGCACGCTGAAGCCAGTACTGGCCCAATCCTGACGCGCTTCGTCAGAAACACTCCCAAAGTGCCGCCGGCAATGGCTTACCTCTCAGAGCCGCGGTGCTGTTCGGTCGTTTCTCCAGCATAGCCAGCCACTGGGTCTGGCACCAGTTGGTAACATCCGTCACGCTGCCATTGTCTGCGTCGGCAAACCCAAGGTCCTGCAGCACCGCAACAAAGTAGGCCCAGTCTCCCATTGGCAGCGACTGCATGGAGCTGACGGCCGTGACAATGCCCCGTGCCGACTGCAGGTAGTTTTGCCAAGCGTGCGGGTGTGATCGAAGAGCAGCCTCAATCTGCGTCACGGCGGACTTGCATTGGGCCATGCGCGGGTCACTCATTTTGTCGAGCTCTGGAACGGCGTCTTCCTCAGAATTGGGGCTCCTTGGAGTAGAAGGCGGGCTTAGGAACTGGAACGACATGGCCGTCGGCGGTTCGATATAAAAGCTCGCACCGTCTCCCAGAGCGGCAAATGCGACTGCCCCGTTGAAGGAGGCAAACAGAGTAAGCAGCCTGGGTGTGAGATGGAACGGTGCCGAAGCGCGAATGGTGTAGGGAGGAAGCCGATTCTGATGAGCTGCATGGGAGAAAGAGGGCGGAGGGACGTGTCCAGGCGGTATATGAAAGTCCCTCAGGCGTGACGAGCCTGGGCGTGTGTTGATTGACAAGCAGATGACCATGTCGTGGGGCTGCCCGGGCTCGTTTCGATGGGTGAAATTGGCATAGCGCTCCAGGATCTGCGGCAGTCTGCCCTTGAGTGCCGCGGCGGAAGCAGATGTCAACGGGAGTTAGCTGCGGTTTGGGCCAACTGCGAGCCGCAGACTCCGGGACGTTGGCAGCGGCGTCATGGTGAAATTTAGGGCTGACGGTCGGCGGCGCCGTGTGGCAATCCAGAGAGCGTCGAGGCACCGCACCGGCGCGGGCAGCGTTGATGAAGAGGACCTCGTCCTGCCTAGGCCGCGATGCTTGGCGGAGGTGCCAAGACCGTAGCCTACGTGAAGGGTTCCTCTGCTGCGGGGCGTCTGGCTGTGTCCCGCCGTCCGGCAACAGCAGGGCTGGCCATTGGGGCGGAGCAGCGCCCGGGCAGACGTGGTTTCATCGGGGCCATGTCGTCCTCGCTCTGCCGGTGCGGCCGGGGCTGCGGTCTGGAGAGGGTGTCTGGCATGGAGAGTTTACGCAAGCCGGCGGCCGCCCGGCGGGCCTCTGCGCCTCTGCGCCCCAGACACGGTGCCGGACGGAGGCAGAGTAAGCGGCAACGGGCACACGGGCTGGCGTCTACAGCGGAGAGCGCGCACTGGCGGGGAGGGGCGCGGCAGGGCGGCCGATTCGACGGGCGAGCGTGGCAGGCACGGCAGCGCGCTGCGAGTTGCGGTCAGGAGCAGGGCAGCATGCTCAGAGCCACAGTCAGGCATTTGTCAGACGGGCCGCGCAGGTGGTGGTTCGGAGGTGAGGGAGGCGGCCGGTGCTGACGGAGAGGAGCAGGGCGGAAGAGCGCGGCCCCTGTGCTGCCACTGTGCTGCCACTGCTGCCACTGTGCTGCTGCGGCGCGGATCCCGGTCGCTTGGCTCGCCGCGGCCATCGCTCTCGCCTGCGCGCCTGCATTGCATTGCGCTGCATAACGGATGCGCGCGCGACGGCTCGCGAGGGGGCCCGCGCGGAATGAGGACGTCCTCCGCGCTCTCGAGCTTCCTCCCCTGATGCGCCGCCTGCACTGCCTGCGCTGCCTGCGCTCTCGAAACACCGCCGCGCCAACACCTGCATCTGCTGCGCTCTCAATGGTCTGAATCAGCATGCGCCGCGTCTGAGCCAAACATCCCGCCATACGACGTCACGCGCCCAACACCAACCTCGCCCGCAACCAACCGCACCCCGCCCACTGCCGTCCACTGCCGTCCACTGCCGTCCACTGCCGCCGCCCGCTAAGCATGCCCGGCGGCTGTTCGCCATGGAAAACATCATATACGAAGACTCGCCTCTAGCGGCGTACCTCGAGGGTGCGTCAGCCTGCGCTTCCACGCCTGCGATTTGCGTCATGTCTGAAGAAGAGTCACAGCGGCCTCGGCTAACGCTCGCCGTAGGAGAGGGCACCGGTGAGCCTGGCTGGGTGGCGTCCATGGACGACGACGGCAAGAGCAGCAAGAGCGACAAGAGCGACAAGAGCCAGGAAACCTCGTTTGCCCCCCGCGGCCCCTCCAGCCTCCAGTCCAAGCTGCGGAAGAAGCTGCCGCGCCCGCTGAAGCTGCCTCAGCGCGGCTCCGTCCATCGCCTCCAGAATGCCTACGCTGTAAGCCGCCCTCACCGCTGACTTGCCCGTCCGGCACGCTGACATGTCGCCCAGCGCGCCGTCAATTCTCGGCTGGGCAGCGCCGACAACACCCGGTTCCTCGAGCACTTCCGCTTCACCATCATATCCTCGCAGCTCCTCAGCGAGCACTCGGGCCAAACATCCTTCAAGGTGCCGTCCGGACCCGCCGACGGCTCTGCCCAGACGGTCGAGTATAAGGGCGGCTCCATCAATGTGACGGGGGCCGCAGCTACCGGCGTGGGGGCCTTTTTCGTCGTGTCGTTGCTTCACTGGGCCCGCGAGTCCAAGCAGGGCGGTTTCAACAAGGGGAGACTCCTGGTCGTGGTCATGGCCACTGCCGTTGGTCTGACGGTTGCATACGCGCATGCAAGGCGCCAGTGGCTGCAGAATCTCAGGCATCGCGCCGTCTCCGCTGCCTCGGTGCTGGTGTCCAATCTGCAAGCGTTCGACACCTGCGCTTCTTCAGCCGTCATGCTAGTCCAGGAAGTGGAGCTAGTGTCCCGCGGCTATCGACTGTAAGCCGCGCGCAGTTTGCCTCCCCGTGACTCAACGCTGATGTCCATCCAGGAGCACTCCCATGCCACCAATCACGAGGCTCGATGACAAAAACCAGATCAAGCGGTGTGTGCGTTTGAGACGCAGTCTGCGCAGCACATTCGCCGCCACTCTCCCCGCCTTCGCTGACGAGTGCGCCACCCTGCGCCTTCTAGTGGAGTCAGATGATCTTGAAAGATACCTCGATGTATACGATATCACTTCGCAGGACATGCAAGAGGCGGCACTGGGGTATTCCGAGGATGAGTTTGAAGACGGGGAAAGCCTCAAAGCCCTGCGCATCTGGCAATACCGTTTGGTCACTCTGCGCAGGGTTTTCTTGTGCTCTCTTCTTGCTCTCGAAGCGGACGGTGACAGCGAAGACTTTGCGCGCTGGCGCCCGGCCATCAATGCCATGGAACGTCTTACCGAGTTGTGCGGCAAGTGGTGTGAGAAATTGACGCGAATTCTCGGAGAAGAAGAACGTAAGCTCGTACCGTCTCCGTCAGAAATGTCACTGGGCTGATTGTTTTTTTTCTTTTTCTTGTCAGAATTTGCGCCGCCTTCGCCGCAGCCCAAAGTGCCGTCTACGCCAGGCAAGGAGAAGATCCGGGCTTCGGTTCGGCAAATGAGCGCTCTGTCGCAGGGTATCCGTGGGTTGCAGGCAAAAATGCAGATCCTCCGCGAAGAGTCGAGCAAGAGTTTGGAAGAATCCGTCGAGGTAACAGAGCTCGGGTCGACGTTGATGTCGCAGTACGACTCGATCGGGGCGGATCTGAAAAACCTTGTGCAAGCGTGGGAGGCAGGTAAGACGTCCTTGGCCCTGAACATCGACAGGCAAGAGCGGCGCATCTCGCAAGCGTCCAGCGGCGGACTGCGCTCGCCGGTGCCCAGCCTGGGCGGGCTCACGGCTGTGGACGAGCTGGGCAGTCCCAGCGACGCTCTGCGGGCTCTCAACGGCGATTTGCCGCTCTCGAGCAACCGCAACTCGGGATCGTCTGCCACGTCGAACAGCGGATCGGACGAGGAGATATTCGAGGCCATCGCCATGCCTCGCACTCGCATGTCGATGACGCGGGAAGAACGCATGGCCAAGATCCAGGAAGATCGGATCCGACAGGTGTCTCTGCGGGAACAGCGCGACGCGAACACCAGCATGCTGCGGGAGCTGGAGTCGGTCATCAGCCTGAGACCTGGACAAAAGAAGCCGCGTCCGGCGACGTACGGCGGAAGGGTATCGTCCTATTGAGCCTCCCGAACGTGCACGACTTATATTTTTTCGCATTTGCATAGATTTGGCGTTTGTGCGGCGCGCAACGATACAATCCGGCGTTCCTCGGGATATATCAGCGGTGAGATAATCTTGGAAGCGACATGAGGGGATAATGTCACACGCAAGGCCGCATGCGGGACGGGCGTTCTTGGATTGGGCTGTTTATTTTACTTCGGTTGGGGGGGCCTGGCCAAAAACCCTTGTTCATTGTGCTCGCACGTACACACGGTCATTCTCTTTTTTGTTTCCTAATTCCTGGTTTGCACGAGGGCGAGGCATGTTAGATGCAGAGAACGCGATACCCCGGCGGCGCGGCGCCTGCAGTGCGTTCGGTAACACGGCGTCGGTTGATTGTCATAGAGTAGGCGATGAATAGACGACGAGTAGGGTCGGGGGCTGGGCCCGAAAGTCAATAGAGCGGTCTGGCAAGCTGAAAGAAGCGTGGGGGCGGTCGACATGTTCGCTGATGAGGTTGTTTGAAGTTCAGCTGACGAGCAGGCTAAATATAACGCCGACGAGGGCGTGGCAGGTGGCAGGATCGGCTGGATCTGCGCCGGCTGCAGGAAGTGGGGAGACGGGGTCCAGGATCCAGCAATAATAATGCGCAATGCCGCGTGGCGTGGGAGAGGAAGCGTGAGCGTGTCAGAACCTTAAACTCGCCTCCCTCGTCCGGCGCAGCACTACGTAGTAGCCTTCCGCACGCCACCACCGCCCCGCCAATCAAGCATGCAACCGTCCGAAAGAACCCGATTTGGATCGCCTGTTCCCCTGCTCCATCGACTGTGCGCGACGAAGACGGCCGAGTGAGTGTTCCGTCTCGACTCTCGGCACGGCCCATCGATGATGATAATGAGCGGACGCAAGCGGGCCTCAGGTGCTATCTCCGGCTCGGTTTAGTGATCTTGCGAAAGAGATGGTGGGGATGCTTCGTATGCGTGCACCATTGCCGAGGAACTGCCAGTAGAAGGCCAGACTCGAGCTCGAAGCTCCGATCCGGGCTCCATGGCGGCCGCATGGCTATCGTCCCGTCGCGCATCTGGCTTGGCTGACGCAATCCAATCGCCCGCGATGCCGTCTTTTCACCGTCGACGAAACCCGTCCGAGGCTCAGGATCGGAGCTGCTGGAGCGGCAGGACCCTAGCGCCCCGAAAGCTTGAGCCCATGAGCCCCCCAGAGCCCACTGCTGCTCCAAGTGGCCGTCCTAGCGCCGCTGTTAGGAGTTAACGTCGTCGCCATTGCTAATGCCACCCAATTCCCGTTCCCGTTGCGCTGGAGCTCCGCGGACCCGCTGGAGCCATATAAACCACCCGCTACGTGCCCGTCCGCCATCTCGTCCAACCAACGCTTTCTCCCTGCTTCGCCGCTCGACATCCTCTTCGTTCCAATTCCAGTACTTTCAAAATGTCCGCCGATTACAGGTTCGAGGGCTGGTGCGGCCTGACCCCCGAGGCCGTCGAGGGCAAGATGGTGTGGCAGCAGTACGAGCCCAAGCCCTTCACCGATGACGACGTCGACATCAAGATCCAGGCCTGCGGCATCTGCGGCTCCGACATCCACACCCTCCGCTCCGGTACCTGACCCTCCTCCATCTTCCCTTCTCTGTCCGCTCTGACTCCCTCCACAGGCTGGGGCGCCACTCCCTACCCTTGCGTGGTCGGCCACGAGATCGTCGGCCGCGCGGTGCGTGTTGGCAAGAACGTCACCCATGTCAAGCAGGGCGACCGCGTCGGTGTCGGCGCCCAGGCCTCGTCCTGCCTGAAGCCCGACTGCGCCGCCTGCGCCGACGGCGAGGAGAACCACTGCTCGTCCATGGTCGGCACCTACGCCGCCAAGTACCCGGACGGCAGCAAGAGCTACGGTGGCTACGCCGACTACAACCGTACTCCCGGCCACTTCGTGCTCAAGATCCCCGACGCCATCTCCACCAAGGACGCCGCCCCCATGATGTGCGCCGGCATCACCCTGTACAGCCCGCTGAAGCGCGAGGGCTGCGGGCCCGGCAAGACGGTCGGCATCGTCGGCCTCGGCGGCCTCGGCCACTTCGGCGTGCTGTTCGCCAAGGCCCTGGGCGCCGACAAGGTCGTCGTCATCTCGCGCACCGGCGCCAAGCGGCAGGACGCCGTCGACATGGGCGCCGACGACTTCATCGCCACCGACGAGGACCCGGACTGGGCCTCGAAGCACGCCAACACGCTCGACATCGTCGTCTCCACCGTCTCCTCGCCCAAGATGCCGCTGATGGGCTACCTCAGCCTGCTGCGCTACAAGGGCACCTTCATCCAGGTCGGCGCCCCCGAGGACGCCCTGCCCCAGATCAACGCCTTCGCCCTCATCGCCAAGCGCTGCAAGCTCGGCGGCTCGCTCATCGGCGCCCCCGGCGAGATCAAGGAGATGCTCGACCTCGCCGCCGAGAAACAGCTGAAGCCTTGGATCCAGGAGCGCTCCATCAAGGACGCCAACCAGGCCGTCGTCGACATGGAGGACGGCAAGGCCAGGTACAGATACGTCCTGATCAACGAGAAGCACGCCGAGTAGACGTTGTACGTGTACAAAAAGAATGGATCTTGGAGTTGGTGTGTGTGGGTTTGAATTGGACACGGATAGACCAGTGGGTAACGATAATGAGCAAAAATGATGTACATACATACTTCCCTCGGAAAGAGTGGAAAAGTAGAAAAGGAGGTTGGTCCTGCGCGACTGTATTTGCGCCGTTTTACGTCTGAGAGCCTCCAGGCCATAGCATGGCTTCCAAGGTTGGAGTGGCTTAACTACCCTCGACAAGTTGCGGCCACTAAGCTGCTGTAATGGCGTCACTTATAAATGTCAATCACCTCTTACCTACATTCTTTAGGCATGAGGTGGGTCCAAAAAAGAGCAGTACACGCAACCGATAGGCGGAGTGAAGACGTTTGTTTGATATGTATACATGAGCAAACGCCACCTTTTCTGGTAGCGTGACCAACGCGGATAACTCCGAATCCCAAAACGAACGAGAACAACGTGATCCTCAGGTATCTCCCACTATTCCCTCCGTTTCATGCGGATTTTTCTTCTCACTACTGCCTGCCGCTCCCATCCAGCAGAGTGCAGCCCCTAGACCGAGATCCATGGAAGCAAAGATTGGGCGCAATAACAGAAATAACTAGATAACACTTCAAAAATAACTTCCCCTCCCTCATTCTCAATAGAGCCACACAGCCCCACGCGACTATCCGCGTATCGGCGGCTCATTGCTGTGAGAAAGGCTGCCGTCAAAACACCGAGCGAAAGAAAGTCACCATGTATTCCAAACAACATCCGCCGACAGAGTGAACATCTACATCATCGTGTTCCTCTCCGGTGTGCCGTTGCCCATGAAAACGCTCCCACCGCCCATAAACGCAGTGTTCACTGGTTGCTGTTGTTGGGGTTGCGAACTTGTTGGCGACTGTTGTTGTGGTTGTTGTGGCATCGCGCTTGCATCCGACATCAAATCCGGCATACCCATTGGCCACATGGGGTTCGAGGGGTCCATGGCAGTGCCCTGAACATAGGAATCCCAAGCATCCTATCAGTGTGTCAGTTTGCATCATCATCAACAGTCGCAATGCTCTGATTGTGCTTACCCAGTCAAGGTTGGTTGAAGGTACGTCCATGCCTTGTAGTGACATGTTCGATGCACCAAACATTTGCGAGAAGGGGCTCGCCGCGGAAATTGGACCACCATTCTCACCGCCGGAGGAAGGGCCGGTGTATTGTGGGGTGAGCCCAGTACCGGATGAGACTGCAGGCAGGGGATCGTTCAGGATGTTGCCCATGGAAGCGGGGAACGAAGGTCTGTTATCGAACATGTTTGAGCTGTTGGGAGTTAATGCACCTGTGCTAAGCATCCCAAGAGTCATTGCAGCCGAGTGCTCCGGTGCAACATTTGCGTCATCCTGAATGCTGGCAGTAGCGGGATACGCCGCGGCCGCCGTAGCGAAGTCCTGTGCTCTCGATGATTGGTTCGATTTGAGCGTGTTGACCATAACAATAAGAGCCGTGTGGGCTTTGTACGCCTCCATAGAGCCGTTTTGGAGCTCCCTCCAAATGGGTATCGCGCGCTCGACAGCCGCGAACATTTCATCTCTCCGGTTGTGGGACCAGCCGTAAAGATCGCCGGCCGTTGAACGGCCTGCACGATCGGCCTCCGATATGTGGTAGAGGTCAAGAGCAACGACCATTGCTGCCACAAGGAAGTCGTTCATTGTCAGAGACGTTATGAACCACTTCACGGTCCGCAGGCGGCCATTTGGTTGGGATTCATGATGTATCGTAGCCTGATGCCTGAGCATTGCCATTGAGGCATCGATGCAGGTACGGCGGGAGTAGGCATATCTGGCGTTCTCGCGAGAGGGACCTAGGAACTTCTTGTGAAGCACAATCTGTGACTTCAAGTAGAGGAGTTCAAGGCTGAATCGCTGCATAATCAACGTCGCCGGATCCCTTGCCGATTCCTCCATCGACCGCAGTTGAAGGTGAGGCGGCGTCTCTGCGTGAATCTCACGTAATCGTTGATCAAGCTTGGTGATGCCGTCGTAAGAGGTGCAACTCAAAACTTGAGACTTTTCAACCACCTCCGAGAAACCGTACACGAGACGGGATTTCGCAATCATGTATGAGCAGGGAGTTGCTTCGGTCATTGGCCTTGACGGCGGAAGTGACTTCATCTCCTCGAAGAGCTCATCATCGTAGATATTCCGCGGGAGTTCAGCGCTGGTATCAGTAGCTCTGATCATGGGCGGCTGTCCCATTTGGTGGGAGAACAGAAGATCCATTTTCCTCACGACGCACCAGACGCGGCGGCGCATCTCGCCGTTGAAAGGCGATAGCGCCCTGTAAGGCGCCGGATCTCTGTGGTAGCCCATACGCATAGCCAAGCGAACGATGATTGTCCAGCTGACCAAGACGCCAACCTCGGCGTCTCTGCTGCGGGCGTATTCGGCCTGTACGTGGAGAATAAGCGTTTCCAGCGTATTCGCCACCGGAGTTGTGATGTCGGCCCTCAGTAGACATTGTGCACAACGCCTCCTGTACTCGCTGGACATGTCCCAAGTCTTTCCGCGATATTCAGGAGGCTCATCTCCTGCGCGGTGGTAAGATTGAAGGGCGATGCACATCATGGCATAGGCCATGCCGAGCCAGATGACCGGGGTCTCGTCGGGATTTAACCAATGTTGGTCGTACTTGCTCAGGTGTCAGCAAGAGATCACGGGCTAAGCCGGACTGATGGGGGAAACCCACCTGTTTCTGGAAAGTAGGTCCATGAATGATGTCTTTGAGAGTCAGCGCTGGGCTCATCGGTACACTAAATGGTGGAACTTACGAAAGCCAGGATCGTACACGTTGAAGTACCGGGTGATTAGCAGGTCGGCAACCACTTTCGCGGGGAACGCTGCCATCAGTTCCGCCCGTTCTGCGGGCTGCACTGAGCCAAACAAGAACGCAGTGCCGGGGCTTATGTCATCCGTGTATGCGGTTTGATGCCTACGCAACTGCTCCTCGTACTGCTTCTTGTGGTCGTTGAAGTAGGTTTTCACTTCGGCAATCTGCAGGCAAGATGAGCTACAGTACTACGGTTTGCGGGGCTGCATTGCGACATACCTCGCCCAAGATGGCGTACCAGTGGGCTTCGGATGCAAATATGGTCTTGTTGTTGTCCACCTTCATGACTCCAATGGACTTAGCTACCTGTTCAACGTCGCTGTCTTCGTGAGCTGTACCCCCTTGCTCTTCTTTGATCGGTTCGGGCGCATCCACGTCGATTTGGTCCATGGTGGTGCTACTGCCACTGATACTGCCTTGGTGGCTCTGGGAGTTAGAAGACGCGTTCATGTTGGCAATGGCGGCGGCGGCGGCAGCGGGACCGGCCGACTGTGATCCATTCGTCATAAGGGAAAGAACTAGCCCTTCCAGGCGGTCGATGCGATTTTGCATGTCGTCGGGAGAGGTCATGGCGCTGTGAGTGGATGAGTTTTTCTTGCGACTCCCAGGAGTTGCGTACGTGCAGGAGGCATTATCACCTCGTTTGGTGCAGTTGTCGCAAGGGTGCCCGCGATTGCACTTGAGCCTGGTGATGGTCGTCAGCAATGGTTCTGGTGGGCGGCCGTGGTGGAGACGCACTTCCTGTGCCTGCAGGGTGCACATGAGAGGGGCACCCTATTCCTCTTGCGGACGACGCGGAACTGGCCATCTGGAGACTGTCCAGAATTGGATGACGTTGTAGAGGGAGGGGTGGGCGTCATGGCGAATGATGCGCAAATTGTCCGGCTTCCAAAGCCAGAGGAGCGCAGCGGGGCGGAAACTCAGCGGGCAAGCCAGGAAAAGCGCACCGAGAGCTCAGACTGCTCGTGAGGCGTGACGAGTTCGGACCAAGGAATGCCAATGCCCGGCGGGAGTGACGCTGATGCTACAAGCCGCGGCTGTGGGATTAGCCGGGGTTGGACGGGGCGATTGGTTGCGCAGATTAGCGGAGTTGAGCACGGAGATGGCTTAACTCCAGCTCCCTTAAGTAGACTGTCGCAGGAGGAGACGCGTCAGGGCGACTGCCTGATATGCACCCGGCCCTCGACAGCCCAGCTTCCCGAAGGTGTCCCAGCACAGCAACACCGCTGACTTCGGGCGGGTGTTGGCACGATCCAGGCGGCAATGGTATGTTCTGTGCGGAGACGAGGACCCTGAGTGCTGCTAACCACGTTCCGGGGCAGGGCGATGTCGTGGGAGGCAGCTGTCGAGTGTCGGTCGAACGAGGGCTTAACGCCGCAGTAACTCCAGGCGGGCGTGCAGGGCAGGCGCGGGACGCGGTGGGCGGGGCTTGCCGTCTGTCCAGGCCCGGGAGCAATCGGTCAGCCTCTGCGACTGGCAGGCTCGGGGCAAGAGGGGGAGGCGGGTTGAAATAGTGGTGCGCCCTCGCTCTGGGCCAGCGCAATGCACCTGGCACGCGGTTGCGCTCACCTCGACAACGCTCCGATAAGGCGCAGAGGGCGCTCGCGGCGGACTGGCGGCAGGCTGGCGGCGGGCTGGCGGCGGGCTGGCGGCGGCGCAGAGGGCGACTGGCGGGGTGGACTGGAGGATGGGCTGAAGGTGAGGTGTCGAGGGTGATGGAGCAGGCTCTCCAGCGTGCCGTCTGCTATCTTCACAACAAGCGGCCGTGCCAAGACCAGGTCAGTCGTCTACCCTGTTCCTTCAGCGCCAAATTGCTCACTATCCGCGCGCAGATGTGACTCACAGGCCCCTACGGACATGCGCTGCACATGCTCCGCCTTCGAGTGCTGCTCGACCCTCGCAGCGCTAATCTCCTAACTCCGCGACGAGCTTTTCGCACATGTCATTGCCCTGCGCCCCTCCATCGCTGCCTGAACCTCAACTCCATCTCCTTCGCGCGCCCGCCGCCTCGACGACGCCCATCGTCGTCTGAGAGCCTCGCTGAGCCTCGCCTTACTCAGCCGCTTGGTGTGCTGACAGAGACGTCTAGCCGCCCCCACTCGACCGCGCCCCTCATTCCGGGCCCTGCCATTCATCCCGTCGTCATACACCGCGCTATCGCAATCAGAGTGGCATATGTAGCGCAGTTTGCCATCGCATACGCTGGGCATCGCCCAAGAAACGAAGACTGAAGGATGCAAAGGACACTCGCTGGAAATTTGTGGCCAAGTCGCAGCGGCTGCTTCTCTACGGCAACAACTTGATGAGATCATGCTTCCCCTCACGCTGCAGCTGATCACGTGCCATGCTACTGCCTATACTTTGCTAACCGAGGAAGCCCTCCAAGGTGCTGGTCAAAATAAAAAAAATAACCAAAGAAAATTTGAACAGATATCCCGATGGAGAGGCCCCGGGAATTGAAATTCAAGCAAAGCCCAGGACGCTGGAACTCCTCTGGCTCAATCAACCTGGTTATGCATATACCCGAGTCGTCACTTGAAGGTGGGTTCAAACTTCGTAGGTGATCAATTGGTCACCCCGAACTGCCGAGACTACCATGATCCGGCTTGCATATCTAGCACACGTGAACCTGCGCGGGCCTTTCACTGAGCGCATGCAGAGTCCCACGCCGCACCCAGCATCGTCTTGTCTCTTTAGTTGAAATGTATACAATTCAAGGATGAACTTGGAGCTTTCATATAACATCGCTCTCCCTGTCGGCCCATTCAAAAAGTGTGTTCGCGTGGGCCTACTCTCACCCAGCCTTTACTTCAAAATCCCGACTTCTTGGCCGGCTCCCAAACCGCCATTTCCCCCCTCGCCTCATCCCACCTGTACACCGGTCCATCTCCGACATTGTACTGGTAATAGTTCTCGGTCCCCCCTCTCACCATCGCTTTTCTGAACGTAATGTTGATTCTTCCCTTCCCACTCTCCCCCCCTTTCCTCTTCGGTACGCTGTGCAACCAATTCGCCTGAGTGCTTCCACGCATGAGGACCATGTCCCCGCTGCCGATCGGCAGCTTCAACGGCTTCTCTGCCACTTTCCCGCTCTTGTCATTGCTTTCCTCGACCTTTCCCTTCGGCGGCGGCTTCCTCTTCATGCAGAAATCCCTTGTAGCGCCCAGCGACAACGAGGCAATGGCCGGGTCTTTCCCTAGGAACCTCTCGTCGTCGCTATGATACGAGATGCTGTCATCCCCGCTCGCGTAGTAATTCACCAGACAGAAGTTGAAAGTCTCACCAGTCTCCCTCTCCACGGCCGCCCTCAGCCTATCCAGACAATCGGGCATCGGCCGGGGCCGGCATCCATACCGGTCTCTCGCCACCGGCTTGCCCGAGTCCCGTTCGACCACGAGGCCGGAGGGGGCCTCGAAGCGGGAGGACTCGTCGACGCCGAAGACGGTCGTGTACCGCGGCGTGTTGATCTGCGCGTCGACGCCGCCCCGTTGGATGCGATAGCGGACGCGGTAGAAGGGGAGGGAGGTGCGCAGAAATGCAAAGAGAGCATTGGCGGCAGAACGGGGCAGGAAAGGGTCATAGTACACAAGGTCCAGGTGCGGTTGGTCACTGATGGGGCGGCCGATGGAGGCGGGGCAGGTGATGTTGGGGTTGGCCAGGGCGGAGGGGGACGCGCCAAGAGCGGAGAGGATGGAGGCGGGCAGGCGGGGAATTGGAAGAGGGTACGTTGGATGGCACGACGGCGGCTCGTCCGGGCTGGCGATGGCAAGGTTGGCGCGTTGTTTCTTGGTGGTGTTTGTTGGCGGGCACGGCTGGCCAGTGAGCGGCGGGGGTGCGACGTGGTGCTGCGACAAGGGCTTGAAGAAGCTGTCCAGGGTCCTTTTCTTCGACATGGGTGCTCGGTGTCTGTGGTCCTGGAATGGGCGGATTGGACAACAACCTACCTACTCTGCGGTGCCGGGGGCGCGGTTCTCGAGTGCGAGTCGATGACGTCAGGAAAACACTCTGCTCGAAACCCGGCGGGCAGAGCACAGAGCGTGTAGCGTCTCCGAGAGCGAGCGGGCATCGAAGCGCAGCCTCGCCCATCCAGTAAGCGCATGTCTCAGCCGTGATCACGCAAGCTAGATGAAACAGATCAGGCAGGAGGAATTATCCCGAGCGACGTGCTGAGGTGGCAGCGATTTGGCAGCCCTGTCGCACGCATGCAACGAGAACGATTTGCACTCTAATCTTCAGTTTCATCCCTTGTGTCAGCTTACTTTTTCCGTGCGTTCGGCAGCAGCGGTGCTCGCGTTTTCGTCGAACCCCGGTCGATGTGCAAAAGCATAACTATAGGCGCTGCTCTCCATCTCCCGCGAATACGACCCTCGCCAGGGGGCTTGCGCAGAAGAAGCCCGTCACGAGATGGCCAGGCGTGATTCATGCGCATGTAGTAGTGGAATCTGCGGTGCCACCACACGCCGTCCGTTAAGCACTGCTGAAAGAAGAAGGATGTGTGCGACAGGCGGTGGAGCGGTGTGCAGTAATATGCCTCGCCGCCGGCCAATCACCCGCCAAACTTAATGATAGCCCCAAAGCATAAATCCAGTCCTTCCTTCACTTTTGCTCGATACGACCCGGCCATGCAAGGAGAGGCTAGAAGCCAATTAAGCCTTAAATCCGTGCCACCGCCGCTCGCCTGCTGCGCGACTTCGTATGCAGCGCTTCGAGGCGAGGGACGCCCGGCATTGTGCAGAAGAAATGAAGGGCATCAGAAAGAAACCTGCTCTGGAATGCCCGCAACAACTGGTTGGACAAGCTGAGAAGGACATCGGAACTTGGTGGGACGGAACTCTAGCACTTGAGCCCGGAATCTCTGCAAGCGTCGGTGGGCCCCGGATGCGAGGGCATTCGTGTCATTCAGGCCCTCGGGACACGTACGCGAGGCGAAGGTCAATAGAGCATGTCTATTAGATATCTAGTGCGTGTGACGGCGAATGTCTAAAAGCGAGGGCCAGGAATTGTGAAGACGAACTGTGAACCTGTGAGCGGATTACCTTGCGCGTCAGTTGCGAAGCAGACCTATTGGCACGCCTCCAACATGACTCTCTTCCCACCTAATGTTGCAGCACAACTGGCTTCCCCGGCTCCCATGCATCCAGGCTATCCTTGATGTTGACCCAGTACCTCAGCTTCACCGCCTCGCTCTTCGCCGTCTCGATGTCATCGTCTTTGAACGCCCTATCCAATATCGCCACGCTCTCGTTGATCCTTGCCTCGTTCCCCTCCTTCATCGCCACCACTTCCTCCTCATTCTCCGCCTCTTCGATTGCCTCGCGCGCCTCCAACACCTCCATCAGTAGCTCCGGGTCCTCTACCTTCAGCCGTTCATCCTCGGCCAGGTCGATTCCGCGCAGCTGCAGCAGGTGTTGCGCCCGCAATAGCGGGTTCTGCAGCGTGCGGTAGGCTTCGTTGATGCGCGCCGAAAGCCCCTCTGCCCGCCGCTTGTCCCCGCCGCTAGGTTGGCGGTCTGGGTGAGCCGCTGATTGCAGCTGTATGAACTCGTTGCGCAGCGCACGCAGGTCGACCGCGAAGGGCCCCGTCGGCGGCGGTCCATGGGGGAGCGTCTTAGGAAATAACGTGTAGTATGTATGATGTTGCACCGTCGGTGCTGCGGCGGAAGTTGATGATGAAGAAGATGGAGATGGAGAGTTTTGCAAGCGCATGGACGTCGTATTGAATGCGCGGGCGTGTGATGCTTGAGCGGAGAAAGCGGCGCAAGGGCGGAGGCGGGGATGGGAGTGTCGGGACGTGGTGGGTGAGAGCGTAGAGACCTCGAGCTCGCGGCGGACCACGGCGCGAAGCCAGTTGAGGGTCTGGGGCGTGACTGCACGCATTGTGTCGCTAAGACGGGTGGTTGGCGCAGTAATGCTGAGGTTGTTGACGTTGGCGGTAGCGGGCAAAAGCGCTACGAAAGCGCTGGCGAAATTCGAGCCATGACTCAAGCGGCGCGCAGCCGACGTCACCACACCTCGCGCCTCCCTGCCATGTGTCAGCCTGGCGCAACTACATCTCCCAACTGTTGCAGCTTTCAGCACGTTTGGTGGAAGCATGCAAGGAATATTAATATTCGATAATGTCGATTCTCCGCGCGCACTGCCTGCGTTCTTCGACCTTGCTCGCTATGTTGAATGATCGCCTCCCCAAATCTACGGTGATAAAAGATGCTCGCGGGTATCTCAGTTTTCACACCAATCCTAACTTTCCCGAAAAAACTAAAGGAAACCATCCGCCCGCCCAGCATGCGGTATATGTTCCCCAAGAAACCAAAGGAAAATGCGGCAACCTGTCCTTGCCTCCTGATGTTACACACTCAAAGAAACCGATATGTAATTATTCAAAGGAAATCCCGTCATCAACCCAGTCCAATCTCGTACGTATCATAAATTATGCTGCCTGTGAAACAGGCTGGGGCGCGAGGTCTTGTGAGACGTCCATCTTGTCTGCCTCATGAGCATCAAGTGTTGGTGATCGAGTGTGGCTGTTGACCTGAGATCTTCTTCTCGCGGGCTCTTCTACCTCGGAAATGGAACGCTCCGAGGGGCTGGTGACTTCGGGTTTGACCTTGGCCACCGTAGGCGACATGCCGCCCGGGAAGAATTGGTCGTGGAAGTTACGACGGCTGACCTGGTCGTCGACACCGTTGGGGAACATCTGCTTCATAATGGCTTCGTGGCGATCCTTGTCGTCCGCCGGCGCGTTTTCCTTGTCCGGTGTACTCTCGGCCGTTTGGCTGCCGTTTTGGCTATCATTACTCATGGGAGCGGTGGCCAGACTTGAGGAAGGGGTGTTGGCACGCTGTTCCAGGATACGCTCCTGCTCCTTGCGAGCGTGGACCTTGCGCAAGTTCGCGGCACTGCTTTGCGACCGCATGTCGGGCCTGCCATCCTTGCGGATGAGGATGCCATCGGCGTTGCGGATAGGCTTCGTTCTAGTCTTCTTCGTGTGCGCATACGGATCGCCGCTGGTGGTGGGTCGAGTCATCTCAATGGGCCTCATTGCGATGGGGCCGTTGCCACCCGAGCCACGGCGCACAAGGTTACCGCTTCGAGGGAGCTTAGCACCGTTCGGTCCAACCTCCACGTGGTAGTAACCCTCCGGCCCGGTCTGATAGCCGGACTTTTCCCACTCTGGTGTCCCAAGTTCGCGAGTGTCTGCGGGCAAGCTCCGACGGCCGCGGCCGCGACCGCCTCCTCTTCCGCGTCTCGACTCCTTGCCGGCAGATGAGGGTCCGTGGTGCGCTTCAGAATGCCAGTTGTCTTCGACGTGGATTTGCTCGGTCGAGGTGAACGGAACGAAGGTTGTTGGCGTGACGGCCGGATACTGTTGCTGTTCCCGCATGGCTTCTGCGTGATAGTCTCTTCCCTCCCGCTCGACTGGATCGTACCTTATCGGCGTCGATGCTGGCGCCGACTCCGGACCAACACGGGGCTCAAGAGGAGCAAGCTTTGGCCGCTTCGGGGATCCCATCGTCTCCGACCGTCCGTCCATGGGGCTATCTACCCCGTTAGGATGCTGCCTTTTCGCAGCGGGGTTGACCGACACCCAGCCACTGTTCTGGCTTGGCTGACCCGGCTGGCCTCCGGGGGCCGCGACACCGTGCATCTCCTGGGTCGCAGGATGGTAGGCTTGAACCGAAGGCGCTGGCCGAAGGTCAGGGCGCAGTTCTCCGTGGCTCGGGGTGCCTAGACGAGGCACCGGGGGCGAGGCGTGGAAAGGAGGCGCTTGGTGGTGCGCGGCGGGTGCATGCCCTGGGAGAGGGGCGTGCTGCATGGGGTGTAGAGGCTGCATTTGACTTGGTTCCCGAGGAGATGCGTAGGGAACTGCAGAAGGCGGCGGTGCTGTGCTGGTGGGAGGTCCTGCTGTGGCAACGGCCTCCTCCATGATCTTCACGCGGCGCTTGACAATCTCGAGCTGCATCTTCAACGCGTCCACCTCGCTGACCTTGTTCGCCACGCTGGTGAGGTTGCTGGCGAAAGTCTCAATCATGGCTTCGTCAATGTTGCTGCCGGGCTGGGCGGGGGCTGCAGGCGCAATTGGACGGGCAAGGATCTCTTTTCTCAAAGTCACGACCAGGCTCTCCATGCGGACCATATCCTCGGAGAGACGGCCGACGGCGTGAGTGAGGGCCTCGAAATCGCGGCGCTGGGTGTTGAGGCTGGCGGTGTTGTACTGGACCTGGGTCTGCAGGCGTGAGAGGGCATCCATGGACACGTCCTGCGGACTCGGGCTGGGATAGGCGAGCTGAGGGCCATTGGTCCTGTGGCCGTTGGTGGTGGGCGTCTGGGCGGGCAGACTGTACTCGCGCGACCTGGACGAGGCGGGCGGCGAGGGCCGGCCGCTGATTGGAGGCAGAGTGGGCTTCTGGTGCGGCGCGGGGATGGGTGAGTGGTGAGCAGACGGGGGCGCGGTGGAGGTGTGGGCGGGCGCCGGGGAGGGATGGCTGTGTTGGAGGCGGACGTCGGCCTCGGGCGGGCGCTGGTCGAGGTCCATGATGGATCCGTCTTGCGAAGGGGTGGTGTCGAGCATGGGCGGCGCTTTCTTATTAGTCTGATCGCATCGCAGTTCCATTCTTGGCAACTGCAAAATTCCCGGAGCCTATGCGATGACACATGTCAGCAGTGCTCGCAAATAAAGGGCCGCATGCCACAGGGACGGGCGCCACGCACCAGACGAGCGCCTTTGTCTCGGGAGCCTGGGCGGCGGGTGGCAGGCGAGGAGGAGTGTCTATGTATATGCAAGCGCGCACCTAGTGTGGGCCCGCATGGCTTCTTTAATAAAGTAAAACATTGCGGCCAATATAGCTCGAAGGTATAAAGCAGATTAGCGCGCAATTGACCGCCCCGAGGGCATCGAGAGCGAGCGACGTCCAGGGCCAGCCGTGCAGGGGGGGGCGGCCGTTGTGTGGCGCTGCGCTCGAAATTGGCCGGGCAGCGAAGCCTCGTACTGCCTCGCGCCTCCGCTGCCCGCGACGAGCCAACTGCGCAACACGTCCCCTGGCGGCGCTGGCTCCTCGACATCCACCGCTGCTGATACGAGATCGCTTACACAGCGCACCGCGCCTGGCGAGCTGCTGCCGCGCCGCTCGCTCGCTCGCCCGCCCTGGACCTACACGGCAGCGCTGGCTGGCTGGCTGGCTGGCTGGCTGGCAGCGCAGCAGGCCGTCGTCATCGCAGCGCGCACCGCGGACGCCGGTGAGCGCAGCAATGGCAGCGGTGGTGGGGCGCTCGGGGCAGGTGGTGAGGCGTGAGTCTACAAATATCGCCTGGATCTGCTGCGAGCAGGATCGGCCTCGCGCATCGTGCTTCTACTCACGCCTACAGCCTAATAGCGGCAGGGTTGCGTGCCCTTCCGCTGCAGCCGGTACGACGAATCGATTATTCATAGAATAGGTGCAGCCACAGCCAACGTGCAACGGTAACTTGGCCGAGCCTAGTCGACCAAAGGATCGCGCTGCATGATGATAAGCACCGCCGTCCTGCCTCTCCTGATCCGGCCACGGCCCAATCAGCGGCCGCGAGAAAAAAAAATCCGACGAACCAGGCAATGCAAACGGCTGCGCAGCGCGAGAGCTGCCGGCGCGGTTGAATAATAATGCTCCATCAGGGGCTGCACGCTGCGCGTGTCTGGCCAAGGCGCGGGCGGTGGCACAGGCACCCAGCTGCTTTTGTTTCAGGGCCGAGGCACCAGGCACACGCAGAGCAGGGCGTGGAGTGACGGGCGTGATACGGCAGCTATAGCGGGGCGCGAGTGGCGTGCCACTCTTGTAGGTGGTGAGCAAGTAGCAGGCTAGCAGCAGATCCGATATATCCGCGCCGAGCAGGCCACAAGAAAGCACAAGCGCAGTCGCAACCTTAAAACCCGCCACCTGCAAACTTTTTGCGACACATCCCTGGGCGTGCCACAGCCGGCAGGTTCCAGGTTCCAGGTCGCACGAAACATCGGCGACGCGCTCCTTACGTCAGCCGTCGACCGTCATGTTCGCAGCTGTCGGCCAATGGCGCGTGCGCCGCCAGCGGTGCCGGATGCAGCAAGCGCGCTTGCAATAATGTAGCGAGGTGCGAGCGACCGCAACGGTCCCGCATTCTGTCAATGCTAGGGCGCGCGCCTGCGAACGCCTAAAAGACGCAATGCTCTATGCACGTAGCCACAAACGGCATTTGTCCTTTCTTCTAGCTGCACGCCAACCATGTCAGCTACAGCGACCACGACGACCGCGACCACCGCCGTCGAGCTGGAGCCAGTCTCCCGCGACGCGCCCGCCTGGGACCAGGCCACCGCGCCCACCGACCCCGACAACGTAGTCGAGGCGTCGCGCATTGCCGACGCCAGCGTTCCGGACGGCGGCTACGGCTGGGTCATCGTCGCCGCCGGCGCACTCATGTCCTGGTGGTTCATCGGCACCTCGTATTGCTGGGGCGTCATCCAGAACGCTCTCGTCGAACAGCGCCTTTCGTCAGCCTCGACCCTCGCCTTCGTGGGCTCCGTGACGGTCGCGTGCAACGCCATTTTCGCCGCCACCTCGGCGCAGGTGCTGCGCAAGCTGGGCGCGCGCTACACCGGCCTCTTGGGCGCGAGCCTGCTCGGCCTAGGCTATGTGCTTGCAGGCTTCTGCACGCACAGCGTGGCAGGCCTCTTCATCACTGCCGGTCTGGTCACGGGCGTGGGCATCAGGTAAGAAGAGTTATTGCGCTATAAGTGCTCGCATAATATACCCGCTTGCTTCATGCACGTTGCTGCTTCGGACATAGCCCTCAGCTTCTCCGTCCGGCGTGATGGGATCCGCGCCGTTGCATGAACTTGGCCAGCTGAGGGGGCTGCTGCTAGTGGGCATTGTCGTTTCGTGAACCGTGCCTCCAATACGCGGAGAGACAGGGAGCTTGCTAACGCTTATTCTCATACTACCTACGTAGCCACTGCTACATGACCGTCTCGACCATCACCGCCCAGTACTTCAGCCGGAAGCGCGGCATCGCCAACGGCATCATCTACGCCGGCGGAGGGTTTGGCGGTGCCGTCACGTCTTTGGCAATGGAACAGTTGATCGAGGAGGTGGGAGCGGCGTGGACGTTTCGAGTCATCGGGTTGCTGACCCTTGGTACATGCTTGCCGGCGGCCTGGTTGCTCAAGGAGCGCACGTCTATCCAATCAAAGAAGTTCATTGATTGGTGGGATCATCCTCCCCTTTCACAGCAGATGATGCTCACACCAATCACAGGCGCCTGATCAAAGACTATCGCTTCGTCACCATATTCCTTGCTGGTGCCATAGGAACGTTTCCCCTGTTCGTCCCGCCGTTCTTCCTGCCGCTGTACAGCAACTCGCTGGGCATGCCCGCGAGCACCGGCGCCGGGCTGCTGGCAGGCTTCAACTTTGCGAGTGCGTTCGGGCGCATCGCGTGCGGATTTCTCAGTGACGTTGTGGGCCCACTGAACACGCTCTTCATGTCGTTCATGTTGACGGCCTTAAGCATGCTGGCGCTGTGGCCTGAATCGACGGCGGTGGCGCCGCTTGCGGTGTTTGTAGTGATCAACGGGGCAGCGAACGGCGGCTTTTTCTCGACGATGCCGACAGTCGTGGGCAACGTATTTGGATCGGCCCGCGTGGCAGTCGCAATGGCCATGATTGTCACGGGCTGGACTGGCGGATACCTGCTGGTAGGTGCCCACGTCGCATGACGTCGATATGCCTATCTGGGGGGGCACGGATGCTGATCGCGAGATAGGGAGCGCCTATTGCAGGATTCATGCTCAACGCGTACGGCGGTGAGAAGGCAGGCTTCGAAGCATATCGGCCGGCAATATTCTACGCGGGCTCCATGGCACTGGCGGCGGCGGGATTGACCGCTTTTGTGCGGCTCAGAATCAATCCGCATCCATGGGGCAAGCTATAAAAAGCCAGTAGGGGGAGAGAGAGAGAGGGTAGGTGGTATGTAGATGACAGCACGTGAGCGCCCCGACCAGGGTGAGGAGGTCCGAGAGCTGGTGCCAGCTGTTCAGGGCCGGCGGATGGCCCTCCTACATGGATACGACCTCATCAGCTTCGCGTAAGCGGCAGCGGCTGCCGGGGACGCCAGGAGGCACCCGGTTGGATCTGGAATGTTCCGTTGAAAAGATGGGCCGAGTCGCGGAGATGGCGTCGTCGACTTGCACGCAAACGGCGTTCCGGACAGACGTTGCCCGCGGCCGACAGAAGACAGAAGCGGCAAACCTAGCCGGCCGGAGGGACATGGGCAAAGGGTGCGGAGGCGGAGGCGGAGATGGTGCAACTGGCAGGCTGCAGCGACGACGAGAATTCTGCCTGAACAATGAAGCGTGCCAGATCGCCGGCGCATGGAACTGCGAGTCGCGGCGTGTGGAAAAGCTTGTGTGCCGATTGACTCGCCGACGCTGGCCCAGCTTAAATTGGGGATCGCCCACGACGAAACAGTGTTTGAAACAGGCCGGCCCGCGCGCAAAACGCAGCACGCCCTGACGGCCAATCAACCCCGTCATCACGTGCCGTGCCTGGCCGTTTCAAGCGCCGCCGCCGCAGTCAACACCACCTCCTGTTCCAGCCGCCACGCGCGCGGCGCCGCCGTCCGCGGTGATTGGCGTGGCGGGTGTTCGTCGAGGCGGGCTTGTCTGCGGGCCTGTCAGCCCAGCTGGCCCCCCCCGCCGCGTCTATAAGCTCGTGGTCCGCAGGGGATGCTGAGAGCAGGCGCTTCGTTTTTCTGCCAGCCAGTCGCTCCTTCCAAGCCGCGCTCACTTCAGCTTGCCGTCGTTGCATGTCTAGCGCTCACCACCGCAGGTGCCGGTCGTGATCCTTCTGTTGGCTTCTTCATAAAGCGCGTGCTGCTGCTGCGCCCACCTGCCATTTTTTCCACCACCCTTACTTCCTCCAGCCTTAAAAGATACCCCGGTCTGGGACCGATCATCCACTCTTCTCTTCTCTTCTCTTCTCTTCTCTTCTCCATCGACTTTCTCTCTTTTCTACTCTTACTTCTCTCCAAACCACTCGAGTCTCGCCAACATGCTCGCGCTCACGCTGCTGTCCGCATTTCTGGCCGTCGGCCATGCTCTGCCGCTGGCCGCTCGCGGCCTCACCAACGACAGCCTCGCTGCCGATCTCAAGACCATCGCCCCCACCACGGCGACCTGCGACGCCAGTGCCGAGTACGGCAATGAGTGCCGCACCAACGTCCAGGCGGCGGCGCCCATTCTCAACTCGTTCAGCAAGTACGGCATCGACAACGTCAACGAGCGGGCGGCGGTGATCGCGCTCATGCTCTACGAGAGCGGCCAGTTCAAGTACAACTGGGGCCACTTCCTCAACGGCGCGGACCAGCACGAGCCGGGCAAGGGCACGCGCAACATGCAGTCGGCGACGTTCAACGAGGAGTACGCGCGCACGCTTTTCTCGGCGGACGAGGTCGACAAGGCCAAGGCCAGCGCCAACGGAGCCGACGCCGTCCTCCAGCTGGTCAGCCCCGACAAGTACAGCTTCGCGTCGGCCGCGTGGTTTCTCAAGAACAAGTGCGACGCCACGCAGCGCACCGCTCTGCAGTCGGGATCTCAGGATGGGTTCCAGAGCTACGTCACTGACTGCATTGGCGGCACCATGGACCAGGACAGGATCGACTGGTGGACCAAGGCCAAGGCCGCTTTGGCTGGCTGAAGCGGCGTCTTGACAAGTTCCGGGCGGTGACCCAAGACATTATTGCTGCCTTGACTGTTTTCTTCTGATTTGGGGGGGGGGCATGACTTGTACGATAGCAATGATTTAAGACGATCACGGGGAGACAATTTCCACAGGGCTGGCGTGGCCCGGCCTTTGGGCAATGCTCGACGCGAGACAAATTGATGGCGACACGCGGATAGCGTCTCATTGGTCACACGAGATGGTAAATGTGCGTGGAATGTTTTGCTTGGACGTGTTGTGATCGGCAAATGCGGCAACCAATTCAAATTGGGTGCCCGTTGGACGATGGTGTATTTTGCGGGCGGGCGAATGAAGTGCTGTTGATGTGGTGGTCGACGGCATGCCGGGCGCCCCTGTCCTGTCTGCCCATGCACGGGCAATTCCTGTGTCTAAAATCCTTCTCGACTAGTGGCTTCGCCACATCACACGCCAACCACATGACCGTCGAGTGCAGGCAGGCACGAAGTGGATATGCCTATCGAAATCGGGTCATCGAATCGTCATCCGCTACGATCCTGCGCAAACACCGAGTCCGAAACGGAAGCGTGTGCGTTGGCTGCGGCGTAATCATGACTTGCGCTGGCTACATTATTGGCCCGCGCCACATGCCCTCGTTTGCTCGCTATTGCTGGTTTTGCGTGCCCGCCCGCAGGATTCCGCTCGCGGCTCCACTCGCTCAAAGCAAAACGCCGGGAATGAAGAGCGGGAATGACGGGCGGGAAGCGAATAGGTGCACTGACTCGGTTCCTGGGAGCAGTTTTGCTTCCTATGTGTATCCGTACACGCCATGTGTGTAGCTTTCTCGGCTGCCTGAGATGGAGCCAGCCATGGCGACGCATCGCATTCGTGTTTATCTCAGCATCAAACAAGCCACGGGTCTTGGCCATCTCACCGCCGCACCACCACCACCACCACCAGCATTTTCCGTGTCGCGCAGCGATAGGGCTTTAGAGAAAAGCCGGCGGCTGGACCGTGCGCCTGACGTTCGCCGGGCATGTCCCATTCGGGTGGCCGACTACTAGGAGGGAGGAGCGAGATACGGATAAGAGAGCAAATGCAACGTCGGATCCATCTTCTGCCCCCCACCACCAACCGCTCATCAACCCCTTACTCAAGAGCCTTCAGTCATGACAAAGCCAGTCGCCGACGCCTCCGAGCCCCGAAACATCTCTCATTCATTTTTTTTTCCCCCAGGCCGCTCTCCAGTGGCTAGCTCTTCCCCACGATAACTGTCCCCGCCGGCTATTGGCTCTTATAATTAGAAATCAACTGTATTGCCGCAACAGGCCGAGCGGCGGCGGGGCACGGCAACTGAGCGCACGCGCATTTTCTGTCTCTCGGAAGTCGTTTGCCATGTCCTGCCGTCGGCCATGCGTGGCGGCGGCGGCGTTTTTGAAAAAAAAAAAAAATAGAGAGAGCGAGAGAGAGAGAAGGAACGAATGATACGTGCTTTCCCGGCGGGCTACGCCACGATGCGACGCGACGTCAAGCTAGCAGTGGGCGAGGGCGGTGGGTCCCGTGGTCCCGTCTCCGGCTACTGTTCGTTTCGGGAAATGTTTGAGAGGGCAGGCTCGCGTGTGTAATGCTAATTTTAATTTCTCCTTCTGCGTGTCGATGCGCTGGCTATACTTTGGATTGAGTGTTAAGCTCGCAGGCTCTGGGGCACCCCGGCAGGCGACGAGGCAGCGTGTAGGCGCAAGATGAGGAGCGACTAGTCACTTAGGGTATTTGGATTTTTCTTAGCCGGGCGGGCAGTGATTGGCTGGGGGTTGTGCACGGCGGGAATAAAGCACTCATTTCCTGGCAATCACTAATCATGACGAAGCTGGGAGTAGGTGGTATTGTGCTGGTCGTGTGCTGACGAGATGCGATTCGCAAGTCGGTGTGCGGGCGGGCGCTAGGCGACGGGGTTGGTGGGCAGATGGGCAGATGCGTCGGCAAAGCGACATGGAAGAGGCAAAGGGCGGGCGGGTGAAGTGCGGGCAGCATAAGCGGCGAAGAAGCGCAGAAGCGCAGAAGCGCAGAAGCGCAGAAGCGCAGAAGCGCAGAAGCGTGGAAAGTCGCCAGAACAGGCTGGCGGGCACGTCCGGGGGCGCCCGGGGGCGCGCGCAGAGGCGGCAGGGGGCGCGCGCGCAGAGGCAGGCAGGCCACCCATGTGGAGTCCTTCTAGAACGATGGTGTGACTCGTTTCGGGCCCTTCTCTTTCCCTCTTCTGCGAACACTGCCTGGCCAAAGCACTCCGCAGTTCGCGAATCACCACCGCGTGGGCGAGGCCAAGGACGCGTCACGGGCCCAACTCCGCGCCTGCTCGGCCGTCGGACTTTGCGCGCACGCGCGCGACTTATGCCCGCCGGGGCTCGGTCATTTCGCTGCGAAGGCACATCGAAATAATCCAGAGCGCGGGCCGCTGCGTCGCTACATGTACACAGTACGGATACATACCCAACAGCGACGCTGAGTCGAAAATAGAGTTACCATGGTGCCGGGTCGCGCTTCGATGCGGCTTCCAGAAACTGGCTACCTATTGGAGTCTATCGACGGCACCGCGGCCCGCCTTTCCGCCAAACCCTCTGTCTGCTTCTCGCTGGATACCCCAGTCTTTGCCATGTACACGAACAGCCGTTTGCCAAGCCGATTAATCTCCTTTGCCCAACAGCTGCGCTGCCAACCCGGTAGCCTTGCTCCGCCACCTCCCAGAAAGAGGAAAGGGAAAAGGTCTTCTCGTGCCCTATCGCTTCCCGTTTTGCTGTCCAAGCATCCGCCGTCCAAGCATCCGCCCAGCCAACTCTATTTGTTTCGCTGCCTACCGATCGAGCAGGATCCCCCAGTGTCTGTCCGCTGCCCCTGACTCCGCCCCTCGTCCGGCTAACGTAGCCACCAGCAAGACTCTTCTTTTGGCTGAATCAGGGCCCATTCGATCATTCTGTCGAGGCCGGCCGTCACCTCCATTTCTTCCACCGGCTCCAGCCGGTCCACGCCGTCGTCTTGCGGTCCTAGAAGAGCGGTTTCCCGGTCCTGGCGAGCCTGGTTCCATGGGAATCCAACCATGTGCCGGTCGAACCCCCGAGCCGTGCTCGTCTCGCGCAGCCTCGCAAAGGAAGCGCTTTCGAGCTGTAGTTCATCTCGCAGCAGCTTCCAAACACCTCTCCATCCCCCGCCAAGCAACACTATCTCCCGCAAGTCGAGTCGGCGCAATGAGTCCTTGTGTCCCTTGAGGAAGGTGCACAGCGCTTCGCCGTTGATGTCCATCTCCTCCAGCCTGATGCTGCGTAGTCGTGGTGAGTGGTAACGCGCAAGCGCCTCGCTGATCCTCTCGCATCTCCACACTTGATCATCCAATGAAATCTCAAGGCTTTTGAGGTTCGGCGCAGACTGCAGAAATCCGCTGCACATTGCGCCTAACCCGTTGCCCGGGAACCGTCTCCGGATGAAAAAGTGGCGCCTCGGCTCCTCCCAGTCGTCCAATGCTCTTAAAATGCCATCTTTGGTGCTCAGGCCGCTCAGGGCCTTGAGCAGCGTGGGATTGACTGTCAAGCTGTCGAGTGTCAACTTGGACGAGCCAACCGCAGCCGTGACCACGTTGAATACATGGTGCAAGCGGTCATCATGAGCCTTGAGCAGGGACTTGCGCCCGTCACCCGAAATCACATCTGTGCAATCGACTCCCATGTTCTTGCTCCAACCTCCAATGTGGATGTGCTTGAGGCCGATGAGCAGTTCGAAGATCCTGACCATCTTCGATGCGTCTTCTCCACAGGCAGCAAACGTTGCGTGAGCTGTGTGTTCGCATTCGTAGCCGTGTTCCATTTCCCGGCCGCTGTGGATTGTTTCGTCGATGCCGCTATGTTTGAGGGTGCTAATGTCCCGAAGCGTCCGCTTCTGGTCCGCCGGCAGAGCACCTTGGAGCGCGCGTTGATCCATCTTTCTAAATACCCTGACGCCGGCGAGGCTGGGACAGTCGGCATAGATGGTGATGTTTTGGATGCGGCGCTCGACGCGCGGGATGTGGCTGACCAACAGCAACTCGTCCATTGATGACCGCGTGAGAGAGAGTTCCCAGCTCTTGTTCTTAGCCGTAAGTTTCTTGTCGAGCGCATGGCCGCAATACTCGGCGAAGCGGTCGGACATGTTGGTGTGAAACCATCGACAGGTGCGGCGCACTTTTGTGACATCCTCATCCCCTACCCAAGAGAAGACATTGAGCGCCACCTCGGTGGACAGCCTGTAGATGTGCTGACCATGACTCGTCATGTCGCGCGTCCTTTTCCCTGCCAGACGCGGCGCCTTCTGCGGCTGACAAGCCTTGTTGTCCTCCTCTTCCAACCAACGTTTACGCTTTTCGTGTATGTGCCCAAGTGTCGAAGAGCCTGGTTGGCCGCCGACGTTGCTCAGGCTAGCGGGGGGAAATAACTTGGATCCAACAGCTGTACCTACATCAACGGTCTTGGTCGACGTGTCAACTTGCGTGGGAGGGCGTGCGCTGGAGACATGGTCCACATCGGAATTCAATGTTCGACGGGCAGGCAGTTGCTTCCGTTCGCACTGGGTTTCAGGGTTGGCCTTCGAAACGCGTTTGCGGCGCGGCCTATCATTCTGCTCGCCGCCATCCTCATCGTTCCGTTTCCTCTTCGGCTTGCTCTTCATGGGGGATCCGATTGGTACATTAGGTGGATAAGAGGCCATGGCTTGCTGTCCGTTGCCGGGCGAGTGAGAGGTAAAGTTGTTGCGAGGTACCTTACCAGAGGTCGTGGTGTCGCCAGCGATGCGCTTTTGCGGCTGCGCAGTCGGCCAACTGTCTTCGCTAGCATTCGACGCGCCCGTAGCGGTTGAAGAGGTGGAAGGGTGGTGGGCGCCGTCAGTGTCGGGTTTGCTGGTAAGGCCAACGTGGCGGACGATGCGCTTTGGCCGGCGCTCATCTCGCAGGCTGTCGCTGTCTCGTTTCCGTTTCGCACTCGACATCCTGCTTGGCTTCTTAGAGCAGCTGTTGATGTGGTGACTGGTGTGAGAAATGGGTTGGTCGTCTTCTGAAAGCAGCGTGTGGGTGACGGATCGGGGTCGAGGAAGAAAAGCGAGATGTAGGACGAGGTCACCCATTGCGAGGAGCTACATAAATGCGTGAAGGCAAAAGTGAATGTGTCATATGAGGTGGCTGGGGCAGTGGTAACGTGTTGTGTTGAAGTGTTAGTCCCATGGTAGTCCCTTGTTAGCCCCATCCGTCCCCAAACCACCATGTGACTGCAACTATAGATCGAAGCTTGAAACACAGCGCACCGCATGCACTATCGCTTCATACACCTTTGCTTTGCTCGGGTCAGCCAAGCTTCCAGTAGTTCCTTACTCACGGCCCATCTTATCCGATAGTCTGGTGTTGGTACTTCGATGATTGATATGTAAAATGATACCACGCCTGATTCTAGGACTTTCAATCTACCCGGGCCACATCCATGGTTGATTGGATACCCAACTTTTTTTTCTCAAGCAAATCTCGAAGAATTCCACACTCCAACCCGTGATTGCATGACGGATTTAATTACATGTGTGGTCGTCGTCATTACTAAAAGGAGGAAACGGTCGTGAAAAGGAAAAGAACAAGAGGCGCAAAAGTACTCCAAAAAGAATTCCGCTACCTCAATCCCAGCGCCCCACGCCGGCAGCGGATGCAGAATAGGATTCAGAAGACAACCGGCAGGATATTTGTACAAGAGTATGTTGGAAAACCAGAATCTGTAAACACACTCCGGGTGGCCAGAAAACACGAGAAACTAATATGACGATGAAAACGAACGCCGGAAAGGGGAACGCCGGGGAAGAAGCAACGGTAATTCGAGGAATCATAAGGAACCCGACCAGTATGTTAGTCGTCATCAAGAACGTCATTCGCATATTTCGTGGGCCGACCGCCTGCATATCGCTGTTCTTTCCACTTAAGCCGCATCTTCCGTGAATGCACTTTCCCTCCTTCTCTCCCCGTCTCGCTCTCTGGGCGTTGGGCCTGGCGCCTGTGCTAGCGGCGGGACAGAAGAACCCACTTCGTAATCACGGCCCTCGCGTCCCGAGTGGTAAGGATGTGCCTCATGATCAGCATAGTAAGGCCTTCGCTCAGGATAGTAGACGTAATGCCTATCGTCATGGACAGGCTCATACCTCCGCTGACGTTCGTACGGTAGGTACTCAACGTAACGCCTATGCCCATCCGAAGGCGGCCCCTGGATGTATCTGTGATCATGATATGGGTCGTCGATGCGGACGTACTCGACCACCTCGCCGTATTCGTTGACGTAAGCTGGAGGTGGAGGAGGTGCCTCGGCATAGCGATAACCCGGCGGAGGGCCGGGTGAGTAGCGATCTCGGTCGTCGTACTGCACATAGTCTCGCGACGGCGGGTGAGCCGGGTAATGTGGTTCGTAACGCGCGTCGTACACTGGCGGCTCGGGGCTGCGGCGCTCTGATCGCTGCCTCTGCTCAGGAATGCTTGTTCCCTCCCTTGTTGGCGACTTTGATTGTTCCAGCTGGCGACGAGCTGCCTCGTACCGTCCGTACCTACTACTACGTGGAGGCACGAGACGATGACCGTAATGATAGGGCTCATCGTGGTACATGCTCACTCGGCGGTAGCGGGAGGGTGCATAAGTGTAGCGACGTGACTCCGACTCCCGACGCCGCATCGAACCAAAATCCTCATCTCTGTGGTGTCTTGGCCCTTGAGAGTAACGACGCATGGAAGGCTCTGGCTCAGCTGTCGATCGCCCACCATTGCCTCGTACCGAGTTTGCTCGTGATGCGCGTGCGCCCGCGGCCTCATCCGGACGGTTTGGTGGTTCGTTCGGGGCTCGCGAATGCTGCCGCGTCCTGTTTTCCACATTTTCCATCTCCTCTTCATCACGAGCAGCTCGGGACACGTACTCGCGTACCCGCTCTCCGGTGGCCAGGTCGTCCAGGAATCGATCTGCAGCTGCCTCCACGTCAGGCGGCATAGGACTGCGCGGCTCCTGTTTGACGCTACTGTCATCGTGGTTCTCGTTGTTTCCCTGACGGGATTCTGGGCGGACTGCATTGATTGGCGAAGGAGCAGTGCTGAGCTCTGGGCGGTCGAGGTATCGCAGTCCAGCGCGCGTGGGAACACGCTCTTGTGTCTCAGTGTCCCGTTCGGAAGCGTGCCGCTCCTCTCGCCTAGGTCGATCCCAGGTTTCCTCGTACACGCGGCCATAGTAGGAATAGCGCCGTGAGGCGGCAGGGCTGAGAGGGACGTAGTTATCGGGGCGACGGCTTGGGTAACCATGGTCTTCATAATCTCGTGCAACCTTAACACACGTTAGCCTCATGAAGCCCTATATGAATGGGAGTAACTTACGTAATACCGAGGCTCGTCATAGTACACTGCCCGCATCCTACGATCGCCCCGAGGGGGGCTGTAGGGATATTCCATAGGACGGCGCGATGCTCTATGTTCATCCAGTTCGAAAGGGGGGCGGCGAGAGTCGTATTCACCGTCACCCGAGGGAGGTGCGGTAGGAGGGGCCATCGGAGAGCGAGCCGCCGGGGAGTCTTCATAACCAGGGCCAGAGACACGTGCCGCTCGAGCGCGTGGTGTTGGCGTGGGCTCTGGACGTTGTTCTTGACGGTGCTCCGTATGATCACCTGCGAACCTGCGCCGTGCTGGAGAAGGATCCCGCGCCGGGTTGGCTACCGGCATCTCGCTCTCGACAGGTTCATCGGGCACAATACCTATGTGTGGAAGGGGAGACGGGAATAGTGTTGGGAAAGCTTCGGCGATGATCCGGAGCTTGTGATCGTCCATTCCAGGACTTTGGACAAGTGCGGAGACCACACTGTCGTCGGGAAGCTCGATCATGTCTTTTTTCCACTCAAGCTGCGGTCCCGGGCTGACATCATGTGCTCCGAGCACTGCTCTTTCCATATGTTCAGACTTGAAATGAAGAATCAAAGATAGAAGAGTAGAGAAATTCCTCTCAGAAGAGTGGGAGGAAGAAGAAGAAGAATTGAAAGTAGGAGCGTGGTTATGAAATCCCAACGCACAAGCTCTACAACGAAGACCAGCAACAGCATTGAGAGGATGCATAGAGTGATGAGAATCGAGAGCATCAGCAAAAAGATCCAAGCTGGGTTCGATACCGAACCGCAGATTGAAGTGGTACAAGATGTGGTAAATTACCACAGAGAGCCTCACACTCGGAGGCAAGCCTTTGACTCCGGATGTGGATGTCCAGTAGTCTCTGGCCACATCTGTTAGCACCTTCAATTGATCCCGATACACATTCGTTGGCAAGGGTCCTCTGGATTCTGGAGCTGGAGGTGCCGGGGGAGTTCCGTGGGAGGAGCCACCGCGGTATGGTCCATAGGATCCGGATGCAGCTGTCTGTGGGCCAAATTGACCCTCATAGCCCGGCATAGGAGGACCAAAATTAGACCCAGGGGGAGCGAATGTAGGCCCTGTCGACGGCTGGAACGACGCGTAGCTGTCATAAACGTATGAGTTGTCATGCCATTGCGCTTGCGAAGAGCCTGCGTAGGGCGGTATGGAACCGGGAGGTGGGCCGTAGGGCTGCGGGGGGCCATGACGAGGGCCGTAGAAGTTAGCACCAGTGGCCGCGGGGGGCGGGAAGGGCCCATTGGTGGCTCCATATTGGCCGTAAGGTCCCGGGCTAGACTGAGCGAAAGGATGAGGCGTGCGCGAACTGGTTGGCGGCATGGAAGTTGCACCTTGAGGATACCCGCCGTAAGAGTAGTTTGGGTAAGCGTGCTGGGCTGCTTGGCCTTGGCCGGCCGTTGAGGACGAGGGGTAACCATTGTAGAATCCATATCTGGCCTTGGAAGGGTCCGGATGAAATGGGGGCTCCTCTGGCCAGTCGGCCTCTTTCCAGCAAACTACGACGTTGCCAACACTGAAAGCAGTGGTGTGCTTGGCGCCATAGTGCTGAATGATACCTTCGAAGCCGTACCATTTCGGATTGCCCTCACAACCCTCACCATTGCAGAGAAAGAGCTCCTTACGAAACTGTTCGGTCAGCGGTTTGATCTTGTTATCAAATACCCATTTCATATTCTCCAGAAGCAATCGCCGGGTAGGGGGTCCAGTAGGAGGGTCCTCACGGATCTCCTGTCCAGCAGCTAGCGTATCTTCGTCCTCCAGGGCAAGGTCGGCATAGAATCGGCTACGAATTTCAATCAAGAGATCAGCAGCGAACTGTGGGCAATTGTCCTTGGAAAGCGAACGGCCATCCATCCAGTCACGATTGGTAATCTCGTCGGCGTAGCCGCCCAGTTTTTCGCGGACCGGTCTTTGCACTTCCTCCCATTCACGTTCCAGCACCTCGCGGACTTCTTTCATACTAGCGTCCTGCTGACGCCGGTCCTCAAGCTTGACCTGCAACGCAGCCATTTGGGCTGCGCGTTCATGCTCAACCTTTTCCGCTTCGTCCCGCTGAGCTTCTAGCCGAGGCTTAAGCATTTCCCACGCCTTTTCGGTCAAGGGCGAAGAAATCTGACACGCGGCTTGAAAGGCCTTCATGTGTCGCAACACGTTTGGAGAGATCGAAGGATTCAGTTCCTGGCAACGACGTTCAATCTCACTCTTGCGGGCGGCTTTGGCTTCGTTCGCATCACGAATGCTCCGCTCAGGACGAAGATGGGATGCTCCGGGAGACAGGCTTTGTGGTGCCATTGGCTGCTCTGCTGTAGTGCCAGGGTATTGTGAAGAGCATGAGGCAGAGGCAACTTGAAGAGGGCAGCAGTCAGTATCCTCGCAGTGCGTGGACGGTCCAACAAATCCCGGGCATGCCGGACTAAGCATTGCCAACGTGCAGTATGCACGATTGGGCCCAAAGGGGTCGAGAGGGGCCAACTCACCAGCTCGTGGGACACCGTTCATCGGCAGTTGTCTGGAGAACGTATATGTAGCGGTCGGTGGCTGCTGACTGCTGGAGGCGATGGTCGGAGGTGACACTGTTTGTCTTTTAGGTAGACACAGGTCGTGGAAACCGCCTTTGCGCTCCCATCTCTCCCATCGCTCTGCGTCTGCAATCCTCCTTCGACCCATATCCTCAAGCCCTTTGAACCACTCCTCGCCAGCAGCAGGCCCAAGTACCCGTACTTCCTCGAACTGACGGGTGATGTCTTGCACGTGTGCTCTATAGTACCACTTGTACAAGGTGACGGTGGGTGGGATGGAAGTAGAACTCAATGTGCTCGAGGCGATGGCATGCAGACTCTGCGTGACGAAGAGGCAAGGCAAAGCCGCGAGAAGAGCGGTAGAGGAGACAGTGAAAAGCAGATTTTTCTCCTGGTGGACTGGTTAGAAAGCGAACAGGACGGCAGCACGGAACAAACGACAAACCGGTTGTGAGCGCTCTTCCAAGCATCTCCCGCACGAGCGTATGCCAAAGGACCAAATGACACGAACGCCATCAGTCCCCGGGCCTCCCTCCCACGTACTGGCAGGGTGCGGCTCGGAGTGTTGGCTCTTGCCACAGAACTGACAGCGTCGGCCTTTCAGCAAGCGCCACATGCTCAGCTCAGATTGACCGAGCAGTGGCCGGGGAATGGTAGGAAAGTACGTCTTGCGCGCGGAGGACCAGATGGACTCAGAGCTGACGATGGACAGCGAGGGAGAAAGGGGATGTGAACCTTGGTCGGGTTCATCAACGCGGGTGAGGAGAGTATGGAAAGCGCGGTTGACCTGCAACAGTCGACCGAGAGAAACGGGAGGGAGGTAAAGAAAAACATTCTGCCAGATGTGCCCAGGCAGGCCTGCGACAGGCGGGAGAATGTTGGCAAGGTGGTCGGGCACAGCAACGCGGCGCCGCTTGTCAGGAGCATCCACTGCTCCGTCGGCCTTCCGCTTGCCGAAGGGCTGGGGATCCCGTGGGTCGGGCATGCGGAGCGAAGGCCCGCAAGCACTCGAGGCAGCGGGCTGGCGGAAATGCGGCGGGCTCGCACTCGTGGCGAGGCTCGGAGGCTGCTCCATCACTCGAGCTCCTCAGCTCACGGCGACCATAGGAGAGCGGCAGCCGTCGCAGCGAGGCTGCGCGGGCGGTTTGCAGGCGGACGCACGGCGGGAGCACCCGGTGCTAGCAGGTGGACATGGGCGGGCGGGCCTGGTGCAGTGGGCGCGCAGCAGGGATGCGGTGGTGGTGAAGGGAGCGGAAGTGCAGCGAGGCGGCGGGCGACGGGCGAGATGGACGGCGTGCGGCTTCATTTGTACGCTCTGAGGGTGTTCGGCTCGACCGCCTCACTTTGCGGCCAATCGGGACGCGCTCGGCTTGCGCGCCCGCCTTCCCCGCGGCCCACTCGCGGCGGGTGCGTGCGTTTGGAGCGTATTGTAACTTGCCTACGAGGGGGTGGCCCGGCGCCGATTGATCCGTCCCGCCGCGCGGGCGCAGCTGGGGCTGATGACGACTGGCGACTGGGCGCCGCCCAAGCAGCCAGCCCGAACACCACCACCGCCGCCCTCTCTCTCCAACCGCCACACTCGCTCGCTGCTGCACCTCTCTTGCACGCGCTGTCTTGCGTCACCCGCGCCTCCCCCCCCCGCTCTCACACCTGCAGCCTGCGCGGCCCTCTCGCGCTCCCCCGCCCGCTCCGGAGCCCCTCGTCCGCGCTACTGCCTGCCACCATGGCCTCTCTCAACACCTCCTCCAATGGCCCCACGATCCGGCGCAGCTACGAGGGCGTCGTCAATGCGCCTCCGCCCTCCGGCGCCGCTGCCGCCTCGCCCACCTTCGGACAATGGGCCGTCTTCTCCGTCTCCGCGCCCCTGGCCAACGCCTTCCAGCCCGACGCCGGCAAGGAGAGCGTGCTCAAGGTCCAGACTACCGGAGGTACGCACCGCTGATGCTGCACACTGTGCCGTGGCAGAGCTGACATGCTTTCCGTGCAGAGGGCGAGTTGGCAGATCTGATCGATGAGCTCTCCGACGGCCGCATCCAGTTCGCTTTCGTCAGAGTCAAGGACCCCAACACGGGCCTCCCCAAGAACGTCCTGATAGCATGGGTTCGCGTCCCCGCTGCCCTTCTGATGCCTTGTCGCGCTAACGAGGCTGCATAGTGCGGCGAAGGCGTTCCTGAACGCACCAAGGGCTACTTCAACACCCATCTGGCCGCTGTGTCGAAGCTGCTCCACGTATGCTCCTTTTCTCGGCCCCGGCGATCCTCCATTAACCACTCCATAGGGATACCACGTCCAAGTCACTGCGCGATCCGAGAGCGCGCTGAGCCCCGAGGGCATCATCCAGAAGGTCTCGGACGCGTCGGGCGCCAAATATTCGGCTGGTGACGCTCCTGCTCCAATCGCCAGCAGGCCCCCGCCCCCCGTTGCATCCAAACCCGTCTTCACCCCTACCCGTGTCGGAGGCGCTTCCTCTGGCTTCAACCCGCTCGCCAGGTCGCGCGCCGCGCCCTCCGCTCAGAATGTTGACCAAGATGGGTGGGGCGCCGACGCTCCCCCAGTGACGAGGTCCCAGCTCGAGAAGGTGGAGTCGGCATACAAGCCCACCAAGGTCAATCTGGCGGATCTTGCCAAGCAGAATGAAGATGCCACTCGCTCTGGGCCCGCCAGAGGCGACACGCCCGGTGACGTGGTCAAGGGCGGTTACCAGCCAATTGGTAAGGTTGATATTGCTGCCATTCGGCGACAGGCCGCCGAATCCGGTCACCTCAAGGACGATCGTCCTGCCCCTGTCAAAGGCGCCTATGAGCCTATTGGTAAGGTTGACATCGCGGCAATTCGAGCCAAGGCATCCGGACCGAGTGGATCCCCCGCGAACATTTCCCCTGCTCCCACCGGCGGAGATGATGAAGCTCCCAAGTCATTGTCGGAGCGTTCCACGGCATTCCAGCAACAGCCCGAACGTCTCACCTCTCTGCCCAAGCCCAAGGTCGCGAACAAATTTGGAAACGCCGGTGCTTTTACTGGGACGAAGCCTCCCGCCCCTGCCTTCGCACCTAAGCCTGTGGCGGCTTCTGCTCCCATCGGGTCGGCGAGCAAGACCTTTGCGGACCAGGGTGGAAAAACCCCGGCACAGCTCTGGGCCGAGAAGAAGGCGCGTGAGCGCGGACTCAGTGGCTCTAGTGACCTTCCCCCGCCGCCTGCTGCCCAGCCCATTGCTAGCCAGCAGAGTGGCTCTGGCGGCTGGAAGAGCAGCTATACCGGCAAGTCCTGGGCGCCCGTGCATACGACCCACACCGGTGGTAGTAACCTCAGTGCCCAGCGTACTGGTGAGGTTGACCCTCCTCAGGAAGAGGCTCCTTCATCGCCCGCTGGTGGTGTTGGTGCGCTCCGGGATCGCTTCAAAGAGGCTCCGCCTATGGGATCTGCTGCTGCACCGCCCCCGATGGACATGGCTAGCAAGCCGAACGCGGGCCGCGCAGTGCCTGGCCTGCCCACGCGCCCGGCTGAAGCAGAGAGGCCTGAAGAGGAGTACGTGGATGTTCCGCCTCCGCCTGCGCAACCCCGCAGCCCCACTCCCCCGTCCCCTGACGTTCGCCCGAGCTCGCCGATCCGTATCGCCCAGCCCGTTGCAAAGAGCGCCCAACCCGAGTTCGAAGCGCCGGAGGAGCGCTCGCCACCTCCGCCAATGCCCACTGAGTCCATTTCTGCTGCTGTATCCGCTACCAAGGATCATATTCCCGACGAGCCGCAGGTGGAGGAGCATGATCCCGCTAGAGGAGCAGGTGTTGCCGCTGCTGAGGCATCTTTTGGTGCCGGTGCTGCTCATGCTGGGGGAGAAACCGGCGGCAAGCGTGCCGTTGCGCAGTACGACTACGAGAAGGCCGAAGAGAACGAGATCGAACTTGCTGAGGGTGAACTGATCACAAACATTGATATGGTAGATGAAGACTGGTGGATGGGCCAGAACTCTCGCGGGGAAACCGGTCTCTTCCCCAGCAACTATGTTGAGCTGATCGAGGATGAGGAAGCTGACGCTCCCGCTCCCGCTGCGCCTGCGGCCGCACCTGCGCCTCCTGCTGCACCTCCTGCTGCAGCTGGCAGTAAGGCTCCCACTGCCACAGCCTTGTACGATTACGACGCTGCTGAGGAGAACGAGCTCAGCTTCCCTGATGGAGCTACCATTACTAGCATTGTATGTTTCGCCTCCGTTGTTTGCGTCGCTTGAAATGACTAACCTTCTATTGTAGGAATTTCCCGACGATGATTGGTGGTTTGGTGAGTTTGGTGGCAAATCGGGTCTCTTCCCTGCCAACTACGTGCAGTTGAATGAGTAAAGCTCCAGGTGGAATTCGGTGTGGAAGCAGAAGGGCTTGTTAGCAGTCGTCCGCGATTCGTGCGTTCTTGCAGAATACCTAAGATGCATAGCACAAAAGTTCAAAAGTAATACTTAACATTTAAAATTTACTTAGGCTTTAAGTCGTGTTAATAATGTCATCTCCTTAAGTAACCTAGCTAATTTACTATCACGGTTCTAAGAGTAAAGAGTTAGTTTAGTTATAAGAGGTTATACGGGTTACGAAGATTAGCCCGTAACGAAGAACTATCTACTTATAAAGAAATTACGTGCCGCGCGTAACGTTACCTAGATAACTCGATAGATAGGCTATAATATTACTTTCTCTTCTCTAGTACTATTCTTTATTACGGTTCTAAGAACGAAGGTTTAAACTAGTTATAAAAGATTATACGGGTAGCGGAGATAAAACCGTAACGAAGAAATATTTACGTATAGAGAGATTACGTACTATATATAACGTTATCTAAGTAACTCGACGAATAGACTATATATAAAATATAAAATACGAGTAAAAAGCTTAAAAAAATTTATAAGTATTATAACTAATAAAAAACTTTAAGAAAATCGGCTATCGCTTATAAATAGAAGGGCTTTTAAATAGCTAAGTAAAAGCTATATAACTAATACGTAATTCGTATAAGTCTTATAATTATACGTCTATAGATATAAGTTATAATTATTTTAAAGTATTTAAAAAAATATATATAAAAAACGTTTAAAACGGATTTTATTTTTTTTAAATATTTTTCTTTTTCTTTATTTTAAAATACCTAGTTTTTTTTTTTAAAAAGTAGTTTAAAATATATATACTTCTACTAGTATATCTAGTTCTTCTTAAATTTAATATAAATACGCTACTTTTTTAGTAAAAGTTTTTATATATTTTTTATAAGTTTCTATACGGGTAAAACTAGGTATTTTAGTAAATATAATATAATATAAAGTAAACTATTTTAGTAAATAATATTTACTAAAATATTTAGTTCTTTTTAAAAAGTTACTACGACTTTAATCCTTTATAAAAAGTTTTAAACTATAAAGAATTTTAATAGAATATTTTATTAAAATACTTAGTTTTTTTAAGAAAAAATTATATAGCCTTACTAAATTATAAAGTAAAGTATTTAAGTAGAATAATTTACTAAAAAACTTAGTTTTTTTATTTTTTAAGCTATTTATTATAAGTTTTTAATAAATATTTAGTAGTTTATAAAAAGAATAAACGCTAAATATCTTTAAAAAAATCTTATAAAAGTTATTTTAGTTTTTAGTAATCTTAGGCCGCTATAAATTTAACCCCTTTCTCTAACTAGTCTTTAACCCCTTTTATCCGTATTTTAATCTCCCCCCTCTTTCTAAAAAAGCTACTTTTTCTCCATCGCTTACCTTAAATTTATATATAAAATAGTAGATAAACTCGAAGAACTCGCTACTATTCCGTCTACTAGCCTTACTAGCTACCGGTCTTACTACTTACCGCGGCGCCTTACTATCTACTAGCTACCGGCCTTACTACCTACTAGCCTTATCTTACTACCTACTAGCCTTACCACCTACTAGCCTTACCGGCTACTAGCCTTATCGGCTACCGGCCTTACCGGCCCGACGGGCGTTCTCGCCTCTTACGTGGCGGCGGCTAGTAGGCGGTAAGACTAGTAGTAGATAGTAATATAAGGCTAGTAGGTGGTAAGGCTAGTAGGTGGTAAGGCTAGTAGGTGGTAAGGCTAGTAGGTGGTAAGGCTAGTAGGTGGTAAGGCTAGTAGGTGGTAAGGCTAGTAGGTAGTAAGGCTAGTAGGTGGTAAGGCTAGTAGGTGGTAAGGCTAGTAGGTGGTAAGGCTAGTAGGTGGTAAGGCTAGTAGGTAGTAAAGTAAGGCTAGTAGACGGAATAGTAGCGAGTTCTTCGAGTTTACCTACTATTTTATATCTAAATCTAAGGTTGGCGACGGAGAAAAAGTAGATTTCCTAGAAGGGGGTTAAAATTATAGTAGAAGGGGTTAAAATACGAATAGAAGGGGGTTAAATTTATAGCTATCTAAATAAACTAACTTAACTACGTATATTTTAATAAGGTTAAATTATAAATTTAGGAAGAAAACTAGGTATTTTAATAAATAGTCTTATTAAAGCACTTAGTATTATATTTTAAAACTTTTTATAGATAAATAAGATTATAGTAACGAAGGAAAGAACGTTAAGTAAATACCTAGAATAATCGGTCGAAGCAACCATACGTTATAGGTAAACGAAAGATAAGATAAGAGATAGATAATAAGAAGATTAGAGAGAAGAGATAGTAGTTAGTTATTATTTTATACTACCTAAAGAAAGTACTTTTTATACTATAGTAAGTGCCGGCCGCTAGTTATAGCCTTAGATCTTAGGCCGAGCTTCTACTACTCTTACTTCTTAAGCCTAGGGACCTTGCCCTATTAGGTATAGCCGGATCCTCTACTACTATAATAGTAATTTTTTTAGAAAAACTAAGTATTTTAATAAATATTATTTACTAAAATATCTAGTTTTTAAAACTCTTATTAAGCTCTATAAAAATATAAGTAGTTAAATTAATTTATATAAATTAATCGCGTATTTTATTATTTTTATTAGCTTTTATTTAGTCCCTATTTAGTCTTTATTTAAATTTTCTTATAATAAAGTAGTTTTATATAAATAAAATAGTAGAATTTTACTATTAGAGTAGATTTTACTAAACTATATTTAGTATACTAATATAAATCTTATTATATATTTAGAAACTAATAAAAAGTATATATATTAGAAATATAAATAGTATAAAAATATAAAAAAGAGAAAATAAGTAGTTTTACTATTTTATTATTTTATTTATCTATAATTACTTTTATTATAATAAGCTTAAATTTTACTAACTTATTTTACTTAGACGAAGTAATTTTTAAGAAAACTTTATTTATATATATACTATTTTATATATATTTATAAAAATTAACTATATAATCGCTTTAATTAAGTTTTAATTAAATACTATATAAAGTAATTAGTAAGTTAGGGTAGATAATACGCCTATAAATTTAACCCTCGAGAAAAGCGCTAAAACCGGTACCGTTCGAAAGCCCTCAATTTTCTTAGCTAGAATCTCGATTCTTAGCTTCGTAGCTACCCGCGCCGTTAGCGTAGATAGAGAAAAGATAAGAGAAAGAGAGGCTCTAGGCCGCTAGAAACCCCGTACCTCTCTACGCACTCGAAAACTAATCTAATCTATCTAAAATTTCGTATAGAGCTTCGCTAGTATTCCGGCTAGAACGCTCTAAATTTATACGACGTTTCGAGTAAGTTTTGCGGAGAAATCGTACTCGAATTTTCGAAAACCCGCCTCTTTTCCCCTAGAGTAAAGAGTTTTCGCGTATAAACTACCCCGCGCGGACGCTCTTTAAACTAAAGTACTTCTAAATTCCTTTAGTCCCCTAAGAACGAGTTCGGCCCGAACGAACGAGAGATACCTTCGAAAAAGCCGGTTTTCCGCCGGCTTTTAAAGCCCCCGAATCCGAAAACGGCTCGATAGCTTAGCTAACTCGAATTTAATACGAGAGAACTTATTCTCGAAAAGGTAAAACGAGACGAATTTTCTACTTAAAAAGAACTTAAAGACGTCGCTCTTATACTCGAAAGTAAGAGCGCGTAGTACTAGCTACGAGACTCGATTTTAGATCTAATTTTAAGCCCGGTAGTCGCTATCCCGCCCTAAATAGAATTTAGTAATAGAATTTAGCCCCTCGCTATTTTAAACTAGCCGATAACGTCTTCGTTAATAGAAATTAATACTAAAAACCCGCCTTTAGTCTTCTATTTCTAAATAGAAGATAAACGGCCTTTAGCTTCGCTTAGCGTAGCGAGCGAGGCGATCTCTAATCTAGAGATTACTCTTTATACTAAATTTAAATCTTAATCTAAACTAGTCGCCCGAAAGCTAATTAAATAATTTTAAACTATTTTAACCTCTCGACTTTTTACCGCTCTAGCTACGGCTACTAAGGCTATATTTTTAGCCTAAAACTATATCTAAAAGGTAGTAGACCTCGTTAAAACTCGCGTAGATAAGTTCTAGCTTCTAAACCTTCTAAAAGTCTTCTAAAACTATATCGAGAAAAACTAACTTTTTACTATAAATTAGTAGCTTCGCTAGCCGCTAATTCTTTTAAAAATAACGACTAGTATTTCTAAGACTACTAGCTAGCTCTTTTAAATCTACGCCGTAGCTATAGCGTTAAATCTTTCTCTAAAACTAGCTAAAAAGTTATTTTTAAAGCCTACTAATACGCCTAGTAAACCGCCAGCCTCTAAACTAGTAGTATTAACTAGATAACTAGTACTACGTAAACTAGTTCTTTCTAAAAACGTTTCTTTTAGAGAGCTACGAACTATATTTAACGTATAATTCGCTCTAAAAGAGAAAAACCCCGTTTTTACTAAATATATTAGATCGCCGAAAGATAATATAGTACTAATAACTACTTCGAATTTCTTAAGTACTTATCTACTTAAGAATATACCGATTTAGAATAGTCTTATTCTATTTAAAACGGCCGAAAAATCGAAGACGTAGTTTAAGATCGTAGCGTATAGTCTTTCTATTAAAGAATTTATCTTTAATAAGGCGCTTTCTACTTTTAAAAAGAAGATTTTAATCTTTAATAAAGGTCTTAAGTTAGTAAACGCTTTCTACTAGCTTACTCGTAAAGAAAAGCGGGCGAACGGGCTTAACGGCTTAATATACCTCGCCTTTTCTACTAAAAATAAGGCGAATAGAGCTATTAAGAGTAGTCTTTATATTACTAGTCTTTAACTTCGCGTCGAACGGCTTAGAAAGAGAGAAAAAGATAAAGAAAAAAGATAGTTTTCTAAACGTTTATCTATTTTTTTTTTAGATTTACGCGGGTTTTCTCTCTTATAGAGTTTTTATCGCGTAGAGTTTCTTTAGTTATACTTTTCTACTTCTTT